TGGCGGGCGGCGCGGACGCGGCGACGGTGGCCGCGGAGGTGTCGGCGCGGGCGCTGGCGGCGATGGCCGAGGGCGCAGCTGCCGAGGTGGTGGCGGTGGTGCAGCGGGGCGTTGAGCGGGCGTACTCGGCGCCGCTGCGGGAGGCGCTGCTTGCGGCGGGCGGGTCGACGGTGCGGACGGCGATCCGCAACGCAGTCGCGGAGGCGCGGCAGGACCCGGTGGGCGCGTTCGACAACGTGGAGGCCAGGCTGCTGGCCAAGGCTGGGGAGCTGCGGTCGGCGGGTCTGGACGCGGTGTCGGCTGTGCTTGAGGCGTCGGTGGGCGTCGAGGGCGTGGTGCGGTCGCTGCGTACGGCGGTGGAGTCGGAGGTGGCCCGCGGCACGGCGGTGGCGGAGGCGGTGGCGGACAGCGTGGGTGCTGCTGCGGAGGCTGACGTGCGGAGCATCACGGCGGCGGCGGCGCGCGGCGCGCTGGCGGCGCTGGGTCGCGCGGCGTCGGCGGAGGCGGTGGTGCGGAAGGTGGTCGCGGACGTGACGTCTGAGCTGTCTGGGTGCATGGACCTGGCACGCGCGGTGGCTGGCAACCTGGAGAGCGCGGTGACGGACGCGGTGTCGGGCGTGGTTGCGGCGGCGGACGTGGAGAGCGTGGCTGCGTCGGTGGTGCGGTCGATGAGCGAGGCGGTGTCGCGGCGCGTGACGGCGCTGGCTGGCGAGGCTGGTGCAGTGGCGGTGGCGACCCGCGAGGCTGTGCGCGGTGCGGTGGAGACCGCGACGTCGGCGGACGTGCAGGCGGCGGTGGCGCGGGCTGTGGCGGGCGCGGCGAGCGACGCGGAGGCGACGGCGCGCGCGGTGGCCGGGCGCGTGGTGAGCGAGGTTGTGCGCGAGGTGCAGAGCCGCGTCGAGGGCTCGGTGCTGACGGCGGTGCGCGGGGCTGCGTCTGGGAACGGCACGGGCAGCGTGCAGAGCGCGATGAGCGGCGCGCTGTCGGCGACGGCGCAGGAGGCGGTGTCGGGCGCGGTCGCGAGCGGGCCGGCGGACGCTGGTGCCGTGGCGGATGCCCTGCGCGGTGGGCTGAGCGGCTCGTCTGGCGGGGCGTCGAGCGACGTGCTGGGGTCGATCAGGGCCCGGGTGGAGGCCGAGGTGAGCAAGCTGGACGTGAGCGCGGCTGCGGATGCGGCGCTTGCCAGCGGTGTGGTGCGGTCCGCCCTCGAGGCTGTGGGATTGAGCGACAGCTTGGTGGCGTCCGTGGAGAGCGAGGTGCGCACGGCGCTGTCAGGGCGCGCGACCGACACGGAGGCGTCGCTGCGGGACCGCGTGGCGAGCGGTGTGGAGGACAAGCTGCGGGCAGCGGTGATGCAAGGCTTGAGCGGGTCGGTACTCGGACAGGCGCGCGCGGCTGCCAGTCAGGTGCTTCAGAGTGCCACCGACGACATTCGGCGTGCCGTCGTCGCGGAAGTCCGCAGCAGACTGGGCGCGACGTTGGCCACAAGTCTGGACTCTGCTTGGTCGCAGCAGAATGCGCAGCTTCTGTCGTCCTTCGACCAGCAAGTGGCAGCGGTGCTGTCTGGAGACCTGCAGAGCCAGATTTCGGCTGCGTTGTCGACGCAGATTTCGGCGCAGGAGATACAAGACCGCATCCAGCAGGCCGCATCTGACGGCTCTGCTATTGCTGCTGTTGTTGCCCGCCATGTTGCTGCAGAGCTTGCCAAGCGCGCTCTTGCCGAGGCACGCCCGCTCATCATTCGCGAGATCTCCGCGTTCGTCGACAGGGGAGCGACCGAGGCAGGCATTTCGCGATCAATGAACAGTACACTCATCCAGGGAGCCCTGAGAAATGCCACTGCAACGCTGGAAGGCAATCTGCTCCAACAGATCAGTGGAAACCGACGTCTCTTGCAGCTCGGTGCACCAACGCTGGACCTGACTGGTATCTACGAGGGTGCTCTGTCGGATGCCCAGGCGCTGTGCGAGGACGTGGCGGGAGCCGTCACCGCGGAAGCGGCCGGTCTGGCAGAGAGCGTGGCACAGGCCATTGTGGGCGAGCTCAACGCGCTGGGCGGCGTGGAGGCGACGGTGCGCGGCGCGATCATGGGCGTGGTGGCGGACGCGGCGGCGCTGGCGGACTCGGTCGAGGCGGCCGTTGCAGGAGCGGTTCCAGGTCCCCTGCTGGGTGTGGTAGTTGACGGAGCGCGGGCTGCGATCGACGACGCGATTCGGTCGACGGTCAATGGGGCTGCGCGGGCGCTGTCCGGGTCGGTGACTGGCGAGCTGCGCAACGCCGTGCAGGCGGCGTCTCAGCAGGCCATCGAGCGCGTCCTTGCTGGCGGGCAGGTGGTGTGCGGTACTGTCCGCGACGCGGTGACGCGCGCGGTGGAGGACGCGGTGATGCGAGCGCTGGCGGAGCACGGCGGGTCGTGCGCGCTGGGGTCGGTGGCCGACGGCGCGATGGTGCAGGCGGCTGTGCTGCAGGGCCTGGGCGAGGGCCTGGTGGCGGACGTGCGCACCGAGGTGGAGACGGCGGTGCGGTCGGCGGCGAGCCTGCAGGCGGCGCTGGCGGGCGGCGCGGACGCGGCGACGGTGGCCGCGGAGGTGTCGGCACGGGCGCTGGCGGCGATGGCCGAGGGCGCAGCTGCCGAGGTGGTGGCGGTGGTGCAGCGGGGCGTTGAGCGGGCGTACTCGGCGCCGCTGCGGGAGGCGCTGCTTGCGGCGGGCGGATCGACGGTGCGGACGGCGATCCGCAACGCAGTCGCGGAGGCGCGGCAGGACCCGGTGGGCGCGTTCGACAACGTGGAGGCCAGGCTGCTGGCCAAGGCTGGGGAGCTGCGGTCGGCGGGTCTGGACGCGGTGTCGGCTGTGCTTGAGGCGTCGGTGGGCGTGGAGGGCATGGTGCGGTCGCTGCGTACGGCGGTGGAGTCGGAGGTGGCCCGCGGCACGGCGGTGGCGGAGGCGGTGGCGGACAGCGTGGGTGCTGCTGCGGAGGCTGACGTGCGGAGCATCACGGCGGCGGCGGCGCGCGGCGCGCTGGCGGCGCTGGGTCGCGCGGCGTCGGCGGAGGCGGTGGTGCGGAAGGTGGTCGCGGACGTGACGTCTGAGCTGTCAGGGTGCATGGACCTGGCACGCGCGGTGGCTGGCAACCTGGAGAGCGCGGTGACGGACGCAGTGTCGGGCGTGGTTGCGGCAGCGGATGTGGAGAGCGTGGCTGCGTCGGTGGTGCGGTCGATGAGCGAGGCGGTGTCGCGGCGCGTGACGGCGCTGGCTGGCGAGGCCGGTGCAGTGGCGGTGGCGACCCGCGAGGCTGTGCGCGGTGCGGTGGAGACCGCGACGTCGGCAGACGTGCAGGCGGCGGTGGCGCGGGCCGTGGCGGGCGCGGCGAGCGACGCGGAGGCGACGGCGCGCGCGGTGGCCGGGCGCGTGGTGAGCGAGGTTGTGCGCGAGGTGCAGAGCCGCGTTGAGGGCTCGGTGCTGACGGCGGTGCGCGGGGCTGCGTCTGGGAACGGCACGGGCAGCGTGCAGAGCGCGATGAGCGGCGCGCTGTCGGCGACGGCGCGGGAGGCGGTGTCGGGCGCGGTCGCGAGCGGGCCGGCGGACGCTGGTGCCGTGGCGGATGCCCTGCGCGGTGGGCTGAGCGGCTCGTCTGGCGGGGCGTCGAGCGACGTGCTGGGGTCGATCAGGGCCCGGGTGGAGGCCGAGGTGAGCAAGCTGGACGTGAGCGCGGCTGCGGATGCGGCGCTTGCCAGCGGTGTGGTGCGGTCCGCCCTCGAGGCTGTGGGATTGAGCGACAGCTTGGTGGCGTCCGTGGAGAGCGAGGTGCGCACGGCGCTGTCAGGGCGCGCGACCGACACGGATGCGTCGCTGCGGGACCGCGTGGCGAGCGGTGTGGAGGACAAGCTGCGGGCAGCGGTGATGCAAGGCTTGAGCGGGTCGGTACTCGGACAGGCGCGCGCGGCTGCTGCAGGGGCCCTCGTGGGGCAGGTACAGCAGCTGCGGCAGGACGTGGAGACACGGATGTCGACAGAAATGTCCACAGCTGTGGCGAACGGCCTTGCAGAGCTGTCCAGTGGTGGAGAGATCGGTCGCTCTCTTGGCCCGCTCATCGAGGTGCTGATGCAGCGCGCTCTCGAAGGACCCACCGCAGTGGTCACCGCAGAACGTTTGTTGGCGGACATCATCGCTGCGAAGGAAGCCGCCCTCGGCTTCGCCCAGGGCGTCTCTTCCGCCTTCGCCAAGGCAATGGCAACTGGAACTCTCCAGTCCGCGGCTGAGGACATTGTCGACGACGTTATTGGAGGCGTCAAGAGGCGCTTGACGACCGCCATGGACGAAGTGCGCGCCGCGATCGATGCTGTGGTGCCGCCCGCGGGAGACTTCAGCAGCCTCGACCCGACGTGCATCAGCGTGATGGAAGCAGTGCAAACCATTGCCGCGGCTGTCGACGGAGTGGTTTCCGGTGGCACGGTTGCGGCCATTGCGAATGATCTTGAACAGGTGGTTCTCTCAGCAGTGCGTCGGAATGCCGACGCCGCGATGACGGGTGTCATTGATGACGCCGTGTCTCTGTCTTCCAATGGCGCGTCCGTGACGTCGAGTCTGCTCAACGCTGTCAAGACGGCCATTCTGACTACCGTTGACAGGGAGCTCAGCCGCGTCACGAGCGCTGTGGTGGACGCGCTGGTCTCCAGGATCGACACGCTTCTCTCAGGGAGTGCTGCCGACACCATCACGCAACTGACGGGATTCATCGGCGGGGTCGAAGGCGACAACTGCGTCTCCATCATCGCTAGCGTGATCCGGGGAGCGCTCCGCGGCACTGTCGTCGGGCAGACGATCGAGGAAGCTAGGGTGTCCATCCGTGACACAGTCCAGGAGCAGATCACTGCCGCGGACGGAGTGATCAGTGGAGCTGTCTCTGGCGTCTTCGGTGAGTCGGCATTCGGTGACGTAGCGCAGGCTGTCAAGGGCGTCGTCTCGGGCAACGTCGATGATCCTCAAGGCTCTGCAAACATGCTGTCGAACACAACGGGCAACGCCATCCTCTCCAAGGCAACCGACCTGGCCCTCCGCGGGCTGGCGACATACATCAATGGCGGGGTCACGAACAGGACGGTGTACGACGCAATCCAGGGTCTTCGGTCCAAGGCCGAGGGCACAGTCAAGGAGGCCGTGCTGACGTTTGTGCTTGACAGCATCGACAGCCAGCTCGCGACGAAGCGCATGATGTCGTCGCGGCGATCGCTGATGGCGTTCGAGGACCCATTGTCCGGGGTTCTGTTCGGCGACGCGTCTGTGCTCAGCACGGCTTCTCTTGGCAACCCTCCGGAGGTCCTCCTGACCCCTGGGGGGCGTCAGGCCAAGCTTGGCTCCATCGGCTGGCTGGACGTGATCGGCAGCACGGTGTCGGTGTCGTTCGAGATGCGCATCAGCAAGACGGCCGCTGGCAGCGACCTGCCAGACCTGCAGGCGCTGTGGTTCTTCTTCGGGACTGCTGAGCCAGCGAGCGTGCGTGAGACGGACCCACGCGGGGGCGTGCTGCTGTACATGTACGCGGTGTCGTCGACGAACGACGAGCTGGGCGTGCGCACGGGTACACCTACATCGCTGCAGACGTGGCGGCGGTCAAACGTGAACCTGTTTAGGCAGTGCGCGACGGCGTGGTGCTCAGTGGACGCGACGTTCAATGTCACGGCTACGGCGGTGACGGGCAGCGTGCGGGTGGTGCGCGCGAGCGGCGCGGCGTCGACGTACAGCTTCTCTGTGGCTGCGCCGGCGGGCGGGCTGCCGGACGTGGCGAACGTGCAGCTGTGGCACGGGATCGGGGCGCGGCACTCGGCGCTGGAGGCATACACGCGGGTGCGGTCGCTGTCGGGCGGGCCGGGAGCGAGCACAACGGCACCGCCGACGACTACGGCACCGCCGACGACTACGGCACCGCCGACGACTACGGCACCGCCGACGACCACTGTGCCGGGCGCGACGCCTGGCACATCAGCGGCAACCAATGCGCCAGCGGCCACGACGCAGTCCGCGACAACTGCGCCGCCCGCGGAAACAACGGCATCAGCTGCAACGACGCAGGCAACTACGCCATCAGCTGCGACGACCGCTCCAGGAACGCCGCGCCTGCCTGGTATTTTCGACGGCGCTTTGCCGGATGTCCAGGCGCTGTGCGAGGGCTTGGCGGGAGCCGTCACCGCGGAAGCGGCCGGTCTGGCAGAGAGCGTGGCACAGGCGATCGTTGACGAGCTGGATGCGCTGGGCGGCGTGGAGGCGACGGTGCGCGGCGCGATCATGGGCGTGGTGGCGGACGCGGCGGCGCTGGCGGACTCGGTCGAGGCGGCCGTTGCAGGAGCGGTTCCAGGTCCCCTGCTGGGTGTGGTAGTTGACGGAGCGCGGGCTGCGATCGACGACGCGATTCGGTCGACGGTCAATGGGGCTGCGCGGGCGCTGTCCGGGTCGGTGACTGGCGAGCTGCGCAACGCCGTGCAGGCGGCGTCTCAGCAGGCCATCGAGCGCGTCCTTGCTGGCGGGCAGGTGGTGTGCGGTACTGTCCGCGACGCGGTGACGCGCGCGGTGGAGGACGCGGTGATGCGAGCGCTGGCGGAGCACGGCGGGTCGTGCGCGCTGGGGTCGGTGGCCGACGGCGCGATGGTGCAGGCGGCTGTGCTGCAGGGCCTGGGCGAGGGCCTGGTGGCGGACGTGCGCACCGAGGTGGAGACGGCGGTGCGGTCGGCGGCGAGCCTGCAGGCGGCGCTGGCGGGCGGCGCGGACGCGGCGACGGTGGCCGCGGAGGTGTCGGCACGGGCGCTGGCGGCGATGGCCGAGGGCGCAGCTGCCGAGGTGGTGGCGGTGGTGCAGCGGGGCGTTGAGCGGGCGTACTCGGCGCCGCTGCGGGAGGCGCTGCTTGCGGCGGGCGGATCGACGGTGCGGACGGCGATCCGCAACGCAGTCGCGGAGGCGCGGCAGGACCCGGTGGGCGCGTTCGACAACGTGGAGGCCAGGCTGCTGGCCAAGGCTGGGGAGCTGCGGTCGGCGGGTCTGGACGCGGTGTCGGCTGTGCTTGAGGCGTCGGTGGGCGTGGAGGGCATGGTGCGGTCGCTGCGTACGGCGGTGGAGTCGGAGGTGGCCCGCGGCACGGCGGTGGCGGAGGCGGTGGCGGACAGCGTGGGTGCTGCTGCGGAGGCTGACGTGCGGAGCATCACGGCGGCGGCGGCGCGCGGCGCGCTGGCGGCGCTGGGTCGCGCGGCGTCGGCGGAGGCGGTGGTGCGGAAGGTGGTCGCGGACGTGACGTCTGAGCTGTCAGGGTGCATGGACCTGGCACGCGCGGTGGCTGGCAACCTGGAGAGCGCGGTGACGGACGCAGTGTCGGGCGTGGTTGCGGCAGCGGATGTGGAGAGCGTGGCTGCGTCGGTGGTGCGGTCGATGAGCGAGGCGGTGTCGCGGCGCGTGACGGCGCTGGCCGGCGAGGCTGGTGCAGTGGCGGTGGCGACCCGCGAGGCTGTGCGCGGTGCGGTGGAGACCGCGACGTCGGCAGACGTGCAGGCGGCGGTGGCGCGGGCCGTGGCGGGCGCGGCGAGCGACGCGGAGGCGACGGCGCGCGCGGTGGCCGGGCGCGTGGTGAGCGAGGTTGTGCGCGAGGTGCAGAGCCGCGTCGAGGGCTCGGTGCTGACGGCGGTGCGCGGGGCTGCGTCTGGGAACGGCACGGGCAGCGTGCAGAGCGCGATGAGCGGCGCGCTGTCGGCGACGGCGCAGGAGGCGGTGTCGGGCGCGGTCGCGAGCGGGCCGGCGGACGCTGGTGCCGTGGCGGATGCCCTGCGCGGTGGGCTGAGCGGCTCGTCTGGCGGGGCGTCGAGCGACGTGCTGGGGTCGATCAGGGCCCGGGTGGAGGCCGAGGTGAGCAAGCTGGACGTGAGCGCGGCTGCGGATGCGGCGCTCGCCAGCGGTGTGGTGCGGTCCGCGCTCGAGGCCAGTGGCAGGCTGCAGGTCACCAGCCAACTGGTCTCCGCGGTCGAAGACACGATCGCGCTCGCGTTGGCGGGCCGCTCGCGCAGCATGGAGGGCTCGCTACGGGGGCGTGTGGCGGCTGCTGTGGAGAGCCAGCTGCAGTCGGCCGTGACGCAGGCGGTGAGCGGTTCGGTGCTTGGGCAGGCGCGTGCAGGAGCCACGATGGCGCTGAGGTCCGAGCTCGACTCGCTCACCACGCGGGTCGCGAACGACGCGCTGCGCACGCTGTCCAAGGCGCTTGCCGACGCGGTGTACATCCAGCTGCGTCCGGGGCAGATTGGGCAGCTGTTGGCACCCCTCGTCTACGGCGACGTGTCTACCAAGATCGTCACTGATGTCACCAACGAGGTCGCTTTGCGGGTTCGCAGCGCCCTCGAGAGAGCCGTGGACCTGGCCCGCGCGGTGTCCGAGACTGTGGTGTCTTCGGTCTCGACCCTGTTCCAGGAGCGGACGATCAAGTCCCTCGCGGACAAGGTCACCACGACCGTCATGGAGCAGATGTCCGGGATCATGGACCAGTTCGAACAAGCTCTCGACGCATCACTGGAAAGTGTGCTCGTTGATCTCATCAAGGTCGCGGTCGCGGGAGACGCGGACTCGATTTGCGATTCCGTCGTGAGCGCAGTCGCTGCCGGTGCATCCCAAACCGTGACGGATGTCACGGCTATCGTCGGCGAGCGCCTGACCGTGTCGCTGCGCGGGGCAGTGACGCAGACAGTCGAGGAGTCGATGCTGATCGTCTCTGGAGAGGTGCAGCGCGGGCTTCGGGACGCGGGTATCACGTTGCCGCGGCCGATGATCACAGAGGTTGTGGCGGCCGTGCGAGACACGGCGTCAAACTCTGTCACCGAGCCGGCAGTGCTCCTGCTCGAGGATCAGGTCGTCAACAGGACGCGCGACGCGTTGCTGGCGGCGATCGAGGACGTGATCTCGGGGAGGCTGCGCGACGCTCTTTGTGGGCAAGTGGCCTCGGCGACCTCCGGCACCGAGTTCTTCGCGCCCGTCTTCGACGCTGTTAATCTCGTGGTCGACGGCATCACTGGCGGTCTGGCCGACCAGCTCGCCAAGTGGGGCCTGGACATGGGTTTCTTGAACCTCGACTTCATGGATCCTTTCCTCCCGAGCGCCTTCGACTTCGGCTACGAAACGACGCGCGGCACGTTCTGGTTTGATGCCGTCTTCAACGACGCCATCCGCCTGAACTTCCAGCGAGCCGCCAGTCTGGACGGCACGCGGGCGAACTACGCGCCGACCTTCGAGCTCGTCCGAACGATCACAGTCTGGGACTTGTTCGGGATACTCGGTGACGTCCTGGACTCTGCTGGCCTGTTCGACTTCTCGGCCGTGCCGTTCATGCAGGCTCTGGAGCCCTACCTGGACTTCGGCATCGCGCACGGCTCCTTGCTGTCGATCCAAAAGGACGACAGGAAGGGCGTGTACAGGTTCTTGTTCGACGGTGCAATTCTGCTCCCTCCAGCTGCCGGACAGCTCGACCAGGACGAGGGCTTCATCTCGAACGACCCGCAAGGCGGATACGGGCTCGCACCTGGCCAGGATGTGCCATTTGTCATTCCGTCGGATCGTATGGGGATCAGGACAGCCTTCACCGTCGAGAAGCCCATGTCCGGAGGTGGCGCACAAGCCGGGTTCGTCTCTATCAGCGTCGTGGACATGATCAACGTCATCAGCTCGCTCGGCGGAATGGACTGGCTGAACGTGTGGTTCGACTTCGTCGGAGTGACAGACGATCCGCGCAAGGCGTCGCAGTTCGACCTGGTCTTCTCGCTTGGCAAGCGCGGTGAATACCCGAAGCTGCTCCGAGAGGACATCCTCCGCGAGTCCGCGAACTTCCACGAGGGCCTCGGCGTTGGTCGCGGCGGGGGCACGACGCTCCCCGAGGAGCAAGTCCGCCGCATCTTTAGCAGCGACCCCATGATTATGTGGATCGACCCTGACGCGGCTCGCGGAGGAATCGTAGGAACTCTGCTTCAGATCATCGGCGCGGTCATGGACCAGGCCTTCGGACCGGCCATCGACGTTCAGATCATCCCTGTCGGCTTGACGACGATCGAACTGAAGGTGTTTTCCATTGCTGACCTGGCCATCAGCGACAAGGTTTGGATTACGAACATCTTGATGGAGGTCGTCATCGACGTAAGTCACGCACGCGACGTGCCCCTGCCCTAATCACTGTCTGACGCATGGTGCCATTCACTAAAGTTCACTAAATCCGCTGTCGCGTGGTCCGTCGTTGCAGATGACTCCCGCGCCGCCGTTCGGGTTCGGCATGGAGTTCCATTTCTTGATCGACACGGCGGAGGGAGAAAGGGAGCTCATCTTTGGATTTATGATCAACTTTGACTGGAAGCTCAACCTGCTCGGTGGAGAGCTGTACGTACTTGTCGAGGAGGGCTTACGGCTGACGCGCTCCCTCGTCATCTACGAGATCTACTTGTCGGCGAAGGTCCAGATTCCTTCGCTCGTACCGTTGGAATTCGCGATGGCTGTCGACGGCAGTTACGGCGATATTGCGCTGAAGGGCGGCGTTTTCATTGACTTCGCGAATCCGGCGAAGCCTGCGTTCGCATTCAAGGTGGATGTTTTCGGACTATTCGGCCGCGAGATCTCGTACGCCGACCTGATCCAAGCGCTCCTCGACGACGTGATGTGGGCCCTGGCGCCGAACGAGCCGACGGTGCAGCTCCCAAGCATGGTGAAAAAGGGTTTCGACATCTTCGGGTCAGTCAGGAGGGGACTCATCAGCTTCAACCCCCTGCCGCTCGTGTATCGCATCGGCAGCCAAGTCATCCAGAGAGGCTACATGGTGGAGGTGGTGAACTTCAAGTACCTGATGCTCGAGATCATTTATGGCAAGTTCGAGTACACCTTGGATCCGCTGCCGAAGATCGAGGCGGTGCTCAACGTTGCGCCCGTCAACTTCTACGACATCGCTGAGATGTACAAGTCGACGGTCGAGACGAACCGGGGACCGTACTGCTTCCTGCGGGCCCGCATGCTCCCTGGAGGGCGCCGGGCGGCAACTGAGGAGTCTCCCAGCGCGCTGCTCGCTGCGCCTCAAGAGACCGAAAATGAATTCAGCCGTCGGGGGCTGCTCGAGCCCAGGGACTTCTTCTTGATCGACTGCGAAGGCTACCTGAGGTTCCTGAACATCGAGTTCAAGCTCAGAGCGTATGGCACGCCAGTAGACTTCGTCGCTGAAATGGACGGCAGCCTCTTCGGCGGCAAGGCCATCTTGAGGGCGTCGTTCGCGCTGAACATGGATTCAATCCTTGCGGTGCCGCCTGCGGTCGAGGCCAGGTATCAATTCTCCTTGCGAGCAGGAGACGGCAACGATTCCGTGCTCAAAGCGATCCTTGAAGGCTACTTGGAACTGTTCTTCGATACCCTTCGGAGGCTGGTCAGTGAGATGCTCGCTGTGGCGTACGACATCATTCAGACGGCGCGCGACATGGCGCAGGCAGCATTCGAAGCTGCGTCAGCAGCTTTCGATGCTGCATTCGCAGCCCTGGAAGAGGCGAAGGCCGTCGTCCGGCCTGCAATCCACGCGGCACGCGGTTCTGAAGGGCACCATCGCGGCAGAGCGGACGGGTATTCGTGCAAATGGTACAAGCCGTGGAATTGCGTCGCCAAAGCATTCCACCGTGGCATGCAATACATGTTCGGTGGCATTGCCGCGGGTCTCGAGGGCGTCTTCAGGGCCGCTGAGGAACTCTTGAACGCGGCGAAGTATGCACTTGACTTCGCGAAGAAGGTCATGGAACTCGTGCTCGAGGGCACGACCATCTTCATCGGCATCGTGGAGCGAATCCTGGAGGAGCTGATCAACGGGATCCAGTCCGCGTACAATACGGCAGCCGACGTCGTCACGTTCTTCGCCGACGCAATCTTCGCAGTCCGCTCCTTCAAGGTGGACCAGGTCTATGGCGCAAGGGTCAGTCGTTACAGACTGGAGCTGGATGCGAACTGGTTCAGCATGGGGTACTCGACGATGATTCTGAACTGCAACTTCAACCTGGGCTCCATCCTCTCCGAGCTGGTCGCGGGATCGGTCCCGAAGGTCTGGGACTACATCCAGTCGCTGATGCCCAACCCGAGTGACTTCTGGTCGCTGCGCCGCCGAGGGCTCCTGTCGGTGCCAGAAGGCAGCTTCGCGGCCCTCGCCGGAAGCTCCGCTGCGGCTACGGCGCAGTTCCAGCACATGAAGGGCAGACTGCTCGAGACGGTCAAGAACGGTCGCTTTGCCGACGATGCTGCAGAGGACCTCAGCGACGAGGGAGCTCCGTTCCGACTGCGCTCGCTACTGCAGGCGTACCCGGTCAACGGAACGCTCTTGCCGTTCGAGACTGCGAGTCCCGAGGAGCTGGCGAGGCTCGACGCCTTCACGTCGTCCTACGACCCTGTCGTGCTCAACGCGGCAGGCGTGACGAACCCACTCGCGCCCGGGCAGCCGATCGTTCCGTCCAGCGAGCTGACTGCGCAGATGAGGTCGGCAGTCGGCGACAGCCTGAATCCGAAAGCAGTCATGGCGTCGTCTTTGGTGGAGGTCGTGGCAGCCAGTCAGGCATACGTTCCCGAGGGCCTGCGTCCGACGGTCAGCCCCGTCGACGCGAGGGCGCTGCAGGAGGTCAGCAGTTTCGGTGCTGCGAACCGCACTCTCTGGCTGGGCGTTCAAGCGCGCTCTGACCCGGCATCCGTCGCTTCTGCAGCCGCTCTGCCCACGTGCACATCAGGCCTCGTGGGGCGCACGTGGCTTGTACCCAAAATGGTGTCTGCGGCCAAGCCCGCTCGCGTATACGAGCGATCCGGGCGAGTTTACGAGGCGCGGGAGACTTGGTGGCCGGAAGCCGTCCAACAAGGACTGGTGTCATCCAACGACACCTGGCCTGTCAACTCGACGGATGTCTTCCAGGCGTGCAAGCTGCCCCTGCAGTCCCTCGACCAGGAACTCGCGCAGTTCGCGTTCAAGTACCTCGGCTCGCGCTTCGTCGCGCTGGACCTGGCCTCAACTTACTCGTTTGAGGTTGCAAACGCGACGCAGTCCTCGTTCGAGACAGCGCGTGATGGATGCGGTCTTGCGTTCAACGTCTCGACCACAGAAGGCCACTCGCTTGAGCTCCGTGCGAACAGCGAGCTCATCGCCGGTGACATCCCGCAAGCTGGAGCGGCAAACCTGACAGCAGCGGGTCCGGCAGTGATCGCAGAGCTGCACAAGTGCGGGTCGGCTAACTACTCACAGTATCTGTCATTGCTCTCGGAACCCGCCTTGCGGCACCCGAACTTCCCGGGCGGGCCTCTCTGGCTGCCTCCAGGCGAGGGCAACGGCGATGCCGCTCACCCTCCGCGGTACATCGCGATGAAGATTTCAAACGTTGCCGTCAACCTCACCATCGGCGACGGCGGGCCGGGAACTACCAGCGTCGCCGAGTTGGCTCTGGCGACGGAGCAGCTCGCCAGTGGAAACGTTGCGCGTGACTTCGCTGCCGCACTGCGAGCCGCGGGCGTCGTGTTTGTCGGCGAGGACGGCGCGGTGCACGAGGTTCTCGTTGGCGGGCTGCCCACCGTCAACATCGATCTGTCTGCTGAGAGGGCACGTGCGTTCCCCACGCGGAAGCTCGCGATGACCTTCGCGGCCGGGTTCGGCAACTCGGGAGAAGCGGCGGCGCTGGCCTCGCTGGAGCGCGCAGTCGATCAGGGGCTGGCCAGCCAAGTCGAGCATCTGACGAACCGGACAAACACGGGGAACAACTTCTTCACGGTGGCGAAGCGCGACGACTCGGCCGTGCTCAGGCGCGGCCTTCTCGCGGGGCTGAATTCAGGTGTCGTCATCACAGTGCACTTCGGTGGCACGCACGCGCACGACATGGCGTTGGCAGCCCATGCTCACTTGTCGTCGGCGTCCTCGCACGCCGCCATCACACAGGCGGCTGCGAGCATCGCGGGCGGCGGCGCGGCCTTCACGGTCGCGAAGCTGCCAGCACTCTCCACGATGGGCGGCCAGCCGATCCAGGTCTTCGCGCCAGGCGCTCCCACCGCGAACGCCACCAACGCCACCAACGCCACGGTCGTCCCGAAGATCCAACCGTCCGAGACGATCGCCCCGCAGACGAGCACGCCGGCCCCGGTCGACGCGGGTGCCATTCAGCCTGCGAGCACCGCGTCGCCGGGCGCAGGAGCGGTCGCCGCGACCCAGCCTGCAGGAGGAAGTCCTGCGACTGCTGCGACCCCCACGCCGAGCGTCGCGTCGACCGTCGACGTCACGATGCGGATCAACGGGGTCACGGCATGTTCGTCGCAGGTCTCGGCCGCGCTCGAGGGCGCACTTTTGCAGTTTGTCCAGCCTCGGCCGGTGTCGGCGCTGACCAAGTCCTGTGCGGCCTCGGCGGGGCGGCTCCGGTCCCTCCTCGATCGCGCTCTGCGGCAGGGCGGCGGTGCAGTCTCGCTGGTCGTGCAGCTCTCGTTCTCGGGCCAAGTTGCCGGCTCGAGCGTCATGCAGAGCATCAACTCTGCGTCCTCGTCGATAGTGTCGGCCCTGGTCGCAAGTGGTGTGCCTGCTCAGAGCCTCACGCTGCTGTCAGTCGGCGGTGACTCGGGAGGCGCCGTTGACGACAGCCCCGACGGCAGTCTCGGTGCAGGTCCGATTGTTGGCTTTATCGCGGCAGGGATCATCGTCGCGGCGGTTGTCACCATGGTCATCGCGTTGCGGTCGAGCCCGCGATTCGCCAGAATGATGGCGAGGGCCATCGGCAGGCATTCTCGCACTGGCGACGTCGTTCCGGTCGCAACGCGGACGCAGCTCTCGCCTACCGCACGCGAACCGTCCTCGCAGCCCTCCGGGCCGTGGTTCGGGTCTCCTCCCTCATCGGTTCCGACTCAAGGCCGCGTTGTGGGCTTACAGTCGGCTGTGGAAGGATTCCGTGCATCACAAAGCGGCGCGCAAGCAAGGACCACTGGTCCTGTGGTTCCAGGGGCCGCCGATCGAGCATCACATCGGAGCAGCGGAGAGGGCCGCATGTCGATCGACATGCGCGGAGGCGACATGCCAGTGCCACGGACCCTCAGCATTCCGTCGTCGCGCACGGGGACGCCTCGCGCGAGCGTGGCAGAGCGCCGCGCCAGCCGTCCGAGCGAGCTCGGCGCGCGCACCGCCTCGCGTAGGTCGAGTGTACCAGTCGGCGCGGCGTTGGAGGAGGGGCGTGGGTATGCCGCGCAGGTGCGCAGATCTCTCTCGCGGACTGGCGCACAGCTCCCCGAAGGCCACATCATCAGCAGTCCCGCCCAGCCAAGGTCGCGGATGAGCACACCAGGAGTGAGTGCACGAGGAGTGGGTTCGCCAGGAGCGGGCACACCGGGAGCGGGGGCAGGAGGGAACAACGAGTCCGCGTGAGCCGCGGCGGCACCCACGAACATGAAGCAACAGCGGTCACGCGCGCGTCGATACGCTCGAATGCCCCGTACAGGGCTCGAACTAATGTCGAGAGTGAGGCAATAGAATGATGGAACCAGGTTTTTGTGAGGACCTCACTCGACACGCGTCCCCTGCCTGCGTGCAGACGAGTCGCTTACATCGCCCCCATGCTGCTCATCTCGCGTGCTCGCGAGAAGGCAGAGCCGCTTCCTTCGCCGCGGCATCTCCGTGTGTGCAGAGCCACAAGCATCACCGCAGGGCACCCAAGTCTTTCTGTGCGGTGCCCTGGGTGAGGCTGGCAGGGAGGCGACGTCGCGACCCCGGGGCGCGCCCGACCGCCGCACCCCCGCCGGTCCGTCGCCCCGGCTCCTCATCGCTGTCATCGCTCGTCACCACGATGGGGTCCGCCTGAACCCTCGGCGGCTTTGCCGTGCTCGTGCGACGCTGCTTGCGAGCGGCTGCACCGTCGCCACTGGGCGCGCGGGCACGCTTCGATCGACCTGCTCGGGGGCGGAGAGTGAAACCACAATGAGCACATCTGGCATGGCGCAGCGACGACCGCCGACAGCATGCGCCTGGGCTCTCACCGGAAGCCTGCGACGGTTCCAGGGAGTCAGCAGGTGACGCGCCGCGCGCGGCGGCTTTCTTGCTCTTCCGCCCGGCGGCTCCCCGGGCTGGTGCCGCGTCCTCGTCACTGATAGCATCACCGTCCGACGAGCCCGACGAATCTTGCAAGGCGATCGCTGCGGGCCACACGCGAGATCTTGCCGATCGTCTAGATCATACATGCCGTGCATGGCGTCGGCGCACGGCCAGCGGACGCGACTCGCACCTTTCCTTGCTGTGGCTGCAGCAGCTCGGCCCTGTCGCTGCGTCCCTCGCTTCGGCGGGTTGGTGCGCGGCGCCGGCGGTTCCTCGCTGCTGTCGCTGTCGACCTCATCGTCGTCGCTGCTCAGCGCCGCCCTGCGGGACGCCTTGCTGCGCCCTGCCGCTTTGCGCTGCGCCCCACGCGGTGCCGCCGGCGCCGCTTGCGGCCTCCGCTTCACGAAGCCGACCGGAGCCGCCTCCTGCACCGCTCCTTCGCGCACGCCGTTCGTCCCATCCGTCGCCGTCGCTGTCGCCCCCGCAGGCGCCTGCAGGCGCGCCTGCACCGCATGCTGCACGATCTCCGCGACGGCGTCGTCTCCGGCCATGTCTGCGTCCTCGCCGTCGCCCGCACCGCCTCGCGCCTCGCGGGCGGTGCGCCGCGTCTGCTCGAGCACGTGCGCGACGCACTCGTCGATGGCGCCCGTCTCCTGCTTGTCCACGAACTTGGACACCGCGTTCGTGAGCTCGCTCTCCGGGAGGACCTCGAGGCGCTGCTTCATATGCCGCGTGATCAGCGCCTCCATCAGCTCCTGGTCCAGCTGGTTCGCGTCCAGCTGCATTGGAGGGGCGTGCGCAGGAGCATGTGAGGGGTTGCAACGCAGGCAATAATGCTGCGCTCGCAACCCCGCATGGCATCAGGCGTCGCGACGCCCGCTCCACTGAGCGCGCCGCTCCCTCCCTCTACGCACTCAGCACGTTGCAACCGCGATCAGTCGCGTCAGGCATAATAAGACAACAATACCTTGTCCATGTCGTACAATATGTGTTCCAGGTCCGCCAGGTCGCCCTCGCGGCCGCCCTCCGCCGCGTCCTCGTTCTGCGCCTTCTTCGCGGCGCGCTTGGACCACAGCATGATGTCCTGCGGGTTCGCCACGCGGTCCACGAAGCGCGCCCCGAACTGCTGCGAGTTGATGGTCGGGAACCCGGCGTGGTCCACGCGGAGGCGCACGAGCGGCAGCCGGTCGTCGCCGGGGCGCGCCTTCTTGCGCGCCTCCTCGATCATGCCCTCGACGCGCCGCTCGAGGTACGCCTCGACGGTCGCGGGGTCCTCGGGGTCGATGTCGGGCACGTCCGACAGGCACGTGCTCTGGAACACGTACGGGCGCACCGCCTCGAGCGGGAAGCACGTCGTGCGGTACGACTCCCGGCAGATCTCGAGCATCATGATCTTCTTCTCCTTGGCCTCGGCCTCCGTCAGCGTGGTGGCCACGGACGACCCCGGCTGGCTCACCATGGTCCCGCGGCCCCGCGCGGCGCCGCGGCGACCGTTCCCCATGCGCTGCGGCTCCACCAGGCACTCGTGCTCGTGGCCCCACACGACGAAGTCCAGGAAGTCCGGCAGGTACTCCTCCGGCAGGTAGTTCTTCGCCCCGTACGTCGCCCTGCAGCAAACGCGCCCACACGCGCCGCGCGGTCAGCGGGGGCCGCCGGCGCCGGCTCCGTCGCTCCGCGCTCGGCGCAGTCGGCCGCTCACCTGTTCTGGTGCACCACGAAGATCGAGAAGAAGTCGTGCGGCTGCACAACCTGCCCGCCCTCCAGCTCGAACGTGGGCCGGACCCACTCGACGGCCCCCGCGGTGCGGAACATCCGGCACAGGCGCTCGTCGCGCATGTACCCCAGGCCGTACAGCGCCACGCGCGTCTCGCCCTTCTCGAGCACCACGGGCGCGAGCTTGAGGTTGCCGTACACCTCCCCCGACAGGGCATGCTTCCCGAAGTAGTTCACCAGGCCCGCCGCGGCGAGCACGTCGATCGCGCTCGTCGCCTCCCGCCCGACGGGGTCGTCGTGGTTGCCGTGGATCGTGAAGGCCGGGAGGCCCACGTTGATGTCGGGGCTGGCAAAGTTGGCCTTGCCCCCCGTGGCCTGCGAGAACGCGACGTCCGCCTCGTTCGCCACGCGGAACCGCACGGGGCGGTCCGAGAGGCAGTACTTGCGGAGGATGTTCATGGTGCGGACCATCGTGGCCTGGCTGGGCTTGTTGACATGGAAGATGTCTCCGCCCAGCAGCACCAGGTCCGCGCCCAGCTCCAGCGCGCGCTGAAACACCTCCTCGAACGCCTCGAACGAGTCGTCGCGCCGAATCTCGTCGTTCTCGTGCACGCCCTGCACGCTCGGGGGGGGTCGGGCGCCGTGCGCGTAGATGCAGTGTGCGGGGAGGGAGGTGGCTTCGCGGGGGGGGCAGGGGGTGCCGCAGCGGGGCCGCCGCGCGAGACGAGCCGTGAAGAGTACGTGAATCGTTCGTGGATCGGGAACGCTGCGGAAGAGACGCCAGCGCGGCGCACGGGCGAGGCCGCCAAGAGCGGTCCCCAGGACGTTACGACTGGTGCGTGAGGGACGCGACGCGCCGCTCGGAGTGCCTTTCGCTGCCGAGACTGATCGTGACAAGGCGAGCAGCACTGTGGGATAGTGCCGGGCACGGTCCGTCCCGTGATTGCGGCAGTATGGGCGCAGCAGGGAGAGCGCACTGCCTGCTCCCCGAGGCCGCTCACCAAGTGGTTGTCCGTGGCCACCATGATCTTGATAATGTCGTCGTCGCTGCAGACGGTAGCGAGAAGCGCATGTGGGAGTCGTATCGCGCGCGGCGACGTCAGCACGCGGCGCCGCGAGCCAGCGTGGACGCGGGCGCAGTGTCGCTCGTCACACCTGGGGTCCACGGGCGAGGCGCCCCCGTCCCGCGCCATGGCAGCTGCGTCAGGGCCCACGGGCGTAGCGACGCGGCAACGCGGGCGGCCGCGCCCGCTTCTCGGCGCACGACCCTCTGCTCTCTCTGTGGCTCGCTAGCACCGTTGCCCGTGAACAAGCGCGGAGTTTTGTCCGTGGTGATAGCTGAGGAGACTGACGGACGACCGCCCGAGGTCCCGCACACGAGGAGGGCCTGCGCCGGGCGCCTCCCCGACCCGCCCGACCGGGCTCAGCTGTTGCGCGGAGGGGTCGCTGAAACGCCGCGCGGCGCGGCTCCCCGGCGTCGGGACGGCGGTCGCAGGGGCCAGGTCAGATCGAACTCTTCGTTCGTAGTGAAACGACAGGATCACGCGGAGCCATGTTGTAGAAGGCAGCCCTGTTCTCTGTTGCAGTGCATCACGGCTCGGTCGCGGACGACTGGGCCGCTATAGCCCGCGGCGCACGTCGAGGAGAGGGTCGGCTGAAGCGCCTGCGTGGGGCGGCCGGGTTCTGCGCGCGTAGAGGCAGGGACGGGGACGGGAGGGGGCCGGAAGCGCTGCGAGGCGACCATGGCCATCGACCGCAGTCCCGGCGTGCCGCCTTCCGCACGACAGATAGTTCGCGCGGGCGACCTGTACCGCCGGCATAGGGCTACCGTGCACCGGAGGAGTAACGGGGATTTCGCCATCTATGGGTGGTTTGAGCGCCTGCTCATGTCTCGAGCGGTGGGGCACAGCCCGGAGGACCCCATCATCCTCGACGACCGGGACCAGACGCACGAGGTGCGACCCCGACATGTCCGTGACCTTCTCGCGCGCGACGAGGCGCGCCGCCCGCGCTGCTGGTCGGCTGCCGCCGCTAAGCTGTGCTGCAGGGCGCACAGCTCCCTTGCGGGCCTCGCCGAGAGCGCGCAGCCGGAACGAACACCGCTCGGGAAGCGCGTCGACGAGAACGGCGTTCGGCAGTGCGCAGCTGCGCTCGATAGCGGCCGTCGCAGCGTCCAAGGAGCACCGCCGCGCTGCCTCACCATGAGCACGTTGGGTGCCTCCGTGCCGCGCAGGGCCGCGGACCGGACGGCGCAGACGCCGCTGCAGCGCCGGAGCTCTATCCGCTCCGTGGGCCGGACGGCGCGGCGCTGCCTGAAACGAGCGGTGTGGTGGTCAACGTGCAGGTGTGTCTGCACCTGCTCTCGTTGCCGGCCGCACGGCCAGCGCGCACGCACTCCGCGCCCGCGTGCACTACACATTTCCCGTACACACCCACGCCAGCGGGTCTGCGGCGCATTCTGCACCTCGCACGCACGACATAGGCCCTCCTCGTTGCTTGCTGTCCCGTGCGCCTTGCTCATGCGCCCGGCCCCCCCCGAACCCCACCCACCCGCATGAGAGACGTCGGTGCCGCGCAGGAGGACCCGGGCGGCCGCACGCCTCCGCGGCTGCGCGGCGGTTCGCGCCAGGAGATTCTGCGGCGCCAAGCATGGGTGGAAACGGTGCGCCAGCTGACGGAGATCCACGGCAGCGACAGCCCGCAGCGCTCCGGCGACGCCCTGCGGCCCTCCCGCCCGCCGCGCCTGGGCTTCATCGAGGCCAGCGAGCTGCCGATCAACTCGTTGGCCGACCACGGCACAGCGGGGGGGTCGATGCGGCTCGCTGCGCGCGGGCGGCACTTCCGCACGATGACGGGGATCCGCCCGACGCAGCCGCTGAGCGGTCCGCCGCGCGCTGCGGGCGATGCCGGCGGCAGTGCGCGTGCGGACGCTGAGGGCCAGGAGGGCCTGCGCGGCCTGACGCTGCGGCTCCCGCCGCGGCCGAGCACGTCGCGCGGGCGCAGGGACGACCGGGACGACCGGGACGCGAGCCCGCCGCGCGTGGAGTGGCGCCGCGAGAGCCACGGGCGCGGGGGCATGTTGCTGCTGGCGGAGGGGACCGCCCCGCGCGACGGGCCGGTGTCGGGGGAGTGGGGGCGGCGCGCCGAGCGGGGGGACCGGTCGGGCGACGCGCGCGTGTGGCCGGTCGGCGGCGGCGCGGGCGCGTTCAACGGCCTGTCGCTCACAAGGCTGGTGGGCCACCGGGGGGGGGACGCGGACAACGCCCCGGACGGGTCGCGCCCGTCGGCACACGCGGCGGCGCTGCTCTCCCACATGCTCCCGCCGCACGACGACCTCGGAGAGACGTGGATGCCGGACCTGTACAGCGAGCGCGCGGGCGGCTGGGTGGTGTACTCCTCCACGGTGGCGCCTGCGCGGCCCAGCGCGAGCGAGTACCGCGTCGACGACGCTGCTTACGCGCCCTACTCGCCGCGGCGCCGCGAGAACGCGCAGCGGGAACGCGAGGGTCGGGAGCGCGCGGCGCAGGAGGACGGCGAGGCCCCACCAGTGCGCATGTTGGTGCAGCAGGTGCGCGGGCGCCTGCGCGCGCGGAGGGACCAGTACGAGCGCATCATGCGGAACCGCCGCTCGCGCGAGGACGCCGCGGCCGCGGGCGGGCGCAGCAGGCCCGACGACGCCCCGCCGCCGGCTCCGGCGGCGGGGGGGTCTGCAGAAGACCCCCTGATGGCGGAACGGGCGCGGGCGGCATCGCGGATGCGGCGGCTGGCCCTCGGGTCCGACACGGAGGCCGTGAGCCACGCGGCGGCCGCGGCAGCAGCAGCCGCCTCGACAGCAGCGCGGGCCCTGGCGCGCGGGCGCACGCGGCTCCCCTCCCCGACGCCGTGCCCGCGCGTGCGCGACGCGTGCGGCATCGACGCCCCCGCCGCGGACGAGGACCACGGCGGCGAGCGCGTCCTGGCAGTGCACGGTCGGCGGCTCCGGCTGCATCGCGACACGGACCCCGGGGACGCAGGGCTCTCCCTGGACGAGGACATGCGGCTGCTGGAGCGGATATCGCTGGACCGGCGCCAGGAGCACATCATGAGCGAGGACCTCCAGACGGCGATTCGCATGGCAGAGGCAGAGCAGGCGACGGCGGCGACGAGCCCGAACAGCGCGGGCGTCGGGGGCGGCGAGGGCGGCGCCGCGGACGAGTTCGCGGCGTGGACGCGGTCGCGGCGGCGCGAGGCGCGCGACGCGGCGGGGGACCGCGACGAGGACCGGAGGGCGCGGGAGCGATAGGTGGCGGGGGGCGCGGCGCGTGGCGGGCGGGGACCCGGCGACGGACAGGGCGGGCCGGGCGCGGGCGCGGGCGCGGGCGGCCCAGGCCGCGTTGGCGCAGTTGTGGACGCAGTCAGTCATCGTGGCGAGGCAGTCCGACGGACAAGGCGCGGTGCGGCTGGGTGGGGAGACGTGTGGGCCTGGAGCGTGGGGTGTGACGCACTGTGTACGTGGCTCGCGGGTCGTGGTGCCGTGCTGGTGGTTGGCTGTCCGCGCGTGTCGTGGCTTCCAGTTAGGGCAAGGTGGGAGAGCAGAGTCGCTCAGGGCGCGTGCAGGCCGCTCGTACGGCTCGGTCGGACCGGTTCGGAGGAAGGGAGGATGTTGCACCTGGCCTCGAGGCTCGGGCGGCGCTTCACGGCTGGGCCAAGGCTGTGTGCGGTGGCCAGCACCTCACAGGCATCTTACTTCGCTTCTGGTGAGGCTCCCGGCACGTTTCGGTGACACGGTGCCACGAGATGGCCTCTATGAATGTTTTCTTTCGAAATCCGCTCCGATGCGCTTGACAAGCGGCTCCCCGACCGCGCACGGCGGACACCAGCAGACGGTTCCGTCCGGCTGAGGGCGTCGTCCTGAGTCAAACATCCGGCTCGCTCGGCGTCTCAGGCGGATCTTCTGATGATCACGACCGTTCGAGCGTCACTGTCGGGCTGATATAAGCGGTCTGGTGCACCGCCCGCGCCGTGCACCTCTTCAGAGTCCGTCCGTGCCCTTCAGGGGCGCTCGACGGCACCAAGCACTGGCATCGACCAGCGCCATGAATCCTTAGCTCTCAGGCGTACGCCCAGCTCCGCAACATCTTGGAGTTCGGCTTGGGGGCAACCTGCGGCGCCTGCCCTCACCAACTGCAGGGGTGGCAGCGGCGAACCCGGCGGATGATGAGACCGAGAAGCACGTCATGGTCTTCAACATTCCGTATCATTACGATACCGATCTCATCAAGGCACACATGGGCGAGGCGGGCACCGTTGAAGGCATCAAGGTGCCTTTCCCTAGGCACCATGCGCGAGGGCCTCCCGTGTCGTCCGCGCCCCCGCCGCCCCGCCCCTGGGAGCTCACCTCCGGCAGTCCAGTGGCGCTGTCCCTCGCAGATGAAGTCCGCCAGCTGCGCGGAGATCGCGTATGGCGACGCCCCCGCGGCCATCCGCGCCGTCGACCTTATGAACGGCACGGTGCTCGGCGGGCGCACGATCTTCGTCCGCCGGGACCTCCAGGGCCAGCGCAACAAGCTGATGCCCTCAGCGAAGAAGATCTTCGTCATGGGCATCCCGCCCGAATGGACCTGGAAGGAGGTCAAGTCCTTCTTCTCAGAGTGGTGCGCCGACCGCAGCCCCCGCCGACGCCGACGCCCGCAGCGCAGCGGAGCGCCGCGCCACGATGCCCCCGACGCCCTCCGACCGCCCGCGCCGCCCCCGTCCCCGCAGCGGCGACGTGGCCTTCGTCAAGACGTTCCGGGGGCAGGGGGGGTCTCCCGAGGACGGCCACAACGGCACGGCGTCGGTGGAGTTCGAGGACGAAAACGACGCGATGACCGCGGTGCGCACCTTCCACCGGCACCCCATCGGCGACGATCGCTTCCTGTCGGTGCGCCGGGACCGCAAGGCGGACCCCTCCCGGGGGCCACTGGTGGCCAACGCGGCGGGGCGGCAGGTGGTGTTCTTCGGGCTGCCGTACCGGTACAGCGAGGACGACGTCCGCCTGATCGTGGAGGGCGTCGCGCCGACGGAGGCCGTCCAGATCGTCAGAGACCACCACGGGAGCTCGCGCGGCTTCGCACGGGTGGCGTTCCAGGCGCGACCCCCCCCTGCCCGCCCTCCCCCTCCGTGTGCGTGGCCGGGACGTGTTGCGTGCGAGACGCAGCTGGAGCTGACGGGCGTGGGCGTGTGTTGTGCTGTCGCAGACGGAGGAGGGGGCGAGGCTGGCGATTGAGCGGTTGGACGGGGTGGTCAAGCACGGGCGCTTGTGGGCGGTCAAGTTCGACAAGTTCGCGGCGGGGGTGCCGCACCGGACCGTCGCGCACGGTGACAGCGCGGAGGGGGAGGACTTGGGCGGGGGGGAGTCGGGGGAGGAGGACAGCGCGGATACGAGGAGCTGACGTGGGCGAGGACAGCGACACGTGCGCTGTGATGCGGCATGTGCGAAGTGCGGCTTCGAGCCCGCACGAGATGGCATGTGCAACATGTTTGTTGCTGCGCAAGGAGGCTCCACGAGCACAGGGCTGCACCACGGCGCCGTCTGCAACTGTAGGATCATCACACGCCTATCACGCGCTTCGCGGCGCTACGCGGTGGCGACGGCGGGCGCGGGCGCGGCGGCCTGTTTGATGGTGACTGCCTTGAGGAACTTGAAGAGGCCCGAGGACCTGTCGATCAGGCGGCGCTTGACGAGCTCTTTCGCGATGACGTCCACATGGATGTGGTAGTCCGCGAGGTTCATCAAACACCACGCCGCGGCCTTCATTACCTCCTCCTTGGGCACGTGCGTTGCGCTCCCGCGCGTCTTGCGCGCCCCGCTGGCCTCGGCGGGGTCCGTGACGACGCCCGGGCCCTCCCCGAGCAGCTGCCGGCCAAGGGGCTCGATGAGCGCCGCGAGCGCCTGCAGGGCGCCCGCGCGGTGGATGGTGCGCTGCACTTCGAAGTTCTTGTGCCCGACGTTGACGAGGCCGCCGAGCGCCGCCATCTTCGCGCTGTTCGGCACGCCCTCGTGCGAGATGATCTCCACCAGCAGCCGCACCACGCCGTTCTGCGCCAGGTACGCCTGCATCGGCTCGTTGCTCTTGCAGAACTGCGCCCACGCCGACACCACCGCCTCCATCGCCTTCCGCGACGTCGGCCGCATGTTCAGCGTCAGCACCACGCGCTCGCTCAGCCCAGGCGGCGCCGCCGCAGCGCCCTCCTCCTCGCCCTCCTCCTCGCCCTCGCCCTCGTTCCCCTCCACGTCCTCGCCAGCCTCCGACTTGGCGCCCTCGCCCAGCCCGGCGGCCATCGACACCTCGCCGACGCTCTCCACGGCGAGCTCGGCCTCGGGGTAGAAGTTCGCGAGCGCGACCATGGCCTGCAGGAACTCGGCGTCCTCCAGGAAGCGCTGCTGGAACTTGGGGTGCTGGCACACAGTGCGCATCAGGTTGCACGCCGCGGCCTGCGGCTCCTCGTCGGGCACCGCGAGCCCGAGCAGCATCAGCTCCATCCCGCTGTGCGTCGCCGGGCGGTCCTCGCTCGCGGTCGTCGGCACGCCCCCCGGCCCCACCGCCAGCCCGTGCATCACCTCCTCCTGCAGCGCGTGGTTCTCGTACAGCAGGTTCTTCAACGCCCCCAGCGCCTCGCCGACGCACTGCACCCAGAACGGGTGCGCCGCAGGGTCGTTCCGGCGCGACTCCAGGTCCCCCGCCGGCGGAGCGGGCGTCGCCGCCGCCTCGCGCCGCGGCGGGGCGTCCTCCGCGTCGCCGGCGCCCTCGGCCCGCGACGTGGGCGCGCCCTTCCCGGGCGGGGCGCCCTTCCCGCCCTTGGCGTCCTTCTTCCCGTGCGCGGACCCGCCCGGGTCCTCGTCGTCCTCGTCCTCGTGCACGCTGGGCTCCGGCGTGGGGACGGGCTCCGCGTAGAAGTCGTGCGCGATGATCGCCATGAGGGGGCCGAGCGCACCCATGCTCGCGAGCTCCTCCTGCGTCGATCGGCTGCGGTACGCGAGCAGCCCGAGGATGCCGCAGGCGTACCGTTTCGAGCACCACGCCGCCACGGAGCCCTCCTTCTGCAGGAGAACCGCGATGAGCTGCGGGACGCACGCGAGAAGCTCTGTGTTGTCCTCGATCGCGCCGGCGGCGAGGCGCACGAGCCAGAGCATGGCCTCCCGCGCCGACGTGTCGCGGTCGTCCAGCGCGCCAAACACCTTGGGAATGATGCCCTTGGCGATGAGCTGCTGGAACAGGGCCTGGTTGCCGTGGCACATCAGCCCGAGCGACTTCGCGACCTGCCGGACCGTCGCGTTCGACGACTCCGCGTCCTCGAACAGCTCCATCAGCGTGCTGAGCCCGCCCTGGGACACCACCGACGTCTGCACGCTGGGGCCGCCCTGGCAGACCGACCCGAGGAGACCCGCGGCGCCGTGCTTGCCGTGGTCGCCGCCGTGCTTCACGACGTCGATCGCCGCCTTCACCGCCGGGCTGTTGACCACGCCGGAGAGCACGCGCGAGGCGTGCTCAGGGCCCTGCTTGTCGTACACCCCCGCGCGGCGCGCCGCGAGCTCGGTGTCGACGAGCTGCCACAGCGCCCAGAGCGCCGCGTCCTTGACGGGCCAGATCGCGCTCTCGGCGCCCATGTTGTGCGCGTCCACGTCGAACTTGAGCTTGCAGGAGATGTTGACGCGCCGCCGGCCAATCATGGCCGCGTACGTCACGCGCGACGAGAAGCGGTGCTCGAAGGGCAGGAACGACAGACAGAGGTCGAGCGTCGGCTGCAGCACGACCGCGGACGGGTCCAGCCCCGCGCCGCGCTCCACCATGGGCGACGTGGCCCCCGTCAGGTTGGCGACCATCACGGGGAGCGCGCCGGCCTCCACGATGCGCGCGAGGCGCGAGGGGGACTCCCGCGCGAGGTCCGAGAGGAGGCCCATGCACGCGATGCGCGCGCTCACGTTCCCGTGGCCCATGACCTGGACCACGATCTTGAGGTACCGCGGGTCCGTGAGCTGCTCCTTGATGGCCTCGGTGCACGTGAGCCGCCACAGCGCCCACGCCGCCGCGGCCTGCGCACGCCACGTGCCGTACACCAGCAGGTTGACCAGGAGCGGGATGGTGCCGGCCTTGGCCACCGCGCGGCGGTTGGGGTCGCTGGAGGCAATGTTGACCAGGCCCCACGCCGCGTCCTTGCGGCCGCCGTCCGTGCCGTTCTTCAGCAGCTCCATCAGGCCCTTGACGGTCACGATGACCTCGCGCTCCGCGACGGGCGGCGTCGTGTCCGGCACGAAGCTCGACTGCTGCTTGCCCTTCAGAAGAGAGCTGGCGCCGCGGCCGATGACCTTGACTAGGGGCTCGAAGGCCCCGCACGCGATGATCTCCTCCTTGCACGTCGGGTTCGCGGCGATGGACCAGAGCGCGATGCCCGCGGAGTCGCGGACCTGCACGGCGCGCGACAGCAGGTTCTTGACCAGGGCCGGGACACCCCCCGCCTTGGAGACCTCGAGCTGCGCCTCGGGCTGCGCGGACGCAATCTGCGTGATCGCGCGCGCGGCGATCTCCTGGATCTCGTGGTCGTCGTTCCCCAGCAGCGAGACCAGCGGCGGGCACGCGCCCGACGTGGCGGCCTTCTTCTTTGCCTGCGGCGTCTGGCACAGCACCGTCAGCGCCATCGCCGCGGTCGTGCGTGCCTTGGTGTCCTCGATCTGGATCACCCCCAGGACCGCGTCCAGCGCCCCGACCTGCACCAGGTGCTCCAGGGCCGCGTCGCTTCCCGCGCCGATGTTGTGCAGCGCCAGCGCCGCGGCCGTGCGACCCTCGGTCGACCCGTCCTTGCACAGGTCGATCAGCGGCCGCGTCGCGTTTCCGGGCAGCAGCGCGATCTCCTCGATGTTGAGCATGCACTGCGACAGCACGCCGAGCGCCAGCGCGGCCGCCGTGCGCGCCTGGTCCGGCCCCGTCACCAGCAGGTCCACCAGTGGCGCCAGCATCCCGAGCTCGAGTGCCTTGACCTGCAACCCGGGGTTCAGGTCGCACACGCTCTCCACCGCCGCTGCCGCCGCCTGTCGGCACCGCATCGGCTGCGAGGAATACCCCTCCCCCTGGGCCCCCTTCGCGCCCCCTTTGTCCCCCTTCCCGCCCTTGCCGCCCTTGCCCGCGTCCTTCGCCCCCTCCTCCAGCGCCGCCGCCATCATCGCCTCCCGCTCCTCCGCCGTCAACACCTTGCCGCCTAGCAGCCGGATCAGCGCCTCCAGGCCCCCCTTCTCGTCCACGTCCCGCTGATTCGGCAGGTACCCGCGCGCGAGGTTCGTCACCGCGATGGCCGCCGCGACCTTGGCCTCCTCGCTGCCATGGTGCATGAGGCCCAGGAGCGGCTTCACGGCGCCGATGACGGCGATCAGGATCTGCGTCGCCTTGCTGTTCGTCGCGAGGAAGCCGATCGCGCCCGCCGCGGCGGTCCGGCCGTCGTCGTGCGTCTTCGGGGAGTGCAGCATCGTCACCATGGGCTCGATGGCGCCGGCGTTGATGATGCGCCGCACGTTGTCCGTGGTGCCCGCGAGGTTCTTCAGTGCCGTCGCGGAGATCTCCTTGCCCTCCTCGCTCCCCGTCATCAGCATGTCCACCAGCGGCTCGATCGCGTCCGCCAGTGCGATCAGCCCCATGTTGTTCTTGTTGCCGTCCGCCAAGTCCCGCAGCGCCGCCGCCGCGACCTCCTGCGCGTGCAGCCGCACCTGCAGCGGGAGCTGCTCGCGGTCCGCGTCCACGCTCAGCAGCGACACGATGCCGAAGATCGACGCGCGCTCCGCCGCGATGGCGTCCTGTGCGACCTTGTTCCCGCACGCCAGGTGCCGCAGCGCGTCCGCGGCCTCGATGCGCGCCGACAGGTGGCCCGTCACGAGCACGTCGACGAGCGGCTGCACCACCCCGGCCTCCACAAGCGCGTTCTGGTTCGCCACGTGCTTCTTCGCTGCAAACGCGCCCACCGCTGCCGCCGCCGCCTCCTGCACGATCCACGTGCACCCGTCCTCGTCCGGGGCCCCCGCGGGGCGCCGGTCCTTCACGGGCGACAGCAGCGCCGGGTTGTTGGCCGCCGCCGGGCTCCGCAACACGCGCGAGAGCTCCTCGGGCACCGCCATGATGCTCTTCAGTGGCTCGATCGCGTTCAGGCCCGGGAGCATGTCCTGCACCGCCGGGTGGCGCGCGAGGCGCTGCAGCGCGAAGGCGGCCGCGGCGCGCGCCTCGTGCTGCCCCTCGGCGCTCTCGAAGATGTCGGGGCCGTCCTCGGGTCGGCAGCCCACAACGAGCCGCACGAGCTTCTCCGGGAAGCCGGCTCGGCCCAGGGTCTCCTGCATGTTCGGGTTGGTGTCGGCGAGGGCCACGACGGCCATGGCGGCGGCACGGCGGCGCTCCTCAGCCTGCTGCAGGCGCATGCGCAGCGCCTCGGCCTCCGCCTCGGCTGCAGGGACACGGAAAGCAATCTTCGTGAGTGCACCGGCCGAGGCATCAGGGCTCTCCTGCGGAGAGCCGGTGGGCACAGGCAGGAAGGGGGCGAGCGCACCGTCCGCGATGCGTCCGCCCGTCCGCGACGTCAGCCCCGTGCGCGTGCCCGGGCGGCTGCTCGCGGCGGCCACCACGGGCGCCGCGTCCTTGCCCTTCTTGTCCTTGTCCTTGCCCTTGCCGCCTGCCTCGGCCGACGCTGCCGCCTCCGCCTCGGTGGGCGGGAAGTCGAGGAACGTCAGGAGCTGGTCCATCGCCGGCTTGTCCTTCCCGGCCTCGTCCTGGTGCTGCTGAATGTCCGTGCTGACCATCTCGAGGGCGTTGGCGGCCACCATCTTCAATCGGTCGCTCTCCGCCTGCTTGATCAGGTCTGCAAGGAGGGGGGCCGGGCGCCGGCACTGCGGGTCCTGAGCACGCCTTGCACGTGCGGGGCGAGCAGCGTGCAGTGCGGTGCGGTGCCGTGCGCGCGAGCCGTGTTGTTGTTGCTCACCGAGGATGATGGGCATGCCGCCGTCCTTCCCGACGCGCGCGCGGCAGTTCTTCGAGATGGCGATCGCGGTGACGCACTTCGTGGCCGCGTGCCGCCCCTCCGCGCCCGTGCCCGCGCCGCCGACCACGGCCAGCAGCGGCGGGATGGCCCCGCACCCCATGGCCACCTGGCGGTTGCCGTCCGAGTACAGGCACAGGTCCTCCAGCGCGAGGCTCGCGAGCTCGCGCCCCTTGCTCGATCCGTCCTCGAGCAGGTTGACCAGCACCTGCACCACCGTGGGGTCCTTCGTCATGTCCTTGTCCGCGTTGGGGTCCATCACGAGGTTGCACAGCGCCTGCTCGGCGTCGGCCTTGCCCGCGGCGGGGATCTTGCTCTTCAGGAGCGCCACGAGCGGCATGATGGCGCCCGCCGCGATGATCGACGCGCGGATCCCCGCGTTGGTCGCCAGGTTCATGATGGCGCCCGCCGCCGCGATCCGCGAGTCGTCGGAGCCCTCCTTCAGCAGCGCGACGAGCGTCTTCACCGCGCCCGCCCCCGCGATGAGCTCCTGGTTGCGCTTGTTGTCCTGCGCGAGGGCCTGGAGCGCCAGCGCCGACACCAGCTTCGAGTAGTCGGCCTTGGCGTCGCGCAGCCACCCCGCCACCAGCGGAATCGCGCCCTGCTCCTCGTGCTGGAAGTCTGCGGTCGCGGGGCCGGAGACGCGGGCGAGTCGCGCACCGCGCGGGGGCGCGCGCCGACGGTGTGTGCGCGTACGTGCGCGAGCGGGGGTTGCGCCGCGGGGACGCGCCTGGGATGGCTTCGCGGCACGCGGCGCTTTGTGAGAGCACGCCGATCGCCTTCGTGACGGCGTCCTTGACCGGGGCGGAGCCGACCGCGAGCAGCTGGACCAGGGGCGGCACGGCTCCAGCCTCGAGCAGCATGTCTCGCTGCTCGTCGCCGAACGCGAGGGACTCGATCGAGCCGGCGGCGGCGATGACGGACGAGTCCTTGCCCGTACGGAGCAGCTCGACGAGGTCCAGGCTGCGCGGCACCACGGCGGGCCCGCGGCGCTCGCCCCCGCCATCCTCCGCATCTGCACAGCCGGGGGACCACGCGGTGGTCGGTGTGGTGGGCCGCGGGGGCGCACGCGGCACGCCCGCGGCGAACAGAACAGCGCCGCAAGCGCGCGCGGTGGTTCGAGGGATCTACGGGTCGGGGGGCCTCGGGAGGCCGCGAAGGTGCCGTGGGCAACATGGAGCACCCGCGCCGACGCCCTCGCGGTTCCGCGCAGGACCGAGCGCCCGCACGGCACGGCGTGCAGGGCGGAATGTAGGGAGGCCGCGGCGGAGCGTTGCGACGCAGCAGGGCGACCGCGGCGCGGCTGTGCGCGTGTCGCTGCCTCGCGCTGCAATGCAACATGCAGCGTGCGACGCACGCCGCGGATGACGCACTGGCGGGCTGTTCCCGGCCCCCTCGACAGACTTATCAACAAAGGATCCAGTGCGGCACAAGCGGGCATCTGGGACCCCCTCTGGCGCACACAGGCTGCTCCAAAGCTGCGCTGGAGGTGCAGTCACCATGCGCGAGAAATGCGACCTCACCGTCCCGTCCCTTCCCTGTCTTGACGCGCGTCGTCTTGGGCGCCATCGTGCCTAGCTACGCGCGTGCAAGACGGCGCGTGTGGGCCCCTCGGCGCGCTGTCTCGACCCTGTGCTGGGCACTGGCAGCAGCTCCTGCCCTGCACGCTCCAGCGCCTTGCCTCCCGCAGACGTGAGGTCAGCACGTATCTGCGTCGCTCGGGGCCTCAAACGCGCTCACTCACGCGGGTGTCCCCGCTCGCGCCAGGACCAGCTTCTGAGCAGGCCCGCGTGCAGCCCGGAGCTCTCAACAACCTGTCTCCTCCTCCCCTAGACAGCCAGGGGAGACACTGTCCGTCCTCGCCGGCCGCGGCGACCGATGCTCCGCGGCGCGAGGCGGCTGCCGCTGCGGGGTACTCTCGAGGTCTGTCGACAGCTGTTTTGCGCCTGACGCGCGCACAGCAGCGCGCCACGCCGCGTCCGTTGCTGCGGAACGCCATGCGGTCGCCGCACGTTGGTCTCTCGAGCGTCGGCGATGGCGCGGCTGCGCCTCAAGCATCGCTTTGAGCAGCCAAGAGTCAAGCGGAGCGTTTCAGAGCGCGTCCGTCCACTGCTCTGGATTCTCGTGGTCAGCCTGCTGTCATGGATCCTCATCAAGAAGTTCTCAGGTACAGAACGCGGCACCGGGCTGATCATGACGCGGATTTCGCGGCGTGAGGAATCTTCAGTTGCGCACCGTGCTGCCCGGCCCTGTACGCTGCAGGGCAAGAGGGCCGCGACGAAGCACGGAGACATGAGTACGAGGACTATCTCACGGCGCATTCCGGCGAGCTCGACGAGCTCCAACGCGTGCGAGACGAGCTCCAGGCAAGCCCCGCCCTGCGCCACGGGTCCTGCCCGTTCACCCGCGCAGAGGGCCCGCGAACGCGCGGGCACGGCGCCACGACCGCGCGCAGGATAGGCTGGCCGAGGTGGAAGACAAGATTCACGCCGTGAGCGGCGAGGGCAGGTTTCGGGAGGACATCCGCCACGACGTGGAGGACGCATGGATGCATGACGGGGAGGAGGACGACTGGGGCGGAGGCGCCAGGCCGGCCGCTCCGCACGTGTCGCGGGCTCCGGACGAGCAGCGGGCCGTCGGCGGCCAGTTCCGGACGGCAGGGCCTGCGGTGGCGAAAGTGGTTGCTGGTGCGGAGAAGCGCTTTGCCGAAGAGACGCCGCGCGCGGGCAAGGCCGGCGAGGACGCGCTGCCGGCGGGGAAGGGCGGCGCTGGGCGCGTGGGGCCGCGCGCCACGGCGCCGCCGGCGGAGCACCTGCTGGGAGGCAAACGGGGGCACCTCCCGCCGGCGGCCGGGGGCGTGAGCGGGAAGAAGAAGGCGCCGCGGATAGCGGAGAAGGCGAAGCAGCAGAAGGGTGGCGGGCAGGAGCGCGGCCGGAAGCACGGACCAGTGCCGCGCAAAGTGCCGCACTAGGTGCACGTCTGCAGACAGACAGACGCGGCCCTGCGCGTTCGTCACGAACGATAGCCAGCGGGAGTGAGCTGCGCGTCGGCGCCGTGCGTTGCACCGCGTCGCCTGCACGCCCTCGCATGCCCTGTGCATCACACAGCGCGGTGCTGTTGCGGCACCGCGCCGCCGCCCGTGCGGCCTACGGGAACATGGGCTGCTGCATGAGCCCCTCGCCCTCGTCGAGCCCGAGCACGAGGTTCATGTTCTGCACCGCCTGCCCCGAGGCGCCCTTGACCACGTTGTCGATGACCGACATGATGATCGCGCGGCCCGGGAGGCGGTCCTCGAACACCCCGATGTAGTTGTAGTTGCTCCCGCGCACGTACCGCGTGTGCGGGACCTGCCCCTTGTCCATCACCGTCACGAACCGCTCCGTCGCGTAGAAATCCTTGAGCTCCGCGCGCAGCCCATCCACCGTCTGGCCCTGCTCGAGCCCGACGTAGATCGTCGAGAGCATCCCGCGGTTCATCGGGATCAGGTGCGGCGTGAAGGAGATCCGCACGTCCTTCCCGCTCGCCTTGGAGAGCTCCTGCTCGATCTCGGGCATGTGGCGGTGGCTGCCGACGCCGTAGCCGTGCATCCCCTCGGAGACCTCGCAGAAGAGGATGCCGACCTTCGCGCTGCGGCCCGCGCCCGTCACGCCGGACTTGGAGTCGATGAAGATGTTGTTCGTGGAGATCATGCCCTTGCGCAGGAGCGGCACCAGCGGGAGCTGCACCGAGGTCGGGTAGCACCCGGGGTTCGCAACGAGGCGCGCGCCGCGCACCGCCTCGCGGTTGAGCTCCGTGAGACCGTACACGGCCTCCTTCTGCAGCTCGGGCGCGAGGTGCGCGCCGCCGTACCACGTGGCGTAGGTCTCCACGTCCGACAGGCGGAAGTCCGCGGAGAGGTCGACGATCTTGACGTGCTTCGGGATCGTCTTGACGATCTCCTGCGTCGTCGCGTGCGGGAGGCAGCAGAACGCGCCGTCGATCTGCGACCAGTCCACCTGCACGCACACACACGCAACAGAGGGGGCGGGGTCGGCCGGCGGGGGTGCTGGCGCGCCGCGGGGCACGCCCGGCGCGCGGGCAGGGCCGCGGGCAGCGACGGGGGGCGGACCTCGGCGTTCTTGATGAGGCGCGGGACGTCGGTGGCGTTCAGGAGGTGGGGGTAGATGTCAGCGAGGAGCTTGCCGGCGTTGCTCTCCGCGGTCATGGCGGTGATCTTCATCTGGGGGTGGCACGCGAGGAGGCGCGTGACGTCGGCGCCTGCGGGGGCGAGGGGCGGGCCGGCAGCGGTCGGGGCGCGCGTGGGCGGTGCAGCGCCTCGTGGTGACCTAGCGCACCGCGGGCCGGTCGAACGATGGCGCGGGCTTCGGACATCGTGTGCGACATGGAGACGTGCAACAGGCGTCGGATTGGGGAAGGACGTGGCGAATGGGCCACGCCACGGGGACGCAGCGCCGTGTTGGTTGGTGAGGCCAACCAGCTGGCGGCGCGGCGGTGCGTCTGCGGCCAGCGCGGGGCGCTCTGCCGATGCGGAAGCGGTGGCGGCGGGAGGTGCTGGTTGCCGCGTGCCGTTGGTGGAGTCGATAGGCCGCAGCCGCGGGGACACGGCGGCAGGGCGCCCAGCAAGGTCGAGTGCACCTGGTGCTGGATCCCGACATGCGTTTCAGGGCACAGGCGACGGCGGAACGCATTGCCCCTACGCGAGAAAAAAGCTGAAAACAGAGGAAACCACCCGCACTTCATGCCAAGCCCAACGCACGGCCCGGTCGGAGCGCAGTTGCGGTTCGCCCTCAGGACGCGATTCCACCGCCCCCAGCGAGGCTCACGCTACGACGACGCCAGGGCGGGATACCCATCCGAGGCTATGCCCGTCGAGCCGCACGGGGCGGCGGCAGGCGCATGCAATTGCCCGCGGTTCGGTGCGGCACCTACCGGTGTATCCGGACGCGCCCAACACGCAGATCTTCGCGGGGTTCTCGGACGTGAAGGCCGCCGCGGCGACGCTCCGGCGAGTCTGGAGCGGCCGGCGGGGCGCACGGGCCGACGTGCGCAGCGCAGGCCGCGCGAACGCGCAGGGCATCGTAACCGCCGCCATCTCGCGCACCAGATGTCGGAGACACGCAGCGGGACCGACGAACAGGAACTAGCCCGACACCGCCGCGCCCCGAGGCCATGCCTGCGCGCACGTCGCGGCAGCCACGCGGCCTGACGCAGGGCGTGACACCCTCTGCGGCTCCGTCTGACGCAGCTGTGCACGTGGGCGTGGGGCGCGAGCGACGTCACACGCGGGCGCTGCTCACGCGTCCCCCGCGTCCTTGATCACGGGGCTCGTGCACTTGAGCGGCTCGCTGATCGTCCCCTGCGGAATGTCCACCAGCGGCCCGTTGGTGTCCTCGCTCAGGGAGATCACGCTCGTGCGCTCCCCGGGCTGGAACGGGTCGCTCGCGGCGTCCCCGGGGGCCGCCGGGGCGCCCTCCTGCCCCGGCGCGGCCGCTGCGTCGCCGTTCCCGGGCGGCACGTCCAGGCTGAACCCAAACGTCTTCTGTGCCTCCTCCATCGCCACGCGCGTGCCCTGCGTCGGGGTGGCGCGCAGACGGGGGCTCGGCGGTCGCGTGCGTGCGCGTGAGGGCCCGCCATGGGGCCGCCAGGTGCGGGGCGTGTAAGGGGGGGTGTTGTACCTCGTCGTCGGTGGCGTACAGGATCTTCTCGATGACGTTGACGAGGGGCATGTCCTTGGACTCGAGGTACTGGCACAGGATCTCGATCTCGCGGAGCTTCCCGAAGTAGAAGTCCCGCTCCTTCTCCGCCTGTTCTACCGTCATCTTCAACTCCCCCAGCTGCCGCGTCAGCTCTTCCGTCTCCGGACCCGCAGCTGCACGAACCGCGCCACCGCCGCCGGCCAGTCAGCACCCCGCCCACCTCCACAGCCTACCGCGGCGAGCGAGCAAGCAAGCGACCGCCCGAGCGGCCAGGCGCGCCGGCGTCGCGCGCACCTGCAGCGGGCGCCTTCTTGGCGGGAGTCGTCGCCTTCGTGGCCCGCGGGGGCGTGTTCGCTGCCGCGGGCGCCCCGCTGGGACGGTCCGCGCGCACCGAGTTGGCCTTGCGCACCGCCGCGGGCCCCGTGTTGGAGGGGGTGCGCGCGGGCGGGTTCTTGGCCGCGCGCACGGAGCTGGCCTTCCCGAGCCGCGCGTTCGCGGGGTTCTTTGCCCGCCGCGCGTCGGGGTTGTAGTTCTCGAGCGTCTCGCTCTGGGCCTCCTGCACCGCAGCGGGGGCGTCGCGCGAGGTGGGAGGGGGGTGTTGGGACGCGAAGAAGGGGGTGTGCGCCGCGCCGGCGGCCGTGCGAGGGCGCACCGCGTCGAACCAGGCCTTGAGCCACTGCATGAACTCGGTGTTGTCCAGCGGCCGGCCCTTGATCAGCCTGCACGATCACCGCACACAGGCACTCGGGGTTTCTCGATCGCCAGCGGCACGCCGGCCGTGTCTGACAGCTGCGCCGCCGCCCGGCCAGGGGCGATCGGTGCGTCGCGCACGGGCGCGCGGGCGGGCCGTGGGGCGCGCACTTGTTGACCTCTATGTGCTTGTCCAGCCCAAGCTTGTCAAACGCCTTCTGCAGCTCCTTGTAGTTGTTGATGTACTCGTACTCGGACTTGGCCGTGAAGTTCACCTGCGGGGCAACGGACGCGGGGCGCGCGCGGTCCCGGCGGCCCCGTGCGCAGCCCGGACGCAGGACCGTTGGTGCGCGGCGCGGGTGTTGGCGGGGGCGCGCGCGCGACGCCGCGGCACGCGGAACGCGCCCGCGCACCGCCGCGCTGTGGAGCATTGCGAGTGGACGACGCGCGCGCGGCGCGGCGCGGGCGCGCGGGGCGTCCGCGGGCGGCAACGGCGCGGGGCGCGGGGTGGGTGCGGTGCGCACCTTGTCCATCCGGACAGCGCCTGGTTTGACGGCGTCGACCATCTGGCAGGCCACGGCGCCGGAGCAGGTCTCCTCAATCTTCGAGAGGCTCAGGTTGAGCGTGCTGTTGATCCACCCGAGGAGCTCCCCGCGCCCCACGAAGTAGGCCTGCGCTCGCACGCCCACTGGAGGGGGAAGCCGTCGCACCGCCGCGAACGGGGCCAACAACATGAGGAAAGCGCTGGAACGGGGCCCCGACGCACTGTTCCGTCGAGGCGGGGCGATGGGCGGGGCGCGCGGGGGCCTGAGCGCCCGGGAGCGCGTCCAGAGTGTGGAGGGAGCTCGTGCACCAGCGCGGGCGTATCTGGGCAGGTCAGGGGCTGACCAAGCCCCGCGGCGATCCCTGCGCGTACAGCATGAGTGCGAGGGCGCGCGCGTACATTGTCCATCATGCCAATCCGCGCCATCTTGCCGCTCGTCACTCAAACAGAACGCGCAGCGCCGATGTGACCCTCCTGGCCAGTTGGGCGTCGATTCCGCAGTAACCACGACCTGTCTCGCCGGTCGCTGCAACCTCTTGATGCGTGCTCGCCCGGCGCCGGTTCCGAAACGATCGCACGGCCAGCCACGGGCGAGCAATGGCGCGAGTCCAGCTGCCAGCTCAGGGGCGGGTGCTCCCGGGGGGGTCGCCTGACGTACACGCGTCACCGCGCGCCACGGCCACCGCCGCGCCCCGCGCCCACTTCCTCGAGCCGCTGCGTCGCGACGCCACTCGGTCGTTCCGGTGCCCGGCCTCGACGCACGCAAGGCACTTGTTCCAGTAGCTTGTGTGCCGTCTCGCGCGCGACACGCGTCCTCCTAGTCGCGCGCTCTCAGAGAGATGACATGTGTCGTTGAGGGGCATCACGCGAAAGCGCATGCCGCCACCTCACGGGTCCGGCATTTGCCCCGGGCGCCTCTCCGACCCAGGCGCTGCGTGCCCCCACCCGCGCAACTCCTCGCCCCCGCCCGCGGGTTCGTGGGAGAGAGCGCGCAGGCACCAGTGGCGGGCGAGTTCCACTGCCACGACTTCGACCATGAGGACCTCCGCGACGCCGCCTCTGCCCGACTCGCGGAGCAAGCACGCGAAAGGTACCTGAGCTCTCCCGCCACGCGACACCGCCCGCGAGGGAACGGCGACCCCGCCGACAGCCTACCTCCCGACCGCACCTCCGCGCACCCCGCAGCGCCGTCGAACGCCGCAGCGACCCGTCCCCGCCCGCCACGGCCCGCAAACGCCGCACCCGCCCGCCCGCCGCCCTGCAGGGACCGCGCCCTCCGCGAGGCCACCGCCGTGGCGCCCCCGCAGCCCGACGCCGCGTGGGAGGCGTTCCACACCACGCAGAACGCCGGCGCGCGCTTTTACAAGGAGAAGCGGTACATCCCGCTGGCGTTCCCGGCGCTGCGGTGCGGCGCGCAGCCGCTGCACGTCCTCGAGGTCGGCTGCGGCTGCGGGTCCACGATCCTCCCGCTCCTCCAGGCCAACGCCGGCATGACTGCTACGGCGGTCGACCTCAGTCCCGCCGCGGTCGCCGCCACCGCGCGCGTCGCGGACGGCCTCGGGGTCGACCCCGGTCGCCTCACCGCGCTCGCCGCGGACGTCTCGGACGGGGCGTGCGCTGGGCGCGCGCGCCTCCTGGACGCGGGCGCGGGGGCGCACGACGCGGCCCTGATGGTGTTCACGCTCAGCGCGGTGCCGCCGGCGCAGATGCCGGACGCCGTGGACGCCGTGGCGGCGTGCGTGCGGCCGGGCGGGCTCGTGATGGTGCGGGACTACGGCCTGTGGGACATGGCGCAGCTCAGGTTCCACGGCCGGCAGCTGCGCGACGACGGCGCGTACGTCAGGCAGGAAGGCACGCTGGCGACGTTCTTCTCCGTCGAGCAGCTCGGGGGCCTGCTGCGGGCCGCGGGGCTGGAGGAGCGGGAGCTGGAGTACCACTGCGTGGAGAGCCGGAACCGGCGGCGGGGCACGACCCTACGGCGGGTGTTTGTGCACGCCGTCTTCCAGCGCCCCGAGCTGTGAACGCGAGCGCGCGCGCCGACCCCGGCGCCGATCAGCAGTGTTGATTCCGGTCCGTCGGTCCCGCGTACGTCTCATGTTCGTGTCGGCGGAGATCGAGCGAGGGGGGCATGGGCCAGGCATCCCACTGCAGGGCCGTGGTGCCGCGTGCCGCGGGAAAAACGGCCGCGCGATCACGCTGTGCTCGCGCCTCACGGGCCGAACACCGCGCCATCGCGGGCGTGCAGGCGGGGTCGGCCTCCCCCCGGGTCGGGCCTCGGTAACCGCCTGCGGAAAAGTTCCCCAGGAAGCCCCCAGAGCGCGTGGGGGCGGATACGGGCGTGGGGCGGCGCAGCTGGGCGGCAGATACTGCACGGGGTCGCATCTCGCCAGCAGCATCTCGGGAAACGCTCGTGCGCGCCCGTACCGCGCAGGAAGAATCAGCCGCAAGCAGCGGTGGTGAAGTTCGCGCGAAGCTGACGCGTGGTCTGCTCGCGCGCGCGCGCAGTCGATCAGCCATGCACCGGCTGTGCACCTCGGAGGCGGCGACGCGTCACGGCGTCGCCTTGGCGCAGCCGCGCAGGCTTGCACGCCTCAACCGGTCACCGTGGGGATGCCCGCACGGCGGCGCCCACAGGGCAGTTCTGGTCGCTCGCGGCGTGCCAGACGGCTCGAGCGAAGACCCGCGGACTTCGGCCAACGGCGCGGCCGGCGCGGCCCACGCCACGACGCCTGCGGCCAATGGAGCGCGTAATGCGAAAAGCACCCGCCTCGCGGTGTCCAGGGACGGCAACGGCGCCGCGGGTGGCGCCCAGCTTGCGCGCAAAAGCGATGCAAGCGCGGACAGGGCGGCTATCCGCGCTCTGCAGGCCGAGCTCAGCGCAGCTACCTCGTCGCTCGTCGAGACGTCCGCAGCCCTCGAGGCCACGCAGGAGGCGCTCAGGTGAGCCGCTCCCCGCGCCACAATCGTCGCAGGGACGCGCTTTTGCGCGGGAAAGCACCTCGGCACCCCCTGTGCGGGCTGCAGCGCCCCCCGCCCTCCCGCGAGTCTCCGCCCGTGCGGCACCTCGGCCTCGGCCCGCCGCGCCGGGGCCCGCCGGCTGCGCTCGGGGGGCACAGATACATACGACGCGGGGCGTGGGGCCCCGTGGCGCGGACGGCGTCGGCGCGCGCGCCACGTCCCGCGTTCCTATTTGCCATGGGCGGGGGCAGCCCCTGAGCGCGCCTTCCGGCGCGGTACATGACGAGGTTCTCGCCCCGGGACGTCCTCCCAGATCTCGGCTGCCCGAAACTTCGGTAACACGCGCGCCCCCGCGCCGCGCCCCGCCCCGCGCGCAGGTCCCAGGTCATGCCCTACGTGAAGGCGAAAGAGGCCGAAATGTCCGCGGCCCTGGCCAAGATCGATCAGCAGGACGAGGCCATCGCCGTTCTGAAGAAGGTACCCGCGCCCGCCCCCGCTCCGAGCCCGCCCCCGGCCCCTGCAGCCTTGCTGCCCTCGCGCGCGGCATCCTGTCAACGATCCGCGCCCCCGGCGCCGCGGCGCGCGGATCCCGACCCCCGCGCGCCCCAACGTGCACCCCTGCAGGACCTCTCCATGGCCCAGACGGACGTGGAGGAGTCGAACGCCCTCATGGGCCGCGCCCTCGACGCCCTCACCCACCTCTCGCAGGAGAAGGCCCAGCTCCGCGAGAGGCTCGCGACGTCCACCTCGCAGCTCGCCGACGCCCAGTCGCAGATCGCGCGCTTCGGGGAGGCCATGGCGCTCCTGAACCAGGGCCTCTCGACCGCGAGCGCCGCCTCTGACTGGGCGGACTCGGGGGAGACGCTCGAGGAGATCACCACGCGGGTCTCGGAGCTGCTCGCGTCCGTGGACGAGGAGCTCGACCGCGACTGGTCCGTGAGCGCGGAGGAGCCCGCCGACGGGAAGGCCGAGGCTGCGCTGGGGACGCTCCAGCAGCTGATGAGCTCCGTGGTCAACGGCGCGGACGCGGACGCGGACGGCGGCGCGAAGCAGGCGAACGGGAAGGCGCGGACCACGCGGGACGGCGCGCCGGGGTCGCTGTGGGGCGACGGGCCGGGCCCGGGGCCGGCGGTGCAGCAGGAGGCCGCAGCGGCCGAGGCGGAGATTGGGGCGGACGACGAGCGGGTCGCGGTGCCGGTGGGGAAGAGCAAGGCCGGCGTCGCGGTGCCGGCGCGCGGGATGCGGACCGGCGCGGGCTCGGCGAACGCGGTCGAGGCGCTGGGGTTCATGGCCCAGGAGCTGGTCAAGGACGCCAAGCTCGACCGGCAGCTGTCCGGTGCGTGCCAGGGCCCCGTGCGTGCGCGTGTGCGTGTGCGTGTGCGTGTGCGTGTGCCTGTGCATGTGCGTGTGCGTGTGCGTGTGCGTGGCTAAGGGTGGTGTGTGTGTGTGTGTGTGTGTGCGCGTGCAGACTGGCGGCGGAGGCTGATGGGGAGGACGCGGGAGTAGAGAGTGACGTCCACTTGTGCATTACGCCTGCTCTCGTGAATCGAGAAGCAGCAAGACGACACGGAAGCATCCCACCAAGTCACAGCCTGGTCCCGGCGACCCTGCCCGTTCCATTGAACGCGCGTTCCCGCCGCCGAGGACTCCCCCCCCGGAGCGACGCTGCTGTGACGCCGCCCCGCAACACCCCCCCCCTAGGGCTCAAAGTTGTCCATCACGCGACTGCCAGCGCGCCCACGCCGCCGCTGCCGCCCCGCTGCGGGCCGGCCGACGTCCTCCAGGTTCTCCGACACCAGACCGTCGTCACCGGCGCCGAGGCGCCGCCACCTGCGCCGCGGGGACGCGTCTGCAGCCGCGGCCATCTCCGCAGCGCCCGCCCCCTGTGGCGCACGAGGTTGCTCCCTCTGCGCCGGGGCACGCGCGGACGCTTGCGGCGCTTTCGCTTTCGCTGGCGCTGGCGCTGTCGGCTCGCTTTGCACCACGGGCGCGCCGGCGAGCTCGCTCTCGGCCCGAAGTCGGTCGCGCCGGTCGGCCAGTGACGCTACTGCGCCAGCAGTCACCCACGGGTCGGGCGGCGGCTTGAACGCCCGCGCCGGCTCCGCGCGACCCGTCAGCTGCTCCTCGACGGGCGGGAGCTCGGTGCTGGTCGCAAATTGCCCCCCACCGGCCGAGTCGACGGCTTCTGGCAGCTCCTCCGCTCGCGTCCACAGCACCCCGCCCTCCGTCGCGGCCGCCTCCGCCGACGCGCCCCCGTCCTCGGCGCGCGTCCACAACACGCCACTTGGCTGTGCGGGCCCCTCAGACCAAGCCGCCTCGTCGTACGACACACGCTCCAACCCCAACGGCGGTGGGGGGGTCCCCCCCGCGCCCCACGCGACGTCCGCGCCGTCCCGCACACCACCTTCGACCGCGCCGCTGCGTGCCACGCCCGTGCCGATCCTGCGCAGCGCGTCCCCCGCGGCCTGCACGAGGCTGGCGAGCGCCACCACGCCCGCGGCCACCACCAGCCCCGGCGACACGCGCGCCGCCGTCACCACGACCCGACCGAGCCGCGGATCGCTCGCGTCCTCCGCGAAAGCCGTCGCGCCGCGAACAAGTCCCACGTACGCGTTCTTCACCGTTTCCAACGGCCCAGCCCCTGCCGGCTCTTTGGCCGCTCGCTGCGCCGCGGCCGCCTCGGCTGCGCCGTCGGCCGCGCCCCCTGCGGAGAAAGCCCCGGACTTGTACTGCCGGAGCATGTCGTCCGCACCGAGGGACCGCAGCATGTCCTCCACCGGGTCGCTCCCAGTGTCCCGCGCAGCATCCCCGTCGCCCGCGTCCTCGCCGCCAGCGCCAGCGCGCGCCTCGAAGGCCCCACTGTCTCCAGCCTCATCTTCCTCGCCGGCGTCGCCCGCGACGCTCCGGACAGGAGGGTCACCGCGGACGTCGCTGCCGTCTGTCCCGGAACCAGCCACGTCGCTGCGCTCGCGATACCGCTTCACGGCGTCCTTCACCGCGCGCTGGCCCGTCTCCTCCTGCGCGTCCACGCCCTTCGCGGGGTCCGCCGCAGCGGGCACAGAGTTCGGCTGCGCGGCGTCCGTGGGGGTGCGCAGCCTCTCCTGCAGCTGCGCCGCCCAGCCCGCCAGGCCGCCGGCTCTCTCACTCGAGGCTTCCTGCTGCGTCCCCGCCGGCGCTGGCCGATCGCCCGCGCGAACGCCCGGTTCCGGCGCGCTGGGCGGCGCACTGAAGCGCGGTTCAGTCGGCGCAGCGCTCGCCGCCCGGCGGCTGGGCTCGAGGGCCAGCCGCAGCGCCGTGGACGCGCCGCGCTCGGACCGCTGCGCCCGCGCGGGGGCGGCGCGCGCAGACGCGAGGACCTCGTCGAGCAAGTCGAGGAGTTCCTGCTCAGATAGGGAATCCAGTTCCTCGGCAAGTTCTCTCTCCAGCATTGCCTGCACCGGCGCGCAGGGCGGCGGCGACAGCGTGATCGACGCAGAGAGCGGATGCAACGCGGCTGGCGGCCGCGCGAGAGACGCCGCCATCAGCGTCGGGAGTTGTTGTTCACGCGAGGCCTCGGCTGCGCGACGCGGGCGCTGGCAGCGAGCGAGAACGGGCCCGGAAGCGTCTATTCAGTGGTCGTGTCCCGCACCCTCACTCGCGCCCTGACGACCGCGGCTGCATCTGGCGCCGCGCCGACCGCGGAGGCACGCGCGGCTGTGCACCCGACCCCGGCCGTCGAAATCGCGCACACGAGCGCCGCGGTCACCACGCCGCGGGACAGCAGGGACAACAGAGTGCGCGCAGTGCCTGAGTCGCGCCGTACAGCGCGCGTGGACACCGTGCGGCCAGCCCTCGGTCCAACAGCTTGCGGCCCACCACGCTGCCGCCCCCGCCGGCCGGCATCCTGCGCCGCGCGCGAGCATCTGCCGAATGTGGACCGCATGCGCTCCACGAAGTGCGCGCCAGAGGCTGGTGTCGCGCGCAGACGTCGCCGGGGCCGCTCCTGCTGGAGGTGTGCTGCCACGTCGGGCGGTCGCGAGGGCCGCGCACCGCGGCCGGGGCGGGGAACGAGGGCGTGCGGCGGACGGCGGTGGGTGCAGACTTAACGTTTGAGCAGAATACTCCCAGGTCTGACGTGTCCGTTCGATCAGGCTTGAGCATCTACACGCCGCGCACACATAGCCCGCCTGGTGCTGTCAGGGAAGACACCTTCCTTCCCTGAGAGGCCGTCTACGTGGTCGAGACTGACTCGCTCCTGCCGTTGCGTCGCCTCCTTGGGCTGTGCGGCGCCCCCGCTGCGCAGGGCCGGCGATCCAGGCCTAGCATCCCAGGCAGGTGCTGCGGCTCTCACCTGCACCCATGAGCTCGCACCTGGGCATCAGCGCCATCAACGGCGCGGCAGGGGTCCGCACAATCCAGCAGGTGCGCGCCACGTCACCACCGCAGCGCTTGAGCGGAGTGCTCAAGGCAGCTCGCCCTGCGCCTTTCGCGCCCTCCCAGCAACGCCTCCGTCTCTCGGCACTGCATCGACGCACCCTCCCCGCGAGCAGCAGCGCGGCCGCGGTGTCAGCCCCGCCGCCGAGCCCTGGTAGCAACGTCCCGCGGGCCTGTGTGCCTGTTGGGTCGCGTCGGCTGCTGCGCCGCGGCGGGCCCGCGCGCAGCGGGGCTCCGAGGCAGCGCCGCGTGGCTGCTGCCGGTCCCTTCCCGAGCGCGAGTCCGTCCTGGGCGTTCCGCCGCAGGCGCCGCAGGCGCAGCCCCAAGTTGACGAGAGCAACCAGCCGGAGCACGTCGTTCTGCGGCTGCGGCGGCGAGGAGTGACGTGGGCAGGCAGCGTAGTCGACAACGAAGGGCAGGGCAGGAAGAGCTCGAAGAGTGAGTGCCCCGAGCCTCGGTCGCGCAACAGGGCTCAGCGCACACTGGCCTGCACGCCTGCGCGTCGCCCCGGGTCCTGTTTGGTCGCACACGCACGCACATCCAGCTCTCGACGGAGATGCGCTTCCGGCCCGCTCCTGCCCGGGCGCGGCGCTCGCCCCGGGCGTCCCTCACAGCCTGCATTGTGCGAGCGGCGTCCGCAGAATGCTGCATCTACCACAAGCCCCGCGAGTTCGGGGAGTGGAGCGACCATGAGGACTCGGACTGCGAGGGCCACGATCACGGCGGCTGCGCACACCGGCACGGCGGGTGAGCCCCTCCCCCCAACCCTCCTCGTGCGAAGCCGCGCCCGCCGCGACGTCCGCCCGGCCCCACGACCCTCCCTCTCCGCCACGAGTCACTCCCGCAGCGGCGACATGGAGACGGACCCACAGGGCGGCGGCGGCGGCCGCAGGGGTGGGCTGCGGCGTCCACGGCAGGACGACCCGTCGGAGGGCGGCGGGCCCACGAAAGCGCCGCGGAACGATTCGTAGGGCGTGCGGTGTGACGGACGTGCTGCAGGTGCCCGGGGTGCCCGCGTCGAGGGTGCGCGTGCGCGTGTGGTTGCCGGACAGGTGGCACTTGGGGGTGTCGTCGCAGCGCCGCCGTCGCGGAGCCGCCCGCGCCGCCGAGGGGCCGCTGGGCCGCACGTGTTGCACATTCCACAAGCCGGCCGTTCGCAACGTGCGAGGTCTTCGAACTCGACGCCCGAGCGCCCATTTCTCGTGCGCTAGCTACCTCTCGTTCCGGCAGCGACCCTGCCGCGCTCAGAGCAGCCTGGACCCGTTGCAGCAGTTCATTGGAGCTGCGAGGTTCGATCGAGCGTGGTTTCACGTATTGCGAAGCAGCCGATTCGCGCCTGTTGGTCCCGTTCCCCTCTGCACCCTACGCCACGGTGGCACGCCAGTATGCGTCCGCACAGCTCGCTTCCCGCCGTACTGGCAGTCGTACGAGCCTAATCAGGAATCGTCCTCCTCTACGCCGGCATCGCACGAGGGCGCGCGGCCTGTCGACGACACACGGAACAACAGCAAATAGTCCATTAAATGAGGCCGGTCACCGTGCGCACGGGCAAGGTCGCCTGGAAGATGACCTCTCGCTGGGTCGCTCTATACATGTTCTTGGCAGTTCTGGCGGCGACGCCGCAGACAGGTGCGCGTCCCCGCCGCGGAAGGAGCAAGAATCTCTGCCTTGCACCTAGCTGTCCACCAGACCGCTCCGCCGCGGGCGGTCCAGCCTGTCCGCCCCGCACGACTGCCAGCACGCACTCGCATCGATCTCCGGAACGCGCCGCGCCGCTGAATCCGCTGTGGCATGCAGGGGCCGCTCAGACCGCGGGCCTGGATGCAGCGGACGCATCGCGCAGCTGGGTCGACGTGACAGCGAGCAGCTGGGCCGAGGTGAGGTCCGCGGCCAGCACCTCGTCCCTCAGCAACCCAGTGCGGATCACGCTGACTCAGGACATCACCGCGGAGTGCGCCCCCGTGACCACGGGTGGAGCAAATGGGGTTGCCGCACCCCTGTGGATCCGAGGTGCGCTCGTCCGACTGCACGTCGCCGCTCGCTGGGTCGTTGCGCACCTCCCTTTGCGCAGACACGGTGACCCCGTCCGCGCGGCGCACGGCTGTTTGCAGGCAACTGCGACGCGGCCACGTCCCCGCTGCGCTCTGACGCGGCACGCAGCCTCGAGGCGGCGACGGGCCGGCACCCCTGCCGGCTGTGGGCCAACAACGTCGCCGACCCGCCCCAGGTGCGGCCGACGCCACCGCTGAAGCGAAGCGCGTGATCACAGCACTTGCGAACCGCGTGCTGTGGCTGCTGGCCGCCCACTTCACGGCTCGCACGTGTTCGCAGAGGCACGGCGTCGAGGACTGCGCACCGTACAACGTGCTTCCTGGAGGCACGCTCGTCCTGGAGGGAGTCGAGCTCGTCGGCTGCACGAGCAGGAACGCGGAGGGGTGCGGCGAGGTTGCGCAGGGAGGCAGCATCATTGTCGGGCAGGTGGCGCTGGCGTTCAACTACGCGCGCGGCGTCGGCTCGGCCTTCGGCGTGCGTGGCACCGCCCAGGTCGAGGACTCGTACGGCAGCGACAACGTCTCCGGCAGTCGCGGGCCCGGCGGCGACGTGCACATCTGGGCCGAGGGGACGCTCGTGAACCAGCGCGCCACGGCCGACGTCGAAGTGACCTACGAAGTGGAGCCGGCCACGTCCCCGCCACCGGCAGCGCCCGCAACGCCCGCGCCTGGGCCGTCGGACGCGAGCGCGGAGGGATCGCCGTCGCAGCAAGACACAGACAGGCAGCAGGGGCAGCAGGCCGGCGGCGCGGGGGGGCCGGGGGGCGACGCGGCGCTCGAGCAGGGCGAGATCGCGTCTGAGGGCAGCGGCGCCGCGGTGTCGCCGCTGGGCATCGGAGGCATTGTGGGCGGCTGCGTGGGGCTGTTCGCGCTCGTGGTGGTGGCCGTGGTGGGCGTGCGGTACGCGGCGGCTCGGCGCGCGCGCGTGGCGGTGATCGAGAACCAGGAGGTCTGGTTCGGGCGGCGCAAGGGCATCTTCGGGACGGGCAACTGGGAGAAGGCGGCCGCAATTGAGCTGCAGCTGCGGGACAAGGCGAAGGAGGTGGCCGGGGACATCTCGCGGTACAACACCGCCAAGGACTCTCAGTGGGCCGCGGTGAACGAGTTCCTGAAGGACCTGAAGCAGAAGCGCGACGGCGGGCGCCGGAAGCGGCCAAGCTTCTTTCAACGGTTGTCGGGGCGGCTGTCACGCAGGACAAGCGCGGCGGCGCTGTCTCGCGGACAGAGCCTCGCGGCTGCCGCCGCAGAGGCGCAGGCGGGCATGAAGGCCCGGCCGACAGCCACAGGGCCGTACCAGCCCGCACGCCGCGTGGGCTCCGGAGAGGAACCCCCCCCGTTCGTCCTCAACGGCGCCCAGGCGCAAGCCGACCGCATTCTCCGGTCCCTCCCAGACAGCCGCGTGGCTCGCGCTGCGCTGGCTCCCGTCATCACGCCAGAGAGGCTGACCCCCCCCACCAAGCCCGAGCCCGCGGCGCCCGCGACGGGTCGGGGCCCTGAGCCGCAGCGCGGTCCGCGGCCGAGCGTCGACCGCACCTCGCCGTTCGTGTCCCCGGCTGCGAGCAAGCGGGAGGTCGACGCGCTCCCCCCCACGCGCTCGATTCACTTTGGCCCAACGCCCAGCCTGGGGCGCGTCCCCGGTGCCGCGCGGACGGGCGGCGGTCCGGTCGCGAGCCCCGCCGGCGTGGCGACGCGGCACTCGCGCGCCGGCGAGCGGCAGCGGGGCAGGCGCGCGCGGCGGCACCCGCAGGCGGAAGCCGTGGTGCGCAGCACCTTGCGCACGCAGAAGAGCGCCGGGAAGGGCCTCGCGCGGGGCAAGTCCGGCACCGTGTCGGTACACGACGGTGCGGGTGCGGAGCTGCGTTCTGCGCTGTCCAGGGCCCAGCAGCAGCAGCCACCTGCTCGCCAAGCAGAGAGTGCGAACTCGGACCTGTCTGGTGCGGTCTCGCCGGTCGCGTAGAATCGTGGGTCATGAAGACGGCGAGGTCGCGCCGGCTGCGGCCAGGCGTGACGAGCGGTAAAACAAGGAGCAAATCCGAAGAACGAAAACAAAGATGACAGGGACCAGCGTTGCTCTGAGGAGTCCCAGGAACTCCTCCGACTGTGCGAACATCGAAAATCGAAAAGCGAAGGACGCGCCCGCGGAGCCGCGCAGAGCGGCCCTGAAGGACGCGGCCCCCCCTTGATGGGCCAAACGCACCACCACCCACTGCGGAAAGTGACGCACGTGATTCCGCTCAGCGGCCAGCCACGGCCGGGACAGGCTATCTCACGCGCTGAATTGTGAGCCCTCCCATGCTCTCTGTCAGCCACGAAGCGGGCCCACCTGCCACTCGCGGACTGCACTTGAGGCTCGACTGCATTAACAGGGCGACTCGCGCGACACGAATCGACCCGCCCCTCCGCCAGCGTTATAACATCGCCGTCCTCGGCGCACGGCGCACGGCGCCGCCCCCGCCCCCGTCCGTCACGCGATGAGGTTGTAGATGTACGCCGCCAGCCCCAGCAGCACACACACGAGGATCACGTCGATGCAGAAGTTCCGCGAGCTCCGCACGCTCCCCAGCACCTCCTTCAGCCGCCGGTTGTTGTTCTTGAGCGTCGAGTGCGCCTCGTCCACCCGCTCGTCCAGCGCGTCCAAGATGGGGTTGCCGCGCGCCAGGGCGTCCTCCTGCGCCTTCGCGACCTCCTTCAGCTCGTCCACGCCGCGCCCGATGCGCTCCAGGTGCTTGTCCTGCCGGTTCTTCGACGCGTGCCACTCCGCGCGGAACTCCATCGCCTCGGGCGTCGCCTCGTAGTACGCCGCGTCGTACTCCTGCGCCCCCTCCATGTTGATCGTCACGTCGCCGTGCTTCCGCCCCTTGCCGAACGGCTGGCCCGGCGCGCCCTGCTGCGGCCGGACCGGCCGGAGCGGCGTCGCTGCGCAACAAGAGCGGCGGGGTGCATGAGATGAGATGCGGCGCAGGGGGATGGTGCGGGGGCGGGGCGGCGGGAGGGGCCGGAGCCGCGGCGACGCGGAGGCGGGTGGCTCACGTCCTGCGTTGGTGCCGTCGGCGATGTTGCCGATCTCCTGCACGAGCTGCGAGATTTGCACGGTGCGCTGCTGCACCATTTGCGGGGTGATGCCGCGGCCCTTCTTGAGGAGCTTCTGGAGGCGCGGGACCTCGATCGTCGTCAGGTTGTTCTTCGCGCGCCGCAGCTCCGCGTACCCCGTGGCCTTGGCCGCCTGGTTCTGCTCCGCCGAAACCTCCACCGCACGCTGCACTCCACGAGGCGGGCGCGCGCGGACCGGCGTGGGCAGAGGCGGCGACGCGGCGCCCCCCCGCGACGCCACGGGTCCACGCGAGCCGCGCGTGCATCCACGCGGGGGCGAGCGGCGGCAGGGAGCGCGCGGCAGCCCGGGCTGTGCAGGCAACGAAGAGAAACGGTCTGGGCGACTGCGGGCGGCGCCACGTGGCCGCAGGCCCCCGCGCGGGACAGGAGGGGGGCGTGAGGCGCAGGCGACGCTGGGGCGCGTCGAATGCGGCGCGGCAGCCGCGGCTGGCTCGTGCGCGCCTCAGCGCAAGCGTGGCGCAACGAGGGCGCTCTCCCACACAGCGCGCAGGTCGGAGGTCCCCGGGAAGCGCGGGACAGCGTGGGACAACGCATGTGCAAGAAGAAACGGCCGTCGGGCATCGAAATTCGGGGTCCAGGCGGGCGTGCGCGGCACGCGTGCTCCTCGAGGGGAGGGCGGGTGTCCGGGCGCACGCGGCAGCACAGGCGCTCGTGCCGCGCAGGGCAGCGTGGAAGGAGCGTCGTGGTGGGCGCGTGCCTGGTTGAGGTGGTCGATTTGCGTCCGGATCATGTGCAGTTCGCTCATGAAGGGATCGTCGCTGTTCAGAAGGCGCTCCTTCGTGTGGTCCACGTCATATTTCGAGTACTTCCCAATCAACTGCTTCGACCGCAGACTGATGGTCGACAGGTTGACCGCCATCGTGCCCGCGTTCGCGCCTCTACCGTGCGGAACCGGCCGCTCTAGTGCTCAGTGCTTGAGCAGGCCCGCTCACGCGCTGGGGCTGCCGAGCGGGCGTCCAGCCCCTCACGGACAGGCTCGGCGGGCAAGGCGTTCCTCCCAGCTCCCGGGAAACTGCTGCCCCCGGCTTCCAGGCCCACGCGGCGCCCCAACGTGCGGAAAAGCGACCCTAGCTGTCTTCGACGAACCTCGGGGCAAATGTCGCGCGGCTCGCAACGTCTGCGCTTGCGGTTCGTGGTCTGGCGCGGCGGCGTGCGGCGCGCGGTCAAAGCGCGCCACGCCCTCGCACGGCGGAGGTCCCGGCTGACGTGTGATGAGCGCGTGCATCTTCTGGCAGACTGGTGCCTCCGACTCCCGCCCCCAATCCCGGCGCCCTTTGCGCTCGGGCCGCGGCACTAGGCGTCAGTGACGGTCTGTGCCGGTTGAGGAGCAAGTTGACCGCTGGTGACCCATCGCCGAAGGTTGGAAGCAGAGGCGAGTGGCTTTTTGGGATCGCCGCGGCGCCGGGAGACGCGCGCCGGCCGCTGGCTGCGCAGGTGATGGCTGGACAGCGCTGTTGATGGTTGCACCGCTTGGCATTTGAGCACGCGAGCGCCGGCGTGATGCTGAAGAGGAGGGCTGCTACGCGCCGCAAGGACGCCCTGGGCGGCGCGTCCATCTCCAGCTGGACCGACATCACGAAGGCCGTCTCGTCGCCGAACATGATCGAGCGGAGGTTCAGCAACGGGGACACGTACATCGGAGACTGGTCAGACGGCCAGGTGCGCGCCACGTTCGCCCCTGGCACTTCCGCAGCCGCGCGGCACCTCGCGCGCCCGCGAACACCTGAATCGCCCGCCGCCGCGTGCCGGCTCGCGCACGGGCCACAATACGCGCGCCGCGCATCGGCTGCTGCCGCACCGCGCGTCCTACGCGCCGAACGTGCTCAGCCCGGTGCCTTGGCAAGGGGCGCGCGCTGCACGTGGGACTCCGCGCCCGCGGGGGCCTCGGTGCCGCGATGTTGACGTCTGCGCCCTCCGTGCCTCGCCTGGCCGCTTTCCCTCGCGGGAAACGGGCGACGCGCGAGCCAGGGCCCCACATTGTCTCGCGCCCTGCCCTGCCAACACACCGCGCCCAGAGCACTCGCCTGCGCGGTTCCGCCGCCGCGGCACGTTTCACCGGGCAGTGTGCCGTCGCTGGACGCTCGGCTCGCCGCTCCACGCCCCGGGAGCCGGCTCGGGCCCACGGCCAGTACCTCGACCATCCTTTTTCTTCGCGCCCCGCTGCGCCGCGCAGCCGCATGGATCCGGAACGTACTCCTGGAAGGACGGAGCGAAGTACGTGGGCGACTGGCATGAGGGGGAGAAGCACGGAGAGGGCGAATACATCTGGCCGAGCGGCGCTCGATACAAGGGGGACTGGTGGCACGGATGCATGCACGGCGTGGGGACCTACACCACTCCAGGCGCGCCGCCCGCCCCCCGCGACCCCGCGCGCGTCCGCCGAGCGCTGGCCCGCGCCGGGCGGCAGCCGTCGACCCTGGCCCCACCCTCTGCGGCACCATGCTGACGTGCGTTCGTGCGGCGCAGGCGGCGGCGTGTACGAGGGCAGCTGGGCGCTGGACCTCAAGCACGGGCTCGGGAAGAAGGTGTTTGAGAACGGCGACGTGTACAGCGGGCTGTGGCGCGAGGGGCAGCCGCACGGCCCCGGCACGTACAAGTGGGCGTCTGGGAACGAGTACGCGGGGGACTGGGCGGGCGGGCAGATGAACGGGTACGGGACGTACGTGTGGAGCACGGGGGAGAAGTACGACGGGGAGTGGCTGGACGGCAAGGAGCACGGGGAGGGGGTGTTTACACGCCCCGACGGGTCGCAGTTCGAGGGGCTGTGGTTCTACGGGCAGAAGCACGGGATCGGGATCTACCGCCCGCCGCCGGAGCACCGCTTCGAGAAGGTGCGCCCGCGCCCGCGCCGCGGGGCCGGCGTGCTGCTGCGCGGCAGGAGTCCCGCTTACAAGTGGTCGTCGCGCCCGGTGCTTGCAGGACCCGCAGGAGCGCGCGGAGGGGATCGAGGGCGTGGGGCGAGTGACGCGCGTGGCGCGGGCGTCGCGGGCGTCGCGGGCGTCCTCCGAGGACGAGGTGTCACAGGCCCACGGGAGCCCCGTCAGCCCGTCACGCCGGCGACGGAAGTCGGTGCACCACACCGTGGCGCCCACGCCGAAAGGCCGCGAACGTACGCCCGTCCCCGTCGCACCGCGTCGTGCAGCGCTGGGTCGTCTTCGTGCCCCTGCAACACCATTGCCTGCTTGCCTCGTCGCGACCACCATCGGTTCCCGCGGTGGGTCGTTGCTTGCAGTGTCGCCGAGTGCGGAGCTAGCGGAGCGATCCGCGAGCGACGCCGTGCCGTCCGCGGTGCGCGACCCGCCAGACGTGGACCTGACGACGGACGGGGGCGCGGCGCTGCGGCGCGGGCTCCACCGCACGACGCAGGCGGGCGGCCCCACGCTCGCGGGCGGTCGCGTCGTGGTGCGGCAGTACAACATGGGCACGTTGCTGCACGAGCGGCAGATGCCCGCGCGGTCGGTGCCCAAGGTGGTCAAGATCCGCCGCAAGCACCGCCGGCAGGTGGCGCGGCAGAACGCGGGCGACGTGCCAACGCAGGGCATTCAGATCTACAAGGGCCACTCGTCGTGGTCGCTGATGTGCTCGCTGAAGGTCGGCGTGCTGTACAGCGTGGGCGGCAACGTGCAGCAGCGCTTCGTGCCGCGCCTGGAGCCGCGGCACTTCACGGAGAAGACCAAGGTGCTGTTCCCGAAGCGCGGGTCCCAGGTGACGCCGCCGCACTCGGGCCAGGACTTCAAGTGGAAGGACTACGCCCCCGCGGTGTTCCAGAAGCTGCGCGAGTGCTTCGACATCAACCCCTCGGACTACCTGGTGTCGCTGTGCGGCGCCGAGGCGCTCCGCGAGCTCCGCACGCCCGGCAAGTCCGGCTCGGTGTTCTTCCTCTCGTCCGACCTGCGCTACTTCGTCAAGACGGTGTCGGCGGTGGAGTACAGCCTGCTGATGGAGATGCTCCCGCAGTACACGGAGCACGTGCGGCACTACCCGAACACGCTCATCTGCAAGTTCTTCGGCCTGCACTCGGTCAAGCCGGACGGCGGGAAGAAGGTGCGCTTTGTGGTCATGGGCAACCTGTTCAACACCGACCTCAAGATCCACACGCGGTACGACCTCAAGGGCTCCACGCACGGACGCTTCACGAAGAACCCCACCGCGACGTCCACCCTCAAAGATCTCGACCTCACCGAGTCCTACGTCCTCGAACCACGATGGTGCGCAACCCTGATGCTGCGAGCGGAGCGACGCGCACGCCCGGCGCTGAGCGATGGCGCGCAGTGACGCACGCGTGCCCGCGTCGACTGCGCCGCGCCTCTCCCGCCCCCGCGCGAGCGCCCCGTGCGCCCCCGCGTTGTGCAGGCAAGAGCGGCTGCTGCACCAGCTGGAGCGGGACACGGAGTTCCTCGCGCGCATGAACATCATGGACTACTCTCTCCTCCTCGGCGTCCACTCCGACGGCCCCCACTCCGGCGGCCCCCTGACGCTCAACCGCGTGTCCCCGCAAGGGTCGCTGCCCTCGGGCGTGGACCGCGGCACGAGCACGCGCGTGCCGTCCATGACCGCCGCCTCCGTGGTGACCGGTGCCGGGGCAGAGAGGGACATGCCGCGCACCACCGCCGGCACGTTCGAGCCACCCACGCCCGCGGGAAACCGGGAGGTCATGCAGTCGTGGACGCGGCCGCGGCGCGACCCGTCGCTGGTGACGCGGCATGGGCAGCCGAGCGAGAGCGACGTGCTGAGCCCCACGACGCCCACGCGCGGCCCCGCGGGGCGGGCGTCGTTGGAGTTCTCTCACACCAAGACTATGGCTGCGCAGGCCCAGGAGCTCCCGCTGTGGCCGGGGGACCCCATGCACTGGTCGCTCGCGGACGCGACGAACGAGGAGGACCTGGCGCGGCTGCTCGACGACATCGGGTTCCACCGGTGGCGGAAGAAGAAGGGTCTGTGGAACAAAATGCGGCGCAACTACCAGGTGCAGCGGCTGCCGCAGGGTGCGACGGCCGTGCCCGCGCAGGCGAACGGCCCCGTCTCGGGGAAGGTCGGGGACCGCGCGACGCGGACGGGCGGCGAGGACACGCGGCACAGCGCGCTCCAGGGCACGACGGCGGCGCGGCAGTCGATGCTGGACTCGCGGTCGAAGAAGATGCTGATGCCCGCGGCGCAGCAGGACGCGCCCGCGGTGCGGCCGAACGGCCCGCGGAACGAGTACGCGGACGGGGACGTGTTTTTGCCGCGCGGGGAGATGCTGGCCACGGACATGCTCAACTTGGACCTGGGGTACACGTCGGTGCGGCTCGGGAACAACATGACGGCGGTCGCGGTGGACGCCAAGGGCGCGGTGCTCGGGCCCGTCGTGCTGTACATGGGGTGCGCGCCCACACACACGTCTGCTGCGCCGCAGGTCGCGTCCTGCGCTGCCGCCATCCTCACGGCCTCGCTCCCTCTCTCCCGCACCCGTGCAGCGTGATCGACATTCTCCAGACGTACAGGACGCGGAAGAAGCTCGAGCACCTGTTCAAGAGCATGGTGTCGGACGGGAACAAGATCAGCGTCATCCACCCGCGGAAGTACGCCAAGCGCTTCATGGAGTCGATGCGCAAGACCTTCCCTGTGTCCATCCCGGGCGTGCAGGCCCCCCTCATGCCGATGGACACCCTCCTCACGCAGGGGTCCATCGCGCTGCACTCGCGCTTCACAGCGGCCGCCGCGTCGCCAGGCGCCAACGGCGCGCCAGTGGGCTTCCAGACCGTCGCGGGGACGGTTCAGAAGGACGCGCGCGAGTCCTCTGGGGCCTCGCACTTGCAGGACCTCGACGAGTCGCAGGACGAGACGCAGACCCCGCAAAAGCCGGAGACGCAGCGGGGGCGCCGCAGCCCCGCGCTCGCGATAGAGCTGCCGGGGGGCGGCGCCGGGAACAAGCAGGCCCTGCGCGCGGTGTAGACATGCGCGAAACACACACTGCAGCGACGCTACACTCGGGCTGTGAGGCCTCCTGTTGATTTGCGGCGATTCCCACTTGTCATGGCGCACACATACCGCCGCTATCCTCCCCCTCGGCCACCCCTGTTCTTGGCCAGCGAGGCCCATGGTCAGCGCTGTTGTTTCCTGTCGTGCATCACCCTCAGCAACGCCTCGTGCGCGACGGTGATTACACGCCATGCGCTTCGCAGAGCGTCCGCCGCCTAGCCCGCGTCGCCGCCGTCCGTGCTCGCCCCCGCGTCGAGGCCCAGCAGCTCGCGTTCCAGCTCCCGCAAGCGCCCCACCTCGGTGCCGCCCCTGCGCCCCAACCCCATCTCCTCCAGCTCCCGGGACCAGTCATCCGGCCCGCTCGTGTCCAGCGCAATGCCGCTCTCCTCGGCGCCTGACGCGTCCCCGCCGGGCTCGCGCTCGCTCTCGAGACTCGACTGTGTGGGGGGGTCATCCAGCGCTGACACGTTGTCGTCCGAGTCCGACCCAGGCGCGTCCGCGCCCGTCGCTCGCACCTCGCGCTGCAGCCTCTCCGCCGCACGCCGCACTCGCCCGCTGCTCGGCGTGCCCGGGGGCGACCCAGCGCGCCCTCCACCTGCCATCGCATCCCCTGCGGCAGCCGTCGCGGCCCGCGACGTCGCCAGATCCGCCAGCCGCGCGCGCTCGCGCGCCAGCGCCACCTCCAGCCGCTCGATGTCAGCCGTGAGCGCGCCCCGCATCTCCGCCGCCCGCTTCGTCGCCTCCGTCCGCAGCGCCTCAGCAGCCCTCTTCTCCGCCTCCAGCCGCGCGTACGCCTCCTCGAGCTCACCGCGCCGGCCCTCAGCCGCCGCCAGCTCAGCCCGCAGCTCCGTGATCCGCTCCCGGGCGGCAGCGGCGCGGTCGTCTGCCGCGGCAGCAGCGCGCCGTGCGTCGCGCACTCCCTCCTCCGCCGCCGCGAGCTCGCGCTCCAGCTGCGCCGCGCGCGCCGTCTGCCGCCGCACCTCGGCCTCCGCGGGCGCACCGCTCGCCGCGGCCCTCGCCCGCGCCTCGATCGCCTCCGCACGCGCCTGCGCCGCTGTCGCGCGCAGCGCGTCCGCCTCCGCGGCCAGCTCGCGCGCGCGCTGCTGCTCAGCGGCGAGCTCGGCCTCCGCGGCGCTGATTTGCGACTGCAGCCGCCGCGTGCCTGCGCGCCACGCCTCGCGCGCCGCGCCGAACTCCCTGTCGTGGTGCGCTTGCATTTCGTCGCGCACGCTCTGCACGACGCCCGGGAGGGCCTCGAGCGACGCACGCGCCTCCTCGCACGCCTGCTCCGCGTGCGACAGCCGCAGGGTGAGGTCCGAGCAGCGCTGCGTGGACAGCGCCTCGGCGGCGCGCGCTGCCTCCGTGTCTGCCTGCAGCGCCTCCGCGGCCCGCCGCCAGTGGTCGGCCTGCGCCTGGAGGTGCGCGAGCTGCCCGAGAGCCTCGGCCGCGGCCGCGTTGAGCTCGCCGACGCCGTTGTACGCCGCCGCGAGGCGCCTGCGCAGCTTCTCGGCGCGCCGCGTCGCCGCCTCCGCCGCCGCACGCAGCCGCGCCGCCTCCGCGCGCTCGTCCGCGAGCTTCTGCCGCAGGATGCGCGCGGCCTTGATGGCCTCCCCTCCGGACTGCACCGCGCGCTCGTGCATCTTCTTCGACCGCTCGGCGTCCTTCTCCAGGGCGCGCGCCTTCTCACGGGTGCCGCGCTGCTCCCCGACGGCGTTGATGAGCCGCTCCTTGATCTGCTGGGCCTGCGAGCGCAGGTGGGGGCGCGGCACGCCGGGCGATGTGACGCGGCGTTCGGGTGCTGCGGGACGGCGCGAGGAGGGGGGATGTGTGGGGTGGCGCACCTCAGCTGCGGTGGCGACCGCGCGAGCGGTGAGCTGCGCACCAGCCTCGACGGCGTCGCTTTCGATGACGTGGCAGCCTGGCACGGATCCGCTGGAGCCGATGCCGCCAGCGACGAGGATCCTGCGGCCCACAAGCGCGGCCGCATGCGCTGCGCGGGGCTGCGGGCACTCCGACGGCGGCGCCTCCACATCCAGCGGCCGCCACATGCCGTGCCGCGTGTCGAACGCCCACACGTCGTTCAGGTAGCTCTGACCGTCGTACCCGCCGTACAGCAGCACGTGCCGCCCGACCAGGACCAGCGCATGCTGCCGGCGCGGGGGGGGCGACGGTCCACGCGGGTCGACGCGGGACCACTGCCACGACTCGGTGTCGAGGACGTGCATGTCCGAGAGGTGCTCGCGGCCGTTGAAGCCGCCGTGCAGGAACACCCGCCCGTTCCCCGCTGCCATGGCGTGCCCGCGTCGGTGCGGGGGGGGGTCCCCGCGGATGTCGGGCCGCCACCACCGCCGGTGCGCGGGCGTGTACACGGCCGTGTCGTTGAGGTGGCCGTGCACGCCGTCCGGGCCGTGCACGGCGCCCCCGCGGCTGCAGTACCCCCCGAACATCACCGCCACGCCCGACCTGACGTCAAAACACACCCCGTGGCCCGCCCGCCCGGCAATGCCCTGCATCGGGACCTCCTCCCACGTTGCAGTCGGCTCGCTCGCACCGTCCGCGTGCTCCGCGATGTGCAGCAGGAAGCTGTCGTTCCGTTCCCGCGTCCCGTCAAAGCCGCCCACGACCAGCACGGTGTCGGCCCCGACAGCGCACGACGCGTGGTCCCGCCGGGCGACAGGTGCCTCGCCGTGGACCGCGGCGCGCCGCCAGACCCACTCCCCCCCCGGCGCGTCGGCGTCCAGCGCGCCCCCGGCCAGCGTCAGGTCCACGGAGGCGCGCACGGGGCCGTCCGCGGGCCCCACAGCCGGTGCGGCGCCCGAGTCGACCGTCGTGACCTCGACGGTCGCCACGGGCTGCCAGCGCAGCAGCCACACGTCCGTCAGCCACGTCTGCTGCGTCATGCCGCCAAACAGGACCGCGTGCCCCATGGCCCGACGCCGCCACTCCCTGACGACGGTGCACCCGCCGCTGACCGACTCGGAGCGCAGCGCTGGCGCCGCGGCCGCGCCGTCGCCCTCGGTGCCGGGCTTGAGCGGCAGCCACGCGCACGTGAGCCTCTCGCGTGCCGTGGGCTCCTCGCCCTCCGCGCGCAACCGCCGCCAGCGCAGCGACGTGCCCAGCAGCGACGCCGAGGGCGCCAGCGCTGCGCCAAGCACCGCCGTCGCCTCCGCCTCCGCGGCGCGCGTCGTCGCCGCCTGCGACGCGCTCCGCGCTGCGTCGCGCTCCGCCTCCGTCTGCGCCAGCCGCGACGCGAGCGACGACGCCTCCTGCGCCGCCGTCGCCGTTGCCGCGTCGCTCGCCAGCAGCCGCCACGCCCCCAGACACCGCGCCCGCACGCGTCTGTCGCGCGCGGCCACGGCGGCGCGCCCCAGCTGCTGCAGCCGCGCATTCGCACGCGCCTCATCGCGCCAGCGCTCGACGCACGCGCGCAGCGTCCGCAGCCGTCGCGCCTCGAGGTGCCTCGCGAGCGACGCCTCGTTCGCCCGCGCGCGCGCCGCGCAGTCCGCCCACGCGCCGAGCACGCACGCCGCGCGCTCGTGCTGCTTCCGGCGCACGTGGCGGGCCGCGGCCGTCCGCAGCGCCCGCTCGTGCGCGGTCCACGCGCTCCACGCGCCCAGAGCCGCGCGCGCGACCTCCGCGGCCCCCTCGGCGCACCGCCGCACACACACCCCCCGCACCACCTCCCGCCGCGCCGCAGACGTCCCCGCAGCGTCCCGCCAGCCCCGCAGCAACCTCTGCAGCCGCTCACGTCGCCACGTGTCGCGCAGGTAGCTCTCCCGCGCGCGCAGGTCCCTGCGCGCCGCCGCGTGGTCCCTCCACGCACACAGCGCCCGCCGCCGCACGTTGCGGGCCAGCTGCTGCCGCGCCGCAGCGCACACGGCCTCTTCGTCCCTCCGCAGCGGCGCGTGCGTCTCCGCGGCCAGCTCACGCCACTCCCCGAACACCGCCTGAAGGGTCCGCGCGCGGTGCCGCGCCGCCGCGGCCGCCCCCATCGCCCGCAGGTGGCGCGCACACGCCGTCGACTCCGCCCACGCCCGCAGCGCGCCCGCGCGCGCCGCTCCTCCGCCGCCGCGCGGAACTTCGCGACCCGCCGCCGCGTCGCCGCCTTCGCGCGCGCGCGGTCCCGCCACGCGACGAACGCGGCCCCCACCACCGCGCTCTCCCACGCGTCCTCCTCGGCGCTGCGCTGGATGCTCTCGAGACGCTGGATGCGCTGCCGGGCCGCCCACCGCTGCCACGCGACAAAGCACTCCGCCGTCGCCGCGGCCGCAGCCCTCCGACGCTGCGCGGGACACGGCGGGAGCGCAAAGCCGGTAACGGCAGGCACAAGGCAGCGACACAGTGCGCGCCCGCGAGCGCGTGACGCGGGGCCCGCACCTGCTGGGCCAGGAGGAGGTTGCCCTGCCGCCGCAGCCGCTCCTCGTGCATGCGCGTCGCGATCGCGTCCTCGGCGTGCTCCGCGAGCGCATCGAACGCCCGCCGCAAGCGCTGCCGCCTCCCCCACCGCGCCGCCTGCGCCTCTCTGCGGTCCTCCGCCAGCTGCGCCCTGCACGAACCGGCCGCGCAGACGCCCTGGCGTCAGCCTAGACCGAGGTCGGCGCGACCGCAGGCGGTCATCAGCGCGCGGGGGGTCTCACCGGACGTCATAGTCCAGCTGAAGTCGCAACATTTCGCCCTGTAGCTGGTGCTCCCTGCGGTCCGCGACGGCGCGCGCCTCCTCGAGCTCCTTGCTCGCCGCCGCGCGCTCGGCCTCCCGCGCCCGCTGCGCCGCTAGGCGCGTCGTCTCCTCCTGTTGCAGCACCTGCACGGCCGCACGACGAAGGCACGGCGCGTGAGTGATCCGGGAGCGAGCCGCAGGGTCCGCTATGGACCCCGGCCGTGAACACGCTGCTCGGTGCGGCGCGCGCGACGTCGCTCGCCGCGCGAGAGCGCCCGAAGCATCTCGTCAGTTGCACGCGTGCCGAAACCAGGCCCTCGGCGCGGCCTCGGCGGCGCGTCGCATCATTTTCGCGCTCACGCGTGAGATACACGTGCGCAGCGGACCTGTACGCGGAGTTCCGCGGCCTCCTTCGCTGCGGCGTCGCGCTCTTCTTGCAAGCGCAGGACCGCGCGGTTCTTCTGCATCTCCCACGTTCCGCCGTGCCCGTACGTCGCAGTCGCGTCCGGCTCGCGCGTGAGCGTCACCGCGCCCGCGGGGCCGCGCCGCAGCGCCGGCGGCAGCACGGGACCTTCGCGCGGCACCTCAATCATCACCACCTCCGGCGCGTACCCGCGCGGGCGCTCGTGCCCGTGCGGCGGCGCCTGCGCCTGCGCTTCGTGCGACACCGCCATCGCGCCAGCTCGTCCGTGCGATCCACGCGCGGAACACTGCGCTGCGTACCCACCACCCGCGGCGCCCGCAGCGCCCCGACGCACACCTGCGAGCGCAGTCCGAGCGGGACGTGCTGCCTGTTGGATACCTGAGGTCGCGGCGGGGCGGCGGACCGCCGTGCGCGTCCCCGCACCCCGCAAAACCGGCGCTCGGGCTCCGTGCTGTGTTTTGGAACCGGGGTGGCGGGAGGTGCGAGGGCCCGCTCGACGCGGCTACGGGACGCGGCGGCGCGCCGGGCAGGCCAGCGGGGCGGCGGTTCGGCCGCCCGAGCGGGCGCGCGGGCCGCGGACCTGCGGCCTGAGCGTTCGTGGCAACAGCGCAGTGGGCCTCCGCGCAGCTCTCTGTGGCGTCCGAGCGCAGCCGTGGGCGCGTGCCCGGCCGAGCTTGACCGAGGCTGCCCCGGGGAAGGCGCCGCACTGCCGCGGGCAGGCGCGGGGGCGCGCAGATCTCGCGACGGCCCCCTGGCTCCTGCAGGTGGAGGTAGAAGTGGGGCAGTTGGAGCTCGTGGGTCCGCGCGGGGGGGGCACGACGGCGCGGCGGGGCGCGCGGGGGACGCATCGTTTCGACTGGCCGCATTTGGCGCTGTCAAGGTCACGTAGGAAGCATGTCTGACGCCGAGAAGGATCAGGTTGCCCAGGAGCAGCCCGCTGAGGAGGTGCGCTGGCGGCCCGCGCGCCCCGCCCGCCCCCGCCGCGCCTCCCATCTCCAGGCAGCTCGCGCGGGCCCCCAGCGCCGGCGACGTCGCGTGTCCGCGTCCCGGGCGCCCTGGTGTAACGACTGCGCTTCACGGGATCCTGCCTCGCCGGTGCGCCGCGCAGGAGACGCCCGCCGCCATCGAGGCGAAGGAAGAGGAGCCGGCCACCGCGGGCAAGAGGAGCCGCGAGGAGGAGCAGGAGGAGGACGACGAGCCCGCAACGAAGAAGCCAGCCGTCGCTGCCGACGAAAAGGTGAGCCTGCCGCCGCACCGCCCGCGCCCGCGCGCCAGGGCGCACCCTCAGCTCACCAGCGCGCACCTGCGCCGCCCCCAAGCCCCAGGCAGAGCAGGCCCGCCCGGGCGCCCCGGCCCTTTGCCTGCACGGCCCTCCACCGCGCTCCCGTGGCCGTTTCCGGGCCCGAGCGACGATTATACACGCCGCGCCGGATCCTCCACCTCGGCCGCGACCCCCTCGCGCGCCGCCGGGCCCGCACACCCCCCGGACCCCCGCCCCGCGCTCCCGCCCGGAGCCCGCGTGCTGGCCACGCCCTCCCTCCCGGACCGCCGCGGCGCCGCCCTGAGCGAGGTATAAACTCGCTCCGCCCGGGCGCACGCGTGTCGGACACGCCGTCCGCGGCGCCGCGCACGCTCAGCCGGGCCCCCCTCCCCACGGGGGGTCCTGGAGTGCGCTGGGCGGGGCGGGGCGGGGCGGGGCGCGGGCGGGCCTAGGGGCGGCGCGCGGGCGCGTCGCGCGCAAAGACGGGACCCGCGGACACGCTTCATCGCCGACATACCCTACTTTGCATGTTAGCCTAGATTCTTTGCTGCCCTAGAGGAGCAGCGGGTGGAGAACTGACGCCATGGCGGGGAGAGATTCATCCCCTCCTGCGCCTGCGCCGCAGGATGCGAGCCCTTCGGCCGTTGACGACGCCCGGGCGCGGGCGATGGCGATCGCGGCCGCGTACCAGGCGCCGCAGGGTGGCGCTGGGGGCGACGCTGGTCCTGCCGAGCAACCCGACGCGGACGCGGCTGCCGGCGCTGCCGGGGCGAACGAGAAGGTTATTTACGTCTCGTCCAGTATGATCGGCAAGGTCATCGGCAAGGGCGGCGAGAACCTGCGGCGCGCCCAGGCGATGTCAGGTGCGCGCTCCGAGACGCTCCCGCGCGCCCGCAACGCGCCGCGAGCCGTGTATGCGGCGTCCTCTACGTCGGCTCGACTGAATTCGACGCTGCCGACCCTGAAATAGGGCGTTTCAGCGCCCGGATACGACGCGAACACGCCAGGCCCGCAGAAAGTTCCTCGCGCGCGCGTCCGAGCGCCAGGGCTTCCACGCCGCGCCCTCCCGCGAGCCCGATGTCGTGACTCCCTCGAATCCGGACGCGTGCCCTGGCGCGTGACCCGCTCCCCCCCTGGGCCTGAGACGTCCAGGTGTCGAGGGCTGAGCTGCGCACAGGGCCCAGATGACTGACGATTTTCCCTCGTCCGTGGTGCTCGCAGGAACTCGGATCGACGTTGATCATGAGGACACCGAGGGAGCCCAGCGTCGCGTCACCATCAAGGGCGCCACAGCCGAGGCCGTGGCGAAGGCCGAGGAAATCATTCACGACTATTCCCGCGAGGGCACGGGCGAAGGCGATCTAGAGGAATTCATGCCCTGTCCCAAGGTGCGTCGCGGCGAACCGCGCAGCCCCCCCCAGGCTGCGCCCCGGCCAGCGACCCTATCGTCCAGGGTCCCCGACGCTCGGCCGCGGCCCTGCCAAAGCCGCGCCGGTCGACCCCGAACTCCGCTTCATTGGCAGGAGCCGGCCCACCGCTCGAATGTGCACGGCTCGGCCGGGCCTACGCCGCCCACTGCGCAAAGCGCTCACAGCTGCTCTTTTCGCCCCGGCGCTCGCGCAGGAGATGGTGGGACGCATCATCGGACGCGGCGGCGAGACCATCATGACCCTGCAGCGCATCACGCGCTGCAAAATCGACATCAAGCAGGACATGCCGGAGCCCGAGCCTCGGCAGATTCAGCTGCGTGGGCCCGCCTCGGCCGTGGGCGAGGCCCGGCACTGGCTGGACAAGCTCCTCGGCGACCCCAGCCTCGCGCCCGTCCAGGAGCTCATGAAGTACGCCATGTCCCTCGGCGGCTCCGCGCTCGCCGGGGAGGGCGCCGGCACGCGCATTGTGCCGTGCCCCAAGGAGAGCGTGGGGCGCATCATCGGGCGGCAGGGCGCCACGATCAAGGACCTGCAGGCGCACTCCGGCTGCCGCATCCAGATCGACCAGTCCACGGAGCCGTGCAGCGTCACCATCACCGGCCCGCCGCAGGGCCTGGAGCGCGCCGCGCGCATGATTGAGGACGTCCTCAACGGGGTGCGCGGCGTCGTGCCGCCCGCGGGCGGGTACGGCGGCGGGTACGGCGGCGGGTACGGAGCGCCCGGCGGGTACGGCGGCGGGTACGGCGGCGGGTACGGCGCCCCGGCCGCGGGTGGCTACGGCGCTCCGGCGGGCGGCGGCTACGGGGGCGGGTACGGCGGCGGGTACGACCAGTACGGCGGCGCCGGCGGGTACGGCGCTGCGGCCGGCGGGTACGGCGGGGGCGCCGCGGGCGGGTACGGCGGGTCGGCCGGCGCCGCGGGCGGGTACGGCGGCGGCGCTGGCGGGTACGGCGGCGGCGGGGCCGCGGCGGGCGGGTATGATCCTTCGGCGTACGGGCAGGGCGGCGCCGCTCCCGCTGCGGCGGCGTCGTCTGTCTGGCAGACTTGCAAGGACGAGTACGGCCGGACCTACTACTACAACTCGCAGACGCAGACCAGCCAGTGGGAGAAGCCGGCGGGGATGTAGGCGGGAGGGCGCGGGGCGGGGGAAGACGACGAGGACGGTTCGCACTCCAGACTGCCGCTGGTGCCCGCACTTCGCCCTGCCGTGGTGTCCTGCGCACCTGCATTCGACACCTGGACCTGGCCGTGCTTGCGCCGCGCGCTGAGACTGGCTGGAGACGTGCTCTGCTCTCGGATGGATTGGAATGCTGAGTGCCCTGCTGCCGTGACGCGCGCGCATGCACCTGGCTTGCGTGGAAGTACAACTACACAGCCTTGAGGGGCGCAAACTGAAGACCTACAACAGGTGTTGGACGACTGCGGCACCGCTGACGGGGCGCCGCGCGGCCGCCAGCGCGCAATTCACTACCGCAAATCACCACTACTGCTGCTTCGGATCATCGCGAGCGCCACTGCCTGCGCGCACGCAACAACCCTCCTGCTGGGTCGAACATGGCGAAGTTCGGCGCCGCGGAATCTCTCTCTTTGCCCTCTGTTGATGTAAGCTTGCGCCACGACCGTCGCCCCCGCGTCACCGCGCAAAGTCCCCGCACCCAAGGGAGTGTCCAGCGGCCAGGTCGCGCCCAACCGCGACGCGTCCAGCGCGTATTACGAATCACAGGTATGAAAGTCGGCCTTCCAGGCTAGCCTCGCTGTGCGCGCACTTCGCTATGTGTCGCGGAATGGTTCTCTCCCTCCGTCGCCCGTTGCCTCTGAAACCCGAGGTCGTCCCTGCTCGACGCGGCGCCGCTCCACGCCCGCGCTCAGTCCTTGAAGTCGGACACCCCGCCCGCCGTCAGCGAGAAGGACGCCTCCGCCTCCCCCAGGTTGGGCGCGTCCACGACCTTGGCCAGCCGCTGCTCCGCCTGCACGTCGCACGGCAGACGCACTGGGCACTCACGAAGGACACGCTGCCTGCTGCAATGTCAGCTCGCGCCGGGCTCAGATCTCGCGCAGGCGGGGGTCGGAGCGCCCTGAGAAGCAGCGCGGCACGGACGCAGGGCGCGGTCCGGTGACGCACCTTGCCCTTGCGCAGGCTGACGCGGACGGTGGACGCGTGCGCGAGGACGTGGCCGCCGATGGGCTTCTTCGGGTCGACGACGAAGGTCATGCCGCCGCTCGGGTCGGACATGACGTGGTTGGTGATGACCACGGCCAGGTTGAACTCGCAGGCCAGCTTCTTCAGGCGCGCGCACATCCGGCCCAGCACCTGCTGCCGCTCGCTGAGCTCCCCGCGGCCGCAGAAGTCGTTCCTCAGCAGACCCATGATCGAGTCTGCGGGTGGCGCAGTGCACAACACAGCCATCAGCGCGTCCCGGGAGATCGGGGCCGAACGGGCGTCTGCTGGCCGCAGCTAGGGCGCAGGGGCGTAGTTCGCACCAATGACGAGGAGCTTGAACGGCTCCTCGGCCATTTTGGCGGCCACTGCGACGATGAGGTCGAGCTGGTGCTCGGAGGTGAAGGCGCGCGCGACGGCGATGTTGTCGAGCACGGCGGCGCCATCGAGGCCGAAGCGCTCCGCGATCGCGACGATCTGCTCCGGGCGGAACGTCCCCTCGGTGTCGATGAAGGCGCACTTGCCAGCGGCGCCGCCCATGTCGCTGGGCAGCTGGCACGCCACCGCCAGGGTGTGCATGAGCAGGCTCTTGCCCGTGCGGTACTCGCCGAAGACCTCGGTGATGGCCTGGGTCTCGATCCCGCCGCCAAGCACCTCGTTCAGCGCCTCGCACCCGGTCGTGATGTGCAGGATGCTTTGCATGCGCTGCAGTGCGCGGTGGCGCGGCGCGGTCACGTCAGGGGGGCGCAGCTTGCCATGATCTGCAATGATCAAGGTCAGGGCTGCTTGGCTGCGGGGGAAATGCGCGCTCACCTTCTGGTAGGCCATCGTGCCAGTGACGAAGCCGGCGCCAGGAACGAGCTTCATGGCAGCGTCGAGGGCCTTCTCGGCCTTGGCCTCGGAGATGCCCTTGACAGCGCAGATCACCTTCCTGGATGACTCAGGGCGGGGCGCGGCGTCGGGTGAGCGAGCGCCGCGCAGCGTTGCGTTCGAAGCTGCATGTCGCGAAGCGTCTCACCGCGTGTTCATGATGAGGGCCTGGCACGTGTGGAAACCACCCTCCTTGAGCTTCTTGATGTCTCCTGCGAAGAGAGCGTCGAGGCGCTGCTGTGACGCGGCGCTGCGGCGTAAGGGACCGCGCTGCGCTGTGATGGCCGGTTGCGCGCACCTGCTCCGATGCCGTGGACCGAAAGCTGATCGATCGGCACGAAGTCCGAGAACTCGTCCTCGATCGCCTCGTCCTGGACATTGTGAGCGTCGGCGTGGGCCAGCAGGCCGTCCGCGGGCAGTGCAGCCTCGACTTGTGCCATTGTGCCGTTTCTCGACTGTCTCGGCGAAGGTTTCGGGCGCGCTTCCTGCGAACAAGCAGTTCCGATATATTTCACGACGAGTAAGTTCGCTCAAGAGCGGCGCGACGGTGCGACACGGACCGTCAAGCGAGCGAACAGGCAACACACAGCAGGTCGCGCGCGACAACACCTGACGTCGCGTGGGCCAGCTCGTCGATAGATTCGGACGAGAAAAATGCGAGGCCGAAGTGCAGAGTGGCTCCGTCCGGACACGAGCCGACGCGATGGCTCGGAACGCACGAAGAGGGGTCTCTCAACTGACACCATCCAACCGGTCCGACGGCGGGCCGCGTGCGGCGCTGACCGCAGCTAGCGCGCAGCTGGCCACCACATGACGCACAGTGCCCAGCTGCGCGGCGCAAACACGCACGGCGGCCGCGGGACGCACGTGAAACAACGTCGTTGTGCCAGCGACAGTTGTAGGCTTACAACCTGGACGAACAACCTGCGCGCACCCGACGCGCTGGCCGACGCCGGCGTCCTCGACCGCCGCAGCGCATCAGTTGCCGACGACGAGGCCCGCGGGCCCGGTGGACGTGTTGGTGACGAGCGGGCGGAACCCGAGCTCGTCGGCGGGGATGCCAAACTCGGCCAGCTTGGCCTCGTAGACCCGGATGAGGTCGTTGTGCGCCTTGCAGACCTTCGCGACGTCGTACTGCAGCGCCTTGATGATGGAGTTCTTGTTCTCCAGCACCTCCTCGAGCTTCTGGTTGACCTTTTGCAGCGTGGCCGGGTCCAGGTTGGACGCGGCGAGCACCTCGGCCAGCTGGCTCTCCTTCTTCTCCAGCTGCTCCGACATCGCCTCGAGCTTCCTCTCGAGCAGCATCGACCGCAGCCCGGCCTTCTGCTGCACGTCGTAGATCGAGCGCTCGAACCGGTCGTACAGGTCGTCGCGCTCCCGCTGCACCTCCGCGAACCGCTGCTGGAGCACCTCGTTCTCCCACTCCAGGTTCTTCAGCTTCTTGTCCGCCTGCAGCAGCCGCGCCTTCGTCTGGCTCAGCGTCATCTTGTCCTTCTCGTAGTTGACCACCTGGTGCCGCAACGTGTCCACCTCCTTCCGCGCCTGCTGCAGCGGCTCCATCAGCCGCTTGTTCTCCTGAACGATCTGGTTCATGTCGCGGTCGTGCTTCGCGGCCACCTGCACGCACGCACGCACGCACACCGCGTCAGCACGCCACCCACCGCAGCACTGGCAACCGCACCGCAGCTAAGCGCACGAGCGCTCCCGCGCACGCAGGCGCGCGGCTGCGGCGTCCGGCGGGCCACTTACGTCCTTCATGCGCGCGACGTCCTCCTTGAGCGTCTTGATGAGGTCGAGGTTGTTGTGCGTGATGTCGTTGTAGTAGTTCTTGATCTCCGCGAAGGCCTTCTCGTGCTTCTTCATCAGCTCGTTGATGTGCGCGTTCTTCCGCTCCTCGATCTCGTGGATCTCCTGCTTCCGCCGCAGGTCCAGGTCGTCGCTGAGCATCTTCATCTTCTTCTCGTACTTGCGCTGCAGCTCCTTGGCGTTCAGCTCGAACTCCTGCCGCAGCTTCGTGATCTCCTTGCTCTGCTCCAGCTTGAGCTGCGAGATGATCGTCTCGTGCTCCAGCTCCTGGTCCCGCAGCTCCTGCTTCAGCGCCCGCTTGTCCTTGCTCAGCTCCACCTGCGGCAACCAACGCACCGCCGCACGAGTCGCGCGCGCTCGCGGCACGCCCAGAGGCGCAGGCGGGCGCTGCGCGTCCACGGCGCGCGGCGCGCACCTCTCGCACGCGGAACTCCTCCTGCTGCTGCTTGAGCGCGGACTCGCCGTCCGTCTTGAGCGTCGTGATGTTGCTCTGGTGCTCGTACAGCAGGTGCTTGACCTTCTGCTTGTACACCTTGATCTCCATCTGGTGCCGCTCCTCGAGCTCCTCCATTTCCCGGTCCTTGGTCCGCAGCTCCGCCTTGCGGTCCTCCAGCTCCTTCTTCGTGATCTCCCAGAACTGGCTGATCTTGTCGCGCTCCAGCTGCATGTAGTTGCGCTGCTTCTCCTCCTCCGCCTTCTCGCCCTCCAGCCCCGTCACCTTGGCCAGCAGGTCCTCCATCGACAGCACTTCGCCCGCGCCCTCGTCCGCCGCGGGCGCGTCGCCCTTCTTCCCGCCCTGCGTTGAGTCGGGGTGACGCGGGGTCGCGCGGGTGGGCGTGCGGGGCGCTGCGCGGGCCTCGTGCGGGCGGGACAGGTGCGCAGCTGCGTTCGAGCGCTCGGACGCGGACGCCGGCGAGCCAGGGCGTCGAGCGCCGCGGAGGCGCGGTCGGGGGACTCAGCGGTGCAGCGGGCGCGCCGGCAGCTGCGAGCTCTGTGCGCGGAAGCGACGAAACTGCCCGCATTCGCAGCTGGACCAGCGGGCAACATGCAGGCGTCGTTCGGCGCGGAGATTGCCGCACGGCGTCGCGCTGGGGCCAGCGTGCAGACGGAGAGGATGATCGGGCCGGGCGGGGAGCGACGCGCGCGCGCCGGGCGCGCGAGGAGCGCGCGGGCAGGCCGAGGGGGCACAGGCTCCGAGGGACAAGCCGAGGCGTCGGTGGCCTGATGGGCGCCTGGGGGCCGAGAAAGGCATCGACGGCGCTAACACGCCACGGGGATCGTGTGCAGCACGCTCACGGGGCGGGACGGTGCGGCGACGCGGTGGTTGAAGGCCGCGCGTAGGCCAGCGCATGGTCCTGGCCTCGGGACGCGCCGACAGCGTCAAGGGAAACCTTGCTCGCGGTACCATCGTCAACTTATCATTCCAACGCGTCGATGCGAGCATCGCGGGAGCGCTCGGACGCCCCTTGCGCCGCACGACGGGCGCCAACTCTGCAGCAGGTCGTCGCGCTCGAGAACGCACCTTCCCTCCCTTCTTCGGCGGCATGTTCGCGCGCCCCGCGTCCAGCCAGCAGGGACTCTGCGAGCGGTCAGCAGCCGCGCCGTCCTAGCTCCCCACTCGAGACCACGCGCGCGCAGGCTTCCTGGGCCTGAATGCCACGCTCTCTATGCCGGCAGGACAGGAGGTATACCTCCCTGACCACCGGTCCGCGTGCTACTGTGCCCGGCCTGCACCGCGGTCGCGTGCAATCTCGCGCCCGCTGCGCCGCGGTGTCGCGGGGGGCCGTGCCTGCACGCGCACAGCCGACGTGGGGCCGTGGGGCCGTTGACTCCCCCCGGCTACAACCGGGGAGGGAGCCGGCCTGATCGCTCCACGCCGACATTGACTCCGCCTCTGACGACGAGTCATCGCGTTCAGCGCGCGTTTGAGGCGTGGGAGCCGGTCAGCAGAGTTGCGCCGTGCTGTCTGCCCGTAGCATCGCGAGGGTCAATCACAGAGCGGCGCTGGGCGCCCGGCAATCGAGGAACGACATCCGCCCACGTTGGAGATAGTGAGAGACGGACGGCTTGTCGCAGCCCGGCAGCTTCGGGCTGCTTCAGGCAACTGCTGCAGCTCCGATGGCCACCTCGCGGCGCATTTGCCGGGCAGCCTGATCTGACGCACGCGGATCGACTGGAAGCACTATGACGGAGCGTGTGGACTTCAACGCGTTTCTCGAGCAGCTGCCGGCAGCCCAGTTGGAGCGCCTCTATGCATCCCGCTGGACGTCGCAGGCGGTGCTGCGCTCGCTGCCGCCGCTGGCGAAACAGTACGTGATCCGGCTGGTTCAGCTCTGTAGGAAGGCCGGGGGGGGCCGCGAGGACGTGTCCATGGCCACCCTCACCGCGTGGAGGCCTTTCACCTCGGACCCCACCATCGCCGACGCCGAGGCCACGATCCGCGAGCACAAGCAGGCAATCGAGCGCCTGCGCCGCCTCCAGGCACGGCCCCCGCGCCCCGCTCCGTCGCCGCGCCTGCTGCGGACGCAGCAACCCCGCAGCGTCATCCCACAGTGCCCCTGCGTCACAGCTGCAGATCATCACCGTGCAGTCGGAGCTGCAGCAGAAAGAGCACCAGATCTCCGTCACGATCAACGCGCGCCTGCTCGCCAACCTCCGCCTCGCGATGCTGTCGGGAGCGGGCACCCAGGAGGCCCCCCCGCCCGCGCACGTCGCCGCCGCGGTGCCGTCGCGCGACCAGCTCGACCGGTTCGGCGAGCAGCAGTGGGAAGCCTTGCTCGGCTACCTCCTCCGCGAAGCGGACCCGCCGGCCCTCCCGGAACGCATCCAGTCAGCCCTGGGGGAACCCCCCCTCGACATCGAAGCGCTCCTCGACAGCGCTGGCCTGACGTCAGTCATCACCGGCAGGTGCGCCGCGCGGGAGCTCCCGCCCAGCCGTCCGCGAACGGCGCCGCCCGAGCGCGATCCGATCCGCGCGCACACGTACCGACCCGCCCGGTGCGCGTGCGCTGTCATCACGCAGGTCGACGATGCAGGCGCAGCAGGAGACGCGGTTCGAGTTCCTCCTCCGGCGCACGCACTCGCAGCTGTGGCAGGTCCTGCGCGCCCTCATCGTCGACGCTGAGTCAAGGCTCGAGACTGACCAGCCCACCGTGGTCGGGATGCTCCTGCAGCTCTCGTTCCGCTCCGTCGGGCTGCCGTACCGCGTCCCCGCGCGCGGCTCCCCCGAGCGCCGCATTCTCTCGCACCTCGCGACCCTCGGCCTCGCGATGCCGTTCCTGGCGCCGCCTGCACCCGACGGCGACCACGCAATGGACGGCGGCGACGACGGCGACGCGAGCCTTTGGTTCTGCCCGACGCCGCTCGCGGCGGTGCTGTGCAGCTCGCCCGGCGGCGCCGCGGGCGTGGACGGCGGCGCGCACGACGGGTTCATCATCGTAGAGACCAACTTCAAGGTATATGCTTATACCTCGTCGGACGTGCACGCGGCGGTGCTGCAGCAGGTCATCACGCCGGACTGCCGCCTCCCGAACCTCCTCGTCGGCGCCATCACGCACCAGTCCATCCAGGGCGCGCTCAACGCGGGCATGAGCGCCGAGGCCATCATCCGCTATCTGGAGGAGCACGCGCACCCGAAGGCGCGGCGACGGGAGCACCCCGTCCCGATGGCCGTCCAGCGGCAGATCCAGCTGTGGCAGACGGACATGCACCGCGTGCAGCACCACCAGGCGGTGGTGCTCAGCCACTTCGGGTCCCCGGACTTCTTCCGCGCGGCGTGGAAGTTCGCGCGGGAGCGGGGCATGCTGCTGTACCCGCTGCCGCGCCCAAGGAAGCCGCAGGACGCCGAGGACGAGCCGCCGGAGGGGTGCGGAGAGGAGGGGGGGAGAGACACCCTCATCTGCAGGGACGCCGGCCGCGAGGAAATGAAGCAGTGGCTCAAAAACAACAAGGCGCGGTACATCGCGGAAGCGCAGGCGCCGGCGGCCTCGGCCCCACCGGGCGGCGTGACGCGCTGATGTGACCACTGCGCGCGTCACAGCTGCGAGCGCGGCTTGCGCGGGTGTTCAATGACTCCTCTGCGCGGCCGCGATATGCAGCCCCCGGGCACGCGGGTGCGCCATCGTCGCGCCCCGGCGCCCTCACCTCCGGGCCTTCTTCGACGCACCCCCCCCCTGCGGGAGCTTCCGCTTCCTCTTCTCCTCGCGCTCCTTCGCGTGCTCCTCCTCCTCCTCGTGCGTCACCTCGCTCTCCCACACCGGGAAGTCTTTCAGCTGCTCCTCGGTCGCCTCGACCAAAAACATGGTGTGGCCCATGCCGCAGGCCACGCGCTGGGTGAGGATGCCCTCGAGCGACGGCACGCGCTCGGGGTTCGCGGAGGACTTCTTCCCGTTCGGGCCGAACCCGCACTCGCCGTACTGCGCCTGCCCCCACGTCACCGTGGACGTGTCCGAGCACACCGCGAACGTCACCGTGCCTGCAGGCGCAGCCGCGGCCCCGCACGCAGCCGCTCGGCACGCAGCACACCGGGCGATCGAGCAGTGCGATGCGAGGCCCGGCACGGCCACACACACACGCGTGTGCACCATCGCGAGTCACTGACAGGTGCGCACCTGCTGAAATGTCGCGCAGCTTCCAGCCCTGGAGGTGCTGGAGCGGCATGGGGCGCATCAGGCCGTCGCCGGAGACCTTGAGCTTGCCGCACGCGAAGAGCTGCCCGTCCGGCTGCACGGTCGCCAGCGTCGCGTTCTGGGATGCCGCGAGAAGCGAGTCCGGCGCGCACGTGTACCCGCGCAGGAGCGCCTCGACGGGCCGCGGCAGCTTCTCCTCGTGCTGCTTGTTGTGCCCGAGCTTGCCGTACCCGCCGTCGCCCCACGTGAAGCACAGGCCCTCCTTGGTCACGCACACGCAGTGGTTGTTGCCGCACGCCACCGACGTGACCGTCTTGCCGCGCAGGAGGCCCTCGATCTTCTTCGGCACCGGCTGCGGCTCGAACACCAGCTTGATCGTGTTGTCCGCCGCGTTGTACTGGTGGTCCGTCCCGTGCCCCAGCTGCCCGTACTGCGGCAGCCCGGCCGAGTACAGCGCGCCGTCGCACACCCAGACGCTGAACTCCGCCCCGCACTTCGCGTTCTGACACTTGGGCACCTGCGCCGCGCACTCGACCGCTCGCCGTTCGCCGCGGGCCCGCAGCCGCACACGACGCACACAGCGCACGGCCGAGGGAGGGCGCCTCGCACCTGGCACTTCGTCGGCGTGGTCAGGAAGTGCTCCGGGACCTTCGTGTCGATCTGTCCGATGCCGAGCTGCCCGTGCTTGTTGCTCCCCATCGCGTATGCCTCGCCGTCCTCGGTCACCACGATGGTGTGGTGCTTCCCGCACGCGGCGGCGACGACCTTCTTGTCCTTGAGCGGGCCCTCGATCTGCGTCGGAGCGTTGCGCTGCACCGTGTCGCCCAGCCCGAGCTGCCCGAACTCGTTGCGCCCGAACGCGTACGCCTTGCCGTCACCGTCGACAATCACCGAGTGACACGCTGACGACCCCGCGGCGATGAGGTGGATCTTCTTCCCGATCACCGCCTGCGCGGGGGGCACGACGGCCGCGGGGCGCAGTTCGGGACCCGTTCGGCCGCGCAGGGCCGCGTCGCGGCGCGGTGCACACCCGCGTGTGCAACGCGGCCTGTGTCGGGCGCGTCGCCGGGCGGCCGGCCGCGGGAGACGCGCGCGGCTCGGTCCGGGAGCCCACTGGGCCGCGCGGGCGGGGCGGCGGAGGTCGCGCAGGCAGCGGGCGGCGGCGCGTGTGTGCGGGAGCCCCGTGGCGGGATGTCGCGGTGGCGCGTGGGGGGACGGCTACGCACCTTGAAGCGGTGCGGCTCGGTCAGGTTCGGGTACTTGATCAAGCGCTCGGCCTCCTGGTCCTTCTTCTTCGGATCCTTGCGCCCAATCTGCGACAGAACCCGCACGGCCACCTCTTTCAGCTCCCCGGGGCCACGCAAACGCGCCTCGCGCGCGAGGGGCGCGCCGAAGCAGCTGTGCCGGAAGCCACAGATACGTACATGGCCTCGGGGCATCGAAATCGCGCCAGGGAGCGCGGGGCAGCGCGCCAGCGCCCAGCAGCCCTGCGGCTCGATGCGGTTGCTCCCATTGCGTCCGCACCGCGGCCGTGGGCGTTCGTGCGGCCGGCGTGGGCGACCGCGCGCCTCCTAGGGTCGTGATCGTTGGTTCGGCGGCGATTTCGCGCGCCGCCGTGGCCGCCGGGCGCCGGGCGCGGCTCCTCTGCCAGTGGCTGGTGCAGCGGACGTGTGGGGGCCGGCGAGAGGGAGCGGGGGGGGTCGGGAGGGCGGGGTGGCACCTGGTCCCAGTCGGTGGAGCCGCAAATGAGCAGTTCGCCGCCGTTGAAGGGCTTGGAGATGTCCCGGGCCTTCCCGGTGGGCGCCCCGGCGGGAGCGGCCATCGCTGAGGCGGCTGCTCGACGGCCGCGTGCGCGCGCTGATGACGGTGAAAGGAAGCGGCGCGGCGCCGAGCGTTTCAAATATTCTGGAGCACCACGGCGCGTGCCCCGGCGTTCTCGCGGGCGCGGACGCGCACGCACGCGGCGCCAACGACAGCTGGGCCGAGTATGACACTTCAGGTCCCCCTAGCGCGCGCGTCAGACCCCGCGAGGCGGATATGGCCGCGCCCGCAGCAGCACTCGAGACAGGACTGGGCCTGTGAGGCGTCGAGGGACGACGGAAGCGAAGCAGCAGGTCGCTAGCCGCCGATCAGCACACCGAGCGTTCACTTGCTTCGCCCGCATCTAGAAGGCGCGATGTTGGCTGCGCGCACGTCCGTGCCCGCTGTTGCGGCGAAGGGTACGTCCGCCATGATGCTCGAGGCCGTCTGCCGGGTCACCGACGCGCAGCTCGCCCTGGGCACGCCACAGTGTCTGCGGGCTCTGCTTTTGCCCCGCGCAAGCACAATCCAGGCGCAACACGGTCCGACGTTGCTGCAGGCCGCGGGCGTACTACTCGGAGATCGGTGCTGGCGCGCGGACTGGCCGACCAGGTGTCCGTGCGGGAAGGGGGGCTCAGTGCCAAGGGGATGAGATTCGGCGTGGTTGTGGGCAGGTCCGACCACGGCCCCGCAGGACACCGCTTCGAGCCGAACATGCACCGAACGCAATGTTTGTCCCCGGGACAGTGCTTCCGCACTACGCCGGGTCCACACCTCTGCCCACCCGAGCCCCGGCGTCGTCCTCAATGCTGTCGGTGCACCTCTCCGGGCGGGCGGCGCGACCGCTCGAGCAGCCCGGCCCGCGCCCTGCGCCGCACGCGACCAGGGCCCGCGCCTCTCGCACCTCGCGCGCGCCACCTCCGCATTTCCACCCGCACAGACCCAACGCACAACCTCGCGCAGCGCAACGCCGCAGGCGACAGCGCCGGCCGAGCGACCCCACGCGCGCCCGCCGCGGCACCCGCCCGCGCAGGTTCAACGACCTGGTGACGAAGGACCTCCTCGAGGGCTGCCTGGCGGCGTTCAAGCGCCACGGGTGCAACATCGAGCAGGACGTCGAGGTGTGCTGGGTGCCCGGGTCCTTCGAGATCCCCCTCACCGCCAAGCACATGGCGAAGAGCGGGTCGTTCAGCGCGGTGGTCGCCATCGGCGCCGTCGTCCGCGGCGCGACGACGCACTACGACGAGGTGTGCAGCGCGGCCACCTCGGGCGTCCTCGGGGCCGGCATGGACACCGGGGTGCCCGTCGTGTTCGGCGTCATCACCACGGAGACCATGGAGCAGGTGAGCCGCGCGCCCTCAGCGCCCACGCCGCGCAGGGCCTGCATGCAAACGCCGCGCCGCAGCGCTGCGTGCGGCGGCCGAACACGTGTGTCGCGCCGTGTCCGCGCAGGCCCAGGATCGCGCGGGCGGCAAGGTGGGGAACAAGGGGTACGAGGCCGGCGTCACCGCGATCGAGATGTCCAGTCTGCTCAACAGCCTGCGGGAGGATGGCATGGCGGCGGAGCCGTGGCTCTGAGCGGCGGGAGTCGCAGGCGGCGATGGCCTGTCGCGCGTGTGACGTACGCTGGCCTGAGGGGACGCGGTGGCGCGGGGAGGCATCAGATGCTGCGTTCTGACGCGCGAGGCCCATCACAGGAAGAGCAGACAGGCGTGCGTGCTCGCTCACGGCAAGAGCTGCGCCGGAGACCGGCGCAAGCACAGGGCCGGGAGTCGGAGCAGGCGCCGCATGGGGCTCCGCAGTGCACCAGAGCGTGTCGGTCGCGTGGAGGGAAGGGCACTTCGTTCGCGGGCCCTCTTGCGTTCGGTCGACGCGGGGAAGAGAGTCTCGGCCGAGCATAGCGTGTTGCGATGCCTGGCTGACTGCCGTACGACATGGCAATCCTTGGTTGGCAAACAAACATCCGCGGCAAGTCAAGACGGCTGTCTCGGCACGTCACGATGCTCTCGACCCGCTCCGGTGCCGTCGTGAGCGTCTGAAAATCCTCCAGACTCGACCGGACGGCCACGGAAGAGGCTGAGAGCATGGTGACTGCCGGATCAAATCAGCAGGAGGCAGGTGGAGGGGGGGAAGAGAGAGCACAAGAAACAGCGCACAACGGTTGGGGTTTATGAGGGGAGGGAGGGGGGGGCGATTGGGCATCACTTGGTGTCCACGGCGAGGGACATGGAGAGGGCATCGGTTGTTCGCAGAGCAATTCTTTTTGAGAGAAAGAATCTCATTTCTTTTCGAGTGTAAGAATCTCATCGTGACGAGTCGCAGCGCGAACTCGTGGCAAGGCGGAGCAGGACAGCGCAGGCCAGCGCCCCGTGTGCTCGCGATCGTCATGCGCGAAGCGGGGCGCGTGGTGCGCCGGCTGTCCTCTCTCGTATGCGTGGGGAGCAGCAATTGGGTCGCCCGGTGGTCGGGGGCGCGAGGGGGCGCCGGGGTAGAGTCGGGGGAGGGGGCGCGTGCGTCGCTGCGAGCTACCGTCGCTGGAGCGAGGCGGCGGAAGACGCAGCATGGTGGGCGCGCTGAGATGGGCGCCGAGTGAAAGCGCTCGCGCTCCACGGGGCGTGGTGTGGGTTCGCGCGCCGCGGAGAGCGCGCGCTGACTGCGTCCGAGTCAGCGAACGCGCCGGGGAAGGCGGCGGCTGGGAGCGGCAGTGCAGGGCACATCGCCAGCCCCCGCGAGCGTACTGCGGGCGTCCCCGGCGCGACGCCGGGTGTGCAGCACGTTCCGCGTGTCGGAACTGTCGTCAGGCTGCCTCGGCGAGCGTCCTCGGCGCGTCGCAGGCGCCATCGGGGAGGCAGAGCAGCGCCGCCTCACGGGTGACCGCTTCCAGAGCTCCTGGGTCGGTGTGAAAACGTCGCGCGCCGTCGTGGGCCCGCTGCGCCCGGGTCTCGATGCTCGCCTGGCTCGGGCTCTTGCTGCGCGTCGCTGCCTCGCGGACCAGTGCGGCCTTCCTGATGTCCGGGACGAGTTCCAACGAGTGGAGGTGCCCGGCGGGCGCGAGCTCGCTCGCCAGCGTCTTTCGGACGAGGCTGCTGCCCTGCGGTCGTTGGCGAGTGTTCTGGCCACCGTTTGAGGCGCCTCGCAGGCCAAGTTTCGCAGCGATCGGCCCAGCAGGGCCGTCCCGCCGCTTCGAGGAAAGAGGGCGCGCGCAGCGTCGTCCGGTAATGTCGGACAATTATAGCATTGTGGGGCCATTGGACAGCAATCTTCACTTCATTCACGTCGAGAACTGCCACAAGAAGCCGCGTTGAAGGGCCAGCCGCACCATTGCATGAGCGAGTGCCTCAGCGGTACCCGTCGCGTCCGATATGCGGGTCCTGCGGCGAGCCTTGTCCTGCTTGGCGACAGCACTGACGAGGCTGCCGTGCGAAAACCTCCGCTGCGCCTGCCTGGAGCCAGCAGGGGCTCCCTGAGATCGATTGAGCCTCGTGCGCTGCTCCATCGCGTAGTGTCCGATTCGCGTGGTCGTGCTGAATAGTTTTTCACCAGTGTTTGCAATGTGCGTGGTGGCACGGGCCGATGAGCCCCGGTCGAGCCGCTGGCCGAAGGGGTCTGTGTGGACCCACTCGATTCAGCGCCGCTCCCTCGACGTGTCTGCGCTTTTCCACAGCTTTGATCCACGCACAGACACACCTGGATCCTCAGAATCCCCTTCTGCCCGAAAGTGCCGTGTTTGGCGACGTTTGTGTGCGCGACCTTCGCCTGAAGGGACCGTCGCTCCGTGGCGAGTGCGCGGCACGATGTTTCGTCGCCACCGGCCACGAGAGGGATGCAGCGTTGTTCACGTCTGCATGCGCACGACTGTCGCGAGAAAGCTGCGTCGCGAAAGAGACGAGTCTGTACTTCGCTGCGTCTGTTCGGTGCAGAAACCCACCACCTGACCGGACGAGCTGGACCATAATTCTTCGCTGACCTACGAGCACCCTCAACGCGAGGATGCCGGAGCGACCGAAATGGTACGGCAGGCGAGACTCACACAGCAGACAGGGTAGACAATGTTTGTTTGTTCTTCGCTGGACCGTCGCAGCAGCGGCAGGCACGACGCAGGTGCAGTGGAGGCAGTAAGGACGAAGGCTCACATTCGCGTGGCGCTGGTATGTACATCGCCCGGCAAGTTCCTCGCGCAGAGCGCAACTAATGGGCGCGAGGTCCGTGACACAAGTTCGACGAGCGCCGCACTTGAAGTCATCACTATCGACGGTGGGTGAGGTGGGGGAGGGGGGACTGTCGGGGCGGGGTAGGGGTGTCTAATCATGAGGATCATCTACTGCTCTGACAATAGGGTAGGCTAGTTAGTTAGTTAGGCTCACGCGCACGATGTGCGCGTCGACGGAGCGCGAGGTAGTCAGGTGGTGTTTGCGGGTCCCTGCATGGCGTGCGCCAGGTGGTGCCGCGTCACCACACGACGTCTAGTGCGGGATACTGTCGCCATTTTGCGACAATTCCCATGAGGAACAGTTTGTGTGTGTTGAGAGCCGGCGAGATGAATGTTCACGAGCGTTCGGGCGACGGGGGGCGGGGCAGGGGAGCGCGGGACGGAAGCGGGGCAGGAGGCCTCGCGGACCGCTGCGGAGGCGACGCTGTCGTTGTCGTTTGCCTCAAGTGTCGGGGGGGCTCAATGTGCTGCGGTGTCAGGTGTAGCATGCGTCGACTGCACGTCGACATGAGCGTCGCTGTCGGACGCCGGCGGCGGGGAGGGGGGAGGAGTGAGAGATGAAGAGATGAGTCCTGGCATTTGCTGTTTGCGTGCGCAGGACGCTCGGCGCGCGTGCCCCTCTGTGAGGCATGCTCCTGGACGGGTCATCGCCTCGTTGGCGCGACCCAAGTTCAGGGCGACAGTGATTCCGGGGATGTGGATGGGGGAGGGGGATTTGGGTGGAGTGATGCGTCTCGACAAGGTGAAGCTGCCCCGTCGTTGCGGGTGAGTTGGCGTTGGCGAGCGCCGTCGTGCCCTGACCGCTCGGAATGCACGCAGTCCGGCCGGCGGGGGCACGGCGGGGGGGTGTAGGTCGACCTGACTAGAGGACGTTGGGGTCGAAGGGGGCGCACTGCTCCTCCGCGGGGCCGGAGAGCCGAGTGCCTTGGAGCGTGGCGCGCGTCATGCCCGCGCATGGCAGCTCGAGTGCGTGGAATTTCCGCGTGGACGCCGAGCGCACCGCGGACTGCGCGGGCGCGAGGTCCGGGAAGTTGACTGCCATGAAGTCCGACGCCTCCTCGATGCACAGCAGGTCGATCTGCAGGCGCGACGCGGCGCACCGCAGGAGCACGGCCTTCCGCAAGTCCATCGACCGCCTCCTGGGCGCCCAGTCCGGGCCCTCGGACGTGCGATGGTTGGGGCCGAGCTCCTGAACGGTAGGCTCGTCCGCCGGAGCCGCCTCGGGCTCGGCGTCCACGAAGTCCTGCGGGTTCCATGAACGAGTGTAATGCAACCGGTTCGAGATCAAAATGCCGCCGCATGGGTGTCTCAGCGGCACTGGGAGGGAAGTAGTTGGCGAGACCAGCAGTTGGGCGTTGCGCCCGATTAGTCCGCAATTTGACGCAGCCCGCAGCGGTAGGCAACGTCGTAGTTAAAATATGCAGAGACATGACGCTTTCAACGATGACGAGAGGCTGGGTGACGGCTAGCGGGGCAAGCGCAAAAGCCGGCCCTCTCGACCGTTGCCGCGCGTGGACTTTCGACTGAAACGCCGCTCTCTGTCTAGTTAACTTCAAAGTGATTGCTGTGTGCCGGAAAAAGGTCGTCCGATGCCTGGTTGCGCGCTCACCATGTCGTTCTCGTGTAGGTCCTCAGCCCACTCCGTTCCGCTTGTGGCGCCGTCCTCGCACAGCAGCATGGCCGCGAGACTGTCGCAGCAGGGTTCGGGGTCGACCGCGATGGTGCCCGAGTCCGAGGGCATGCGAGGCTGCGATTCATCGTCGCCGACCTTAACGCTCAAGCCTCGCATCGCCTCTCTCGCACACTCGACATCGCATTGCATCGCCGACATCCCTCGCCAGCTGGCGTAGGTAGTGGGACGGTGGGGTATGCGCGCGGAACGCCGTTTCGCGCCCCGCTCAGCCCGGACGGCCGCGAGCGACACAAAGGCAGTAGTTGTGTCAGGTATGACACCGTCATGAGCTGACGTGTCACGGGGAAGGAGTGGACACTGGCGGCCGCAAGACACCCCGGTCGCCGACGCCGACCCCTGGGGCACGCCTCGGCTCGCGACGTCGCCTGCGCGCGGTCGCTGCATCCAACGCACTGCACGCCAGCGCGGCCCCCCTCAGGAGCGCGGCGCAGGGGTGGCGGGCGCGGCGGCGCGACATCGCCGCGTACATGCCGTGCGGCTTCGCCTGGCGCCCTGTGGGCCCGTCGATGCTGCCGAAGCAAGTCTAGGGGCGACGTCAACGTCGACAACCGTTTGACGGAGGCTGGACTCACAAGTCGCGGGCTGCGACGTCTATCCGATGGTTGGCGTGCACGTGGGCGGGTGGCGAGGCGGGACGGACGGGCAGGACGGGCGGAGGCGAGGCGTGAAATCGTCGTGCTGGGGGGTGGCGGCCCGGACAACCAGGGGCCGCTAGAGCGGCGGCTACGGCGCGATGTACACAGCCAACAGCGGCCCTGCATTCAGGCTTGCAAGGGTGTGCGGACTGGACGCGCCAGTGTGAGATAGGTCGTGTGTACAAGTCTGGACAAGAGCAGACGAGTGCACCTGGGCTCGTGCGCACGAGCGACTCGAACACGCCGGTCCGTCGCCGGGACAGGCGAGCGCTACGGGGAGCTCGTCGGACCCGACGACCGCCGCTCGTGGCGAGGCGGGGTGCGCTTCGAGCCCAGCTCAGGGGGGGGGTGTTCGTAAACATGACGTGGCAGGGCAGTGGAGCAGGGGTCAAAAGCTGCGAACGCGCCCCGCGAGCACGGGGGCTGGCTGGGCGCGCAGGTTTGCGCGTGACCTGGCGCGCACAGGCGGGAGGGGGGGGGTGAAGGGCATGTAGCCGATTGCACCTCTGTAGGTGTTGGATCGATCGCTCGGTTGGTTGGTGGGTTGATTCGTCGGCGCAGTCGCCCGTTGCTGGTCGTAGTTCGGTGCTCCCTCCGAAAGACGTTCTGGTCGGTGTGTGTTTCTTCGGGGGACCACGTGCCAAAGCTAGCGGGCCTGGGCGACGCTGGGCAGCGCGTGCCTAGACAGAGGGGTCTCCGCGGCAGTCGGCGCGTCGACCGGCGCGAATGATTGGGTCTAGATGGTTGGCCCCATCCAAAAGGTTCCGAGCGCAGGGGGGGGGGAGATTTGTGCCGGGCGGGGCGAGGGGGCGTGAAAACAGTCCCTGTCGCGGGGACTCTCCGCGCCGCGCGAGGTGGCTGCGCCCAGCTCGCCGCCGTGGGCCGGGGGGGCCAGGGCTGCGTTCAGCGTGCTGGGAAAGGCAAACAACACAGGGGCTGCTGAACACATCTCTTCTTCGGTCTTCGTGCAGATCCACGTCTGCAGGCGAGGCACGCGCCCTCTCCGGCGCGTGCGCCGCGTCGCGGCCGCGGCGCGCGGCGCCTACAGGACGTTGGGGTCCGCGTTGGGCGGCGCGAGGCCCTGCTCGTCCTCCCAGGACATGCTGCGCCGCCGCGCGTCGCATTGCTCGATCTCGAGCGCGCTGGCGACGCACACCGCGCTGCGCTGGCAGCCCTCGAGCGCGCAGCTCGCGAGGACGTCGCCGAAGAGCGCGTCAGCCTGCACCATGGTGGCGATGGTAGGCGGCGCGAGGCGGCTGGAGGCGCAGCGCAGCAGGACGGCCTTGCGGAGGTCGAAGTCCTTGTTGTTGTTGTGATGCGTGAAGCTCGCCGGCGGCGAGAAGTGCGCCGTCGGCGACGCGTAGACAGGCGCCCATCTGGAAGTTGGGCGTTGGTGCTGCGGCGCCTCGCGCTGGCCGCGCTGCGGGGATCGAGGGAGACGAACGTGCACAAATGAGCTCACGCACTGCGGCACGCGCATCCGCGCGGGGTCGCAGAGCGGCGCCCGCTCCGGTGCGGCGCCTCGAAAAACCTCGGACCTCTCGGCCCTCCCGCGCAGCCACCGGGCGCTGCGACGCGAAGCCACGGCCAGCACAGCCTAGTGCCCAACTGACTATGCATTCGCGCCCGGCCTAACTCGCGCGGCCCGTCCCACGCACCTTGTCCAGCGCGTCGTCGCACGCGTGGATCGCGTCCTCGCCAGGCGCTCGCGGGCCGCCGCTCGGCCACGCAGCGTGCGCGCCGTCAGTGTGAAACGCCCTCACGTCCGCGTCCGTGAGGTCCCAGCCGGGGTGGCTCTTCGCCTTGCGCGCGGCAGGCCGGGGTGCCCCCTCCTCACTTGATGCGCACCCTGTCATGCTGCTCCGGGCGCAAGCCGCGGCTTTCTCCGCCTTCCTCTTCAGCATCATCGCGTGTGGCGCCGCCGGGCCCCCGCGCGCCCCACTGCACCCAGCACGGCGGTACTGCCGGGCAGGATACCTCTAGTAAGAGTGCCAGTGCCTACTGGACATGCCGCACACGCAGACGCCGCCCCGGAAATCGCGCGGGCGCGGCGGACGCAGCCCGATGACGAGAGGCGGCGACGCCGCGGCCCGCGCGCCGCCGCACGCCCGCGCGCGCCGCCCGCGCTGGTGCTTTGCGTCGATGGGGCACCCTGCGCGCCGCGAGTCACACGGCGGGCTACTCGTCGCCCATGAGCCCCCAGAGCGTGTCTGCGATCTCGCACTGCGACATGGCCGTCAGGTCCAGGTCGAACGTGCGCGGGCCGGTCGCCGCCAGGCTCGCCACCGTCCCCGCCAGGCGCCGCGGGTACTGGTCCAGCCGCAGCGTCGCGCGGCTGATGTGCGCGTACAGCGTGAGCTGGTTGCGCGCCTGCGGCTCCTTCTCCGACGCCAGCTGGTCGATCCGCGCCCTCTGCGCACCACCGAGCCGCCCGCACGCGCCCTCGTTGCGCGACACGTGCGTGCACGTGTGGCATGCGAGGCACGGCGACGCGCTGCGGGCCGCGGACGGGCGGGCGCGCGGGGGAGGGGGAGCTGCACCTGGGACCGGAGCTCCTGGAAACGCCGCGCCATCGTCTCGCGCTGCCCGCGCAGCGCCCCCAGCTCCGACGACAGGGCCTGCACCGCCCCCTTCGCGGCGTCCTGCTGCGCGCGGAGGTCATCCACGCGGCCCCGGTGCGCCGCCGGATCCTCCTTCACCGCGGCCTCGCGGCTCAGCGCCTCCACGTCCGCGGCCAGCCCTGCGGTCACGCACACGCACCAACTGCCCCGCCGCTTACAGCCCCGCCACGGCCCGCTGGCAGAGCACGCGCGCTCACGGCGCGAGGAAACAGTATCTCTGGCCTCGCGCGGCTGTTCTCGCCTTGAATGATGTTCTGGACGCGCCCCTCGCTCTCGCTGATGAGCTCGCGCAGCTCCTGGTGCTCGCGGTGCACGGCGGCGATCTCCTCCGAGTCCCCGGCGTCGAGCTCCGCAATCAGCGACGCCATCACGTCCAGGTTGTCGCGGATGCGGTCCGAGTCCATCCTCCCCGCGCCCGTCCCGCACCTGGCGACAGCCCACGCACGCGCTGCTGCTTGCTGGCCGCTGCCGGCCGCCACGGCACTCAAAGCGAACAGTGCCGCCGCGAATACCAGGAGGCTAGCTCCGCTGGTGCTCTCCGCGGAGCGTTCCGTCACCCTGGAGGGCAAATCGCGACGCTCTCTCAGGTGGTGGCCCTCCAAGCAGGTCACTCGCCCGTGGCGCACCGGGGTCGGAAAACCGGGGGTCTTGTGTGCTCGGCAGAGGAGTCCGGGCCCCACATGACGTCGCGGGCGGGTCGGAGCGGGAGGAGCGCCGGCGAAACGCCCCGGGGGGGCCAAGAATGGTAGAAGCAGCAGTTTGGATTCAAACCGCGCCAAGTGCCCCGCAGCGGTGGCCGCGCGGGCAGTCACTGCGTCGCTCGGCTGCGCGCCAGCTCAGGGGACCGCGACGGCCGAGCGGAGTCGCACGGCGGCGCACGCGCACCGCAGGAGAGGCGGTCGCAGCGCTGGAGGCGCGGCGAGACCCGTGGGCGCCGCGCGGGCTGCATTGCGGACGAGCGCGCATCCGGTTCGCGCAAGATGCCGCCGGAGAACGCCGAGAAGCCCCCCGCGGACCGCGAGTTCCACTCCGGGATCACACCGCGCGTTCCGAGCCCCCCTCAGGGCCATGGCTATTACGCCGACAAACCCGTCTACTCCGACGACAGCTCGCAGTCCGCGCTCCCGCAGGACCGCATGTACTCGGCCTCGGGCATGCAGCGCTTCCCGGGCCGCTTCCCGAGCACGAGGTACGTCCCCACGGCCCGCAACAAGACACCGGAACCAGTCTTCCGGCCTGCAACGCGTGTACGGGCCGCCGCACGCAGTGCCACTGCCAGCTGGAGCAGCTCCTGAAGTCAAAGATGCTGCGTCCTTGATCGCTGGGCTGTACGCGGCTTGCAGCGCCCGGGGCGAGCTCCAGCACAGGCCGAATGCACCAGCTCGAGCCCTTTCGCGCAGGAGCATGCCGGGCGCGCCGCCGGGCCTGAGCCGCGAGAGCATCGAGATACGGCGGCGCCTCGCGAACCCCAACCCGCCGGAATCGCTGCACGCGCACGCCGTGGAGAGCAGCTCAGTGGTCGCCAGCTCCATCGCGCCCAGCACGGGGCTGCCGGCCTCCGCGCGCGCAGCCTCCGCCTCCGGCGCGCCGATGACAGCGCAGCAGGTCAAGCATCTCCGCAACCTCGCCCTGGGCATCCAGGACAGCACACCAGCCTCCACGTACGCCCAACGACTCTCGGTCCCAGCGCGCACGCTCGCCGCCCGCAGCGCGCCTGGCCTGCGCTGCGGCAGTGCGCACCGAGAGCACGCGCTCGCACGGCCCCCGTCGGAGCCCGAGCCGCGCTTGCGCGCCTGCAGTGCAGTTGATGAGAAGAGCTCTTGGCCGTTCTGTGTTCGTACGCCGCGCGGTGCGCAGCACTCGACCGTCGCCCGCGCACGATGCTCGCAGGGCGGAGGGAGCGGGGGACAGCGCGGACGTGCCCGCCGCGGCCGCGGCCGACAAGCGAGCCCGCTTTGTGCGCGGCACTAGCGACGATGTCGACACAAGCGCGGACAGCGCGCGCAGCTCCCCGCAGGGCCCGCAGGCGGTGTCGGACATCTTCTCCGCGGACTCGGACGCGCCGGGGTCCCCCGACGCCGCGTCACGGACCACCGCGGGCCACCCGCAGCAACGCACCGTCTCCGGGGGCCTTGCCTCCCCGTCCGACTCCCGGGCAGCGCCGTCCGGGGTCGGCCGCGCGAGCTCGGACCCTCCCAGTGAAATGCTCTACCGGTGCGCCCCGGCCCGCCCGTCGCCCGCACCGCCCCGAATATTCTGTGGTCGCGCGACGACGCGGTGCGGCCCCGTTCCGGATGGACTGCAGGTCGCAGGACTACGAGGTGTCTCCGCTGACGGATCTGCAGACGGGCAGGCTCGGGGCGCAGTCCGCGACGCCGGCGGCGGGCACGCCCGGGGGGTCGGACCTGGTGGGCCAGCTGGCGGCAATGCTGGCGTCGCAGCTGCGGCCGCAGGACGGCCAGGGGCGCGGGAACGGCGACGTGGACCCTTCGACCATCGATCCGCGCGTGCTGAACGACGTCCTGCGGTCCGTGGCGAACATGCCCACGCCGCATCTCGCGCAGGCTGCGCCGGCACCGCAGCGCGCCGTCTCGCCGCCAGCGCGCCCCGCGCCGGCCGCAGCGCCGGACTCGCCGGAGCTCGGCATGGACATGGTTTCTGAGAGCGTGTACATCGTCCCGGGCGCCCCCGCGGGCCTCATCGGGGAGGGACTCCCCCCGGGGGGTGCCAGCGACGAGTACGACTTGCAGCCAAACACCTCCACGCCGCGCCTGGGCGACGCCAGCCGGTCCCGCGACGCCTCTCGCTCCCCGCAGGCCGCGCGCGGCCGCAGCGCCAGCCCCGCTGCACCGCCCCAGCCCCCGCCGCAGCCGCAGTCGCCGACCATGGGCAGCCCCGGCGTGGACGTCCGCGCGTCCGCGCAGTCGCTCAGTGCGGTTCCCGTCGCGTACGTGCCGTACCCGCCGGGCGCGTACGCCGCACCGCCCGCCCCTGGCCGGGACATGACGGCGGAGGTTGGGGAGCTGCGCGAGGAGCTCGGGCGCGCGGCGGCGGCGTTCGAGAACCTCCAGGAGCGCCTGAAGGGGGAGTCGTCGTCCCGGAAGAACGCGGAGATGGCGCTCGCGTCGCTGCGGCGGGATCACTCCGAGGTGGTGGAGGCGCTCGACGCGACGCGCGCGCACCTGGAGGAGGCCACGGCGGCGAACGAGAAGATGCACAAGGCGATCGGCGCGCGCGAGGAGCAGCACCGGGCCGCCGCGGCGTCGCTGCTGGAGCAGCACCGCGCGCAGGTGGCGTCGCTCCTCGAGAAGCTGCACGCAGCGGCGGAGCGCGAGAACGCGATGCGCGCGCACCTCGCGGAGGTCGCAGGGCGCGGGCGCGAGCTCGAGAGCGCGCTCGCGGAGATGGGCGAGGGCATGCGGAAGCGCGACGTCGACATGGGCAACATGCACCGGCAGTGGGGCGCGGCGGTGTCGCGGGTCGAGGAGCTCACGGGGCGCTGCGTGGAGCTCGAGGGGACGCTCGGAGACGAGCGGCAGCGCGTCGCGCGCGCCGCGGAGGCCGAGGAGGCCATCCAGGGCATGGTTGCGCAGGTCCGCGAGGACAACGACGCGCTGCGGCTGCGGCTGGACCGCACGGAGCAGGCGCTGGAGGCCGCGAAGGGGCGCATGCGGGAGATGTTCGAGCAGGGCAAGGCGATGCTCGCGTCGCGGGAGAACCTCGTGCAGCAGCACGAGGCGGTGGTGCGCGAGCGCGACGCGCTGGCGGCGGAGCGGGCGGCGCTGGTGCAGCGCGTGCGCGGGCTGGAGGCGGACGCGGCGCGCGGGGAGGGCGTGCTGAAGGCTGCGAAGGAGGAGCTCTCGGACCTCGCGGCGCGGCACCGCGCGGCGGTGCGTGCGCTGGGACAGACGCAAGCTCAGCTCGCCGCGGAGCAGGCGCGGCGGCGCGAGGCCGGGGAGAGCGACGCGGACGGCGCGGGCGCCCCCGCGGGCGGCGCGTCGTCCGAGGACGTGCTGACGAGCATCGTGCGGAAGCTCGCGCGCGCGGAGACGGGGGCGCCGCGAGCTGCGCCGTCGGGCCCCGCGGCCGCCGCGCACCGCGACGCCGCGGCGGTGCTCGCGCTCGAGGACCTCGCGAACCCCGCAAGCGCGGACCCGGGCGTGCGTGCGCGGCGCGAGGCCGTCATGGAGGGCCTCGCGGACGCCGTTGCTGCGCGCATGTTGGAAGCAATGGGCCCGCCACGTGGCATGCGCCTCCCGCCGTACGCGTACGGCCCTCCGCGCGGCTGGCATGGGCCGCCGGAGGGCCCGCCGCAGATCGAGGCGCCGCCGCCGCGGCGTGCGCCTTCCGTGGACGACGCGCCGCCACCGCCACCGCCACCGCAAGCGCAGAGGGCACCTGAGCCCGCGGCGTCGCCTGCGAAGCCCGCGCCGGAGAAGCAGGCGCCGGTGCCCGCTGCGTCGGGGCCGCCGAAGGTGCCGTCGACGTACGAGGCGTGGGCTGCGCGGCGCATGGGCCCGGGCGGGCGGCCTCTGTTGCCACAGCGCGACGCCGAGGCTCCGCGTGCCCCGCCAGCGCCGCCGGAGCGGCCGCAGACCGCAGCACCGCCGCAGCGACCTCCTGACCCACGCGTCCAGCGACCGGCCCCGCCGGAGCGCCCGCAGACGGCTGCACCGCAGGCGAGCGGGCAGGACGCGGCTGCGCCGTTCGGAACCGACGGCAACCTGCGCGACATGATGGACCAGACGCAGGCGGTGGAGGACCGGCTGATGGCGCTCAACCGCGAGCGCGAGGCGCTGCAGGCGGAGTTTGCAAAGATGCCCCCGGGGGCGGGCAAGACCATGACTCAGCGGCGACGCAAGGCCGAGGTGGAGGAGGGGATCGAGCGCGTGACGAAGGAGATCAGCTCGTGCCGGCTGCAGCTGAAGCGGCTCGGCGTGCGCTGAGGGCGCGTGGCTGTGATGCGTTGTGGCCTGTTGCCGAAGTCAGTGTGGGCGCAGGACGAGCGAGATGCAAGTAGAACGAGGCTGCAACACAACCATGGAAAAGAGAAGCAGTACGACACATACGTCTTCTGGAAATTACAGTGACCGGAACAGGGGTGGCCGAGAGCAACGGCGGCGGCAGAGCATCCGCACGCATGGTTCGTATCCATGAGAGATAACAACGCAAGTGCAGATGTCGATGGTCCAACACACCTGCGCGACCAGCTTGAGGGAAACCTCGTGCTTTTTGCGGGCCATGGACCCGTCAGAGGGCCGTCGCTCAGCCAGGACGCCGGGCGGGTCCCCAAGGACCTCGATGTCGCCGTGCGGTCGTTCGGGGCGGGCGTCTCGATACGAGCAAGGTCGCTGCGCTAGGAGTCACAGCGAATGATCACGCCGCCCAGCGAGGGCGGGACAGCAAAACGTGACTCGTAGCCTTCCGTCAATGCGCAGTAAGGCACTGGAGGCGCAACGCCTCACCGCCTGGTCGCCCTGCCGGCCGCGGCCTGCTGCTCCGCGAGCTGCTCGTCGATCGCCGTGGACAGCCACCCGCGCATCATTTCGTCGCCCTGTCCGCGCGGCAACGCCCCCCAAAACACCCCCGGGAGTCCGCACAGGTCCAGCACGAAGGGCACGCGCACGAGCTTCCACCCGCGCTGCTGCAGGTCGCGGTCCCGCAGCACCGTCGCCGCGACGAGCCGCCGCATGTCGTTCCTCTGCACGGCCAAGCACACCAACGCACGGGCTGTGAAATCAACTCGACATGCACATGCGCTGCGGACATGCTGCTGGCGAGCAGCGCTGGCCCACGCACCATGAAATGTGGCTCCCCGTCGACCTCCACCGCGATCTTCACGCCCTCCAGCGCCCCGCCCTCCACGCCGATCACCGCGACGTCCACGCTGCGTAGCGGCACACCCCCCTCGGCCGCCCCCTCGCCGCCCCCGTCCAAAAACTCCGGCTCCACCACGAGATCCCGCTCGAACCCCAGGCCCCGCACCACCGCCCGCACCTGCCCGAACACCACCCTGTGCTGCGTGTTGAGCCGCCTTGCGCCCCCCGCTGCCCACCCGTCCCCGCCGCGCTGCCGCATCACGCCCGCGTTCCACGCACGCGTCGCGGCCTCGAGCAGGCTCGCAGGCAGGTTCCTGCGCGCCTCGGCACTCAGCGCCGCCGCCTGCGCCACCTGCGCCAGCCCAGCGTCCTGCGCATCCAGCGCGCCCGCATCGACAACGCGCGCCGCGAACCGCCACCACGAGCGGTCCTCGTGGCGCATCAGCGCGGCGGACCACACCAGGTTGCACATCGGCTGCACCACGAGGTCCTCCGGCTGCGCCGTGACGCTGCGCCAAGCGAGGGCAGAGGGGGGGTGTTATTTCCGCTTGCGTCAGTCCGCGTCATGCAGCGACACGTCAGGGCAGCGGAGCACGCGACTCGGACGGCAGCAGCAACCAAAGTCGGACGAACCAACACTGCGCGGCGCGATCCCGCGCCCCGCACACAGTCGAGCGTCGACGCCACGCACAGCAGGGAGCGCGGGCCGGGGGCGCTCACCGCTTCTGCACCTCCTGGAACAGCGCGTCGCGCTGCTTCGGCGGCGGCACGTGGCCGAGCACCGCCATGCCGTGCATCGCGTTCGTCAGCGCCTGGAGCGTCGCCGCGCTGCGACTCGCGACCGCCGCGTCCACCAAGATCGCGAGCACGTCCTCTCCGGGGTACCACCGCAGCCGCCCGAGCGCCCAGAGCTGGCTCGACACCGCCTGCGGCGTCACGTCGCGCGCGCCCTGCCCACTGTGGCGGCGCCACACGTCCAGCATGCGGTCGGCCCAGTCCGGCCCGAGGCCGCGCAGGTCGGCGTTGAGCGTCGCGAGGGCCCACCAGGCGTTCGCGGCCTGCCGCGCGTCGCAGGTCGCGAGCTTCGTTTGGTCGCGCGCGATTTCCTGCGCCAGCGGGAGGGGGTCCGGGGCGACGCGGCCGTCGACGTTGAGCGCCGCGATGGCCCAGAGCGCCGAGGTGAGCGCGTGGGAGCTCGAGGCGCGGAGCTTGGACGGTTTCGAGAGGATGCGGACGAGGTCTCGGACGAGGAGCAGCAGTCTCTGCTTCTCGTCTGGCGGCGCGTCGGCGGGCAGGTTGAGCTTCGCGAGCGCCCAGAGCGCGTTGCTGTAGCCCTGCGGCCTGTCGCTGCCCAGCTCGGACTTCCGCAGGCCCGCGAGGAGCCCCGCGACGGCGCCCGCGCTCGCCCGCAGCCTGGCCAGGGCGTCGTCGCACGCGCCGCGTTCCGCGAGCGTCTCGTGCAGCCGGGCGTGCGACCACAGCAGGTTGATGATCTCGCGCGTCCCGAGCATGTCGTCGCCCCGCCTCCGCGCGTCCACGGCCTGCAAGGACGCGCCGAACACCAGCGCGGTCCCATTGGTTAGGGTTCCGCCGAGCGCCTGGCTCGCGGAAGATGCCGGCCGGCCGCCCGCCGCGAGCGCTTGCAACGGTGAGCAGGAGCGCGGATTCGCGGGCGCTGACCTCGTCCGTGATCCTCACGACGAGGTCGACCAGTTCGGAGGGGGCCAGCGGAGGGCTGGCCCCGCGGCCGGAGCGGCGCACGCCGGACGCGGTGGACACCAGGGACGCGAGCCTGGTGACTGCGGTGGCGCGGTTGACCTGGTTGAAGAAGTCGCCTTCCGCGAGGTACAGGTCTAGGACGCAGCCACTGTCCTCGCAGTCCTGCAGAGCCCGGTTGCGCAACAGGTCCTCGGGGGCCGCGCGCTTGGACGCTCCGCGCTGCTGATTGCCGCGACCCCACGCGAAGAACCCGGTCCCGTTCCCGCCCGCGTCTGAGCCGTCGTCGTCTTGCGGGCTGCGCGCATCGAAGGGAGGCACTTAGGTTCGACGAGGGACGGAATGCAGGAGCGGGTGGGCGCCCGCAGAGGTCGAAAAGGACGGCGCAGTGGCCCTGGGAGCTGGTGCGATGCTCTGAGGCCCCGGTCCGCGTGCGGCAATCGTTGAGTGCGTCGGATTGCGCGACACCAGTGCTTGCCTCTCGTCGTCGTCGCCAGGCATCTTGACCGGGCGTCTCTTCGCGCGCATGGTGCGCCGGCTCTCCTGCTTGTCCCAGAACTCATCGCTGCCGAACTCGTACGACGCGCACGCGACGTGCTCGCGCCGCGGGGCCTGTCTCGCCCTGCGCTCGGACCTCACGCCCAGGTTCGGCCGGTTCGCGAACCGCAGCGGGGGCCCCGTGCGCACGCGCGGCACCGCCATGATCCTGCAGGTGTGCTCGGCGCCCTTGCATCGCAGAGCAGCTCCAGCTGGCGCCCCGCAGGGGTGCCCAGCAAGCTCTCTCCCACGCATCTCGCTCTCCGGTCCTCAAACGCACATCGCGCAGTCCAAGTTGCGTCTTCGGAAAGATAGACAGATCACAGAGACGTGCCCCAGGCGCCGGGAAGCCGCCCTAAGAAGCGCAGGCGTCGTCACAGGGACAGAGGTCTCCTGGACACACGTGTGTACGGCCCAGGCACGCCACGTCCCGTCGAACGCGCACCGTTTCCGCACGCGCGCGGGCAGCTCGGAAGCTCAGGAGGCCCGTGAGACGTCGCAGCGGGCGAGCCAGCGTCCGCAAACTCACTCCCGCGCCGGGGCACCCCTTGCGTCACATCCCGCGCCCACCACGAACAGCAAGTCGCGGCGCTCGCGGCTGGGAACGCAGCGCTTCGCCGAGGGGAGGACACGACCGCACGTGGGACGATCACGCGGTGCGCCGCCGGCGCGTTCAGTAGAACATGATTCGTCGCAGGCGACAGTAGGCGACGATCATCATGAAGCAGGCCGCCGCCACGAGGATGCTCACCATCGTCACGACCCAGAACGCCCTGCAGGTCCGTCGGACGCGCGCCGCTGCGTGAGCGCTGGCCCGCAGCGCGGCGACCGCCCCCGGAGCGGTGCGACGTGCAACAAGCAGCTCAGCGGGCGGGTCGGGCGGGGGGCGCACGTGTAGGAGGCCTCGACGCGGTTCGTGAGGTTCATCCCGAACACCGCGCCGACGCTGCCGACGATGGCGAGCGAGAACGTCGCGCTGGACACGAAGACCTCGAGCTTCATGAGAGCGTTGCGCTGCCGGTCCAGCTCGACGCTCAGGAAGTCCTCGGCGTGCGTGAGGCGCTCCTGCGGGCGGCGGCGACAGGGCGCGTCGGCACGCGCCGCGGGGGCGACCAGCGAAGGGAAGAGAAGGCAATCGAACACGTGATGTGCGAAACCGAGAAAGGAAATACGAGAATTGGGAGCGCGACGGTCGGTGCGGAGCCGAATGCGGCGGGTGGCTGGCGGCGGGGCCTGACCTGGACCTGCGTGAGCCGCAGGGCTGCGCCGCCGAGAGATATGGAGTGCGGTTCCAGCACCAGACTCACTTCCTCGACTAGCTCCTTCATGATGTCCTCGACTCCGCCGCTCCGCATCGAAACCGAGTCCAGCTCGTCCGCCGCGAGCGCCTGCTTCCGCAGCTCGTCCGCGCCCCCCGCCGCGTCCGACGCCATGCTCTGCCCGCGCTCGCTCGCCTCCGCCAGCGACGCCAGCCCTGCTTGCCACCGCGACTGCTCCGGACCCCCGCCGCCCTCCTGGCTGCTCCGGCCCGCCGAGCTCAGGCTCCGCAGCGTAGGCTGGAACGCCTTGATCGCGTTCGCGAGCGTGTGCATCGTCAGCCGCTGCTGCAGCGTCCCGCTGTTGTCGGGCAGGGCATCTAGCAACTCGCCCGAGGGCGGCGGGAGCTCGACGGGCGGCGGCGTGGCGTCGACCCCGCGGCCGGCTTCGGCCTGGCTGCTCAACGAGGGCAGGCCATCGCCGGACGCGTCCGTTTCGCGCCCCGCGGCGCCCGACTCGCCGGGCGCGGGCGTAGCGTCGTCGATGCCGCGCCGTGACGCCGCGATCGCGTCGATCTCCTCCGGCGACAGCACGTCCACGGGCGCGTTCTCGTCGACCGGCGCCAGCGGGTCCGCGGTCGGCTGCACGGGCGGGGGCGCACTGGCTGCCACACCGCCGACGCTCGGCGGCTCTGCGGCAGGCTGCTCGGCGAGCGGCGGCGCCGACCCCGCAGCGGGTTGCGCGGGCGCGGAGCTTGGAGCGGCGCTGGCGGCGGACTCGAGCGCGGTGCCGGCCGCGGACAGCCGCGCCGTCCCCGCCGCGGACAGGCGCCCAAGCAGGCTGCGGGGGGTCGGCGGCACCGAGTGCTCCGCGGCGGCGTCGGCGTCCTCCTGCTGCGGGTAGTTCTCGAGATCTCGGACTTTTTCCGCCTGCCCGACCGAGTCCTCGTCGTCCAGAGCCATGTGCCTGCGCACAGCGGGGCAACAAAAGTCAGGGTTGTAGCTCGAGCGTGCGGCCGACGAACGCCGGGATCCGGAGCGCGTGCACGCCGACCGGTGTGTTTTTTTCGCCACGTACCGCGCGCGTTCCTCCCACGACAGGTGCATGGACCGCAGGGACTCCTCGGACTCGAGCAGGTGGTCGATGACCCCCGAGAAGCCCGAGATGCGCGCGTCCAGCCGCGAGACGCCCGCCTTGAGCACGCGGAGGTGGTCCAGGCCTTCCGAGTCGACGACCCGGACCAGCTGCAAGCACGCAAGCACGCCGCAGGCCCAGCGGGGAAATGAGAAGACAAGCGAACGCTCGCGAACGCGCAACGGACAGCGCGCGCCGTCCTCGTCGCCGGACGCGCCGTGCGCTGCGACGCACCCGTTCCAGCTGCTTGCTGATGGAGGAGTCCACGTCAACTACCAGCCCTGCCAGCTTGGCGACGATGTGCTCGATCACCGCGTCCAGACAGCGCAGCTCGAACGGCTCGTCGTCGTCGTCGTCCTGGAGGCCCTCGGTGACCCTCTTCACGACGTGCTGGATGAGCAGCTGCGTCTCTGGGCTGCGGCAGTGGGCGACGAGGAGCATGTTGGCGCTGATGACGCACCGCGCGTGCTCGACGCCCACGACGACGCGCTGCCCGCGACTGAGGATCACGGGGGGCAGCTGCCGCGCGGCGCTCTGCGCCTCGAGCACGCGCAGGTCGCGCAAAGAGAGACCCAGCAAACGAACCAGCCTGTGCTTCGGGACCATGTGCGTGGAGATGGTCGCGTCGGGCTGTATGCATGCCCACTCCCAGTTCGTGTGCGTCTGCGCCTTCTGCTTCAATTTCTCTTGCAGCTTCTGCACGGAAACGGCAACCGCAACGCACTCGTGTTCAGAGCGCGCGAATCCGCCGCGTCACGCGCCGCCGTGCTCGTGGCGCAGCATGACCGGACACAGAGGCGCCAGGTTCCCCATATGCGCCGAAGTATTCAAACGCATCAGCGCGAAATCTGCGCAGCGCGCGGCAGCAAGTCAATCGCTCAGCCCGCGCCGCGCGCACCCTTCTGTTCGCATTGCCGACCGACGACACCGATGAGGCGTCTTTCGACGGCCTAGGGTGCCCGGGCAGCATGCCCGCGCTCATTTCGGCGGCGTCCGGCGCTGCCGCTCCTCGACCACGCAACCACCGCCTGTGAAATCACCACCTGCGCGCGAATCGCCACACACCCGCGCGCTTCAGTCGATCTCGGCCTCAGCGGCGCCTCCTACGTCACCCTCTGCGCCTCGCACGCCGCGCCGCGAGGCCACCAGGCCCAGGGACACGCCGCCAGCGGACCGTCAGCCCGCCCGCCGACGCTGACGCAGCTCGTGCTGGTCTGACGCAGCCGCGCGCCCGACTTGCGCCGGGGACGACAGCCCGCCACCGTGCAAGCACGCACCTCTCCTGGCGACGCACTCCACACGTCGTGCGTCGTCTCGAGCCCACCAGCCACACCCCAGCGTGTTTGTTGCCGCGCTCTCACGTCGCTTCGCAGCGGACCCGGGCGGTCGAGCGCGCCGTTGCCTTTCAGTCACACTGCCCGGTGCAGAGCCAGCCACGTCAGGCCACAGCCTGCGTCAGGCCGGCACTGGCACTGTGGGGCGCGCGCGGGCTCCGTCGTCACGTGCCCGGTCGAGGGGGCTCGGTGGCATGCCGATCGACACACGCGGCGACGCGAACGGGCCCAGGAGCGCGCCCTCCGCGTCGAAGCCCTCCCCTCCGGGCCCGTCCTCGTCCCCTGAGTCGGAGAATAACTCCCCCCTCCCCTCGAGCTGGGCGGACCTGGCGCAAAAGTCCTCCCACTCCCCCACGTCCCGCATCTCGGGCCACTCCCACTCGAGATCCCCGCCGTACATCGCGGGAACGTTCTCCGCCCTGCAACGCCCAGAAACGCGCGCACGTCAGCAAGCAGCACACGACAGCGGCGGCGGTGCGCGGCCCCCGGTGCGCAGCCGCGGAGGGCAGGTCGCTGAGGACGCACCCGATGAGGCCGCAGAGGGTCTTTCCGGGGTTCCCGCCGACCATGCTGATCTTGCGTTTGGTTTTGGGGGGGAGGAGTATTGACACGACGTTCCAGAGCATGCCGCAGCCGCGCGGGACGTTGATGATGAGGATCTTCGAGAGCGTCTCCGGGAAGAAGTCCAGAGCGACGCCGGACTCCTGCTTCGTCGCGGGTGACGTCAGGTGCTTGAGCATCCCCACCGGCGACACGTGCGCCATGTCGAGCACCATGATCACGTCCTCGACGTTGTACCCGCGCGCGGCCGACTCCATGTGGCACATCAGCCGCACCGCCTCCTGCGAGGACGCCTGCAGCAGCAGCCTGTCGTTCAGGCTCGTGCGGTGCCCGTACCGCCGCCGCAGCGTCTCCTTCGCCCGCTGCCAAATCACGGGCCGGCCCCCCCTGCGCACAGCGACCAGGAGCGCTCGCTCGAACGTGCCGGACGCGCAGTGCGGGGGAACGGCGTTCGAGTAAGAACAAGGATAGAGTACAAGCATGAGTCAAAGACGTGTGTGATGTGGTGCGAGGGCCATGAGAGACGGGGTTTTGCTGCCGACGACACGCGCGCGCGACGATGCGTTCGGTTGGGCCCGTGCGCAGTCCCGGCGCACCTGCACGTGCCGATGACCACCGCCTGGATGTAGGTCCCGTACACCCCCCGCAGCCGCTGAGTCAGGGCGCCGGGGCGCGCGCGCACGCGCTGGATCTGGTCCAGGAGCTCGGTCGGGTAGCAGAAGATCGGGCGCACGACCGGGCTCGGCGAGACCTGCATCTCCGCGAGATACTTAGATAGGAATTTCCGATACATTCTCTCCGTCTCCTTCTGGTCGAAGTCGCGCGCGCGCAGGAAGCGCAGCATGTCGTGGTCCGTGTGCATCAGCTGCGACACCGGAAACCGCGCCCGGAGGTGTTCCAGCGCCGCAGTCTGACTCGCTGTCAGAGACCCCAAGTACCCCGACTCCCCCTCGTGCCACGGCGCGACCGGCAGCAGCGGCAGCTCCGCCGCTTGCTCCACGCTCGCTCCGTATATCCTGCACAACGAACCCGCCACCACCGCTCAGATCCGGCCTCAAACGCAGCAGGTGGCAGCTCTATTGTTTTCATGCATAGCTGCGCGTGACGCACAGCCCGGCCTGCGCCGCTCGCCTGTTGTACGCGCGTATCTTCTCCCTCTCGATCTCGAACACTGCGAGCGCCTCGGCCCCGTCGTCGCTCGTCACCGACGCCCGCTGCAGCGCACACGCCGCCACAGGCTCAGCCTTCAGCGGCGCACTCGGCTCAGCCCCGCTCGGCTCCGTCCCGAACGCCTCCGTGCCGTTCGTCTCCGTATCGGCGACGACGGCGCTCGGCCGCAACGGCGTCGACGGCCCGCTGGACACCCCGTCGTCGTCCCAGCTATCAAAGATGTTGTGCGACACCAGGCGGGCCAGAGTCAGCTTGCGCGCAAAGTACTTCTCCCCGCCCGGCGGCGCGCGCTCGTGGTGCCCCGGGCCTGCACGCAGGACGGGCGCGCGGCGCGGGGTGTGCGGCAGGACGCAGCACCGGGAGGGCGCAGGGGTCGCAGACGTGAATTCACCGCGCCGCACCTTCGTTCGCGTGATTCGTGAAGACCCACGCAGGGAGAGGTATCGCCTCGATCTGCCCATCTGGCGTCGGCGTCCAGAGCGGCTCTGCGGGGGCCGTGGCTCCGGGTGCGTGGTCCACCTCCGCTGCGGGCCCGTCCCCGCGCCACCCGCGCGAAACGAACGCCGGCGAATGGAACACGCAATCGCCCCCTGATGACACCGCGGCCGACGGAGCCGGCATTCCGCCTCGCGCGCCGCAGCAGTGACCTGGGCCTCGGCCCGGAGCCCGTCCAAGTGGCCCCCGCGCTCCGAGCGCTGCTCGGGCAGCGCTATGGGCGGGCACGTGGATGGGTGTCCGTCAGGACCCCCAGAGATCGAAGTTTCCGCAGTGTGCTCTGAGTCAGAAAGCGCGAATCTTGTCTACGGACAGAGAACCGTTCCGACCCCCTTGATGACGCGCCCAGTGCTTTTCGAGATCGACTGCGCAGCGGAACGGCTCACTGTATCGCTGACAACCGACCCTGAACCGCCCAGCCCCTGCCCGCGGCGTAACGGGTGCGGCACGTCCACTGCACTCCTGGCGCTACTCCCACTGCAGTTGATCAGCCGCTGCACTGGCGACGCAGAGCCGACGCACCCCTGTCGACGCGCAGAGTGCGCGCGGACCTCCGGCGGCTCTCCCTGTGACCGCGCCGGCCTCGACGACCAGCACAGAGCGTCAGGCGGGCCGGAGCCTGCGCGTTGTTGGTCTGTCAGCCCCGTGACTCCCCCCACGTCGCCCCGCGCTGAAGTGCGTGCGTCTCCGCGCACATGCGGATCATCAGGCGTGGCGGTCCGTCGCCTGTGGCCTCTCTTCCGCACCACGCGCGACGAGGGCGCAAGCACTGTCCCAGAAACTACCGACCAGCACAATGCCCTGCCCGCACGCGCGTGGCCGGCTGCCGTGAGCTGCGCGCCATCTCTGTGCCTGTGCGGCCGGCAACATGGGCGCGGGGGCGTCGAAGAAGACGGTGCCGGACCCAGGGCCCAACGTAGGCGCCGTGGGGCCCCGGCCAGCCCCGGAGGACCTGCCGCGGGATGAGGAGCTGCGCACCATCCACGAGCAGACGCTCGACCAGGTCCCGGACGAGCACCGGCAGATCGCGAAGAAGAACAAGCCGCTCATGCGCAAGTGCGACGCCCATCTGCACCTTCGCGACCAACACACGGCGCCAACGACCGCCGCGCGCGCCCGTCCCGTGCACGCATCGTTTCCGACGTCGTGCGCGGGGCGATTCGTGCTGTCGTGCCGGCACGACGCGCCCAGCGCGTCGACGAGCAGCGCGCTGGTCACCAGAGCTGTCGCCCTCCGTGGGGGCGCCGCGGTCGCCGAGCGTTGCCGCTGAGCCGCGCGGCTCCTCCGACTGTGATGCTCGTGCAGGACGAGCTCCATGCGGCAGCTCATCGAGGAGGCAGACGACGAGCAGCGGGCAAAGGAGCGGAGAGCCATGTTGACAGGCATCCACGGCAGCCAGGTGCGGCGCGTGCGGGCCCGCCTTCCGCGACCGGCGTCGTCAGCGACTCTCGCGCATCCAGGCATGCGGGTCCTGCGCCCGGGACCGCTCACCTGCTGCAGCGAGCGCACAGCATGCTTGTGCTCCGCCGTTGGCTCTCCGCGGCCGCTGCGGGCTCGAAACGCCATGCATAGGCGCACAATCAGTTTTACCGGTATTCACGTGTCCTGCGAGCCGCATTGACGGCGCGTCGGTGCCCGGAACCGCATGGAATGGCGGCAAAGTCTGCGCAGAGCCCTCACGCGGCACGCCGCCTCGCCCCCTCCCGCGCCGCGCAGCGCCACATGCGCACGAGCCAGCGCAAGCTCGAGGTCCAGAGGTCGTTCGGCAGGCAGTCGTCCATCAAACAGCTCCTGGTAGAAAATGAAGGCCTCGCGCGCGCCGAGTCCCCCCACTACGAAGCCAGCTCGCCGTCGCGCGCGCGCGAAACATACTCCCCCGCGAGACCGGGCACCTCCGCGATGTTCGACGGCGACGACCCGTCCTCGAGCAGGCCGCGACTCGTGCGGAACGTCAGTCATGGTGCGGCGGGCTTCTCTCTCAGCGGCGACCCGGCGCGGTCGAGCGAGGTGCGTGCAGCGCGTGCGCTCAGCAGCGCGACCACCCCGGCCTCGCGCGCGCCAGCTGTTCGCGCGCGATCCCTCCCGCCGACGGCACCGTGCGCGCGTGCTATCGCATGCAGGCGGAGTCGGCGCGCCGGGACGGCAAGAAGCTGCGGAAGGCCCTCAAGGGCAAGTCCAAGAGCATGATGCAGCGCGCGCAGGACGCGAACGCCTCGGACTCGGACGCCGCCTCGCCAGCGCGCGCTCATGCACACACCGACGTCGAGCCGGGCGGCAGCGGGCGAGCCGCCCCGCTGCGGGCCAGGGAGACCGACAAGTCGGTGCCGGGCGAGCCGTCCGCGCACGCCGAGCCGACCCCGGAGCAGCTGCAAACCCTGATGGAGAACGACACGCCCTCGCAGGGCAGCGCGGCGCCAGGGTCGCCGGCCGCCCTGCAGTGGCGCGCCGCGAAGGCCGCGCTCGAGATGCAGCAGAAGCGCGCGGACATCGCGGCGGTCGCGGCCGCGGACGTGCACCAGCGGCGCCTCGCGCGCGCGGCGGCGCGGCGCAGCGCAAACCAGACCTGGGGGGACATGATGACGCGGCGGCGCACGGCGGTGCTAGGGCGCCCGATGTCGAAGAAGGAGGTGGCGCGGAAGCGCATGAAGGGCTTCGTGCAGCAGTACAAGATCGTCGTGCGCTCGGGCGTGCACCAGGTGTCGGGCAACGACGCCGACCTGGAGCTGTACGTGGGGTTCACGGCCAGCGCGCACGCGCAGCCGGGGGGCCTCGCGCTGCGCGCGACGAATGAGGTGCGGTCGCCGATGCCGCCGCTGCAGTCGAACCCGGACGGGACGCACGAGCAGGTTCTGCTGCTGTCCGCACAGGCGGAGCTCGGGGACGTGGCGTTCGTGTCAGGTGAGCCGCGGCGAACGGCGCGCTGAGTGTGCGTGCATGTGGGTGCTCGTGCTGCGTGTACGTGAGCTCCTTGGCGTGCGGCGCTGCGTCGGACGGGAGCTTTCGCGCCATGCATGAACACACGTGTTCCCAACTCCCTTGTTTCGCTCCGTGCGCGTCCGCAGTGGTCAACAAGGGCAAGGGGGAGGTCGCTGCGTGGGAGCTCGTCCACATCGAGGTCGAGCGCTCCTTCGACAAGGGCCTGGTCATCCGCGAGAAGGCCAACAAGCGACGGGGGAAGAAGGGCGCCGAGGACGGCGACGCGGACGACGAAAGCAACCCCACGCGCGTCCGCTTCCCCGCGCGCGCGTGGATCGAGGCCGGCCAGGTCCGCACGTTCTTCCCCCAGACGCTCCTCCCGCGCCCGGCGAACGACGTCGAGGCGGCGGCGCGGCGCACGGAGCTCGAGGGGCGGCGCGCGGAGTACTCGTACCACTTCAGCGAGGGCCTCCCGAGCACGAGCGCGTTCTCGCCGACCGACATGCCGATGGACGAGGTCCCGGACCCGAAGCATATGCTCTTCGACATTTTGGAAGAAGGCAGAAAGGTTCTGGCGGAGCGCAGCCTGGACCAGCGGTTCGTGGACGGCCTGGGCAAGCCGTGGCGCAGCGTCAACTTCGGCGACGCGCGCGCGGACTCGCTCTACGCGGAGGTCTACGGCCTCGAGGGCAAGTCCAAGACGCAGCGCCGCGCCATGGCCATTGCCACGTTCGTGCGCCCCAAGTTCAAGAAGGGCGGCGAGGAGGCGCGGTCGGAGCGGGCGCAGGCGATTCGGTACGGGCGGCAGTCCGTCGAGGTCAAGGGCGACATTGAGAAGCAGAAGGATGTCGTGTCGAAGCACATTGCCGCCATCGAACGCGCGCAGACGGAGATGCACCTGCAGCTGCAGGCGGCGAAGGCGGCGCAGGACGCGGCGCCGCCCGGGGCGCCGCCGCTGAACCCGGACGAGTGGATTTTGGCCGCGAACCTGACGATGGATCAGATCGACCGACTGCACATGTCGTACCGGTATAACGAGGCGTGGCTGAAGCAGCTCAACCAGCCGATGCGGATCAAGTGGGTGACGTCGTCGGAGGAATCGGCGGCCGGGAGCAACGACGAGAGCTCGTCCGACGAGGAGCGGCTGCGCCTGAAGCGGCTCCTGGGCGACCACGGCAGCGGCGACAGCCTGGAGATCAAGCGCAAACGGCGGCTCCGGCGGAAGACGAAGCTGCAGAAGGAGCTTGAGGCGCAGGCGCTGGAGGCGCCGCCCGGCGCGCAGAGCGACTCGGACGACGACGGCGGCGGCGGCGAGGGGCGCAGGACCAAGGCCGTGCTGCCGCGGCACGACAGCGGCGCGATTCAGTTCCCGCGGCTGGACGACATGGTCGACTCGGACACGCTCGGCTCGGACTCGTCGTCCGAGTCGGACGGCGGGCTCGAAGTCCCCCGCGGGGCCTTGCGCGGCAACTTCCCCATGCCGAGCAACATGAAGGACGACGCGTGGGCCGCGGACCTGGACTTCGGGCAGCAGTTCCTGATGGGCGCGCACCCGTGCGCGATCGAGATCGTCCGGCAGGTGCCGCCCGAGTTCCTGTGCCTCGACGACGACGAGTATGACGAGCTGCTGGAGCAGCTGCTGCCGCGGGACCACTCGCTGGAGGAGGAGGCGCACGCGGGGCGCGTGGCGCTGGTGGACTACAGCCGCGTGATGGAGGCGGCGGGGATGCAGGCGTCGTCGGTGAAGGTCGCCGGGGAGCGCCGCCACGTGTGCGCGCCGCGGATTTTGTTCTACTACTTCGACACCAGCGTGCGGACCGCGGCGGACGGCGCCGCGCCGATGGCGCTCGCGCTGCAGAAGCGCGCGCTGCTCCCGATCGCCATCGTGCTCGCGCCCGCGCGCCGCGGGCAGGCGCGCCGGCGCGTGTTCACGCCGCTGGACCACCCGAGCGTGTGGCTGGCGGCGAAGACCGCGGCGGCGTCGGTCGACGCGCAGATCCACCTCGGCGTGTCGTGGTACCTCAAGACCGTCGCGGTCATGGAGCCCATCGCGGTCTGCATGCACCGCAACCTCGTCTCGGGCCACCCCATCTTCCGCCTCCTGCACACCTTCCTGCGACACGCGATATCGACGGGCGTGGCCGCGCGGGAGTGGTTCCTGGGCGAGCACGGCTTCTGGGCGCAGACCGCCGCGATGCCCGTGCCGAACCTGCTGCGGCTGCTGCGCGAGGAGTACAAGACGTGGTCGCTGGAGACCAGCACGATGCCGGGGCACATGGAGGCGATGGGGGTGCTGGAGACGACGACGATCCGGACGTACCCGTTCCGCGACGACGGCATGATCCTCTGGAAGGTCATCGTGCAGTTCGTGGGGGAGTACGTGGCGCTCTTCTACCCGGACGACTTTGGCGTGCAGGACGACGCAGAACTGCAGGCGTTCTTCGAGGAGCTGAGCACCGTCGCGCTGCCGTACGACGAGGACGCGGTCGACCCCGACGCCGGCGCGACGTCCGCGCACTCCCGGCGCTCGCGCCGCGCCGCGTCTGCGCCGGGCCAGAGCCGGTCCGAGGGCAAAACGCCCCGCCTGCCGCAGCGGCCGGTCCTGACGCAGGTGCTGGACTCGCGGTCGGCGCTCGTGGGGCTCCTGGCGGCCGTGGTGTGGACCGCGTCGGTGCAGCACGCCGCGATGACGTCAGGCATGTATGACGCTCTGGCGCACGTGGGGTGCCGGCCGCTGAAGCTGCTGAGGAAGCCGCCGGGGCAGACGACGGGGCAGGTGAACCGCGCGGCGTTCTCGCTGATGCTTCCGGACCAGCGCTCGACGCTCCTGACGGTCGCGGTCTCCTTTCTCCTTACGCGGGGCACTGCCGCAGCGGGGGAGTCGCTCGGCGGCGGGCGGCTCCCGGCGCTGTACCTCGACGGGCACCCGGAGGTCGAGGAGATCGTGCGGCGCTTCGAGCGGTCGCTGCAGGCCGTCGAGGAGGCCATCAAGATCCGCAACACGGGCCGCAAGCCCGCGTACGAGCGCATGATGCCGTCGCGCATCAACCAGTGCGTCGGCACGTTCGTCAACGAGGGCGACCGGTAGCGGCCTCGACGTGTACATTCGTGGTAGGACTGAGGCGAGGCCATCATGCCTTGGCAGGCGTTGGCGCACACAGCCCAACCTTTGATTGATTGTGAAAGGTTGGCCAGTCAGACAGAACTCGGCGGCTCGCGCCGACCACCTCGTCAGACGGCGTCTGGGATCGCGGCGAGGCGTGGGGCGGTGCGGGCGCGAGCTGTGAGGCAGGTGCGACACGGCGCTGATTTGCAACACAGCGAGGCGTGCGGGCGCGCGAACGACGTGCCTAGCGTTCGTGCAGGATCCGGGATCTTGGGGCTCGGCTTGCGGTGGCACGACTTGACGCCTTCTTGGCGGGCGACGGCCCTGCTGCGGTTGTCGTGCTGGTCGAGGCACTGGGTACGCGCGATGGCCGACGATGAGCGGCGGACCTCTCAGTCACGTCAGCACGTCCTCCTTCTCGTGCGAGAGGCAGGATGGAGCGCCTTGCAGGAGGGAGAGGGCGTGATGTCGGTGCTTGACGCGCTGCAGTTCAACACGACGCTGCGCTGGATGAAGGTCCAGGTTCCATGCCCTGACAAGGTTTCAGCAGCGGCGAGGGAAGCGGCGGAGCGAGCGAACGCGCACGTGCTGTTCTAAGGGATCACGACGCGCTCTGTTCCGCGGGGAGGACGGCGACCTGTCAGGCACAATCGTGCGGTCACTCATTGAACAATCAGCCAACGTAGGAGGAGGACATACAAACTTGGCGGCCATGTGACTCCCGCAAGGCGCATGTCCGCCCGGCAAGCCCGGACAATTTAGCCATAATGCAGCAACGAACAAGCAGGGCACTCACAGCGCGCACCCTCAGCGGATCGTGATCGCGCCGGGCGTCGCCCGCACCGTCCCCGCCCTCCCGCGCGCGTGCGTCCGCCCCGCGCCCGGCCCCGTCGTCCGCGGCGTCCGCACCCCGAACTCCGACCGCCGCCCCGTGCTCCCCGGCGTCCGCGGCGCCACCTCGCCCCGCCCCGGCGCCGCCGCCGCCGCCTTCCGCGCCGCCCGCGCCTCCAGCAGCGCGTCCTTGAGCTGCTCCATCGCCCCGCGGTCCGACAGCAGCCCCGACAGGTCCGCGCGCATCCTGTCGCGCTCCGCGCCCGCCGCCGCAACCTCCCCCTCCAGCGCCTCGCACCGCGCCTCCGCGCGCGCCGCACGCTCCTCGGCCTCATCCAGGCACCGCACCAAGTACCCCTCCGGCGCGCCGCGCCGCTCCTCGCGCCGCGCCGCCGCCTCCGTCGCCACCGTCAGCTCCCGCACCTTCCCACGCAGCTCATCGCGCTCGCGCTCGAGCGCCGCGCGCGTCGCCTCGAGCTTGCTGCACCGCGCCGCGAGCTCCAGCGCCTGCTTCACGCGCCGCCGCACCGCCGTCGGCACCGCGCCCTCCAGCGCCCGCAGCGCGGCGTCCTCGCCCGCGGCCGGCCCCTCCGCGCCGGCGCCGATGATCGCCTCGTCGACGTGCGACTCGAGCAGGTCGTAGTGCGCGAGGCGCTCCTCCGCGTGCTGCAGCCGCGCCGTCATGTCCTGCACCTTCAAATTGTGTTCTGCGTCCGCGCGGTGGAACGAGTCCTGCAGAACGCGAACCTTCTCGTGCAGCATGTCGTTCTCCGCCCGCAGCGTCGCAGCAACGCTCCCGCGCTCGTCCGCGTCCGCGCGCGCCCGCTCCAGCTCGAGCGCACGCACGTGCAGCTGCCCGCGCAGCTCCGTCGTCTGCACGTCCCGCGCGCGCTGCGCGTCGCGCAGCGCCACGAGCGCCTCGTCGCGCGCGGCCTCGGCGTCGCGGACCTGCGCGCGCAGCCGCTCGCCCTCGGCCACCGCGCCGTCCCGCATGTCGCGCAGCACCCCCGCCTCCCGGGCGTACGCATCCGCGCCCTCCGCACGGATCCGCTCGACTTCGCGGCGCGACTCCTCGCGGATGCGCGCGACCTCGCCCTCGACGCGCGCCGCGACCGCCGCCGCGCTGTCGCGCTCGCCCTCGAGCAGCCGGCTCTGCAGGTCTCCGCGCGCGCGTTTCAAGTCCTCGATCTTCGACTCCCGTTGCGCCAGCCGCTCCTCGAGCTGCGCGACCTGCCGCGCCAGCGCCTCGCTCTGCTGCGTCAGGTACGCCTTGTCGACCGACAGCAGCTGCAGCGCGTGCTCGCGCTCCGCGTGCTCCGCACGCACCCGCTCGGCCTCCGCGCGCGCCGCCTCCGCGCCCGCCAGCCTCGCCTGCGCGTCGCGGTGCGCCTTGGCCGTCGCGTCGAGCTCCGCCTTCACCTCGTCGTACGCCGCGGCCTTGGCGCTGAGCACCTGGCTGCGCACGACGGCCTCCTCCATCTCGTGCTCGTAGCGCTCCAGGCGCGCGCGCATCCCGGCCACCTCGGCTGCGGCGTCGCGCTCGCGCTCGGCGGCGCGCGCGAGGGCGCGGTCGCGGTCGCGCTGCGCGCGCGCGAGGTCCTCCTGGACGCGGTCCGCGGTCTCGCGGTCCACCGCCGCGCACCGCCGCAGACGCTCGTTGTCCGCACGCAGCTCCTGCGGGGGAGGGGGTTGCAGGGGGGAGTCGGGGATGTGTTGGGTCGCGAACAGGTAGGACCGGTGGTGTGCGCGCGCAGGAACGGACCCTGTGCATCTGTTCGAAACAACCCGTTCAGTCGTGCGTTTCGTTGCAACGAATAATAATACACGGTTCCCAATTGTTCGTTTGTCATGTTGCGCCCGTGACGGGTTCGCGGACCTGCAGGGCCTCGTAGACGGCGACCTTGACCGCGTCCGGCAGCAGGCGGTCCTCCGGGTCGATCTTGCACAGCTCCTGGTACATCGCGTCGCTGATCGCAAGATCCTTGAGCTGGCTGCGCGCCGCAGCTAGCTGCGCCCGCATGGACGGGCCCTGCGCGTCCAGCTCCGTCTGCCGGAGCTTGAGCTGGCGAACCTCCTGCTCCAGCTGCTGCCGCAGCGCCACGATCTGCGCGTCGCGCCGCGCCACCTCGCCGTCACGCTCCTCCTCCGCCGTCCGCTTTCGGTTGAGCAGGTCCAGTACCCTGCAGAGCGCCCGCACACCGACGAACAGCGGATTTTGACGTCGCGGAGGCTTTGCAGGTGGGCTGGGTTGCGAAATGTCAGGTATTTAGGGGAGGTTCGCGGCGGAAATCGCGGGAGCTTGCCTGTCCTCGAGCGTTGCGATTCGCCGCTTGTACGTGGACTCGAGCTCCGACATCATGCGTCCTCGGGCTTGGTTGGGCCGAGACGCGCCCGCCGGGTCGCCCGGGTCGCTGCTCAGGTCGCTCACGCTCACGTCGAGGGCGCTCAGCCCAGAAACCTGCTCGCTGATGCCCTCCCGCGCGCCCCCTGACGCCCTGACGTTATCATCGAGGTGGTCTCCGGCGTCCTCTCCCTGCGTTCCACGCGGACAGCGCCGCAAGAGCGTCGGACAACGCGGACACCGCGCACGCGGGCGTCCGGAGCTTTGCGCATCCAAACCGTGCCGTGGCAGATGCGCCCAAGCGCCGTCCGGGGGCCCTCCCGCGTCACTCCGCGGCGCGCGGCCGAGAAACACGCTGCGTCGCACCTCTAGGCCGGCGAGCAGGCCTTCGACCCGGTCCCTCGTCCTGCCCACCATCCCTGCTCCCCACGGCCCAGTGCAGCGGCTTTCCTGGTGCGCACGGGGCGTTCCAGGCCCAAGGACGCGCCCCCACGCCCGGTCTATTCCGCGAAGGCTCGAGCGCGCGCGCGAGCGCACCCCTTCCACGCGTGATCACGTCGCGCTTGCGTCCAGTGCTGAGACCTCAGACACGGCGCCAGCGCAGCCAGAGTGGGACCTCAGCGAGCTACGGAGCGCAATGTTCGGACGCTGGAGGTCGCAGAGCGTGCGGAGCGCGTGCGAACGCGCGTGCAATGAGGCCGGCGGAGGCGCTAGGGCGGACTGACTGGAGGTGCAATTTGGACGCACCCGGGCCCGCCTTTGGCCCCGCGCAGCGTCGTCCGCGGCAGTTCTGGGCGTTGCGCCGCCAGACCGCGTGACTCGTATTCGACACAGGCCAGGAAAATCCGTCAGAGGCGCTGAGACGTCCGGATTTGACGCGTGCGCGCGGCCCATCGTCGTGGGCCAACGGCCTAGTTCCGCGTCGAGTCGACGGTCTGGGCGCGACGTGCGCGACGCATCCTCTCGCCTACCTATCCCGCGATCCTCTCATGGCGCGCTTTGCCTGAAGACGTCCGCGAGGTGCGACGACCGCGCACTCCTCGGCTGATGCCTACGCGCCGCTTCCACGGCACCGCGAGCGGCGCCGCGCACGACCTTCAGCTCGCCACGCTCTCCTCACGTCGCCAGGAACACGCTCCCGCGGCGCCTAGCCACGCCTCAGCCGCACCGCGTCGTGCGAGCGGTCCCTCCACACACGCTGCTGAAAGCCACTGCGCCAGATGGGCCGCGCGCCGCATCCTCGGCCTGCCCCGCCTCCCCCGCGGCGCCTCTCGACAGCACATGTATCTCTCCGACGCGCCCCGCAGTGTGACGGCCAGAAACAGCCTCGCCGGTGTCGTGCGCGGGCACCGCGGCGGTGTGCGGCTGCCAGCATGGCAGCGCCGGGCGGGCCGCCGCGGTTCAAGTCCTCAGGGATCGACCCGGCGACGTTCTTCGGCGGCAAGCTCGCCAGGAGCTACCTGAACGTCCCGCGCGCGCCCGGACAGGCACGTTGCGACGCGCCCGCCCTCTGCTGTGCACAATGCCATGCCCGTGACCGCGCCGTTTCGGTCGCTCACGCCACCGCGCCCGCCCCGCTGGACAGCAGGACGCGTGCGCGACCCCGGCGGTGCCGCGCCCCGGTCTGACTGACGCGATGGTGGCCTGGGGGGACAAAACACCTATAGCCAAGGGGGGTCTGTTGTCAGGGAGCAAGAAGGGGTCGTTCCGCCTCACGCGCGGCCGCACGGCCCTCTCCTTCTTCTGCCAGGTGCGCGCACGCACCTCCACCCCCGCTTGCCCCCCCCCCCTCCCCCAAAACACGCCTACACGAACACCCCCCTCGCGGCCGCCGCTCGCCCGCCCACGCCCCGCGCCGCCCCCGCCCGCAGGACCCGCAAAACAAGGCGCGCCTCGAGGCGGCGCTGCGCGCCAAGTTCAGCGACAAGGACCTCGTTCGCATGCCGCCCCGGACGCGTGGCAAAGCCTACCAAGATCTCGCCAAGGAGCTCTTCGCGGCGCTCTCGGAGCAGGAGCGCGGGCCGTTCGAGGCCAAGCAGCTCGACGACGCCCTGCGGGCGTACCGTCAGCTCCGCGCGTACGCCAGGACGTACCCCGCGCGCCCGCTGCCGTTCCGCGCCCGCCACCCGCTGCTGCCGGCCCCGCCGCGGTCGTGGGCCGCGCTGCTGAAGCTCGACCGCGGCGCCGCCGCGCAGGCCGACGCGCCGCCCCCCGCGCAGCCCGACGGCGGCGGAGACACCCCCGCGGCTGACGCGGCGGAGGACGCCCCTCGCGCGCCGCGGCGCGCGAGGCCGGCCGTCTCGGAGGTCGACCGCGCAGCCATGCAGATGCGCGCCGTCGCGGACAAGTGGCGCTGGCACCGCGAGTTCGCGGAGCTCGTTCGCGCGCGCCCGGAGGACGCAGCGAACTTGCGCGACGAGGTGCTGGGGCCGTGGTGGAAGCCGGCGTCGCGCTGTCCGCGCCCGCACGTGGCCGCGGACGCGTGGCTGTTCGAGGCGGTGCCGCCGGCGCGGGGCCCGCCGCGTACGGCGGTGGAGGCGTTTGCGCGGCTGCGGGAGACGAGGCGGGCGGTGGGTGAGAGCGGGGCGCGGGGCGCGGCGGCGCGGCGGGCGGCCGCGGAGGGTCTGTGGGAGGCCGCGGAGGGCGCGGTGCGCGAGCGGCTGGAGGCGGCGGCGGAGGCGGCGCGGGGGGAGTATGAGAAGATGGTGGGGGTGTTTCGGGAATGCAACCCCATGGCGTGCGACGCGTGGGTGCGCGAGTGCGCGGAGGCGGCGCCGAAGGCCGCGAAGAAGGCGGCGGCGGCGGGGGCGGGCCGCGGGAAGCGCAGGGCGGTCGGGGAAGAGGGGGGGTCCAGGAAAAGGCCCCGGGGGGTCAGGAAGGCACGGGCGGCGCGGCAGGAGGCGGAGGGGTCGTCTGGCGGCAGCGAGGAGGGGCACGGGCAGGACGAGGACGAGGACGAGGAGGAGTTCCGCGGGTCGGGGGAGGAGTCAGGGGGGGAGTTTGACGAGGATCGCCTGTGTCAGGACGGGTCGGACGACGAGCTGGACGACTCGGACGCGGTGGACTTCGACGACCTCCTGGACGACGAGCTGTCGTCGGACGAGGACGTCGGCGAGACGGACAGCGGCGTCGGGCAGTCGGACAGCGCGGGGGGAGTCCCGACTCAGTCCACGTCAGCGGGCGGGCGGGCGGGCGCACGGGGCAGCCGCCGGCAGCGCGACCCCTCGAACGACCGGGGCGCCTCCGAGGGCACGGGGGACTCGCACGAGCACGGAACGGTGCGCCCACGCACCGCCGCATTGCGCCTGTCGCCACGGCACAATGCATGGGGGGGGGGAGTATTGTTCTTACTCGCAACACCAAGCTCTTACACGTGTCTGTGTCTGTACCGTCGCTGGACGGCGTCCTGGCAGGTCGCCGAACCGGCCCGTGGCTGCAGCCGGCCTGACCCACTGTTGTCACACCCCCCCCTCCGCGTGCAGGCCGGCGGCCCGGACTCCGACTGCGTCGACCACGACGTCCTCGAGACCAACATCGGCGACGTCCTGCGCGCCATCCTGCCCCCCGGCACCCCCGTCCCGCCCCTGCAGCCCCCCGCGCGCCCACGCACGAGCGTCGCCGGCATGCACTCCGCGCCGGGCCGCGCCAGCGCCGTCCCGGCCACGCCCGTCTGCGCAACGCCCGCCAACGCCGTCCGCCGCGCGCCGCTCCTCCCCGCCGCCACCGCGGGCGTCCCGGCGACCCCGTGCGTTGGCGGCGGCGCGCACCTCGCCGGCTCCGTGGGCCCGTCGCCGTTCTCGCGGCCCTACACGGAGGGCGCGCTGGACTCAGGCCTGCGCGGGGACGCTTCCGCGCGGTGCGTCGAGGAGCAGACGCCCGTCGCGCACCTCCGCGGCCCGCCTCGGTCGACGTCGCTGGCCTCTGCGGGCGGCCGCTCGGCGCCGGGGGCGCCGCTGCTGCCGGGGCTCGAGAGGCGGGAGCCGCCGTCCGTGACGCGGCCGCCGAGCACGCGCCGCGCGGCGTCGTCCTCGTGGGTGCCTGGGGGCGCTGTACGGCAGGGCGATGACGTCGCAAGGGAGGCGAGCGCGGGGCGGTGGCCGGAGTAGGACGGCGGGGGATGTGAGCGCTCTGGTGCGGTGTGGGTCGCGCTGCGGACCGCTTCTCGGTCGTGGGTGTGTGCGGGAAGGGTGTCTGACTGGACCCGAAGTAGGGGACTGAGCCTGACGTCCGTTTCCGGGCCTCCTGGGTCCGGCTTGGGCCCCGGGCGTTCGCGGCGCCGGTCAGATTCTCGGACGCTCGAACCCCGAGCTTCGTGGCCGCAGAACTGGGCTGCGTAGGCGAGAGTCGCGATGCTGCGCGCCGCAAGGGGCTTGCAGAGCTGCTGGCCGGCCGTTGCCGCGCACAGGTGGGGCTCTCCGCCGCGCGCCGCGCGCAGCTGGATCGTCGGCCGCATTCCAGGCCGGTTCCGACGTCTCCGCGGGCCGTTCGCTGCCACGCGCGCCGCGTTGGCCAGCCCTCTCGGTTGAGGGCCTGAACGTATTGCGCGCTGCCTGGCTGTGCGCAGGTCGAGCCAGCTCAGGGGCTTCACCGCCGTGGCGGAGAAGACGAAGTTCGGGGACCTGTCGGACGACGACCGCATCTTCACCAACATTTACGGCAGACATGACCCCTTCATTCAGGTGACTGCATGAGCTGCACCCTCGAGCGGCCAGCGAGCCTGGCTACTGCGATTCCGCGGCCCTGCGCGCGCGGCGCGGCACCTGGAGATCATGAGCTGTGCGCCGCGCGGCGTTTCATGCGCGAACGCGCGTCCAGGGGCACGTGAGAGGCTCGCAACTGCCGGAGAAGGGTTCGGCGGCGTTGCGTCGCGCGAGGCGGCGAACCTTCCGATTCAAACGCGTCGCCGAATGAATTCGGAGCTCCACATGCGGTTTTTCGCGCAGGGGGCGGAGAAGCGCGGCGACTGGTACCGCACGAAGGACATCGTGCTCAAGGGGCGCGACTGGATCATCGAGGAGATGAAGAAGTCCGGCCTCCGCGGCCGCGGTGGAGCCGGTTTCCCGTCCGGCCTCAAGTGGTCCTTCATGCCCAAGCAGTCGGACGGGCGCCCGCACTACCTGGTCGTGAACGCCGACGAGTCTGAGCCAGGCACCTGCAAGGACCGCGAGATCATGCGCCACGAGCCCCACAAGGTCCGACCGCACCCTGCGCCTCCCCCGCGTCGCGCTCGGCCCCTCGCGGCCCGCGCCGCGCCCCCGCTCACCCAACTGCCTGGCGTGCGCTGCTCCCTGCAGCTCGTCGAGGGCTGCCTGATGGCCGGCGTGGGCATGGGCGCCCGGAAGGGCTTCATCTACATCCGCGGCGAGTTCGTCAACGAGCGCCGCGCCGTCCAGCGCGCCATCGAGGAGGCCTATGCGAAGGGCTACCTTGGAAACAACGCCTGCGGGTCCGGATACGACTTCGACCTCGAGCTGCACTACGGCGCAGGTACGCTGCCACCAGCCCTCTCGAACACGCGCACTCGCAGCCGCAGCAGCGCGCTGCGCCGGACGTGACACGCCTTTGCTTGCACACACTCTCTCCGCGATTCCGCGCGACTCCGATCAGTAGCGGCCTTTACAGGCCGCCGGCGACGTGCTGCGCGGCAGCGTCCGTCCGCGCAACCGCCCCACAGGCCGCTCCGGCGCACCACAAGCCGCCGGCGCCCATCCCCGCTCCGCCGCGCCCACGAGCGCAGGTGCCTACATCTGCGGCGAGGAGACGGCGCTCATCGAGTCGCTCGAGGGCAAGCAGGGCCGCCCGCGCCTGAAGCCGCCGTTCCCGGCCAACGTCGGCCTCTACGGCTGCCCCACGACCGTCACCAACGTCGAGACTGTCGCCGTGTCGCCCACCATCCTGCGCCGCGGCCCCGAGTGGTTCTCGTCGTTCGGCCGCAAGAACAACGCCGGGACGAAGCTATTCTGCATCTCCGGGCACGTCAACCGCCCGGTCACGGTCGAGGAGGAGATGTCGATCCCTCTGAAGGAGCTCATCGAGCGGCACGCGGGGGGGGTGCGCGGCGGGTGGGACAACCTGCTGGCGATCATCCCGGGCGGGTCGTCCGTGCCGATGATGCCCAAGTCGGTGTGCGACGAGGTGCTGATGGACTACGACGCGCTGAAGGCGGAGGGGTCGGGCCTGGGGACGGCGGCGGTGATCGTGATGGACAAGAGCACCGACGTGGTGGACGCGATCGCGCGGCTGTCGTACTTCTACAAGCACGAGTCGTGCGGACAGTGCACGCCGTGCCGCGAGGGCACCGGCTGGCTCTACGACATCATGAAGGTGGGTTTGTACATACGTGCTTCTACATATGTGTGCGGGTGTGCGCATGTGTGCGCGCGGTGGCGCAGGCGCCGCCCGGTGCGCTGTAGTGTGGGGGCGCGCGTCGCGTGTTCGGCGAGCCGCGTCCGTCGACGTGCACCTGCAACAACACAACAGCGCGCTGCTTGTTTGTTTGTTCCCAAGCTGAGCTGGCGGTCGTGGCTCGTGGTGCGCAGAGGATGGTCAAGGGCGACGCGCGGCTCGAGGAGATCGACATGATGATGGAGGTCACGCGGCAGATTGAGGGGCACACCATCTGCGCCCTCGGCGACGCAGCAGCGTGGCCCGTGCAGGGGCTGATCCGGCACTTCCGCCCCGTGCTCGAGGAGCGCATCATGCAGGCCTCCGAGCAGGCCAAGCGGCGCCTGGCGGCCTGAGCGGCCGGGCGTCCGCGTCGGAGTGTTGCAGGGACAGGGAGAACAGACTATGATAGCCGATTGAGTGTGACCAGACTCCTTGAGTGGATGTGCGCGCGTGCTCGGCGGCGGTGTGGCCCGCGCGTGCGTGCCCTGGTGCGGTGTCCCTCTGTCGTTGTCTGCGTCTGACGGCGGAGTGACTGTCTGACAGGTAACTGACAGCTGGTGGTGGTGCTGGGACGCCGCCGCGCGCTTTCGGGGCGCCCGCGGCGCGCGCGGCTGCACAAGTTGCCTTCCGGGACACCGACGCTGCCGTGACCGCCGACGGGCCGAGCGACGGGTGAGGCCTGCACCTGCACTGTACGTGGCGTTTTGTGCGGGAAGTAGCGGTCCACGCGGCTGGACCCGCGAACAACAACTGGGCGATAGACGAAGGATGCATGTGGTGGCATTGATCCGCGACGGCGGCGCGCGCGGAGGCCGCCGCGACGCGGCAACGCACATCGAATTCTGCTCCCCTGCGCGCACACCGTGCCGCCCAACTGCTTTTCTCAATCGCAGGCATTTAATCAGATCTAGTGTTCTCGTAAACTACCAGAAATAGGGGCAGTTTCGCACCCCCAAGCCGCGGAAGCCACCGAAACGTCTACACAGGGCACCAGGACCTCCCGGAAGGCGCGCAAGGTCCCTGTTCTGCGACGATTTGTCCACTGATGATGTCTTCGAGCCTCTGCCATGCCGCTCCCGTGCTGAACGGGCAGCGGCACGCGTTGTGCAAGGCACACGCGCTGCCCTCGCCACGGCCTGCACTCTCCGGCCGTCGCGTGGCCGCGGCCCCCAGCGGCCTTGCGACGGCGCAGCGACGTGGCCCCTCAAGGTACGTGCGGTGCCGCGTCGCCCCGATCCAGCGCCCCAGCGAGGAGACGGTGCTCGTGGGGGACATTGGTGGAACCAACTCCCGGCTGCAGCTGTGGAGCCTGTCTGACAGCGGCAACAAGGAGGTGTTCAGGCGCGTCCACGCCCGAGACTTCACCTCAAACTGCTCGCTCGGACTCATTCGCGGATCCGTCGGGCCCGGCGCACCGCACCAGGGACCGCACCACGCGCCAGCAAGGTCTGTGCGTCGCTGCGCGTGAACCTCGCTTCCGGCGCGTCGCTGCAGGAAGGACTTGAAGAACAAGGAGTACTCGAGCTTCAGCGAGGTGGTCGAGGCGTTTCTCGCGCTCCCCGAGGCGCAGGCCGCGCATCCCGCAGCGGGGTGCTTTGCCATCGCGGGGCCCGTCGACCAGTTCAAGCAGACCGCCGTGATGACCAACCTCGGGTGGGACATCGCCGCGTCGGTGCGCCACAGCCCCGCGACCACCGCCGCACAGCGCCTGCGCCCACGGTTGCACTATAGACCCCGGGGGGGGTCCTCCCCGCCGGCCGCAAACAGCGCGCCACGCACGCCGCGCGCTCCGCTCGCTCGCAGAAGCTCGAGGAGGTCCTCGGCGGCGCTCCGTGCGCGCTCCTGAACGACTTCCAGGCCATTGGGTACGGCGTGCGCGCGCTGGACGACGGCGACATCGAGGTCCTGCACCAGGGTGTCCTCGAGGAGGGCCAGCCGATCGCAGTGATCGGGCCCGGCACGGGCCTCGGCGCTTGCCAGGTGCGCCGCCGAACCGCGCATGGCATGTGTCGGTGCGCTTGCTGCCTGGAAATAGCGCTCAGGTGGGGCGGCGGCGCGGGTCGCGTCCATGAGGGCGTCGCGCCGTGCGGTCACGATGCCGACGCGCGCTGCGAGCCTTGCGTCGTGACGCGCAGGCGTTCTGGGACAGCGGCAGGCGGGACTACGTTGTTGTGCCGGGGGAGGGGTCTCACAGCGACTTCGCGCCGCGGACGCCGCGGCAGATGGACCTGGCGCGCTTCTGCTATGACGAGCTCGGCCGCTCCGCCGAGATCGAGGAGGTCGGGTGCGGTTCCGGCCTGGAGCGCATCTACAGGTTCCTGGGCGGCGACACGACGAGCATCGACGCGGCAGGGATCTCGAAGCTGGCCGGGGAGGGCGACGAGCTCGCGGTGGAGGCGCTGTCGATGATGCTGGAGATCGTCGGGCAGGAGGCGGGCCACATGGCCATCCGGTCGCTCGCGTTCGGGGGGGTGTATATCGCGGGCGGGATCGTTCCGAAGAACATCCAGATCGCGCGGAACGGGAGGATGCTCAACGGATTCCTGAATCCGACCTCGAGGTGCGTCGGCGTGCGGGCTGGCTGTGCGTGGCTGCCGTGCGTGATGGCATGGCGTGGGCGTGCGACGTCGCTGTGCCCGCGCGGCGTGCAGGTTGAGCGAGCTGCACGCGAAGTTCCCGCTGTACGTCGTCAAGAACGAGAGCGTGGGGCTCCTCGGGGCGCTGCACTACGCCACGTACCTCGCGCAGCGGTAGTGAGCCGGAGCACACCCCGAAGATCAGGAAACCATATCTCAGGAGCGCAAGATCAAACAAGGCCTCGCCGCGACGACGCGACCCGCTGCCACTCGCCGCAGCCGCGCGACGGCACGCACCGTGAAAGCCACACAACGTCCGTCCCTATTATTATTATGAGTAATACACAGCGTCTCAAAGTATCAACGAATCACAAAGTGAATGGTGTACCACGCCACATCGCGGTGCCGCGCCGCGCCCGTCAGAACCGCGCCTTCCGCGCCTGCTCCGCGGAGTACTTGGCCTGCTCGTCCTCGTACGCCGCCTGCGACGCCACCGTCGCGCGCTTCACAGCGTCGTAGATCCCCAGGCGCACGCCCTTGTTCGGCAGGTTCTTGATGGCGTTCGGCACGAAGCCGCGGTACAGCGCGCGGAAGCCCTCCTTCCCCACGGCCGCCGCGAACGCCGCGCGGATGCCCCCCGAGGCGGTCAGCTGCATCTGGCGACGCAGGGTGTCCATCGGGTAGCACACCGAGGTGGCGATCAGCGCGGCCGAGAACCCGCGCGCGAACGCAGGGATCTGCTGCGGGAGCGTGTCGAACGCGCAGAGCTCGAGCGCCATGTACGGCGCGATCCCGATCAGCGCCGTCCCGACGCCGCGGTAGAACCCGCCGACTCCCCCGTCCTTCGCGATCAGGCGGACCGCGCCCGGGATGCTCTTGCTCGCGGGGTCCACGGCCATGCGGAGCCGGATCGTGTCCAGCGGGTACGTCGCGAGCGTGGAAAACATCCCCGCACACGCCCCCGCCGCCAGCTTCTTCGGAATCGTCAGACCCTCGGGGCTGTTGCCCCCCGCCCAGCCCTTGAAGACGTCGTACGAGTAGAGCTGCGCGGCCGAGTACGGCAGCACGCGCGCCACCTGCGCGAAATTGCCCTTCCAGTACCCCCGCAACCCCTCCTCTTTTCCAATCGCGACGAAGGACTCCAAAAGGCCGCCACGCGCCGCCGCGGCGCCGATGCCGCCGCCCTGGAGCCCGCCCTTGACCTGCAGAGCGACGCGCACGGGGGCGCGCGCGGGTCACCGCCGCGGCGGACACCGCTGCGTACATGCAGCGGCCGGTGCGTGGGCGCGGGGGGGTTGGCGCGAGGGCCGCGTGGTGTGCGACACAGCCGATGCCAAGTCCGCGCTGACTCGTTTGGGGCGGAAATGCGCGCGTGATCGGCGGCGCGGGCGCCGGGCGCGCTGGATGTGGACCCACAGCCGCTTCACTCGGAGCGCCGGCAGGGTCCCGGTCTGACGCTCGTTTGGCCGTCGGCGCGGCCCAAAAGACGCCACAGACTGTCGGCAAGCGGCTGCGCGGCGGTGTGACGCACGGCGCGCGCGGGCAGCGGCGTGGCGGCGCTCATTCCCTGCCCAGCCGAACCGGCTGCCACAAACTCAGCCCACCTGCATCAGGAGCTTCAGGCGGTCGAACGGCGCCGTGATCGTCTTCCCGACGGCGCCCGCGATCGCTCCGGACGTGAACTTGACCGTCCCGGGGTTGAGCAGGCTCAGGAGCGCCAGCGGGCGGTGCAGGAGGAGATAGTCCACTGGCACCTCCGACGGGCCGGCCGCCCCGTTCGTCGCTTTCGCGCGCTTCCCGGCGTCTCCGGTGCCCGCGGAAGGATGTACGCCCCGCGTGAAGGCCACGGCGCCGCCCACCGCGCCCGCGAACGCCCTGCGCACGCCCTGCAGCGGCCCGGGGCTGGCCAGCGTCGCCGACGCTGTGGTCGACGCCAGGGGGACTGCGCGCGCCGTGATGGAGCTGTCGCGCGGACGGTCGGCGGAGAGTGTGTCGGGGGCGGGAGCCTGGGCCTTCATTCTCCGTTTCCGGCCCGGTGCCGTCGCTACCAGGGCCCGGACACCCTGGCGGTCAACTGCGAAGTCCATGGCGACTGTGCCAGTCTGGCCCGCCTCCTTTACTTCTACGTCCTTGACAGATGTTCTGCCGTCAGTCGACGGCGCTGGGGCGTGATTTCGTCGCACCGACTGGCCGAAACGCGCAGGTGCAAGCACCGAGGAATTCGCGCCCGGCTCGCGCGCTGACGTCGCAAAGTCACGTGATTGCGTGGTTAAGACTCGTTGCTCCGGATATTTTGTGCGCGCACCGCGGGCTGCGCGCCCTTGACACCTCGCGCCGGCGCCACAGACCCCGTCGAACCCCCCCAACACCAAGCGGGGACACCCCGGCGGCGGCATCACGAGCACCGCCGTCGCTCCAGACAAAATTGCACCCGGCCAGCAGCACGGCACGCGGGCCGCTCCTCAACCGCCACGAACGCAGCGCCGGAGCCTCTGACTCGCAAACATGCGCTCACACCCACGCCGCATCGGCGGCTCCTGCGACGACGCCGTCGCCGCGCGCTATGCATCCCCCGCTTCCCGCATGTAGCACGTAATCTGGCGCACGGGCCCGCCGTCCGTCGCGAAGCCCGGCTCGCGACACAACAGCGGCGTCGCTACTCGGATCTCGTAGCTGCGTCAGGGGGGGGGTCGCGCGGTCCGTCGCGTTGGGCACGCAGAGGGCGGCGCGCGGCATCGCCGGGGCGGGCGAGGGGGGGACTCACTTGCACGTGGAGGGCTCCGACACCGACTCGATGATGGTGGCGGAGGCGGCGTCGCCGGCGCAGTGGAACACGACGGCGGTGCGGCGGGGCAGGCGCGTGATGTCGCACATGTCTCCGCGGGAGTACTGCGGAGCAGGGGCGGCGCGTCCGGCCGTCACGGGCGCGGCGGCGGCGCGGCGGGCCGTGAACGCTGACGGGCGTTTGCGGGTGTCGCGGCGCAGCGAGGGGCGGGGCGCCGGACCTCGACGGTGACCATGTCGACGCCGTCGGTGTCCACGCCGGCGATGCGGTCGCTGCGCACGACGCGCACGTTCGGGGGACCCGGCGACCGCCCGAGAGTGAACTCTTGCACTCGGTGGCCGTTTTCCTCGTGGTACTGCGCCACGTGCTGGCCGTGGCACACCTCGTACGTCCACCAGCCCTCCGTCCTGCGCGCCGCGATTCCCCCGGCGTCGCGCGGGTTTGACGGCGTGGTGCGACTGTGCCGCTGGGCAGGTGGCGGGGACGCGTCGCGGTGCTGGGGCCCGAACGCGCCGAGGAGGTTTGGGGGAGGTTGGTGGAGCGCGTACCTGTGGAGGCAGTTGCCCACGAGAGGTTGCAGCGCTGCGGTGGCGCCGGCGGTGCTGCGGTCGCGCGGGCTGCTGTGCCCGGTCTGTCCATCGGCGCCGCCGTGCTCGCCCGCGTCGTCGAGGGGCACCTCGCAGTCGAACCACGGACCCATGGGATCGCGGACGGGTATCACGCGCACGGGACGGTCCGGAGACGCGCCGGCTAGGTCGCGCGCTCCATTCGCGATCGCCACGACGTAGCGCGGGTCGCTCGCGCCGTCCGAGAAGGCGAAGGCCGCAGCTGCAGTCGCGGGGAAGCCGGAGGTGTGGGGTTTCTGACGATTCTCGCAGCGATAGCCGCGCAAACGCGGATGGAACTCGCCGCTCAGAAAGGACGCAGATCGACCCGTGCGGGCGTGCGGAGGGGCGCACCTGTCCCGGCGTTGTGAGCCAACCACGGCAGAGCCAGCAGCAGCGTCGTGAAGGCCAGAACACGCCCGCAGGGGCTTGCTCGACCCCTCATGCTGCCCCAAGCGCTCTGGGAGGCTTTGCCCTCGATCGGCGTCTGACTGGGTTTCTATGGCTCGTTCCGCATCGTGTACGCTCGTTCTGAACTAAATGCGTCCGCACACAGTGTTACGTTCGGCCACGGTCTCTCCACCGCCCCGCCCCGACCCCTGGAAAGCCATTTCACCGCCGCTGGGGCAGCTACGCGGAGCCTCGTTCCGCCGGGCCGACGCGCGTGATGTCGACAAGCCAGAGCCCAGCGTGGCTTATGTGAGATACGCTGCGCGCGTATCGTGCGCAATGTCGCCTCGCCCCCGCTCGCTAGGGGAGGTGAAGCCGTGTGGCGCGGGAGACTGTCCACGAGAGCGCCCCGGGCTCGGTCCCCGCGCGCCCACGAGGTCCGCGCGCGCCGCCTGTGCGTGCAACATAGTGGCCCCCGGCCTCAGGCGGCGGAATATAGGGGCTTGCGTCGGCGCACGGAGAGCGCGAGGGTCGCAACGCTGCGGAAAGCACAGGGCCTTTTGGCCACAGCCTCTCTGCCAGGTCAGGGTGCGATGCGTGACGCGTGTGGAGGTGAGAAGCGTGGCAGCGTCCCGGAAGCGGTCCGGGTTCGCGGCACGATGCATGTGTGCGGGGTATCAGGCGGTGGGCAGGACGAGGACGTCCATGCTCGGCGAGGTCGTTCGTGCACCGCTCCGAGCCCTCGCGGCCGTTCGGCGCGGCACAGCCTGCGAGACGGGCGCGAATTCGCCTGCTCGGCGGCGTGCCGGGCGGCGCGAAGCGGCACGCCCGTCGCGCGGGAGCGACGACACCGAGAATTCCAGCGCGGCTGCCAAGCGCGCGAGGCCTCTTCGGGGCGAAAACCGAGCGCGAGCATGTAGCTCCGCATATGATATTCCGCCCTCCGCGCAAGGGACGCCGTCGCGAGCCGTCGCAGCGCCGCACGAACGCGTTTCATCTGCTCCTGTGCTCCCTGCAGGGCGACGGATGCACTGCGGTTGACGCCCACGGCTGCGAGTTGGAGGGGGCGCTATGGGCAACACACTCACCTCCGTGAGGACCGCCGTAGTGTCCCCCGGGTGGTACATCCGGAAAACGAAGGCGACCCAGGTGACGCCCATTGCCGGGCCGCCGGACGCGGTCCCGAAGCCCGGAGCGGAGCCCGCGCCGCCGAATTTCGAAGCCCGACTGAAGGAATGGGCGACCCCGGCGGAGCACGACCCTTCGTGGGACGAGCCGCGCGCGGAGGCGCACGCAACACAGGTGTCAACGGACTCCATGGAGGCGCCGCTCCCGGGCGGCAAGGGCGGCGAGACGCGGCAGCGGGCCGAGGACCCCGCCGGGCTACCGTCCGACCTCAAGTGCGCCCGCCTTCCCGCCGTCTCGGCGCCCGTGCAGGGGTCGCCGCGCGCGCATGGACCATTGAGCCTGCCTGCGCTGTCCGGCGCCGCCCCGGCGCCTCGCGCCCCGGCTGCGCGCCCACCCGCCTCCTCTCTTCGCCCTCTGCAGTCACGCGCGGAGCCGCGGCCTCATGCCGCTCTCCCGAGGCACAACTGTCGACAAGAGCTCCAGTGCGGGCTTCGAGGCGGAGAACGGGCCGGCGAGGCCCTCCGCGCCCGCGCACCTCCCGCCGCTGCCTCACCTGAGAGCACGGCCGCGAGGTGACAGCGACATGTCGTACGCCAGCGCCGCCCACGCGGGGCTGCGCCACGTCGTGCCACGCCCGCGGAGCACCTCTCGCCCGGCCGCGAACGCCGCGCTCGAGCACGCGAGCTACAGCGGGGCCGCCGACGCCGGCGCGGAGCGGCATTCCTTCCACGCCGCGCACGAGAACGGCGGCGAGCGGCGGTTCTCGGCTCTTCCGCCCACGCCGCCGCGCCCCACGGGCCGGCTGTCCACGGGCACGCCGCCCGCGCACGGGCGCGCGCCGCCGGGCCTGCCGCCAATCGCGCCCAAGGACGGGTCGCCGGTGCCCGTGAAGACGTCCTCGTTCAACCGCGGCATGCTCGCGGCGCCGTCGAAAGTGATACGGCAGGGCACGCTGGCGCGCGTGACGCGCACGCCGTCGCTGCAACGCATTCCCTCGCACACCTCGAACACGCGCACCTCGATCGACGACCGCGCGACGGCCGCCGAGCGCGACGCGCACGGCGGGGAGGACCAGCAGTGCCAGGCCGGTCTGACGCGCGGCGGAGGCGATCTTTGCTTCACGCTCTACCTCCTCGCGATGCTGGAGGACAAGAACGGCGAGCGGCTGGAGACGCGCATCTCGATGCTGTCGGCGCGCATTTCCGAGTTCGCGGCGGGGTCGTCGCACCAACAGTCCCGGGGGGGGTCGCGCGCCGTCTCGCGCGTGCCGTCGCGGGCGGGCTCCCGCCGGTCGCTCGTGGGCCAGCAGCAGCACTCGCAGCGCATGCTGCTCCAGAACAGCTCGGCGCGGCAGCTCGGCTCCGAGGGCGACGCGGACGACCCCCCGGGGCGCGCCCGCACCTCGATGGAGGGGACCCTGACGCCGGAGCGCTCGCAGCTGCGGCACGCGGGGTCGTCGATCCGACGGAACATGGACGCGACCGGCGAGAGCGGCGACCAGGCGCTGCCGTTCATGCCCAGGCTGGACGGTCCGGGCGGCCCGCCGTCGTCGGTTGGCGCAGGGTCCGTTCCGCGCGTGGTGAACAGGATGTCGATGGACTCGACGGGCCTCGGACTGGGGCTGCCGGGCGGGGCGCCGGCGCCGCCGGGGGGCGCCGCGAACCCCGCGATTTCGATGCTGCGGCAGCGCGTGAGCCGTCGCCAGATGCAGCTGCCCTACACCGTCAAGCGGCGGAGCCAGATCTCCATGCGGGACGAGTACCCGCCGGGCATGGACGGCGGGCCGTCGTCCGCGGCGATGGTGCCGCCGACGGTCTCGCGGTTCGCGCGTCCGTCGATGCTGGCACCTGTTGACGAGTCGGTGCGCGAGCAGGGGGAGGATCCGTCGCGCGCGGCGCGCTCGCGGGTGTCGCGCGCGTCGCGGCTGTCGAGCGAGCGGCCGCCGATGAGCCAGATCTCCGAGATCGGCCCGCCGGTGGGCGGCGGCACGGGCGTGCGGTCGCGGCCCGCGCCAATGCCAGGGCGCGGCGCGGCGGCGGCGCGGCGGATCTCTGGGTCGGACTCGCACATCAGGAACGACGCGGGCGAGCGGGCGGGACCGGGGACGGCCGGCCCGGGCAGCGCGGACCTCGCACACTCGCGCTCGCAGGCAGAGGAGAGCGCGCGAGACTCAGAGCGCCCCGGCATGCTGCGCATGCCGCGGGACACCGACGAGCCGCCGCAGGACGAGGTCCACGCCGCGCCGCTGCACAAGACGATGCCCGCCGGCACGTCCCTGTCCGCGGCGATGGCGGGGGCGGCGCGGAGCATGCAAGGCTCCGACACCAGCGGGCAGGACCGCAAGAGCTTCGGGTGGACGATGGGCAACACGTTCGAGGACGCGCTGCGGCACCTGTCGCCGGCCGTGGCGCGCGAGGGCAGCGAGGCGGGCGTGGCGCACGCGAGCGCGCTGCAGTCAAACCCTAGCGCGAGCAGCATGCAGTTGAGTTCGCTGCACCGCGGCGGGACGATCTCGAAGCTCAAGGCGCGCGCGGCGCGCCGGAAGAGCCTCCTGAGCGACCAGGCCGCGATGGACGCCGCGGCCGCCGCGGCGCGCGAGCGGCAGCTCCACGTGCAGTCGACGGCGGAGCGCGAAGTCAACGAAACGAAGACTCTGGCCATCGGCGTGATCGACGGCAAGCGCGCGGGCTTCTTCAACCAGTACGCGGTGCTCAAGACCATCGGGTCCGGCGCGAACGGCGACGTGAAGCTCTGCATGGACATGTCGGAGCACCGCCTGGTGGCGGTGAAGCTGGTGAACAAGCGCCCGCCGGGGATGGCTCCTCCGAAGCGCGCGTACGGGTGCCACACGAAGCAGGACAAGGCCGCGGTGCTGAAGCGCGAGGCGGAGGTGCTGACGCGGCTGGACCACCCCAACGTCGTCAAGGTGTACGAGGTGATCGACGACAGCCACATGCCGCACCTGCTGTGCGTGATGGAGTTCATCGAGGGCGGGCCGGTGCAGATGAACTCGGAGGACGACGGCGCGGAGATCCTCTCCGAGGCGACCGCGCGCGACTACTTCGCGCAGCTCCTGGACGCGCTCGACTTTCTGCACGAGGAGGGCGTCATTCACGGCGACATCAAGCCCGCGAACCTGCTGCTCGGCGCGGACGGCAACGTGCGGCTCGCGGACTTCGGGAGCGCGACGGTCCTGCAGCCCGGGCAGGAGGACCGTCTGCTCGCCGTCAAGGGCACGCCGGCGTTCCTCGCTCCGGAGATCTGCATGGGCGAGGAGTTCAGCGGGGCGGCCGCGGACGTCTGGGCCGCGGGCGTGACGCTGTACGTGATGCTGTGCGGCGAGCTCCCCTTCGGCACGCGATCGATGACGATGTTCCAAATGTACGATGCGATCATGGACGACGATCTGATCTTCCCAGAACACGTGGCGCTCAGCGAGAACGCCCGCGACCTGCTCACGTGGATCCTCACGAAGGACCCCGCGCAGCGCCCGACGCTGTTCGACATCATCATGCACCCCTGGCTCGGCGAGGGCGTCGAGGAGGGGGGGCTTGGGGAGGAGTTCGAGGAAGTCCCCCCCGCCGCGCCCGCACCCGCACCCGCGCCGGCCGCGAAGCCCATCCTACGCTCGCAGTCGCTGCGCGTGTCCTCCACGGTCGGGAGACCCGAGAGCCCGCGCGCGGCCGGCGGGGACCGTCGCGAGATGCGCCCGAGTCCCAGTTTTGTGCGCTTCCAAGACGGAACCGCGCCGGGCGACGCGACGCCGGAGCCGCAGGACGCGGCGCCCGGCCCGATGGGGCGGCTGCCGTCGCTCGGGAAGGTGCCGCAGGCGCCTCCGCTGCAGTGGTCGGGCTCGGGCACGCAGGCGACGGGCGGCGCGGGACTTCGTCGCGCGGTGCTGCGGCGGACGATGACGATGGCGGCGGAGAACCCGCTCCCGACGGTCGAGGAGGACGATTCCCCGCTGTCGACGCGCCCGAGCACCACGCTCGGCCGCACGATGCCGGCTCGCGCGTCACTCGCATCGCAGGTCTCCCAAGGCGGGCTCACGCGGCCGTCGACGGCGTCGCGGGCGGACGGGTCGTTCCACGGCGCGATCGAGTACATGAGGGAGATGCTCGCGGACACGATCCCGGAGCGGTCGTTCGCGGCGGGGGAGTTTTTGGCCATGGAGGGCACGGACGGGGAGTCGATGTTCTTCGTGGTGGAGGGGCACGTGGAGGTGCTCAAGTGGATCGCGGACGAAGACGGCGAGGACGACGGCGCGGAGGAGGGCAACGGCGAGGCCGCGGACGGCCTCGGGGAGCTCCCCGGCGCCGGCATGGGCATGCCCTTTGTCAGCCACGGGCGACAGCGCAGCGTGCCGAAGCTCGGGCGGTACGTGTCGGGCATGATCGACCGGCACCTGGACCTCGACGACGTCGAGAACCTGATGCCGTACGGCACGAGCAACGACTCGGGATCCCGGCGGAGCTTCGACACTGACCAGACGAGCCAACCTGGGTCCGCCGGGCCGGCCGTCATCAAGCGCGCGCGCTCGGGGTCGCTCGGGATGGACGCCGCCGCGCCGCGCCCGACGCGTCTCAAGCGCCACCTTTCCGAGAAGATGGACATCCCCCCGGGCGTTGCCGAGGAGGGTGGGTCGCTGCGCTCCGCGGCGGACGGCGGCGCGGCGCGGGCGTCGAACGGGTTCTCGCCGCCGGGCTCGCCGCGGCGCATGAGCGGTGCGCCGTCGATGCCGGCGCCCCCGCGGCCGCTCGAGATCGACACGGGCGCGGGCAACGGCAACCTGTCGTCGGCGCGCAGCGTGGGGCACCACCGCACCGGCTCGACGATGTCGAGCATCACGACGCCGCGGATGTTCTACGGCGACAAGACGCAGCGGCGCGACCTCGAGGAGCTCATGGAGCGCGCGGCGCTCACCGCGGAGTCGCTCGGTAATGCCGTGCGCGAATCCGAGGGTTGGCAGATCCTGGCTCGCAAGGGCCCCGGAGACGTGGTCGGCGAGATGGCCGTGATCAACCAGAGCATTCGGACGGCGTCCCTGCGCGCGGCGACGGACGTCGTGGCGCTCGAGGTGAACAAGTCGGCACTGCGCGCCGTGGCGGAGGCGCACCCGCGGCTGCAGCACGAGCTGAAGCGGCTGGTGGCGGAGCGCACGGCGACGCGGCGCATGGCGGAGGCGTTCGAGCAGCTGGCGGGGCTGCGCCGGCCGAAGACGGCGGCCTCGAATCGGTCGTCGATGGGCGGGCACAGCGCGTCGTCGCTGGCGACCACTGCGGGCACGCGGTCGCGCGCGGGGTTCAGCCGCGTGGGGTCGCACGTGACGTCGATGACGACGGGGGGCTCCATGTCGGCGGCGCCTGACGAGTTCGATTCCGAGGAGGAAGATGACCGCGAAGAGAAGGAATGAAGGACTGAAAGATTTCGAAGGGGGTGATTAGTCTGTCGTCACACTGAGCTAACATTTGGACTAAATTCCATCGCCTTTCGAAGATTTTGAGCGAGGACGCGCGGTGCGACGGTCGTGCCTTCCGCGGAGGGCCGCGACTCCGCTATGGCAGGAGTGCGCACTGCGGGGGACTGGTCGCCCCACGTGTGCGCGCACGCCGCCCCCGACTGCGCGTTCGCTACTTCTACGCGCCTAGCGCCCACCGCGGCGCGCACGCGCCACCGTACCTGCGGTACCGCAGCGACAGATGAAGTTGAGTATTTCGCGCCTTGCTAGGCCGCCAACACGCACGAAACGATAGTGCGGTGTGAACGTCCGGAAACGGAAGAAGACTCCGCAAACGCGTTCGTCCGCGTGCCTCGAACAGGATGGTTTGATGAAAACAAAAGTCTGCCTGTTCTGCTGCCTACTGACACGTGCTGCCCGGATCACGTTCAGCAAGCGAACGAGCTTGCTGGGGGCCGTAGGAAACGCCCAAGACAGGGTGGCCGAGAGTCCGTTCTGCCGGCTGTGTGCACCAGCTTTGCTTTTTGCCCGGACGGGCGACATCCCGCAGAGGGCGCCTCACCCTACAACGGCGGCCCTGGTCTGCAAACAAACCAGTGACAGATGGGGGAACCTGAACAGCAATGCCATCTGCGCATCCAATGATCCTTGGGCAGTCTCCCATGAGTTGAACAACTGCGAGTTCCGTCTCACAGGCCCTGCAGCGACCCCAGGCGGTCCGCACGCGCCTCCTCGAGCCGCGACGCCAGCCGCGCGTCCGCCTGCACCGACTCCAGCAGCTTCCGCAGCCCGTCGTGCCGCTGCGCGCCCTCCAGCGCCGACAGCGCCAGCAGCAGCCGCAGGCACCCGCGGTGCATGTCCTCGAACCTGTCCTCCTCGTGCTTCACCGCGTCCGTCTTCGGCTTCTCCGACAAGTTGTCGTCCAGCACCTCGACCACCGCGTCCAGGCCGCCCACCGCGATCGCCGGCGCCGCGGACACGAGCTTGCTCAGAGCGAGCAGCGCCGGCGCGACGACGTCGAACGACGCGGTGCCGAGCGACTTCTTGTACTCCACCGCGTGCACGAGCGCCTCGATCAGCGCCGGACCGTCCAGCTGTGCCGGGAATCTGTCGATGAAGAGAGAACAGCATTCAAGCGCCGCCTTGCGAACTTCGGCGCCGCGGTCGACGGTGACCTTGAACGGGCCGAGCTCGACGACCTTGAGGAGCTCCTTGCGGAGCCGCGTGCACGCGAGCACGCGCGGGACGATGCTGGGCAGCAGGTCGGTCACCAGCGCAGGCACGTGGTGCAGTGCAGCGGCCGCGAGTTGCAGCGAGGCGCGCTGGACGTTGAGGTCGTCGTCGGAGGTGGCCTCCAGGAACGTCGCGAGGAGCGGCGGGAGGTCGACCGCGGAGCTGCGTCGGCGTTCGATGATGACGTGCCGCAGCGCCGAAAGCGACGCAGCCCGCAGCTCGGCCTTGGGGGACTGCAGCAGCGACGACAGCCACGGCACGACCTCGCGCGGCGCGAGCTGCGCGAGCGAGCCCAGGCACTCGGACACCACATTCCGAATCCCTTCCTCGCCCACCGTCGCTTCGATGATCGACTGCAGCGCGCCCATGACCGTGGAGGCGGCCCCGGCGGGCGCGTTCGCGCCGGGCGCGGCCATGGAGCGGATGACTTCGAGGAGGGCGTGGAGGAGGAGGTAGCGGTGTTTCTGCTCGCTCGACATGCGTTTGATGATGAGCGGGAGGTATTTGTGGAGGTCCCCGGAGGCCAGGGCGCCGAGCGCGACGCTGGCGGCCGCCTTGACGGAGCTGGACTCGTTGCCGAGGCCCGTGAGCACGAACGGCTCCACGCCGGGGATCGAGGCGCGCCGGGCGATCTCGCCAACCGCCAACAGGTGCACTGCGTGGCGGCCCTGCGCTGACAGGTCCGCGGCGGCCATTTGCTGCGCGGCCTGCGCCGCGCTGTCCGGCCCGCTGGCGAGCGCGACCTGCACGGGGCAACCGAGCACGCCGATGACCTCAACGTCAGTTCTGGTACGTGTCAACATGCGGTGAGAGACAAACAATCCATTTTGAGCCTGCGCCGCGACGCGAGGTGCGGCGCGGCCGCGCGCGCATCGTCTGGAGCGGGGTGCGCACCGCAGCCATGCACTTCGCGACCGCGAGCTGCGACCCGCGCGCCTCGAGCGTCGCGCCCGCCTCGGAGAGCCTCGCCAGCGCGTCCGCCGCCGCGACGGCCCCCGCCGCCACCATCTCCCGGAAGAGGTCCTGCAGCGCGGCCACGCCGTGCTCCGAGAGCATCGGGCTCCCCAGCAGCTTCAGCGCGGGCGGCACCATCAGCCCGGAGGCCGTGTCGCTGCACTCCCCCGGGCGCGCGCGCAGCATCGCCACCATCGCCCGCAGCGCCGGCACCACGAGCTGCATATCGTCCGACTCCAGAATCGACGCCACGTCCCCGGCCGCCGCCGCCAGCGCCGCCCCCGGAATCGCCCCGGCCTTGTCCTGTAGCACGAGCGCCTCCAGCGCGGCCAGCGACGCCCCGCGCAGCGCGCGCGAGCTCTTCCGCAGGAACCCCGCGACCGTCTCGACCGCGGTCGACGACAGCCCGCCCAGGTCCGGGCACACCTTGGACCGCGCGATGGTCGCAAACGCTTGAACGGCGCGGAGCCGCGTGGACTCGTTGTTGAGGCGGTCGAGCAGCAGCGAGAGCGCCGTCGACGTCAGCGGCGCCGCCATCGCGTCGCCCGCGCACGAGAGGATGTCCGCGAGCGCCGCGATCGCCGCCGCGCGCACCTCCTGGTCCTGATCCTGTGAGCGCACCTGCTCCACTGTCGCGTCGATCATCGGCTGCACCGCCGTGAGCGTCGGCGCGTCGAGCGGGGCCTCCTGCGCGGCGTCGCCGGCCGGCCGCAGCGCGCTGATCAGCAGCGGCACGCACCGCAGCGCCTCCGCAGAGACTTTGAAGTACTGCCCGGTGATGTTTGCCGCGACCAGAGGCGCGAACTCGCCGACGAACGGCGCCACGTCGGACGCCGGGTGCGTCTGCCGGACTGCGCTGAGCAGCGTGAGCGCCTCGAGCCGCAGCGGCGCGGCTGTCGACTGGTCCGCCAGGACGTACGCCACCGCGGGCATCGCCTCGCGAATGCACGGCGACAGCGCTTCGGGGATCGCGTCGACGACGGTCCGCACGACCCGCACCGCGCCCTGCCGCGACTTGTGGCTCCGCGAGCGCAGCTGCTTCAGGCACGCCTGCAGCAGCGCCGGCAGCTGGTCCCGCAACAGCGTCGCCGCGCGCGCCTCCCCCACGAGGCCGGACTGCCGCCACTGCTGCCGGACGGCGCCGACCTGCTTCACCACGAGCTGCGCGGTCTGGAGGACGTCGACGCGGATGGACTCCTCGCGTTCCCGGGTCCGCCCGACCAGCACGGGGAGGCAGCGGTCCACCAGCCACTCGAGCTGGGAGGGGTGCGCGGCGGTGGCGGCCATGAGGACGCGCGTGGCTGCGCGCCGGACCTTCCACGAGGTGTCGTCGTCGTCGCTGACCTCCTCCTCCTCCTCGTAGTCGTCCTCAGAGCCCGCCTGCGCAAAAGAGCCCCGGGGGAGTGCGCGAGCGCTGGTGTCAGGCGGCGGCGAAGCGACGGGGTGGCTTGGCCGGAGCTCTTCCGCTGCCGAGACACGTCAAGGCCCTCCGGAAGTGGGTGGGGGGCTGGTCTTTGTTGGGGGGTGTTTCGGGTTCCGGGGGGAGGGGGTTTCCGTCGCACCTCCTCCTCCTCGTCGCTGTCGCTGTAGCTGTAGTGCGGGTCGAACGAGAGCTGCTTCACGGCGAGGTTGCACGCGGCCTGCACGTGCGCGCTCGCGTCCGGCCCACACTCCTGTAGACACATCTCCAGCACCAGCAAGCAGTTCTCCCTGCACGCGCAACCGACGACAGAAACACGCGGCTGGTGGGCGAACCGATTCCCCGACGTCGGCAAGCGCGCCGCTGTCCTCCAGGGCCATCGCAGGCGAAACCATCCACCGGTTGCTACGACGGGGCGGTGGGTGCTGTCGACACGTGCGAGGAGGCCGAGGAGGCCGCCGACCGCTCCGGCGAGCACGGCGTCCGCCAGGGCGGCGAACCTCGCGCCTCCCGCACGCCAGGCGAGCTGGCCGAACGGCCTGACGCGAGCAAGGGGTGGGGGGTGTTTGGCGTCGGTGGGGTGGGGCGCACCGGAGCTCGGAGTCCTCCTCGCTCGCGCCGTTGCACGTGTCGACCGCGAGCGGCACGGTGGCGCCCAGGAACGGCGCGAACCGCCGCCGCACGGACCGCACGATGCCGGCCAGGCCCTGGCAGAAGGTGGCGGCGCAAACGCCGGCCTGGAGCTTCGCGGTGTACACCTGGACGGTTTCCTCGAGGTGCGCGTCGGTCATGTGCGGCGCGAGCGCGGCCACGCTCGCGGCCGCGCGCCGCCGGATGGTCTCCCGGGGGGACTCCAGGAGGGGGAGTAAATGGGTCATGGTGTCGGCGTGGGCGTCGCGGACGGTGTGGCCGAGGCGGTCGAGGACCTCCGCGAGGATCGTGAGGGCCTCCGCGGCCGTGTCCTGCGCCGCGGCGGGCGCCGCGGCCGCCTCCAGCAGCCGCGGAGTGAGAATTTGAGCTGCGCGGACGGACACGGCGTTGCCCGCGTGCAGGTGCGTGGCGATGGACTTGAGCGCCATCGCGGAGTTGTCGCGCAGCTGGGATTCCTGCGGGGTGCGCAGGCGCGGCGTGGAGGCGTTGGCGGGGGCCGAGATCGCCCACACCCGGGCGCGCCGGCTCGGTATTCGGCGCGGGACAGCGAGATCGTGTTCCGGTGAGCCGGCGTGGCGCGTTGGACGGCCGCTTAGTGGCGCACGGGGCGCGCCCGCGGCGTCGTTGCGCGCAGCGGGTTGTTGGCCCTCGCACGCGAACGGGGGCGACGTGGGGCGGGGCCGCGGTCCGCGCGACGCACCATTCCGGAGGTGCTGCGAAGTCCTGTCGTGAGGGAGTCCAGGATCTGGGCCACGTGCGCCTCGCCGACGGCAGGGAGCAGGGGCGGCAAACAGCGCACAGCAAGCGACGCGACGTCGCCCGCTTGGTCCACGAGCTGCGGAACAGGGGAGAGCTCGCGGCCTGGCACGATGAGCTACCGACCAACGGTGATACACACTGAAGCAGAGCGCGGATCTGCGCGGAATCGCGTCTGAAGCACACAGTGGTGCGCACAGGCGCCCTTGCACGTCCGGACGTGGCACGGGCGCGGAGGTGACCGTTGCGATCCGATTGTGAACTCGTCTGCTCGATCCACGGCCGGCCACCGCCGACGCGCGCCGCGCGGACGGGCAGCGGTGCGGGCGTCCGTGCGCCCAGCTTCCAGGACGCTGCGGCCGTCGTGCGTGCGGCACGGGTCCGTGCTGCTGTGGATACGCGAGCACGGAGGACGCACCAGCTCGAGGAAGGCGGCCGTGAGCCGGTCCTGCAGGGCCGGCGCGACGACGGTGGACACCGACTGCAGCTCCCCTAAAAGGTCGCTGGCCGCCATGTATCTAATGTCTTTGTCCGAAGACTTCAGCTTGTCGAGCAGCTGCTGAATTGACCCCGACATGATCCCGTCGGCCCGCGAGGGGCGCTCTCACGGTGCCGGACGGCGCGCACGGAGCTCTTCTTCTCAGCCAGCCAACGCGGCACAGTTGGCGCGAAAATACAGGGCCACTCCTGCGTCTCGTCCTCGCACGACAGAGGTGCTCGTGTGTGCGGTGCAGCGGCCGCAAACAAGGCCGCGTGCGTCGCCCCGCGCCGTCAGACTACGAGGAGGGGTTCAGGGGGGCCTGGATGAAAGACGCCACCGTTTGCTGGGCCTGCGGGCGCTCAGAGGCCGGCGCCCCCCGCGGCGCCACCGACATCTACCTGGCCAGCGGGCGGGCGCGGTTTGAGCGCAGCGGCGCTGACGTCAGCCGCAAACAGGGCCCGGCCTACCTCGGGCCGAGGTAGTTTGGGGGGCGTTGCACCGCGGGCCGGGAGCGCAGAGGGTTCGATGGCGTGTCCCCACTTCGCCAGGGTAGTAGCCACTTCTCGGACCTGCGCGCTCGGCGCGACCGCGCCGCTCGTAAGGTCCCGGGCGAGGAGGGAGCGGGCGAGGACTAGGCCGCTGGCTGGGGCGATTACTTACGAGCATGAGACTGTTCTTGCACACGGACTCGATGTTTCGGAGTACGAGGAAATCGAGACGATCGTTGCGCAGGTACGGCGAGGCGGTTCGGTGCGCTGACGATGCCGCGGCAGCCCTGCTAGGCACTGCTGAGGAGGACCAATACCACAGCCCGCTCGGAGCGTTCGACGCCGCCCCGGCGTCCGATGCGGCTATACCGCATCTGAGACTACATATACATCTTTCCGCGACCGGATTCGAGCACGTTCGTGCCGCGCCTGGCGCCCCGCAGCGCTGCCACACAGCCGCACCATAGCACCGCGGAATCTTCGCCGTCCGCGCACCCCTGCGAGGGATTCAGACGAAAGACGCCCCTCTAGTCAGCCCCACACTGCTCGCGCCCGCGCCGCGCAGGTGCTGCCGGAGGCGAGGTTCTGCGTCGTCAATGAGGACGTCGACGGTTTGACCACGCTCGCGGAGGCCACAGGCGCCCGCAGCGACCTGGCCGACGACGCCGACACCGGCGCCGCGCACGCCGTGGGGCCCCTCGTGTGCAACCACCTCAGCGCGAAGCGCGTGCTGATCGTGTGCTGTGCGCACGCGGCGCTGGCGGCGCAGCTCACCGACGCGCTGACGTACGCGGGCGCCAGCGTGATTCTGGCCATCCCCGTGGACAGGCATGTAGCGCTGACTCTGGACGCCGTGGTGTGCGACGTCGTGAACTCGCACGCGCGGCTGCACAGGCTGTATCGTCCGCTGGTGGGTGCGGGGCCCGACGGCAAGCACGCCCCGGGAGTGCGGCTCCCGCAGTCCGCGCAAGTCACGCTGAACTGCTGCCTCGATGCGGCCCAGGTGAGACTGAACACCGCAATAACACATATGAAGGGATATTGACACTTATAAAATAGTAGTGAATTGAAAACCGCCCGTTGTATCATGCATCATCACTCTGGCACGGCAGCCCCCACCGCCAGCAGCCCTCGGCATGTGCCTTCCCGCGCACGCCGTTCGGCCGCGGCATCCAGTGCGGAGCGGGTTGAAGCATGCATGCGAGTGCCGCTGAGTGGCAGCGTGTGTTGCTGAGCGCGGTGCCGGCTGGTAGCGTGTGGTGCAGGTTCCGACGCACAGGGGCGGGGTCCGGGACGACGCCTCGCACATCGTGGTGCTCGACCGGTTTTATACCGAGCGGGAGCGGGTAGAAATCCTGACGTGGCTGAACGGGACCGGGGCGGACGCGGACGCGCCGGACCCGTCGCGCGGCCGCTGGGAGCGCAGCACCTGCGACATCGCCGGCGGCACGGAGCAGTGGGGCCTGACGCAGGACGCACTGTACGAGCTCGTCACAAACCCCCCCCAGGTACGATCAACACCCGGCACCCGCCCCGGGCGCACACATACCCGCGCCGCAACGACCCGATCCGCGCATGCAACACACAGGCTTGTCGTTTTCCGTCTTTTCCGCAGGCAATTCGAAATATCCAGTCGCGTGTGGCAAAACTCTACGAAGACGCCTACACTGTGTGCATGGTGCCGGCCGACGCCCTGGCGGGGCAGTACAGCGACCCGAACCTCTCTCCGTTCGTCGCGAACGCCGCGCTCGCCGGCGAGACCTTCACGTGGCACGTGGATGCCGATCCCGCCGCCCTGGACCCGACATCGCCGTGGGCAGTGCACCACGGGTCGTACTTCAACCGCGAGCCCTCCCGGCCGCTGTTCGTGAGCATGCTGATATATCCGCAGTCGGACTGGCCCACGGAGCTGGATGCCGAGACCCTCGCGCTGGACCCGGACTCCGCAGCGGGCGTCATGATCCGGCCCCTGCCGTATCGCGTGGTGCTGATGGACCAGGACGTCCCGCACAGGTGAGACGCCGCGGCGTGCATAGATTTCGCGCGATAGCGCATACCTGCGGGCACAGTTTCGACGCATTCGACGGCCAACGATGTTTTGGCACGACGCAATGGTTGCAATGCAGGGTCAGCGCGCCGTCGCCGGTCGCGGGGGACGTGCCGCGGTACTCGCTGGTGTGGAAGCTCGTGCTGCTCCCGCACAGCACGTCGCGGCTCACGACCCTCTCGCGGCCCGAGTGGGGCGCTCCGCTGCAGCTCGGCAGCAAGCCCGTCCCGCTGGCGAAGAAGCGCGACCCGAGCGCAGCGACGTCGATGAGCAGCGTGGAGGACGACTTGTACGACGTGTGGAGCTGATCCGGCACGCGCGTGTCGACGGATGGCTCACAGGCGCACACGGCTCGCATGTGTGATGGAAAGTGCTCGCCGCCCCCTGCCGTCACGCCGCTGCGCCCGCCGCGCCGTCATCGTTCGCGTGGAAGCGTGCGAGCAGCAGCCGGTTCTCGCCAGACACCTCCGGCGCAACGTACTTGACGATGCGAGCGTGTTCGACGCGGCGGTCCCGCAGCCACTCCAGGCGCGCCGCGTCGATAAGGTGCTTGCACATCATCCCCACGCGCATCCGCTCCGCCCGCGGCACCTCGTCCGCGACCTCCCGCCACGTCAGGCCGCCCGGCCGGAGTCCCCCCCTCTTCCTAGGCCCCTCCGAGTCCTCCCCGGGCCTCCCGGAGCCCGACCCGCTCGCGCCCTCGCCGTCGCTGTCGTCCCCGCAGCCGGGCGGGACGTCGTGCCCGCAGAGCGCCCAGCCGGTCATCCAGGACACTATCTCGAACTCTTCTTTCGAGAATTCGTGTCTCCGGAACAACTCCTTCCCGCATAAGTGCCGCCACGTGCACCGGTGGTGGCAGCACGTCGAAACACCCAAACCGACGCACGGCGCACGCACCTCCCCGCCCGCCTTCTGTCGCTTGTGCCGCAAGCCCGAGTCATCAGAGGTCCTGCGCTGCGCCAGGCCGTCGTGCCGCCGCCCGGCCACGCACGCACGCAGCGCGAAGTCCGTCGCGGCCCCGCACAGGTGCTTCCCGACGCCGATCCACCTCCGGCCGTCCGAGCCCGCATCGCCGCTACCCTGCTCCGGCCTCAGCAACGGCGGTGCGTCGTGGCAATTGACCTCCTCGATGCCCAGACGCATCCGTAGGAACTCGACGCGGTCGCGCAGGTGCCGGTCCGCCTTGAGGCGGAACGCGGCGTTATCCACCAGCACCACGGTATCCACAAAACACATATCAACAATCATTTGCGACAGATATCCTTTGCCCGCGCCGAGCTCCACGATCGCCCCGACCCCGTTCCCACCGGACGCGCTTCCACGCAGCGTTAGCAGCCCGCTGTCGGCCAAGTGCGCCGCGATCGACGCCTGCTGTTTCGCGTGCCGCTCGTTGAATGCTCTCAACCGATCAGGCTTCATATACGGCTCGCACTCTGGGGGTCTCAGTTCGCGAACGTCGCCAGCGAACCCCTCGAGCGAGCCGCACTCGACCCGGTGCGCCGCCTCGACGCGCCGCATCAGGCTCCGCAGCCACGCAAGTCCCCTGAACCGCGCGAATGCTTCGCGCTGTTGCTGCACGCTGCGTTGTTCGGCGGCGCCGGGGACGGACACGTCGGCGTCGTCGTCGCTGTGGCCCTCGTTCGCGCCGGCCTCGACGCACGCGGCGGACGTGTGCCGCTGCCGTTGCAGCGCAGCGGGGCACCGTTTCACGTGCCAGGCCAGGTCCCGCTTGGCAACGTCGTGGCGGGGGTCGATCGGGCAGGGGACGCGCTCCTCGTCCGTGCCGAGGACGTCGCGGGCGTGGACGCCGCAGTAGTCCTGCGCGCGAGCGAGCGGGGCCGCGGCGTGGGCTGACCGCGCGTGCCGGGAGCGGCGTGGGAGGTGCGCTGATGCGAGGGCGGCGCGACGGTACCTTGCCGACGCCGGCCTGGAGCTTGCAGTACCGCTTCTTCTCTTCCACGTAGAACTTGCACTTCCCCTCGTGATTCGCGGGCAGCGGCGGACGCGCCGGCGCTTCCTGTGGGCTGTGTGCAGCGGTGCCGGCGGTGCCACGCCCGCTCGACGCCCCTGCGTCGGCCGCCTCTGTGCCTGGTACGACCGTGCTCCTGTGCGTCGCCTCGCGCGGGGGTGCCGGTCGCGCGGCCGCCGCACATTGCGTGCTGTCTCTGCCAGCCTCCATCGTCGTCGCTCTCCGCGGCCGCCTCAGAGCTCGACGAGCGAAGACGACGCGAGCAGTGCGTTGGACAGTACTTCTACTCAACAACGATCGGAACCATAAACCCTTGTCACGCATAAGGGCGCTCCAGTCAATGCCACATCATGGCGCGGGTCTCTTCGGACCGCCCTTCCGCGCTCAATTAGGCCGTCAATGCGGCTGGATTCTGGACGGAACGCGTCACGGTTGTCCCGGGATGCGGTTCCGCGACTGTCGCGCGGCGCGCTGCGCCGCCCCCTCGTGCGCAGAGCGCGCGCGCGCCTTCCGGGGCAGTCTGGGCACCGGGCGGGTCAGACGCGCGCCTGTTCGCGCTCTAGGCACAGCAGGCCGGCGCGCTTCGCGGGCGCAGCACTCGCTCGACGCGACGCGGCCGACCGGTCCACGCCGCGAGGACGGAACGGAGCGCACCGCGAAGCCAAACGGCTGGTCCTCTGTAGTTGGTTCCCGTGCTTACTGCGGCGCGGCGCGGGCTGCACGCCCTGTGCGCTGCCGTGCCGTGAATTCCTTGGCTAGGCGGCCCCTGGGACGGCGGTTTGGGTCGAGATGCGCGCCGGCTGCCTCGTTGCCAAGTCACTGGAGGTGCTCCACGGCCGGTGCCGTCGCGCTCCGCGACCGCACGCGCGCGTTCGGCCGCGCGTTGCACAGTTTGGATGTTCCGTGGGCCACGAGCGCCGACGGCGGCCCCTGGCGTGTTCTACCGGGGAGTCTGAGGGTGGTTGGGAGACGTCCTCATCCTTCAGAAAGGACTGGGACCCCCCCACGAGCGACGACGGCGGGGAGTCGGGTTCGGAGGAATCCGAGCTCGAGGAGTGGGAGGGCAGCCACCTCGGCGGGAAGATCACGGCGTTCGTCGCGGCAGTCAAGCTCGCGGTCGCTCGGACCTGGGCTGCCAGGGCCCGCGTATTGCCCCGGATATCGCTGCCGTCCGCGAAGGGCGATGGCTCGGAGGGGTGGCTGGCGAACGCCGGTACGCGATCTGCCACGAATCACAGCGCCTTGCGTCCGAACACCGACAGTTCTCGCTCGGTGGTTGATCCGATCATAGTAGTGCTCTGTTCACGTACGAATTCGCCGCTTCCGTGCAACGAACGTGGAATAGTTTCAGCGCCCAGGAACGACGTGTTCAAGCACGTCCTGTCTGATTTCGGCCGCCTGTTGCGTCTCCAGGCGACACGAGCGCCCTTGGCTCCGCTCTGATGCGCGTTGCTTCGCTTGTGCCCGCAACGCGACGGTCGTTCCGCGCCCCCGCGCTTCTTCCCGCAGCACGCGCCCTGACGCGCATCTCGCGGCGCATCGTGTCGCTCGCGCTCGCCGGCCTGCTATGGATCGGACGCGCGATCAGCAAGGTCACAAAGACCGTCTTCGGAGGCCTCCTCGGACTCGGATCCATCCAGTCGGCCTGGCTCAGGTACGCTTCGCAGCCGCGCTCACTCGCAAACCGCCCCCTTGCACCGGCGCAAGCCGTGAGCCGGAGCAACGTGCCATCTCCCGGCGCGGATGCAGGTGGCTCGCGCGGCTGTCCATCGTCGGCGGCGCGGTCGCAGGCTCCGCCTTCGCGGCGCCCTACCTCGCCTCTACTCCGCAGGCCACGGCTTACTTCGCGCGCACCGTGGGCCGCCAGGTGCTGCCGGGCGCACCAGAGGGACTTGCAATTGAACGCGTTCGCATGGGCTGGACGCGCCCGATCGAGATCGAGGGTGTCTCGGTGTTCGAGAGGAGCCCTGACGAGGGCAGGGAGTTGGCTAGAATCCAGTCGATCAGAAGCACCGGGTCGTTGTGGTCCCTGGTCACTGGAGGTCCCATCAGGTGCGCTGGCCCGCGCGAGAGCGCCGGCCGCATGCGCACGCACGAGCAGGGGGCATACCTCTATATCTAAAGGCGCTGGCGCTGCCGTTGCGGAGCCGCAACGGCGCGCGAGGCTTCAGTGTTGATTCGTCAGCGTCAACCAGCGGAATCCGCTGGTTGCGTGTCCTGCGTGCAGTTTCGACGTCAGCGCGCCCGAGCTGGACCTGTCCCTCAACGGCGAGACCGGGGAGCCGCGCCTGGCGATGCTCGTGACTCCCCCCGCAGTCGACAAGGCAGCAGCCGCCGCAGAGGAGGGCGGTGACCTCCCGCGCGACAGCCCCGCGGTCGGCTACGTCCCCGAGGAGCTCACGTACTGCGGCGGCACGACGAGCCTGAACGGGCACCTGACGCTGCGCGAGGGCAAGCGCACTTTCGGTCTGTCGATCACGCGGGGGAGTATTCACGCCCCGCTGGAGATGCACCAGGCGATCGGGAAGCACTGCACGCTGCAGGGCGAGATAGGCACGGACTTCGCGATGGAGCGCCTCCTCGACGCGCTGCAGACGGCCAAAGCCGAGCGCCCCGCGGCGCAGCCACCGGCAACAGCGCCGGAGGCGTCCCCCGCGGCCGTGTCGGCCACCGAGCCAGCCGCGCCTGAAGCGGCGAGCGAGCCAACGGAGGCCGCCGCCGAGGGATCCGCTGAGGGAGCCGCAGCGGAGGCGACAGCGACGGACGCGGCAAAGGGCGAAGCGGTGTCTGACACAGCGCCGACGACCCCCCCAGAGGCCCCTACGCCAGCGGCCGAGCCAGCTGTGCCGCTCGAGACCGCGCTGTCCCCGCCGATCGTCGCGACGGAGCCCGCGCCGCCCGCCTACGCAGAGTGTCTGCGTCTCGTCACGAGCAAGCGTTGGGGCCCGCGGCCGAAGTTCGCGCCGGTGTGGATGTCCATCGCGACGGACACGTCGCACGTGGACCTGTACGGGGCGGCGGTGCCCGGGCACGGGAAGGAACAGCCCCGTTTGTTCCTTGCGCGGCCTATCACGGCCCGCCTGGAGCTGGAGCCAGCGATCGCACGGACTGTGCTGGGACGCATCAATCCGCTCCTGACGGACGTGGTCAGCATGGAGCCGGGGAGCGTGCTGCAGGTGCGCACGGCTGCGTGCTGCCTGGTCTGCTACAGCAGACACACACGTACAGCGTGCTGCTCGCGGGGTGCTTGAGGGGAGGGGTAACGTTGGATGCTGTCGGGTAGCCTGTAGATAGCAGTACCGGGGGAACGCTGGCAGTGCTGCTCGATTTGAGCGGCGAAAGACAGACGTGAAGCCCCATGTGTTGTTTTTGGCGTGCAGGTCGAGATCGCGCCCAAGGACGGCGCGCTCCCCGTCGAGGAGTCCATGACCGTCACGCTCCTCCCCATGCGCGCCCAGATCGCCCGCGGGGAGCTCCTCGACGGTCTCCTCGGGCTCCTCAAAGTCCCCGACTCCAACCTCGCGATGTCAGACCTGACTCAGGCCGAGTCCGCCGCGGTCCGCGCGTCCTCGCCGGCGCGCGAGATCGCGCCGGTCCGCACCGTCGAGGACCCGAAGAAGAAGTCGGGCAAGAAGGGCGGCCCTGCGCGCCGGGAGAAGAAGCTGGAGATCATGACCTCGCGCGTGAGTGTCGACATCGACCGCCTGGGGCCGTGGAAGATGCGGCGGGCCGACATGCTGCTCGCCGGGGGCAGGGACGCGGCGGGCGGCGGCGTGCACCTCGCGATGTGGGGGGGTATCGACCCCCTGACGCAGTACGTCGACCTGACGGTGGGAGTCCCCCTGCGCACGCTCGAGGCGGTCGGGATCCTCAAGGTGCCCCCGCCGCGGCCCCCGCAGCCGGCGCAGCCGGCGCCGCGCGAGAGGGAGAAGAAATGGGAGTGGGGCAGAGCGGGGGCGCAGGAGGCGAGGGAGACGGAGGAGCAGGCGGAGGCCATCGACGAGGCGATGCTGACGGTGCGGGTCCGGGGCCCGCAGGAGCACCCGAGCGTGGACTGGGCGAGTCTGGGCCGCCGGCTCGCCGCGTTGGTTGTGGAGCAGTCCCTCGGGGGGCGCGAGCCCACGAGCTGGGAGGTGCGCACAAGACACCCCCCCCCCCGCGTCCCCCGTGCGATGTGTGGGCGCTGGTGGGCGAGCGTCGGGAGCAAGTGCTGTGCGCGGCAGCCGCGGGCGTGCGGCGTCGGGTGTGTTGTGGCCCGTGCTGGCTGACACCCCCCCGAGATGTCGTGGTATGAGTTTTGTTGGGTTGTTCGTTTGCGGTGCAGGCGTTCGCGTTCGGCGTGATCAGGGGGGTGTTGAGCGAGGGGTCGCAGCTGGACCAGGCGCCGCCGCCGCTGCAGGGCCCGCTGCCGTGGGAGGTGTTGCGCGTGGAGGATGCGGCAACGCCCCGCACGCCCCCCCGCTCGCCGTGACACGACGTTGTCGGCGAGCACCGCTCGTGTGACGTCGATACTACGCCGATCAGGCATGGCGTCTGAGCTCGGACGTCCTTGTGCATGTCTTGGAAATAGAACAATAAACACCCTCGCAGGTCCCTGGAGCCCCGCCACGCGCGCATCGAGAATTTCATCCCACGCCGCATGCGGCCGCACGGCCCAACGCAGTCCCCGCTTCCGCTGTCGGGCTCGAGTGGAAGGCGCGTGCTGACATGGGGAGGTATGACAAAGATTCCGGACCCTGCTAAGCCGCGTCCGCGGCACGATGCGTCGCGGCGGCGTGCCTCCAGAGTCACTCCACGTCTTGCGGCACTAGGTAGCGAATATAACGCGCTTCGGGCGGTCTTGGGCGTCGAGACAGCGCGCGGAGGCTTCCCAGGGTGCGCTCGCGCGTCCCTCACTGCCCGAAACGGGCGCGGCGCAGCTGGCACCGTGGCAGACATGGACGAGAGCGAAGCAATGGCCCTCCTGAGGTCGCACATGGAGGGAATCCGGGCCCCTGGCGCGTATGATCGCGTCTACAAGGACGAGTGTATGTACAGGTGCGTTCCGGGCCCGCCCACGGCCTCCCCCACTCTGACCGCAATCGCCGCGGCTTCTCCGACCAGCGCAGGCCGCGCCACAGCCGCTAGACGTGCCCGGCCGCGCGTCAGGGCCTGGATCTTAGGCTCCGACGTTTGTGGCGGACGGGTGCCCCGCCGGTGCACTGCGCGTCCGCCGTCGCGCACGAGCCGCGTTGCGGGCGCCCAGCTGCCCGCTGTGTTCATGGATATCTCAGAATGCCGCGAACATGGCCGCTATATCCACCCGCGGACACTCTACGCGTCGGCCTGGGAACCACAAACCCTGACCCTCGCGCAGAGCGCGGCTGAGCTGACATACACTGCCGCAAGCCCCCACTGGCGTACATTCGCTCCGTCTAGTGCATCTCCGACCGTGCGGCGCGCAGCCTTCGCGCCCAGACTCGCGCGCGGCGTCCGCGCCCCTGCACGTCGAACCTCCGCGCTCGTAGCGTCCATGCAACGCAGCTTCGCGACCCCGGAGTCCCCCGGCGGCCTCTTCATCAACCTCTCGACGTGGGAGGGCGTCAGTCGGGATTTCCTGGCGCTCGATCTCCAGAAATCACAATTCCCTCTGTACGTACACGAAGTGCACACGCGCGTGCCTCTCTCGGAGGAGGAACAGGCGAAGCTCGACGCGAAGCCCGAGGAGCTCGCCATCGGCACGGATTCCGGTGCGCCGCGGCCCTGCCCTGCCCGCCACCGCCCCACAACCGCGCTGCTGGCTCCTCACGACACACGAGCGCGGCTGCATCGTTCGCCCGGCGCAGGGTTCAAGGTGGGCGCGAAGCGCTTCAAGATCGAGAAGGCGATCACCCTCGCGGTCGTCACGGGCGGCGGGGAGCGCGCCAAGGCGGTCGACGTGTCTATGGAGGACGCGGCGACTCAGCTGTCGCCGGCGGCGGCGCAGGCGATCAAGGCGGTGGTCGAGAAGGAGAGCGCGGCGCGCGAGGACGAGGTCGTGGCGTGGTCGGAGGGCCGCTCGGCCACGAAGTACGCTGACAACCTCGAGCAGCTGAGTCAGGGGCACGGCGGGCGCACGCAAGTGTCGATGGACCCGTCCACGTGGAAGTGCGACGAGACAGGTGCGCTGCGGGGCGGACGCGCTGCCGCATGACGCGCCTGGCGCTGCTTGTGCACGCTCTGGTGTGTGTCTGTCTGTCGGTTGCAAGGGGTTCGTTGCGAGCGGGAGTGTCGACGGGCGTGTGCGTGCAGGGGAGACGGGGAACCTGTGGCTGAACTTGTCCACGGGCTTCATCGGCTCGGGGCGGCCCATCTGGGACGGTCAGAAGAACATTGGTGGGAACGGCAGCGCGCTGCGGCACTACGAGGCGACAGGCACGCCACACGCCCCGGCGAAACCACTGCAATGCAGTGCACGCCCGCTGGAGTGTGCGCGCACTGCGCGTTCCTCCGACCGCAGGCCGCTGCATCGTCAATGATGCACGCCGCAGCCTCACAGCCGTGCGGGCCGGTGCTGTCCGGCGAGCACCCGCGACACGCATGCTCTGAGCTGGTACTCCACCCGCTGTCGCGTGCCGCGCCGTGCAGGCAAGAAATACCCGCTTGCGGTCAAGCTCGGCACGATTACCCCGAGTGGTGCGGACGTGTACTCGTACGCGGGCGACGAGGACGACATGGTGGTCGATCCGAAGCTCCGGGAGCACCTCGCGCACTGGGGCATCGACATGGACCGCATGGAGAAGTCGGAGAAGACTATGGCGGAGTGGCAGGTCGATCACAACCTTTCATTCGAGTTTGGCGCCATGACCGAGGCCGGCTCCAAGCTCACGCCGCTGACCGGCCCAGGCCTCATCGGGCTGAAGAACCTCGGCAACTCGTGCTACGTCAACTCCATCGTCCAGCTCCTCATGACCGTCCCCGTATTCGCCGAACGGTACCAGCAAGGGGCCGACTCTATTGCAAGGACTGTGGCGCCGGGGGAGGCGGCGGGCTCGCTGGTCCTGCAGGTCGCCAAGCTCGCGCGCGCGCTCGTCGGCGGCGTCACGGACCCCCCCGCGCCCGTTTCCAGCCGCCCCGAGCTGTCCCCGGACGACGACGGCAAGTATGTCGCCCCGCGCCGCTTCCGCGCTCTCGTCGGCAAAGGGCACGCGGAGTTCTCGAGCCAGCGCCAGCAGGACGCAGCGGAGTACCTGCAGCACCTGCTTGACCTCCTGACGCGAGCGGAGTCGCAGCTGGACGCGGAGTCGCGCCCGAGTGAGGACCAGTTCAGCGCGTCCGTCGAGGTTCGGACGGTGTGCAGCGAGACGGGCGCGGTGAGCTACAAGGTGAATCCAGAGAACATTCTCTCGCTGGGCATTCCGATGGAGGCGGCGACGAACGCCGCGGACGTCGAGGCGGCGAAGGCTGCGGCAGCCGCCGCCGAAGCTGCAGGGGACAAGGACGCCGCCGCGGCGAAGAAGGTGCTGCCGGCGGTGCCGTTCCGGGCGTGCCTCGAGCGCTGGGCGGCGCAGGCGGAGGTGACGTACAAGAGCGCGGCGGCGGGCGGGCGGAACGTGCCGGGGGCGCAGACGTCGCGCCTCAAGACCTTCCCGCCGTACCTGTTCGTGATGCTGCAGCGGTACTACGCGGACCCGGCGGACTGGACGGCGAAGAAGCTCGAGGTACGGCGCCGCCCGCGTGCCGAACCGCGCGGCGTGTGGTATGATATGAACACCCTGGATCTCTAGTCAGGGTGTTGAATAAGTGAAGGGGGGGGCGAGGGGGTTCTCGAGGCTGCGCGACGGGCCCAGGCTCACGGTTGAGACGGCACGGTCGCGGCGGTGCATTTCTCTCCGTGTTCTGTGCGAGAGAGGGGAATACGGAATCGGCAGCGCGCGACAGTCTTGCTTTCCTGGTTGTGTTGCGGCGCAGGTGGAGGTGGAGGTGCCGGACCAGGTCGACCTGGAGTTCCTCCGCGGGCACGGCCCACAGGAGGGCGAGACGCTCCAGCCCGAGGACGCCGACGGCGGCGCTGACTCGGGTCCCCAGCCTGACTCAGGGATCGTGGCGCAAATCGTCGGCATGGGTTTCAGCGAGAACGGAGCCAAGCGCGCGGCGCTCGCAGTCAACAACAGCTCCGCGGAGCAGGCCGCGGAGTGGGTGTTCGCCCACATGGAGGACCCGGACTTCAACGACCCCCCCCCTGCGCCAGGGGGGAGTGCCGGAACGCCCGCCGCGGACCCGGAGGCCGTCGCGATGCTCGGGTCGATGGGCTTCACGCCCGAGCAGGCCGCGGCGGCGCTGCAGGCCACGAGCGGTAATTTGGAGCAGGCCGCGGACTGGCTGTTCTCGCACTCGGAGGACCTGGCAGCGGTGGTGGCGGCGGTGCAGGCCGGGGCGGCGGGCGGCGGAGCGGGCGGGGCGCGCCGGAGACAGCCGCCGTACGACGGGACGCCGGGGACGTACGAGCTGGTCGGGTTCGTGTCGCACATGGGCAGCAACGTGCACTCGGGGCACTACGTGGCCCATATCAAAAAGGTGAGCTTGGAAGACACGGATTCTCGATGTCCGTTGAACGCCCACCACCCCGAGGTCGAACGACCTGTGTGGATGGTGCGCCGGCGGCGGAACGCGCGTTGCGGAGCGTGGACGTGCCTGACGCGGCGCGGACTGACCGGGTGGGGGTGTTGGCTGCTGTGCTTGCAGAACGGGCAGTGGGTGATCTTCAACGACGAGAAGGTGGCGGCGAGCGAGAAGCCGCCGCGTGGCCTCGGGTACATCTACCTCCTGCGCCGCACCTCCCCGAACAAGCAGACCTCGTAGACGCTCACAGCGACGCGTGTGAAGGGTCAACAGTGCCGCCAACGTGCCGGCGAGAGCATAGGAAGCAGCAAGGGGGCGGCCAAGAGCCCGCTCGCCTCTTTGAGCGTCGCAGTCGACGTCTGCCGCTGCTGCCCGCTCATCCTGCGTGCGGGTACTCCACCGCGTCGTTGCTCTCGGTCACCCCTCTCCTTGGTCAGTGTGACCTCCGCTTTGACACGCTCGTCAGACTAATCGTCCATTACAGTCGAAGCGCACCGTCGAAACAAAACAATAGATGCTACGAGCTGCCTGCAGCCGCCACATTTGTATCCTCCGCGCACGGCAGGTCGCGAACCAGCTCGCCCAGCAGCGCCTCGATCCCCTCTTCCACGTCCAGGAACGCCGCCAGCTGCACCGCGTCCGTCGACACGGCGCTCAGCCGCGGCCGCTCGCGGCCATATGCCTTCTTCAAAACGCGCAGCCTCGCCTTCACCCACCCGGGCGGCCCGCGCTCCTTCTCCTCCGCCGTGTACACCACGAGCCCCATGTGCACGCTGCCGTTGTCGCGCAGCACCGCCACGTCGATCGTTGCCGCGCCGGGCGCGCGATGCCACGACACAACCTCGCAGGTCTTCAGCGCCGGGTGCGCGTCCGAAGCCGCCTGCATCCCCTTCTCCAGCACGCTCCGCACCTTCTCCACCGCCTTGCCCATCGCTATCCGGTGCACCTCGTCGTCCGGCAGCAGCGCGGGCCCGAGCGCCTCGCCAGGCCGCATGGCGAACCGCCGAATGCTCGGCCCCGACATCTGCTGCTCATACCACGGGTCCCCGGACCACTTCGAGCCCATGACGTCGAACTCCGGCCCCGGAATCTCCTCCGTCGTCTTCATCCCCGCCACCAGCTCCACCATGGCCCCCAGCGCGCCGCCGCGCATCAGCTCCAGCGTGTCCCGCCGGAGCACCTCGTCGGGGTTGCTGTGCAGCCGGAAGAGGTCGCGGTTCTTCAGGAACGCGTTCACGGTCCGCGCGTCCGCCTCGGAGAAGATCTTGGACACTTGCGGGCCCCAGTGGCGGAGCGTGCCCGCCTTGCCCGCCGCGACGATGCCCTCGATGCTGCCGAAGCGGACCAGGAGGCGCTTCGCGCACTGCACGGAGGGCGCCTGCGCGAGCGTGACGCCCTTCTCGCGATGTCCGCGCAGCGCGAAGAGGCAGGGTGCCGCCGAGGGGGGGAACCCGTTGGAGGCGTGGAAGGACTCCGGCGTGATGGGCTCGGGGGGGAAGGACGAGGACGAGCCGGAGATGCGCAGCCACCACACGTTGCCGCCGGGCGTCGCGAGGACCTGACACATGTCGGTGTCGCCGCTGACGACGGCGATGGGCACGTCTGCGCGGGGGCGTCGAAACGTGGGCGAGAGAGCTTCGGATGTGCTCGCAGGAAGCATATCCTAGGCCGTGAGCGCGCTGGACGCGGAGCGGGCGAACCGGCGCTAAGGTGCGTCGACTTTGGTGTGTTTGGTGGTTGATATGATGGTGTGGGAGAGTGCGCGCGCACCTGGGTGGCGGGAGGCGATTTCCCGGCAGACCGCGGCGATGCCGTCGTCGGCCTCGTACATGTCGCCCGGTGCGATGCACCAGAAGCCGTTTTCGGGCTTCGTGATGGCACGCGACACGTGTTTTGCGTCCTTGCGTTGCGGGTTCTTGGCCGTGTCGGGCCGCTGGCGCCCGTACGACTTCTTGATCCGCGTGCGCACCGTCATCGCGCCCTTCGATCGCTCGGGATCGAACACACTTATCGACATCGCGGCTCCTAGTCTCCTCTCCAGCCTCTCGACCCATCTTCGGTAAATGTCGTGTGGCGCGGTGCCCTGCGACCGACGAAGCGCGCGTTTCCCGATCTTCCTTGCACGAGCGACTCATTTCTCGTGCTGGCGCGGCGTGAGGGGGGGTGTAGCTGCGCGGGCGCGAAGGCCGAGGGGCGCGCGGGTCGGGCGCCGTGTGCGCACCGGAGCGGTGCTCCGGCCCTGCTTGTAGCGCTTCGCGAGGCCGAAGCAGTGGAAGAGGAGGTTCGTGCCGTCGATGACGAGGATCCTCGCCTCCGGAAGCGCCGGCTCGCCCCCTCGACGACGTGCGTGTGACCAGGGCTTTCCCGCCCGCGCCCGAATGTCCTGGTACAGTATTCGCCCCGGATCCGAGTCCAACAGGCGCATCCTATGCAGAGACGTGTGTGACACCGCTCGGCCATGCATCCCGAACCATCCCAGCGGCCTTCGCGCGAACATTGGTGGCCGGGCAACACCTCCACACCGAATTCCTGCCCCCCGCGCGCCCGTCCCGCCACATGGCGCGGCGTCCTGCGTTGCGCTCGTGTACCTCGTCATCGAGCACGCTCTCGCGCCCACGTCACGCGCGCTCGCAGGCGCTGCGCGCCCGGGAAAGTGCGCGGCCGAACAGCGCGCTGCCCGCGATACGGCGGGCAGCAGGCTTCGCCAGTCCCCTGGCATCGCCAGAGGTCGACGTGACGCACCCGCCGGCGCGCCGCCAGCAATGTGCGCGGGCGCTGCGGCCCGGGGGGGGCCTGGGACTCCCCTGGTCGCACTGGGCCGCCGCGGGCGGGCTGCGGGGCGCGCGGGGCCAACGGCCCCGCCCCGCGGCGGCCGCGGGCACACTGACGACGGCGACGCGGCCGCGGCGCGCACACGTCTCATCCACGCCTCGCAACTCGCGCAACAAGAACGCAGGCTACGTGCACGGCGCAGGCGTCTGTTGCGTCCGTTCCGCTCATTTAGAAGCACAGCAGCGAGCGCCGGCTCGCAGCCACCGCTGTGCGTGAGCCGTGGAGCGTGCTCGGCCGTGACGGGCGGCCCGGCCGGAGCGGCCAGCCGGCCGGCCGATGGTGAGAGCCTATCTCCGATACGAGCTCGCTGGCTCGTGGGGCGTCGTCGCAAGCGACGCCGACGTGGTCTACCTGAAGGATGGCAAGACCCTAGTAGCTCCGGCGCTCGAAACTCTGCAAATATGGAGCGTGCGGAAGGGTACCGTGTTGAGAAGACTCACAGCGCCGCGTGGTGCGCTCCCTGACGCGCGATTCCGCCCCGACTCGCGCCCGTCGGCGCCCTCATCGAGTATCCATTCTTGGCGGCGTGCGTCTCCGCGACGATACGTCCCCCGGGCGCGCACCGAGGCCGCGCCGCCTGGCTGTTGCAGCCTCCAGCCCCGGTCCCGCCCGCGCGCCTCAGTTAATCCCATCTCCGCCGGGCCCCACGGCCCCATGACGGCGATGTTTCATGGAAGGCGCAGAGCAGGCCCCGCGGCGGCCCGCCCCGCGGCGTCGGGAGGTCCCCTCCTGCGCCCTCGTCCGCGGGTGCCGGGGCGGGCCGCCGCTGGGCCGCGAGAGTTTCGCTGACGGCAGCCCGCGACTCCACGGGTGTTATCTGATAGTAGCTCTCGCACATCCCCACGCTGCCGCGTCCCGTGCGCGCCGCAACGGCACGCCACGCCCCACACACGTACACCGCCACTGACGCACCCTCTGGCGCGCAGGGGAGAACGACGCCGCGGCTCCGTCCGTCACCGCGGTCGCGTACTGCCCCGCAGTCGACCGCATCGCGGCGGGCTACTTCGATGGCACCGTCCGCGTCTGGAACCCGACTTCGGGTGAAATCGAAGCCACGTTTTCAGGTCTGTCGCGGCCTCGCTCCCACCGACTCCGCCGCGTCGCCACGCGGCGGCCACGCGTCCGCACGGATCGCGCGCGCCAATCCAGCGCGTCCGAACGCGACTGACCGCTCCGCCTCGCTCTGTGCGCCCGCAGGACACAGGAGCGCGGTGGCGGCGCTGCGTTTCAGCATGGACGGCGCGCAATTAGCGTCCGGGGGGCGCGACACTGACATCGTCGTGTGGGACGTCGTCGGCGAGACGGGGCTCTACCGCCTCAAGGGGCACAAAGGCCAGGTACTCGCAACACCACCCACGCGCGCAAAAACAACCACCAAACCTCGAATGTGTGTTTCGTGGTTGTACGCGAATCGAATCGCGGCCAGGGCGCCTCCCCACGGCCTGGTCCGCCCCTCCCTTGCCCGCGCGCGAGCTTCGGGCGCGTTGCGTCGCGTTGCGTTGCGTTGCGGTGTTGTGCGTCGACGTCGACACGCGTGCGGATGATTGGACGTATGTTGGCGACGGCGCGGCTGCCCGCGGGCGCCGGCGCCGGTGGAGCCGAAAGAATATTAGCTCTAGCTGACGCGCGCGTCCGACGCCGGCACCGACGCCTGCCCGGGCTGTTTGACCCAGCGAAAGCCCGGCGCTATCGCGCCTGACTCGGGTTTTGTTTCTCCGTGCTTGCTTGCCTGTGCGGTTCGTGGCGATGACGACCTACTTCGACCTGAAGGGATCTACACCCCCGTAAAACCTTGTGGACTTACAAGTATTTCACAGTTTCTGAGCCACGAATACATATCTGTGTATATGCCGCACAAGCACAGCACTCACCACGCTCCGAAACACCTGCGCTCTTTCGGACCCCTTGCCCACAAGCACGGCAGGGCCCGTGGCCTCTTCCACACCGTCGCATCCTCCCGCCCACTCGCGAGACAGTCCCTGACTCGACCGCGAACACCCCCCCCCTTTTCCCACCTCCGACCGCAGGTCACCGACCTCGCGTTCCTGCCCCACGCCCCGCGCCTGATATCCTCGAGCGCGGACGGCTTCGTCAAGGTCTGGGACACGACCACGCAGCACTGCTGTCAGACAGTCGTCGGACACCGTAGCGAGGTGTGGTCGCTCGACGTGTCCCCGGACGGCACGCGCGTCGCCACGGGCTGCGTCGACGCCGACGTGCGCTTCTTCCGCGTGCACGCCGACGCCGACGCCGCGCCACAAGCGCCCCACGACGGCGCGAACACCCTCGAAGCAATGGGCAGTCTCCGGCGCACCACCGCGCACCGTGTGGCGCGGGTCCGGTTCTCGCCGACAGGCGAGCACCTCGCCGTGCAGGGCGCGTCCAAGGCCGTCGAGGTCTTCCGGCGGCGCACCGACGCGGAGGTCCACAAGCACGTGAAGCGGCGGAAAAAGCGCGCTGAGAAAAAAGGCGCTGCGGGCGACGGCGGCGGCGACGCGGAGGCCGCGCCCGGCGTGGTCGCGTCGGACGAGTACGCGCCGCTCCCGCCGCTGCGCCTCCGCTCGAAGATCCGCTCCGTGGCGTTCCAGCCGGGCGCGCCTGCGTCGACGGCAGTGATCGCCGCGGGGCTCTCGGACAACAGCGTGGAGGTGCACGAGCTGTCCGAGGGCAAGGACGACAAGGGCAACGGGCTACACGCGCGCCGATACGGCCTCGAGCTCGCCGGGCACCGTGCGGACGTCCGCGCCGTCTCCTTGTCGTCGGACGGGACGCTGCTGTTGTCGGCCTCGGGCGCCGGCGCGAAGCTCTGGGACCCCGCCGAGGGCCGGCTGCTGCGCTCGGTCGAGGACGTCGGGTACGGCCTGTGCGCGGCGTTCCTGCCCGGGGACCGGCACGCGGCGATCGGCACCCGCGACGGCGCTGTCGAGATCGTGGACGTGGCGTCCGGCGGCGTCGAGTCGCGCGTCGCGGACGCGCACAGCGGGCCCGTGTGGTCCCTCGCGGTGCTGCCGGACAAGTCCGGCATCGTGACGGGCTCCGCCGACAAGGAGGTCAAGTTCTGGGAGTTTGCAGTAGAAGAACAAGCTGAGTCAGGCCGGCGACGGCTGAGTCTGACGCTGAAGCGGACGCTGCGGATGTCGGACGACGTGCTGTGCGTGCGGTGCTCCCCGGACGGGAAGCTCGTCGCGGCGTCGCTCCTGGACTGCACCGTGCGCGTGTTCTTCCTCGACACGCTCAAGTTCTACCTGTCGCTGTACGGCCACAAGCTGCCCGCGCTCTCGATCGACATCTCGTCCGACTCGGCGCTGCTCGTGTCCGGCGGGGCGGACAAGGACATCCGCATCTGGGGCCTCGATTTCGGTACGCACCGCACCGCGCCTGCTGCGCTCGTCGTGTCCGCTGCGCCGGCGCGCGAGTGCGGCGCGGCGCGGCTTGCTCTACCGCGCACGCTGCCGTGTGGCGTCAGGCACGTGCTGGCGCGGCGTTTGCTGCGTGCACATGCGCCACGCGAGCCCGTCGTCTATTTCAAGCGCTTTCCGCGCATGTCCCGGTCTGCCAGTTCGCTGGCGTTCGCGCACGGCTTTGTTCGCGGCACGGACAGGTTGGCGCCGAATGCTGCCGCCCCCCCCGCGTCCATAAGCGCCGCTGGAGTCCCCCCCATGACTCTGCTCGGTTTTGCACGGATGCAAGATCGCACCCGCGGCCGGTCTGCTGCCGCCGGCTCCGCCGCCGCTGCCCCCGGGCAGCTGCGCGCTCCGACGTCGCGCGTGCATTCACGCTGGCCGCACACCCACCGACACCCCTCGGGGTCTTTTCTTTTCACCCCCCGCCTTGCCGCAGCCACGTCAGGCCGCCTGAGTCCGACCGAGCCCCGCCCGCCGCTGCACTCGCAGGGGACTGCCACCGCGCGCTCTTCGCGCACGCGGACTCGGTGATGCAGGTCGCCTTCGTTCCCAATACGCACTATGCCTTCACAGTTGGAAAAGACCGACTGGTGAAGTACTGGGACTGCGACCGCTTCCACGAGCTGCTCGCGCTGCAGGGCCACCACGCGGAAGTGTGGTGCCTCGCCGTCGACCGCTCCGGCGCGTTCATCGTCACGGCCTCCCACGACAAGTCGATGCGGCGCTGGGAGCGCACGGACGAGCCGTTCTTCCTGGACGAGGAGCGCGAGAAACGGCTCGAGGAGGCGTTCGAGGCGGACCTGGACGCGGATCCGCTGCAGGGCAAGGATCTCGAGGCCGGCCCGGACGGCAGCGCCGCGAAGGGTGTGCAGGGGGAGGGCGAGGGCGCTGCGGCGGTGGCCGGGCGGCGCACGCTGGGCGTGGTGGAGGCTGCGGACGCGCTCGGGGAGGCGCTGGAGACGGCGGAGGTCGAGGAGAAGCGGCGGAGGGAGTGGCTGGACCAGAAGCGGGCGGCGTGGGCGGCGGAGTGGGAGCGGGCGCGGCGGGCGGCGAAGCGGGCGAAACGGGAGGGCGCGGCGCAGGCGGACGGGCCGCCGCCGGAGGACGACGAGGAGCTCGAGAGGGCGGTCGGGCGGCCGCCGGCGAACCCGCTGATGCTGGGCCGGTCGCCGGCGCAGTGGGTGCTGCGAGCCCTGCGCAGCGTGCGCACTGCGGACCTGCAGCAGGCGCTCCTGGTGCTGCCGTTCCCGGACTGTCTCCGGCTGCTGAGGTACCTGGAGGGGTTCCTCGACGAGAGCTCGCAGGTGCGCGCCCCGAACGTCCCGTGTCGCTGCAGGATGGCTCGAGACGTGCTCGACCGCGGGGTGCAGAGAGAGCGATGACGATCCCACATTCGTTCCTTTGGCTGTCTGAACGGGCTCCGCTAGGCCCGACGCCCATGTGGACAATAAGCAGTTTCCGAGCTCTCTCATGCCACTCGACAGCCCCCCCCCATCCTAGCCAACGCAACCTGGCGCAGTGAGGCCGAAACACGGCGCGCAAGCACCAGCCTCGCCTTGCTGTCCGTTCACTGCGCCTCGACCCCCACCAGCGAAGCCGAGCGCGCCCGTTGTGTTGTTTGCAGGTGGAGCTTTCTGCAAGGGTCGCGACGATGATCGTGCAGGCGCACCAGGCGCAGCTCTCGTCCCTCCCGGACGCACGCGACGTCCTGGCGTCGCTGCACGCGAAGCTGCGCACGCGCATGAAGGTGCGATGCGCGAAACGCGCTAAAGCAGCGCTACGTTGTTCGCGGAGTAGGTCGGGCCGCTTCCGCGCCCGGCGCGCGCCGCTCGCGCGCCCCAGGCCTGCAGCTGACGCCCGCTTGCACAGCGTCGCTCGCTGCAGGAGCTGAAGGACGTGATGGGGTACAATATGGCGGCTGCGAGACACATTGCGCGACGCATCGATGCAAAGCGCGCCGTGGCGGGGGAGTCCTGAATGCGGCGCAGCGCTGCTCGTGCCCGGCTGGGCAGGGTGCGTGCGCTGCCTGCGATGTGAGAGGCTTGTCACGACGACGCGATTCCGAGGTGAAATCGCCCTAGTTGGCGCGTTGGGCGGCGTCTCGGCGGTGTTGGGGGTTCGCGCGCGCTAGGCGATGGCATTGAATCTAAGTTGCGCGAGATGGCCGAAGAGGGCGTGCCGGGAGCTCGGATGACGACGGGAGAGGCGCGTTACGAGCTCGGATAGGGCTCCGCAGCTGCGGCGAGGCGTCGCGAGAGCCCGGTGCGCATCGCGAGATTGCTCTGAGAATGCCTGTGTGCGATCGCGGCGAGCCGCTTGTGACTCACTGGTCCCTGCGCACCCAGCTGGGCGGCTGAGGCAGAAGCAGGCAGCCTGCTCGTCCGGCGCTCACACACAACAGCTTACTGGCTGCCCACCTCAGACCCGGCAAAGACGTCCTGGTCGCTGCCGAACAGGTCCGAGAAAGGCCCCACCTGCGCGCAGCACAGCAACAAGAGCCAAGTTGAGCGATGGCCACCCACCGCCACAGCCCTCCATCTCGCGCCGCGCGGCGCACAGCGGCGCCCCAGGGCCGCCACCCCGCGAACCGCAGACACACAGCCGCTTCGATGCCCGGCGCAGCCAGCAGCAGCTCCCCGCCGCCCCCCCGCAGATGGCGCGCACGCCAGCAGCTGGGAGGCGCCACGGGCGCTGCGTCCGGCCCCAGCGCGCGCTCTCGCGTTCTCGAAGCACGGCATACGCCAGCGGGGGCGCATCCGGCGCGCGTGGCGGCGCTGCGGGGCCGCGTGCGCACCTCGACGATGCCAGCCGAGGACTGCACAGCCTGGTCCATGGTCCGGTAGCGCGACATGCGCTCCTTCCGCCTCTTGATGGGCATCTCCTTGGCCTTGCGCTTCTTGAGGTCCTGGCCGTTCTCGAAGGTGCGGCGGCGGCGGCACTCGTTGACGATGTTGGCGCTGTTCACCGCCGTGCGGAACTTGCGCAGCATCACGTCCGTCGACTCGCCGTCGCGCCGCGCGATCTCGACGTGGTAGACCTTCTTGTTGGCCATGCAGACCTTGGCGCCGTTCGACACGCGCGCCACGGGCGTGGCGCGCACGGCCGCGGACGACAGCAGCGCGCTCATCGGTGAGGGTGCGTCGCGGGCGGGCGGGGCGGGGGTGGTGTGTCGCGGCGGTCGCTGGCTCCACTGCGCGGGCTCGGTGCGAGCAATGTGGGGCGCGGGCGGGCGGCTGCGGGGCGTTGGCGGGCCGGGCGCGCGGGTGGGGCCTGAGGGGCTCGAGTCGACTTCTGGCTGGGGGCCGGCGCGGCGCCCGCCGTTGGGTTTGCGGGGGGCGCGGGCGGGTGCAGACGTTCTGACGTTGGTGGAAGTGGCGGGTCTTAGAACGAACGGGTGCCTCGTGGTGACACGGCGCCGCTCGCGGGCTCTGAGCTAGCGAGGTGGCCTCGCCCTTGGTCGTTGCGGCGAGTTTCGCAACGGACGCTGGCTTCGGGGATATCGGGCGACGTATCGTGGGTCGTAGGACGGAAGAGGCGGGCGCAGGGGTAGCGCTTTCGTCGCGCGGGGCGCTGGAGCCGAGCAACTTGGGTCCCGACTTGGGGGATGGCTGATGCGGCCCCGGCCGTCCGCGACGGCGGAATGACGGAAAAACTTGCGCCGATGGACGGGAATGCCGCGCCGGGCCCCGAGAGCGCGGCTCGAGGGGCTGACCACCCGCCCTTGGACCACAAGGCGTCGGATGCCCCCAAGACCGGCGAGGACGACCTGGAGTACCTGCAGGGAGCAACGCTCACTCGCCGGAAGGAGTACGTCGACAAGGATCCAGAGGTGCGCGCGGCTGCCACCGCCCTGCCAGCTTTTTGACACGCTGGCCCCCTCGACCCCCTCACGCCACCCACGCGGCAATAGTCCCCACCCCACCAATCCCGCTGTCGTGGACACCGACCGCTCTCTGCCGTGGGCCGCCCCCGCATCGCCGGCGCGCCCCCGCGCGCCCTCTCCCCGCCCCCCTGCCACGCGCTGAGCTCCAACGCCCCGTCCTGGGGGGTCGCCGCCGCCCCCGGCCGGCCCGCGCCGCGCGCACCTCGCCACTCGCGCCGCCTCCCACCGCCTCGCAGCGTCCTCCGCCACGCTCCGCCGGCACCGCGACCGCACGCCGCGCCTCCTCACCGCTCCTCAGCAGGCGCCTCCGCGCGCACCCCGTCGCCCGCTCCCGCCCCGCTCCCGCCCGTACCAGCTCCCTACCGCCCGCACCGCGCCCAGCGCCCCTCCACGCACGCACGCGCCCCGCCCCGCCCCCGCGCCCACCCCCTCCCCTCGTGCCGCTCCCTCCCCGCTCACCGCCCCGCCCGCCCGCGCCCCCGCCGCAGGCGCGAGGATCGAACCGCGTGATGTACTACCGGCGCAACGCGGACTACGACCGCCTCGTCCAAGTGTGCTCCCAGAAGCTCCGGGCGAACCCACGCAACATGCGCGCCCTCCTCATCCGCGCGACGTCCTACATGAAGAAGGACATGCTCGACCAGGCGCTCGCGGACTACTGCGCGGTGATCAACATCGAGGGCACGCACGTCGACGCCCGCTTCCACCGCGGGAGCATCTACCAGAAGAGACAGGAGGCGGAGAACGCCATCGTGGACTTCACGAAAGTGCTCGAACTGGACCCCATGCACGTCAAGGCGCTCTACGCCCGCGCCGCGTGCTACAACCTCATCCAGGTGCGGGCCCGCGCGGCCCCCGGCCGCGCGACGGGCGACGGCGGTGGTGTGTGCGCATCTGTGCGTGTGTGTGTGTGCGGGCGGCCTGTGGGCGCGGGCGTCGCCGCCGCGGGGTCGTGGGAGCTCCGCAGACGCGCTCGCGGGCCCGTGCGCGCGTCGCGTCGCGCGTCGAGCCGGAACCGGCGAGTTTTTCTTCACTCGGAGTTTTGTATTTTCTGTTGCGCTGCAGGAATACGAGAAGGCCGTGGACGACTACAACCGCGCGCTGGAGCTGGACAAGGAGCTGAACCAGCGCCGGAAGTGGGTCCGCCAGGCCCGCCGGAACCTCCCGGAGAACGACCCGGCGCTAAAACCCCTCCCGGAGGTACAACGCGCGCAGAAGGAGGCCCAGAAGGCGGAGGCGGAGGCGGCGAGGGTGCAGCAGCTGCGGCTGGAGCCCGGCGAGGAGGGCGTGGAGCCCGGGACGGACGCGCCGCCGAGCGCGCGCAGCCCGAAGGGTCGCGCGGCGGAGACCGCGATGCCCGGCGCGGGTGGCGCGAGCGCGGCGCCGACGCCGCGGCCGGACGCGTCGTCGATGATAACGCCGCGCGCGCTGTCGAGCTCGACGACGGCGACGGCGCGCGCGAGCGACGCCGGGACGGAGGCGGCGGCGCAGCCGTCGGCGGGCGGGGGCGTGGAGCCCAACTCGTCCCCGAACACCGCGCGGACGGACGCGAGCGCGGAGACGGCCGCGGCGCCGTCGCAGCGCCAGCAGCGCAGCGTGCAGGCGGACTACCACCACTCGAAGGGCTACGCGTACCGCAAGCAGGGCAACTTTCTGCGCGCGATCGAGGAGTACTCGAAAGCCATCGCGATGCAGCCGGGGCACTTCAAGGCGCTGTTCAACCGCGCGTTCTCGTACGACAAGATCGGCGAGTACCGGAAGGCCATCGACGACTACACGGCGGCGCTCGAGGTCGACAAGAAGAACAGCTTCGCGTTCTACAACCGCGGCATCACGTACGACCGGCTCGCGAGCTACCGGGACGCGATCGAGGACTTCACGACCGCGATCTCGCTCGACAAGGGCAACGCGGACTTCTACCACAACCGCGGGTTCTCGCTGCGCAAGGACGGCCGCTTCGAGGAGGCGATCGAGGACTACACGTACGCGATCAAGCTCAACCCGAAGCACTGCCGCGCGTACTACAACCGCGCGTTCTCGTACGACCGTCTGAAGAAGTATGACCTCGCGGTCGCGGACTACACCCGCGCGCTCGAGATCGAGCCGCAGAACGCGACGGCGTACCATAACCGCGGCTCGCTCTTCGAGCGCCTCGGGCGGCTCCAGGAGGCGCTCGCCGACTTCAACAAGGCGATTCAGCTCGACCCCAAGTCGGCGCTGTCGTTCAACGCGCGCGGGCTGCTCCTCGAGCGCATGGGCCGCCTGGAGGTCGCCATCAACGACTTCGACCGCTCGGTGACGCTCGAGCCCACGAACCCCGTGTTTCTGCGGAACCGCGGGCTGTGTCACCGCACGCGCGGCGACTACAAGGCGGCGGTCGCGGACCTCACGCGCGTGCTGCAGAGCGCGCCGCAGGACGTGACGGCGCTCAGCAACCGCGGGTACGCGTACCGCAAGATCGGGAACTTCGAGGCGGCCGCGAACGACTACACGCGCGCCCTGCAGCTCCAGCCCGGCACGATCCGGCTGTACAACAACCGCGGGTACTGTCTGGCGAAGCTCGGAAAGTACAAGGACGCCATCCAGGACTACGACGCGGTGATCGCGCGCGACGACAGCAACACGCACGCCTTCCACAACCGCGGGATCAGCTACGACAAGCTCGGGCTGTACGAGGACGCGATCCAGGACTTCACGCGCGTGCTGGAGCTGGAGCCGAACAACGTGAACGCGTACTTCAACCGCGGGTCGGCGTACGACTCGGTGGGCAACTACGAGAGCGCGGTGAACGACTACAGCAAGGCGCTTGACTTGGATGCCACGCAGGGCAACACGCCGCGCATGACGCCGCGCATGAACACGCCGCACGGCGTGACGCCCGCGGACACCCCGCGCAGCCTCGCGACGCCGCGGAACGTGCCGGGGTGACCTCGGGAGGAACCGGGTGAATGTGTGGGGGGGGTGTTGGTGATTGTGCGTGCTATGCGCCGGTGGCGGCGCGGGGGCGGTGCGCGTGGGATGTGCGAAGGTCGTGCTGGGGAGGGCGGTGGGGGCGTGGGTCGCAGGGCAGACTGGAAACCGCGCGCCGTGCAGCGGTGGTGGGAAACGCGAACGTGTGACTTTGTCTACGTTTGTTCCTCCTTCGATGGTCTCGTGCCGCTGAACCTGGGCTGCGACGTCGCTCGCGACAGCGGAATCCCGCGGCACACGTTTCGGTCGCTGTGGGCCCAATGTCAGGCCGTGCGATGACCAGCGCGTGATGGTCAACGCCCGGACCTTGCCCACGTGGCTGCGGAAGCGCCTAGGCTGCACAGGGCGCTCAAGGTGGTGCTGTCCGACACGTCCCGGAGCACACGCTGCAATTCGCATCGATCACAGGCGTTCGAATCATCACCTCGACCTCTATTTTCTTGCAACAGGTCTTCGTGTTGATACAGCGCCCTGTCAACAGAGCCGCGCCGCGCATCGGAGCAGCCACAGGGCGCGGCTGTGCTCACGGAAGCCGCGATACGCGCTGCAGGGCTGCTCCAGCACACTGCCGGCCACCCATCCGTCGCAACAACAGTGCTGCGCGCACTCTGCCAAGACGCAGACCGATCGCACACGCGCCGGTCGCGGCCGTCTCATCCCCGCGTACGCGCAGCCACCTCCCTGAGCCTCTCAGCGATCCTCCGTCGCTCATCTTTCTTCCTCTTTCGTTCTCGTTCTTTGCGCCGCCTCGCAGGGCCTGTGACATGGTACTGGACAAACCACGTCGGCCGCCCAGGCAGCCGCGGCCGCTGGTCAGGCACGGCCTCCGGGGGCACGAACCCGTACGTCCAATCCCACTCCTCCGCCCACAAGGCCGTGTGATAACACAAGGTGATCTCGTCGCCCTTCTTGACGCCCCCGGGGCCCGCGACGAGCCGGAACTCCGCCGCGTCCTCGCCGTCCGCGACGTCGGCGATCTCCTGCGTCGCCGCGACGCCCTGGCTGTGATTCACGCCCCACACCAGGCTCACCGCCGCGTTGGCATCGCGGGCGTGGTTGGCCATGTCGATACCAGGCAGAATGACGTGCCGCGGCACGTCGCTCGGCGGGACGAACGCGCGGCTCAGCGCCAGCGCGACCGCCCACCCGAGCACGGGCTCGGGGTTCAGAACGCCCGTCAGCGTCCACACAGTTCGCTCGTCCAGCACCCCGCCCGAAATCAGCGCGTCGCTAATGAGCGTCAGATCCGAGAAGTGCGACACATTTGCCATGCGCGAGGTCTGGCGGAGGATGTCGGCGCCCTCCCTGGCGAGAGGCTTCTCCGGTCCGCGCTTTTCGTGAAAAGCAGGGTCCGCGAGGTGCGAGGCGCGTGGCCATGGCAACTCGCCCTCGGGCGTGGGGAGGTCCTCGACCTCGCCGAACGCTGCGCCCGGGATCACCATCGTCTGCGGCAGCGAGCGCGCCCACGGGCTCGAGGCCGCCCCGCCCTCCGCCTCCACATCCGCCCGCAAGCGTCGTAACAACTCAAAGCCGAGAATATGAGCCCAGTGCGTGTCCGACTCGTCCGGGGGCGGGTCGTCCACGACGATGGCGTGCTCGTACGGCACGGAGTAGATCAGCTCGCCCGGCGCGATGTCTTCCACGGCCACAAGACCCCGCCCGACGCCGGGCAACTCCCTCACCTCCGCGCGCAGCGTCGCGGGGCCCGCGACGCCCCTGTCGACGAAGTACTCCAGCACGTCCGGATCGGCGTCGTAGCCTGCCGGCACGCCTCTGGTCACGGGCGCTTCCGCTCTGCGCGGCACGCTGGCCCCGCGCTGCAGGTGCCCGCGCGAAACGACGCAGCCTGCGCGATCGATGGGCCGATCGCGCCGCCCTGCGCCAACGAGCCCTGAAGGACGCCGCAGATGGACCCCCTGGGGCCTGTAAGCAACGCTGTACGGGCGTAGGGCGCCGTGCATCCCTCCTGAGGGCGTGCCCCGGGCGGCCAGGAGAGCGACGTCCAGCGCTTCAACGCCCGCGGGCAGTCGCATGTGCGAGAGGGGCTGCGCGGGCGAGCCCATCCAGCCCGGCGTTCGTCGCCCTGTGCATGTTAGTTACCCCCCCCCCCTGAAAGCCAGGTCGTCGCGGGCCGCCGCACAGGTCCTCGGGCCGGCACCGCCGGTCAGGGGTACCGGCAGCGGCGCGGCGGCCCGTGCGGCCCGCAGCGCCGGCTCCAGGGGCGGAAAGCGGGAGACGTGGGCTCCAGGGCCACACAGCGAGCGGGGGGCGCACTCGACGAGGGCGGCGTCCGGCCCGGCGGGCTGGCAGACGCGCGCAAGCACGTGCTGCGCGCGCTGGAGGAGCTGCGGCGGTGGCTTGCGAGGGGGTGTTGGCGGCGTGGAGTCAGGGGGGAGTGTCACATGCTGCGGGAGCCTACTCGGTCACCAGCACGCCCGACTCCGACACGTAGATGCCGTCGAGGAACTTCCGGATGTCCTTGTTGCGCACCAGGCAGCAGTTGTTGATCAGGGCGCACGACCTGCACACACAGACACAGATCAGGGGCCGCGGTCTGCGTGCGCAGCTGGGACCACTGCGGGCCGGAACGCAGCGCGAGCTGCCGGGCGAAGCGATCGTCCGCGCGCGCGCGGCGCCGCGGTCGAGGTCCGTGCGCACAGGTGCTGCGTGCGCGGCGAGGGCGTGGACGCACCGCGACACGTTCTCGATGGAGTTGCCGGTGAAGACGAGCTGGTCCTTGACGTTGGCGTCCTTCTCGCAGGTCACGCCGGGGAGCATGTTGACGATGCGGACGCGCTTCTCGCCCAGGAAGTTGCGGATCTCCACCACCGTGCCCTTCTTCTCGAGGTTGATGTTGATGGGGAAGTGCGCGTACACTAGGCGCATCTTGTACTGGAAGCCCTTCGTGACGCCCAGGATCATGTTCTTGATGTGCGAGCACGCCGTGCGGATCGAAGACACCTGCTTGGAAGTGCCGAAGTGCTTCGCGACCTGCGAGGGGCGGGCGGCGGGGCGCGGGGCGTCGGGGCGTGCGTGCTGGCGGGAGGGGCTCCGCGGGGGGGCTGCGCGGCGGCCTGCGGGGCCGGGACGGCGGTGCGGGCGAGCGGCCCACCTTGACGATCGGCTTCCCGTCCTTCTCCGTCACGAAAATGTCCACCGCCATGTGCTTGAGCTCCTTGTGCAGCTCACCGCGGGGGCCCTTGACGGTGATCTTGCGCGCCTTCGCCTCCACCTGCGCGAGAAAGAGCGGAGAGAGGGGACGGCGCCGTTTGCACGGGCCTGCCCGTCGCGTGGAGACCGGACGCGCCGCCGCAACGCGGCTGGCGTGGAGCGGGCGGCACGAGGGGCGTGCCGGGGATTCGGGGCCGCGTGTCGGCCGGCGTGGGCGCCTCTGTGGCGAGGCGGGCACCACAGGGAGTCTCGCTCGAGCCCGGCAGGCCCGTGCAGGCGACCGCGCGGCGGTGCGGCGCGCTGCTCGCGGTTTCTGGTATTGATGTCGCGTGTCGGGCGCGGAAATTCGGGTCAGGGGGCGTGCAGCGCTGCGAGCCAGCGTTGGCAGCCGCCCAGCGCTGCCACAGCACGGGCAGCTCCCGGGCCGCGGCGTCGACGGTAAACCTCGTGAAAGTGCGCGCGGCGACGCATGGCGGTCCGCCGCCGGGCGCGGTGCGCTCGCAACGCGAGCGCCAGGGCCGTCCCGGGCAAGGCTGGGCGGTCCGCTGCGCCACCGCGGGGGGCGCGCTGGACGCTCGCGCGCGCGAGGGCGCCTGCTGAGCATTTCTCTCAGCCACACGGCGGCGGCGGCGGGTCTCTGCGGCCTCGGGTACGCACCGTCACCCCCTCCGGGATGGGCACATCGCCGTTGATCTCCAGATACCTCATCCTGCCAACGCTCCACCACCACAAATCAAAGAGGGCGAGCAGACGCGTTGTCCGGCGGCAAAGACGGCGAGCCCCGCACCCGCACCGAGCGGCACTGACGTGGTCTGTCCCAATTAGCAAGTGACACACCCCCGTGCACCGCCCGCAGGGGCCCAAACGTCGCGAAAGTGATCCGAGTAGAATGCCATTCGATTACGTCACGAACATGCATGAAAAAACACGCCAAAGAAGCGCCGCACTACGCGAACGGAGCCACCGGGACACCGTGCTTGTACACACCGCGTCCGAGCGGCCCCCCCCGCTCGCGCAAAAGCAGTTTTTGAGGCGCCCGCGCAGGACACGAAGCGCGGGCGTGCTACCGTCCTGATCGATGCGGCGTCGTGCCAGCAGTACGCGCGCGAAGTGCCATGTCAGCACGTCGTGATGCACCCGGGGGGGAGGCTCTGACGTTCAATCAGCAGGACGGAGTGGCGGGCGTCGTCGGCAACAACGCGGCGAGCCGCGCGAGCACCGCACGACGCCCGCCAGCCGACACGCCGCAGAGCTGGTCCACGTCCTAGACTGCTTGTACCAGGGGGCGTCGGCAGCCGGCTGGGTGACAGCGGTGGCTCTCTCACGCGTCGTGTGTGTCGCAGCGCGCCGTCCGCAGCCCATCGTCCCCCGTCATCGCCGTCGTCCGCGTGGCTTCGTCAAAAGATGCAATTCGCGCAAATCGCATCACATGGGCGCCGCGCGCTAGTACCGCGTCAGCTGCTCCCAGCCCTGCATGTCCGCGCCCGTCTGCGGGCTCAGCGCGCCCGACCGCGCCCGCCCCACCGCCGGCGACTGCGCGTCCGTCGCAAATAGACTCGAACTCAGGCAATGGTGCATCGCGTTCGGCACTCCCGCCTCCTGGATCATGTCGAGGCTCACCCGCGACGCCCCCGGCCGCCCGAGCTCCAGCGACCCCCTGCCCATGCGACGCCCCCCCATCGGAGCCACGTGGAAGGGCTCCTGCAGCCCCGCCAACACCTGCAGGAGGCTCGCGACCTCCGAGCTGCCGTTCAGGAGGTACCGCGCGTTGCTGCGCTGCCGCCCGACGGTGCACGTGAAGAGGTGCCGCGGCGGCACGTGCGCGATGGGCGCGGCGGGGACCTCCAGACGCGACCGCACGGGTTCGCGCGGGAAGCGCTCGCCCATGCCGGGGGCGTGCGCTCGCTGCGGGAGCTCCGCGTTGTCCGGGACGGCGTCGGATTTCCGGCGGTTCGCGGACGCCGGGTCGTACGTCACGCGGCGCCAGTCCGCCGGGTGGAGCGGCACGTTCGTTGGCGGGCCCGTAGCGGCGCGCTGCACGGGCGCTTGGCGGGCGCGGCCGGCCGCGGCGCGCGCGTTCGCGGCGGCCTTGGCGCTGTTCTGCCGGCTGAGCCGCCAGTCGCCGCCCTGGACGTGCCGCCCGCCCGGCGACGCGGGCGGCGCGGGCCCTCCGCCCTCCGCGAGAACGCTCGCGGACATCGCGCGGTGCACGTCGCCCTTGCTCGCCCCGGCCGCCGCGGGCGGCTGCGCGATGGTGAGCCCCTCCTTGAGGCTCCCGGGCTGCGGCGACCCGTCGCCCGGCGCGCCGCCCGACCCCACCGCGCTGGCGTTGCTCATGCGCGAGCCCCGGCGCGGGTCCTGCACGGACGGCCGGTGCAGCGGCTGCTCCGGCGGCGCGTGGTGCTGCGCGACGGCGCCGCGGCCCTCGAAGATCAAGAAGATGTCCTCGTCGCGTTGCAGGAAGTGCCCGACGCACATCACGAAGTCAATGTCCAGCTGCGCGCTCCCCTCGTTCTCCGCCATGATCCGCAGGATCTTCGCCAAGCAGCCGCCCTTGGTGACGCCGACGGGGCGCACCTCGACGGACTTGGCGCCCTGCACCACGTCGACGGGCGCATTCGAGATAGGTCCGGTCCAGAGGTGCTGGAGGAGGTCGCGCGCCTGGAGGCGGCCGAACTCGACGTCGGCGTGCTTGTAGTTCCACACGATGGACGTCTCGCGGCACTCGACGAACGACCGCGGCGTGCGCTCGCAGAAGTACCGGAAGACCTCGCGGATGTATGCCTCCATCCAGTCCGTGGTGAAGTCCGTGATCGTCTGCACCCACCCGCCGTTCTTCTCGTGCGGGCGCTCGCGCGACGTGCGGCTCGGGGACGACGACGCGCTGCCGCCGGGCGCGGGCGGCGCGGGCGGCCGCACGTAGACGCCGTTCTCCGCCACGAGCCACACGGGCAGGTGGCCGAACGTGTCGACCATCTTCTGCTTTCCGGACCCGGAGAAGACGCACACGATGTTCGAGGGGTCGCGGCTGAGGACCTCGATCGAGCGCGTGACGTCCGGGTGCAGCCGCGTGTACGACTTGAGCTGGTCGAAGTGGCGCTTCGGCTGCGTCGGCGCCTCGATCGTGCTCGTCAGCGCGGCGTTGAAGCCGAGGATGAGCAGCTTCTTCTGCGACCCGCGGAACGCGGCCCAGCAGTGCGGGATCTCGAGCGGCGGCGGCACCTTCATCGCGCGGAGCTGGTGCTCGACGTGCGTGTCGTTCAGCTCCGAGATGAACGTCTCGGCCCACGCCTGCGCGGTGTGGTTCATCACGTGCTGGTAGTTCTGCTTGTGGCGGTCCCGCCGCTCGTCGTCCGACATAGTCAGCGCGTACTCGATGGCCTGCGCCGTGTCGTTAATGTTGTACGGGTTCACCAGCAGCGCGCCCGCGCCGAGGCTCTGCGCCGCGCCCGCGAACTCGGACAGGATCAGCACGCCCGCGCGGTTCATCTGACACGCCACGTACTCGTACGCGACCAGGTTCATCCCGTCGCGCAGGCTCGAGACGAGCGCGACGTCCGTGACCGCGTACAGCGCGACGAGCTCGTCGAACGACAGCTGGCGGTCGAGGTGGTGGATCGGCACCGTCGTGAGCGTCCCGAACTTGCCGTTGATGCGCCCGACGATCTCGTGGACCGTGGACCGCAGCGCCTGGTACTCCGGCACCTCGGTGCGCGTCGGGACCGCGATCTGGATCACGATGACGTTGTCGTGCCACTCGGGGTGCTCGTCGAGGAACTTCTCGATGGACAGGAGCTTCTGCGGAATGCCCTTGATCATGTCCAGGCGGTCGACGCCCAGCATGACGCGGCGGCCCTTGAAGCGCTCGCGCAGCTCCATGATGTTCGCGCGGACGTCCTCCTTCCGCAGCGCGTGCATGAACTGCTCCGGGTCGATCCCGATTGGGAACGCCGCCACGCGCGTCAGGTTGCCGTTGTCCTCGACGCCCTCGGGCGTGCCCTCGAGGCCGAGGATCCGCGTGCACGCCGACACGAAGTGCCGCGCGTAGTCGTACTGCGGGACGCAGCCGGGGGGTGTGTCGTTGTCAGGGCAGGGGGGGAGTTTGCGTTTGCGTTTGCGCGTGGCGTGGCGTGGAGCGGGGGCGCGGCGCACCGTGTGGAAGCCGACGAGGTCGGCAGCGAGGACGCCGCGGAGGATCTCTTCGCGGAGGGGGAGTGCCCTGTAGATCTCGGACGACGGAAACGGGGTGTGTAGGAACCATCCCAGCTTCATTTCCGGGCGCGCCTCCTTCAGCATGAGCGGGAGGAGCATGACGTGGTAGTCGTGGCACCACACGACGTCGCCGTCCTGGTACTCGTCCAGCACGACCTGGCAAAAGGCCCGGTTCGCGCGTTTGTAGGCCTCCCACTGCAGCTGCATGGTCTTGGTGCCGGTGAGCTTGGAGTCCATCGTGAGGGGGACGTAGTGGAAGAGGTTCCACAGGATGCTGTTGCAGAAGCCGTTGTAGTACAGGTTCATCGTCTCCTGGTCCAGGAACACCTGCGTCGCACATCGCGTTCTCACAACACAGACACGAGATGAGTTGGGCGTTTCAAACACGAAATCATGACTGAAATGAGTCCAGATCCAAGCGCACCGCCCCACGCAAGGGCGCGAAGGCGCGTCAGCGACGGCCCACGCGCCGCCCGCCAGAGGCGCCCCAGCATCTGATCCTGGCAGCATCTGATCACGCAGCCAGCGTGCTGCTCGCGGCGGGCGGCCACGCGCGCGAGCGGCGCGGCGGTTGCGGGGGGCGGGCGCACCGGGTACAGGCTGTCGCGCGCGAGGGTGCGGGCGAGGGAGTGCTGGTCGTGCGAGTCCACCAGCTGCCCCGGCCACCCAATCCACTTTATTTGAAACGACCCCACGCCCAGCAACGCGGACACCAGCCCGCCGGCGCTCTTCGTCAGCTCCCACCCGTTGCCGCCGGCGTCGCGGCGGATCGTGACGGGCAGCCTGCGCGTCGAGACGGCCGGGGGGGGGGTTAAGTCAGCGAAAGGGTCGTTTGTGCGACGCCGGGGGCAGGGCGCGGTGCGCGCGGCGTCGCTGGACGGCCCGGCTGCGGCACGGGCCGCCGGGCGTGCGGCGGGGAGCGGGGCGGGCGGTGCGGCGGGGCGCGGAGCGGTGCAATGGCGCGTTGGATGACGGCGGGAGGGTGCGTCGCGTGATCACGGGACGACCGAGCCACGACCGGCCAGGGAGGGCACGGATTCGCGTAGTGCTAGACATACGAGCGCGATCCGCGGCGGCTCGCACGCGTGTCGCTGCGCGACGGGCGCGCAGGGCGACGGTGTCCGGCAGGAAGGGATGGGTGGGCTCTGGAGGCGGTCGCTCTCCGCTGTAGCGCGTCCGCCGGGGACGCCGGGGGTCCGAGCGGGCGGAGGAGAGGGCACGCGCCTGTTCGCGATGATCAGGAGGCGCTGACTGCTCGGCGACGGCGGTCTTGGAAGCTGGGAGTAGGCTGGCTGGTGCTCCTCAGCGAGCTTCGCGAGGCTCGCAGTGCTCTGCGTCTTCCTGAACCGCGCCTGGAGCAGCCGATCTGCACACCCACGAACAGAGGCTCGCCGTCAGGGCCGGCCGCGGGCGCGCAGACAGCGCCCACGACTCCTATTCCCGGAAACCGTTGCTAAGATATGCACCCAGGGTGTTCCGTGCGCGCGAGCGGCGCATCTGAGCGCCGAGCAGCCACGCGGCGCGCACCTACGCGTGACGAGACGTGGACCAGACTCGACGTGCGCGGCGGCGTCCCCCCCATCTCCTGCGTCGCCCCGTACTGGTCCTCCTCCCCGTCGCCCACCTCCTGCCCCTCCGGGCCGTCCTCGAACTCCGCGAACGGGTCCTCCGAGCTGGGTATCCGGTTCATGAACCCAGAGTCCGTCCCAACCATGCTGCCGGGCGTCGCGTGCATCCTGCCGCGCCACACGCGCCGTGCCGGTGGCGGAGGTGCCAGCCCCCCGCTCCGCGCGCCGCCCCGCTCACCGCCCCGATACCCGCTGCGCGGCGCCCCTTAGATCGACGCCAACGCGCCGGCGCACACGCCGGTCCCGTCCAGCCCTGCGATGCTACGCACGACTCGCGAGCAGCTCAGCGCTCCTGCCACGGCCAGCGCCGCGCTCGTCGACCCGCGAAAACGTGCGATACTGCGTGCGCCAGGTGCAGGGAGTGCCAGGGCGTCGTCTGCGACGCTCCATGCGTGGCGCCGCGGCCGGGGGGGGTCCGCGGAGGAGCTGTCAGCTGCTTGCTCCGGAGGTGTGAGACCGGCCGCTGGCGCGCGCCTGGGTGCCCGCGCGTCCTTCTTCGGCCCGCGCCGCGCCTCTCGCGTGGTCGTTCTACCCCGAGCCGCGCTCTGTACGAAAAAAACGACTCTCATTGCGGCATAGAGAGGGCTGCCTAGGCTCAGCTTTCTTGGGCGGTGACGCGCGCCTCCGGGCAGCGCGAAGAGCAGCGACCGCGCGCCTGCTGACCGCACTGTGGTACGTCCGATCTGAGGCGTCCTCGCAGCCTGTCGCCCGTCGTGCGACGCGACAGCGTCAAACAACTCGTTCCACCGGGAAACCTGCGCCGCGGCTGCCGGGCGCAGCCCGAAAACACGGCAAAACCCGAGCCAGGGCCTGTATCTGCCGGGGCGGCGCGCCCGCGGGCCATCTCAGCTGCGTGGGCGTGAGGGAGGGGCTGAAAGGAGGCGGGCGCAGGCGGGGCGGGTCGGAATGGTGGCGGGGACGATGGACCCTGTGTTTTTGAGCATGTCGCGGCTGCGGCGAAGGAAGTACGACGCGTGCATCGAGAAGTGCACGGAGCTGCTGGAGCGCAACCAGTACGACCAGGCGGTCTGGTACCTCAAGGCTCGCGCACTGACCTTGCAGAGCTACATCGACGACACCGAGGTCGAAGAGGAGGTCCGCGCCCGCGCAATATACCGTTCAACTCCGTTCCATCCCCCCTCGCGCGCCGCGCCGATCGGATCCCGCCGGAAACGCCCGCTTTCGCGCGCCATGCTGGCAACGCTCTCGCTCTCCTGCGGACGCCCCGCCTTAGCCCGCGCCCCGCTCACCCCGCCTGCTCCCTCTCCACCACAGCACCCTCCACCCCGCGCGCCCCCAGCGCCGCAGCACCCGCGCAGGCGTCGCGCGACGTCCTGCGTCACGCACACCGCGTTGCCGACGCGCCCCGCCCCGCCGTGCAGGGCCTCGCCGACGTCCTCATGGACGAGAACGCGCTCAACTCGATGCCGCGGCCCGGCACGTCCCTCAACCGCCCCAAGACATCGAGCGTCGGCCAGGTCAACCAAGGCGTGCGGCCAATGACCCAAAGCGGCCGCCCCGTCACAGGTACGCCCAGCCCTCCGCCGCCTGCGCCACAGGGCGGCCGCGCGCGCGCCGGCGGCGCCCAACGCACCCGCGCCGCGCCCCTATTCTTTCCCGCAGGGTTCGTGCGGCCGGGGACGCAGGGGCGGCCGGTGAGCGGGGCGCCGGGCGCGCCGGCGACGGCGAGCCAGCGGCTGTCGACGGCGTACCGCAACGCGCGGCCGGGGACCACGCGGCCGGTGACCGCGTCGGGGCGCTTCGTGCGGCTCGGCACGGCGTCGATGCTGACTCAGCCAGGGGGGATGTTCATCGACGTGGAGCGCCTCAACCTGGCCAAGTACGCCAGCCGCCCGCACCTCTCGCGCGCCCTCTGCGACTACATCCTCTACCACGAGCGCAACCCGCGCAAGGCCGTCGAGCTCGCCGCACACGCCACAAAGGTGAGAGCCGCCGCCGCGCGCGGCGCAGGCCGCGACGACGCGCCGCCGCCGCGCGCGGCGCAGGCCGCGACGACGCGCCGCCGCCGCCTGGACCCTCCGCGCGACCGTCCCGCACGAGTCCGCGCGGTTTCCGTGCGCGCCACGCCGGCGCAGCGCGCCCGACGCGCGCACGTTCCCCGTCGCCGGCCGCGCAGTTCCTGGACTACGAGGACTGGTGGTGGAAGGCCCGGCTCGGCAAGGGGTACTACCAGCTCGGCCTCCTGCGCGAGGCGGAGCAGCAGTTCCTCTCGTCGATCCGCTCGCTCTCCGTGACCACGCCCATCATGGAGCTGTGCAAGTGCTACGTGCGCATGGACCAGCCGAACACGGCGATCGAGCACTTCGAGCGCGGCCTCGCGGCCCACCCGAGCGACACCGACCTCCAGCTCGGCATCGGGCGCCTGCACGACGCGCTCAACAGCCTCGACAGGGGCGTCGAGGTGTACCGGCGCGTGCTGTACTGGGACGCGAGCAACGTCGAGGCGATCGCGTGTCTCGGCGCGCACAGCTTCTACTCGGACCAGCCGGAAATCGCGCTTCGGTTCTACCGTAGGCTGCTGCAGATGGGGGTGTCGAGCACGGAGCTGTGGAACAACCTCGCGCTGTGCTGCTTCCACGCGGGGCAGTACGACATGACGATCATCTGCTTCGAGAAGGCGCTGCAGCTCGCCGGGGACGCGGAGGGGGCCGACATCTGGTATAACATCGGACAGCTCGCGCTCGGCATCGGCGACCTCGGGCTCGCGTTCCAAGCCTTCAAGGTGCGGCACGGGGCGTCGGCGACGCCCCGCGCGCTGTGCGGCGCCCCCTGTTCTCTCCCGCTGCGTCCCACGGCGCCCGTCTGCACCGCGTGATGTTTTCTCGCGGTGGTCCGGCGCGTGGCTGCAGATCGCGGTGTCGCTCGACAGCCAGCACGGGGAGTCCTTCGCGAACCTCGGCGTGCTCGAGATGCGGCGCGGGAACGAGGAGGCGGCCATCAACAACATCCGCGCCGCGACGACGGTCAACCCGAGCCTGTTCGAGCCGGTGTACAACCTCGCGCTGCTGCTGTACCGCACGGGGGACTTCCAGGAGGCGTACCGGCAGGTCAACAAGGCGCTGGAGATCTACCCGGACCACACGGAGTCCAAGGAGCTGCAGCGCACCATACGACAAGCCTTCACGTCAGTCTGACTGAGGCCACTGTAATGGACAATCAGTCCGACGAACGTGTCAGGCCGGAGCCGCTCGCACTGGCGGAGGAAAGGGGTGGCCGGGAGCAACGACGCGGTGGAGTACCCGCATGCAGGATGAGGGAGCGGCAGTAACAGGTGTCGGGGCCCCAGCTGGGACGCGTTGCGGAGGGCCGCCGGCGTCTGCGCTCGCCGTTGACTGATTGGTTCGGCAGGTGGCCGGGAACGTCGCGGACGGGCGGTCAGGTGACGGCGGCGGACGAAACCGCGACAAGTGCGCGTGTTGGTCTGTGTGCGCTGCGGCGGCGCGGCGCGGCCGGCGAAGCACCGTCGCGGCGCGACGCCGTACGTTGCGGTGTGGCCGCCTGGCTTCGCGCCACGGGCGCGGCGCGGGCGGGGTGCGAAGGAGGTGTTGCAGTGACGGCGCTGAACTGGTCGTGCGGGTCGAGCGGCGCTGCAAGGCGGGCACCGCCGCGCGCGCGCAGCGACCGCGGGTGTGCGGTGGCGCGCGGGCCCGCGGGACGCGTGGCGGCGCGAGGGGAAGGGGTGTGGGGCGGTGCGCGAGACGTGGGCCCAGCGATGGCTGCGGCAGTGCGTGCTTTGGAGGGGGCGGCGGCGCTTGGCCGCCGCGACAGGCGTTGAGTGAGACCCGTGCGCAGGATGGCGGGCGCTGGGACCGGGGGTTTCCGCAGCGGCTGCGCTGGGCCAGGAAGGAGTGGGGTGGGCTGTGCCCTGGCGTCTGGGGTCGCGATGAGGCCCGCGTGGGCAGGGGGGCAGCGAGGAGGGAAAGACCTGGAAGGGCCGGCGAGAGTCACATGCGCCGGCCGGCCCAGGCGCGGCCAGGCTGGGCGGTCGAGCGTCCGTTCAGGCCGACGCAGCCGCTCCGCGGCTCGCGGGGGGCGCAGAGGCTTACTTCGACCTCTGCCTCATCCTCCTCCTGCGCCTTTTCAGGCGCCTCATCCTCTTCTTCTTCCACTGCAACGCACGAGCCGTGGCGGGAAGGGGAGCAACCATGAGCTCGTGCACGCCCTGCACGGCTGCGTCCGCCGTGCATTTTGCCGCGGAGCATCTGCAGCGAACGATATTGAATCCGCGGGCGGCGGCATGCCGCGGCTCGTGCGCCACCGCGGCAGCAGGCCGGGGCGCGAGCTACATTGGCCCATGCGCGGCTCCCGCGCGGTCCTGGCGGGGCAGCGACGACGCCAGGGTGGACCATGGGCATCGACGATGTCGCGCAGGCGCGGCGGGGGCGGTCGAAATCGCCCGGGCCATGCGGGACCGTGGCGGCAGGGCGAAACCGCCTCTGGCGCGCTGCAGGGGGGGCGCGGGCGGGCCACTTGCCTTTCCGCGCATCTTGTCGAATGTTTGGAGAGGACCGGAGCGGTCGCGGGCGGCGGTCATGAGCCCAGGCGGCCCCGGCGGGCAGTCAGGGAGGCCCCAGTCCTCCCTTGGCAGGCACCACGGCCCGTGGCGACGAGGGCGAGGCCTGCTGCCGCTACCGCCCTTTCTGACTCGGGTAGGAGGAGGACAAGGACCAGGTGCGCGCCGCCACCGCAGCCCCGCCGGCCCGCTCGGCCGACTCCCGGACTTGCAGCGCCCGGCGCGCTCGCAGACAGGGCCAGCGAGCGGCGTCCCGCGGCACCGGCGGCCTCACGCGTATCGGGGGCACCGGCGTTTCATTGCGTGCGGCCCGCCGGACGCTTCGCGAGCCGCCTGTGCCCGTTTCCATCACTTGCACCGCAGGGGACAAGATGGTGCGCCACAACAATGTCATCCCGAACCAGCACTTCAAGAAGAAGTGGCAGTTCATGGTCCGGACCTGGTTCAACCAGCCGGCCAGGAAGGTCCGGCGCAGGGCTGGTGAGTGTGCGCTCTGGTGTGTTGCTGCTCGCTCCCCAGCCGCGCGGAGAGCCCGCGGACCGACGCGCGCCCGCCCGCCGCCCTAATTCGTTGCAGCTCGGGCGGAGAAGGCGGCCAAAATCGCCCCTCGCCCAACGGGCGGGTGCCTGAAGCCGGTTGTGCGTGGCCAGACCGTCAAGTACAACCTGAAGCAGCGCCTGGGCCGCGGTTTCACGCTGGACGAGCTCAAGGTAATTGCTCGCTTCCCGCGCCGGCCCCCGGACGCCTCGCTCGTCGACCGTGCGGGCCCTGCTGGCCGCTGCTCGCCTCGATGGCACCCCGGCAGGCCCGTCCCGGGCCCCCAGCGCCGCCTCGCGCCCTCCCCCCGCGCCATCACGATTCGCTCACACGGTTTCCCTGCGCGGCGCGGCCCTAGCGTCGCCACGCACCGCGTGCGAGGCCCACACTCATGCACCCAGCAGCCGCCCGGCAGGCAGTCTCCGCGGCCCCGCCCGCCGCCACAGCCCACGCGGCCGCACCGCCGACGCCCTCCGCCACACCACGGCCGCGCCAGCGCCGCCCCCGCCCTCCCCGCTGCCCACAAACCCACGGCCTCCCCACGTCGCCCCCCCCCGCGCGCAGGAGGCCGGCCTGAGCCCCAAGGTCGCGCAGACGGTCGGCATCTCGGTGGACCACAGGCGTAGGAACCGCTCCGTGGAGGGCATGCAGGCCAACGTCGAGCGCCTGAAGGAGTACAAGGCCAAGCTTGTTGTCTTCCCGAAGAACGCCAAGAAGCCCAAGGTACGACACCCCCTCTCCCACGCTCCCTCATCGCAGTATCTCCGCGGTTCGCGCACCGCCTCCCGCGCAGCACCTCGCCCGTGCACGGAGTCGCGCCCCAGGACCCAGCTGGAGCCCTACGGCTCCGCAGCGCGCGTCTCCGACCCGTGCGCGGCGCTCCGTGGGTGCTCGTGCAGGCGGGCGACTCGTCCGCGGCGGACTGCGCCGCGGCGACGCAGCTCACGGGCACGGTGCTGCCGCTGGCGAAGAAGGAGAAGAAGGTCGAGTTTGCGGCGATTACCGCGGACATGAAGGCCAAGCGGGCGTACGCCACGCTCCGCCTCGCCCAGATGAACCAGCGGCGCGACGGGCAGCGCAAGAAGGCGGCGGAGGAGGCGGCGGCGGCCGAGAAGGCCAAGTAGACGCAGCGCGCCGCTGCCGCGCCCCCCGGCTCCCCGCACACCGCTTTCCTCCCCCACGCCGCTGTAGGAGCGAAGCTGCAGCGGCTGCGCCGCGCCGCGTGCGCGCGGTCATATGTCCCGAGCGGCAACAGCGTAGCTGCACTCTGTGACTTCAGCAGGTCGAGCCGCGACGACGCACGCCTCGGACGCGCCCGGAAACCCCCTGAGCCGCATGCGCGAGGTCGTGCGGAGGCGCTCGCGCGGTTTGGGCGCGACCGGCGCCCTGGGCTGCACGCGAGCGGGCCGCAGATGTGCGGTGGCTCTGGGCGCGAGCGCCGCTGCGCTGGGCGCGAAATACGCCGCGGCGTGAGGCGCGGCGGCTGAGAGGGTCGTGCCGAGCCACGTGCGTCTGCGCGGGTGCCGGGGCGTGGTTCCCGGGGTGTGTTGCGGAGGAGGGGGGGGGTCGAGCCGTTGCGGCGCGCAGGCGATGGCGCCGCCGAGGCGCCGGCACGGCGCAATCGATTTTCGGGGTAGGAGAGTAGGCATCGAGCTGGCCGCATACAGCTCCCGGGGACTCCTCGATCCCCTAGTCCTTGTCGGGAGCGCGAGCGGTCCCACCGCGCCGTCCCGAAGTCGCCGCCATGTCGTTCCGCGTCCTGAACCTCGTCAAGCCCTTCATGTCCGTCCTCCCGCGGGTACGCGTCCCCCTCGCCCCCCACCACGCCCCCACGGGCCCGCGCCCTTCAATGACCCTGGTGCCCTTCCAGGCCCCGCAGCGTCGCCAGGCGCGCCCCTCCGGCCCGCGCCCACCGCCCAGGACCAGCTCCCACCCCCTCCGCCGCGTATTCCGCCCGCCTGCGCCCCGCAGGTCGAGAAACCGGACAAGAAGGTGCCGTTCAAGGACAAGCTGATTTACACCTGCGTGGCGCTCTTTGTGTTCCTCGTCTGCTCCCAGCTCCCGCTCTACGGCATCAAGGCGCAGACGGGCGCCGACCCCCTGTACTGGGCGCGCGTCATCATGGCCTCGAACCGGTGCGCGCGCCCTCCCAAACTCGGTCGCTGGCGCTCCGGCGCTTCCAGCGCGCTGTGCGGGCGCGCGCGGGCCCGAGCGGCGCGCCGGACGCGCCGCGAGCGTGCTGGCACGCTGGAACGTGACGGGGGCGCGCGGGGCGCGCGCTCGGGGCGCGTGGGGGGCGCGCGGGCGCTGAGGAGCCTTCTTGTTGCTTTGTTCGCCTCGCAGGGGGACGTGCATGGAGCTGGGCATCAGCCCGATCGTGACCTCGGGGCTCGTGATGCAGCTCCTCGCGGGATCCAAGATTCTGGACGTCGACATGTCCATCGCAGCGGACAAGGAACTCTTGTGCGTTGCCCCGCCCCTGCACTTCGTGCGCAGGCAACGGCGCTCACGCCCGCCCTGCGCGCCTGCACCGCCTGCGCGCCCACCCCGGCGAATGATGCAATAACAAGCGACCCGCTCGTACGTTCCGGAGCCTGCATAGGCCCCGGACGACTCCGGCACCGGCCGAAGCGCTCCTCGACCCCGCGCCCCTGCCTTCCAACGCGCCCCCGCGGCCCGCCCCGCGCGGCTCGCGCCCGCGGGCGGATAGTCTCCGCCCAGGGCAGCCATCCAGATTGCCCGCCGCCGCAGTTACCCCGCCGCCCGCGCGCGGCGCCCCCCTCACAGCGCACGGCGCCCCCCCGCCCGCCCCCCGCAGCGACGGCGCCGAAAAGGTGCTCGGCATTCTCATCACCATCGGCGAAGCCGTCGCGTACGTCATCTCCGGCATGTACGGCGACGTCCGCGAGCTCGGTCTCATCAGCGCCACCCTGATTGTCATCCAGCTCTTTGCTGCGGGCATCCTCGTCATCTGCCTCGACGAAATGATGAAGGCACGACGCCCCGACGCCGCCGCTGCCAGCGCGCCCGCGCCCCGCACGCCGCACAGCCCGCCCGCACCGCCCCTGTTGCCCCCCGGCGCCCCACACCCTACGCCGCCGCACGTGGCGGCGCGCGAAGCGTCCCCACGCGACCCTCTCTCGCACGCACCGCGACGCGCGTTCCCGGCGCGCCAGCGCCCGTCCGCGCGCCCACGCGCTCAATAGTCCCCCCGCGGTGTGTCGCGTCGCAGGAGGGCTACGGCCTCGGGTCGGGCATCTCGCTCTTCATCGCGACGAACATCTGCGAGAACATCGTGTGGAAGGCCTTCAGCCCGTACACCGTGCAGTCCCCGCGCGGCACCGAGTTTGAGGGGGCCCTCATCGCCGCCGTGCACGTGCTCCTTACGCGGTCCGACCGCACGCGCGCGCTCAAGGAGGCCTTCTACCGCAGCAACCTCCCGAACATCACCAACCTCCTCGCCACCGTCGTCGTCTTCCTCATGGTGATCTACTTCCAGGGGTTCCGCGTCGACCTCCCCGTCAAGTCCAAGCGCTCGTCGCACTTCCGCACGGTCTACCCGATCAAGCTGTTCTACACCTCGAACATGCCCATCATCCTCCAGTCCGCGCTCGTCTCCAACCTCTACTTCATCTCGCAGCTGCTCTTCCGCCGCTTCGGCGGCAACATCCTCGTGCGCCTGCTCGGCGTTTGGCGCGAGATGGAGGGTTCCGGGCAGTCCGTGCCCGTCGGCGGCCTCGTGTACTACCTCTCGCCGCCGATGTCGCTCAAGGACGCCGCCGCGCACCCCGTCCACACGCTGTTCTACGTGGGCTTCATGCTCGCGGCGTGCGCGCTGTTCTCGAAGACGTGGATCGAGGTGTCGGGGAGCTCCGCGAAGGACGTCGCGAAGCAGCTCAAGGAGCAGCAGCTCGTGCTCGCGGGCCACCGCGACGACATCAAGGTGCTGAAGCGCGAGCTGAACCGTTACATTCCGACCGCGGCGGCGTTTGGGGGGATGTGCATCGGCGCGCTGACGATCGTCGCGGACTTCATGGGCGCGATCGGGTCCGGGACGGGGATCCTGCTCGCGGTGACGATCATCTACGGCTTCTTCGAGCAGGTGGAGAAGGAGCGCGCTGCGGCGCTGTACGGCGGGATGTAAAGGGGGGTGTTTTGGACGAACCCCCCCCTTCGCGGGGTGGGTCGGGTGGAGCCCGGCGAGGGGGAGGCGCGCTGGCGACGGCGGCGTGTCGGTGGGGCGCGGGGCGGAGGGGAGCCGATGGGCGGGGTGTGGGGGTGCGGGGGGGTCTGCGCATGGTCAGCGGGGGGGTGTCGGGCTGCTGCGCGCAGCCGACGCGCTGGCTGCTGGCCAGGGCCGTTTTTGTGCGCCTGCGCGGGCGCCGCCAGAGGCGATGCGAAGGAACGAGGGCGTGCAGGGCACGACTTACGAAGTTGCGGGTGCGTCGTCGACCACGATCAGGGCGCGCAGCGCCCGTGGGATACAGAACCACCTGTGACAGCAAACACGCAGGCCCAGCGGCGCGTACGGACCGCCGCCCACGCCGATACCAGATGAGCAGCATATTAAGAACCATGCATGCACATGTGTGGCACTGCTGTTGCTGCTTTGTTCCCATGCGGTGCTTGACGTGCTGGCTGCCCGGCCCGGCAGCGCGACAAAGGGAATGAGCGGCCAGGCAGGTCCATGTCGGCGCGAGTGCTGCCTGGAGGGAGCCTCCGCGGAGCAGTCACGGGGAAACACACTGAAAGCTCTTCTTGCGCTGTCCTAGTAGAGCGTCGCACGCTGCAGGACCCTCCGAGCCCCGACGTGCGTTCCGAAGACCCTTGTCGTTCGCGGCATGCACCCCAAGCGACGCAAGGATGTCGCCACTTTGCCGAAATGCTCAAAACACGAGAGGCACCAATCGCGCGTGATGCTGAAGCTGCGTTCGCACCAGCACCGAGCCGGCTTACAACGGGGACATTTGCTGCGCAGCTGCTGGGCATGGGATCGGTCTGGGATATTCGTTTGCGCCAGCAGGCGACGCATGGGAAGCACAGCGCGCAACCAAGCCTAGACGTCCGCTAGACGGCGCGCGCTCGCCGGTCGCCCGGCGTGCTTCGTCACCACTCCTCGACAAAGTCGGAGTCGTCCTCGTCGTCCTCCTCGTCCAGCCGCAACCCCTTCAGAGGCGTGGGGTTGTTGGGACGGCCCCAACCCTCCATCGAGGGGCGGCTGAGGCTGCGCCCGTGCCGGCCGGGCGACGCCGACGCCTGCCGCCGCTGCACTCTCCCTGCGAGGAAACCATCCAGCCAAACACACGGTTACCGCGGCACAACCACTCGAGAAACAACGACTGCTCTTCAACACGGACGCCTGACTGCGCTGGCCCGCCGCCTGCCGCGGCACAGCGGGCCCAGGCACGCCAGGCACGCAGAACTACCTCTACAGGGCACGTACCGCCGTGCAGCGACCCCTCCAGCGGGTACTGGTCTCCAAAGTAGAACGACAAGTTCTGGTCAGACGGGTCGCTCGTCGGCGACCGCCCCGACATGCTCGCGCCCCTGCCGCCCTGCGACAGCCGCGAGGGTCCGCGCGAGCGCAGGTACGGCGGCTGGCTCGCCCCACGCTCCGCATGCAAGCGGTTCGCCCACCCGCTGCCCGGCCGCTTCTCCACATCGCTGTCGTCGCGCCCGAACATGTACACGTCGTGCCCCTCGGCGCCGAGCGAGGACCCAAGGTACCCCGCACGCTCCGCCCGCACCTCCCGCCCGCCCCCGCCCCCCCCCGGCACCTGCACCGACCCGCGCACCGGCGCGTCGCTCTCCGCCTCCGACGACGTCCAGTCCCCCGGCACGAGCTGGCCCGCCTGCCAGTCCTCCACGACGGACGATCCCGACGACGAGGACCCCGGCACCATGTGCCGCCGGCGTATGTCACGGTATTGCAGCTCCACGAGTGACTCGAGCTCATCTAGGTCGCGCAGGCGGTCCGGGTGGATCGGACGGGGCGCCGTCGGCGGCCGCGGCGTCGGCGACGGACGCGCCGGCGCCGCCGCCTCGGCCTTGGCCCGCTCCGCGGCGCCCCGCGGCGCCCGCGCAGCAGCGACGCGGGCGCACTTCCGGACCGGTGCTCGCCCGGGAAGTACTGCGCGAGGAGCGGGTCCGGCGACGGGGACTCCTCCGGCTCCGCGGCCAGCTCCACGACGCGCCCCTTCATCTCCGAGCGCTGCTGCGCGGCGTCACGCTCGAGATCAGCGCGCGCCCGCTGCGCCGCCGCCACGGCCGGCGTGACGCCGCGCAGCAGCGCCCGGAGCCCCGCCCGGCTGCGGCGCGCCCGGCGCCGGCTGCGACGCGACCATGCGGCCGCGCAGCGTCGAGGTACGGCGCCGCGGCGCTGAAGTGCGCGGGCACTCCAACGTCCGCTGCGCCCTCGGGCGGCCCGCCGCGCTCATCGCGGCGGCGCCGGCCGGACCGCGGCTCGGAGGGGTACCGCGGCGTGACGCGCACGCGGGGCTTCCGGAGCGGCGTCGGCACATACGGCACGGCACTGCCAGGCGTAGGCTCCGCGGGCCGCCGCGGGAGCCGCCCGCGGCGCCAGGCGAAGCGCTGCGCGACGGCCGCGTGGTCGTCGCGGTAGAACCCTTCCAGGTCCGGGTGCCGCCACCCCGGCCGGCCGCTCTCGGGCGCGGGGGCGGACGCATTGCGATTGATCAAGGCACAGGGGCCTTGCCGCCCGTCGGACTGGCCCTGACGTGGCTCCTCGCGGCGTCTGGCGGGCCGCCCGGGCCGGCCGTCGTCCGCGAGAGCAGCGTGGGGGTTCGGCGGCGACGGCGAGGCGCTCGGCGGGACGGCGCTCCACGCACGGGCTTCTGGGACTTGCACGGAAGGATCGGCGGCTGCGGCGGGCGTAGCGGGACGGTTCGAGGCAGCTGAGCGCATGAATGCCGCGAGCTGTGATCGCGGGGCGGGTCCGCGGGAGGGTCGCTTGCCTGGCGGTGACGAAGCATGGTGCGGCGGCACTGGGCACACGTCTGGGCTCGCTACGGGGCGCGGCGGCGCCCTGGTCGTCTCGATGCGCTCCCTGTGCCGCTTGCCGTACACGTAGGACCCGTGGTACACATTCATCTCCGCAAAGCTGCGCCCAGCGGGCCGCGCAGGCGCGGCAGCCCTACTGCTGGAGAGACCAGGCGCCGCGTCCGCCGTGATCCGGCCTCGGACGGGACGAACACGATCACCGCCGCCTCGAACGCTTCGTGATCATGCCAAAGGCGGACCCGGGGCGCGCGCCGCGTCGTGTGCGCCGGGCGCACGGCTCAGTGCTCCCTGCACTCTGCCTCCCGCGCAACTCGCTCCCCGCACCGCCTAGCTGCGCGCTCCCCTACAGATCTCGTTCCAGCGAGACAGAGCCGCCCACCGAATCGCTTGTGCGTCGTGCGGCCGGACGCACGCGCCGTCAGCGCCGCTGATCACTCCCGGCACGCGAGTGACTGACTCAGGCCCGCTTCTACTTCGAACCCCCCCCCCGCCCCCCCCACCGCACACGGGCCGTCCCCGCCGCGCTCCCCGGAGCGCCACTGCGTTCTCAGCTCCAGTCCGACCCGCTCACACCGCAAAAGACAGACCCGGCAAACTGTGCCTCGCACGACCTCTCCCGGCCGCCGATGCGTCGCGCCGCGCCGCCAGCGGCTGCCGCGCACGGCCCCGCACGCACTGAGCTGCCGTCTCACACGACGAACGACCCCCCCTTGCCCTCGGCGTCGTCATTCGCCATTCGTGCTCCGCGACTCCCCCCCGCTGACGGCACCGCGCCCGCGTACAGCGCCCGCAGGCGCTGCACGGCCTCGGACTCCTCGAGCGCCTCGTGCCCCCGCACGCCGTCCTCGATGCTCTGCGCGACGGCGGTCATGCGGCCCCACGCGGCGCGGAAGCGCGCTCGCTGCTCCTGCGTGCGCCGCGGGCGAGGCGAACGGCGTTCGGCCGCGGACGGGGCGGCATCGGAGCGCCGCGTGCGGCGCGGGGCGCGGTGGCGCCAGGCCGGGCGCGGCGGGTGCGTGCCTGGAGGGCTGCGGCGGCGGTGTCGCGCTCGCGCGCGCGCTGGTCGGCGAGGAGGAGGTCGTCCTTGATGGCGACGAAGACGCCGAGGCCTAGGAGGGCTGTTGCGATCCACGTGGGGTCGACGCGCCGGCGGAGCCAGACGAGGCGCTGTGCGGCGCGTAGCGCAGGGTTGGCCTCCACCTCGGCGTGCTTCGCGTTGAGCTGCTTGCGGACCGCGGAGGGGAGGTTCCGGAGGAAGAAGGCTTCGTCCGTGTCCGCGTGGCCGGCGCCGTTCGGCGCGCGGGCGCCCGCGGGAGCCGCTGCCCTGTTTGGGTCCTCCACAGGGAGCTGCGCGCCCGTCATGAGGAGCTAATCCAGCAAACTTCCAGCTCCCAGTGTGACTTACGTATCCACTCGCTCGATCTGTCTCCCTCGCGCGGTTTCGTTGCGTCTCGCCGCCTAGAGAGGGTGCTATGTGCTCTACGTGCAACACAGCAGCCAGAGGCGCGCCGGATAGTGGTCCGCGGGTGTGATACGAGCGCCCCAGCCTATCTCGACACTTTGAGCGATCCGTACGCGCGGCAAACGCCTCAGGTCTGCCCTGGCCTGCCCAGGAAGCTCCCTCGATCTCTGCCTGCTTGGCCACCTGTTATGTCGTCGCGGCACGGCCCGAGGACAAGACAGGGACGTCTCCGGCACGAAACGAACTGTGTTGTCCCGCCGCGGCCGCGCCTCGATGCACTCGCGCGCGCCTGCCGCGCTCAGCCCGAGGTACTCAGTCGCACTGGACGCGGAGCAAGGAGGACCCTTCTGCGCCCCGTCTGACAGTGCCAGCGACCCAAGCTCGGGTTTTTGCGCGGCCCCAGGCGGCACGTCCATCAGAGCTTCGACCCTCTAGCTCGTCGCTGCCACACGACCCCTCTGCAGACACACTCGGGCGAAAAAGAGTCGAAGAAGCCTGAACGGGGATTGATTCGGGGCCGGGGGCGGCTCAGGAGCGCCGCTGCCGTCGACCCGGCTGTCCGTCGCGCCGTCCAAGCCCGGGCGGACCGCAACGGTCGGACCGAACGAAACGAGAGCCCTGGGCGCTCACCGTTTGTTGCACGAGAGGACCCATCGGCCCAGCATGGTGCCGTTGGCGACGGTTCTCGCGCTTCTGTGCGCCCTCGGGGCGCCTCGGACCGTTCTCGCGTTCCGCAGCCCCATTCTTCCCGGTATGCGTCAGCCGGTGCTCCCGCTCGGCGCACCTGCACAACGCGAAGCCAGGAAGGACCCGCAAGAACCGTCTCAAGGCACAGGCACGTCCCTTCTCGGCTGGCGCGACGGACCGCACGTGTAGCCTCGAGCAGACTGCCGGGTCGTCCGCCGGCGCGACCGCTGGCGTCGAGCGCTGAGCGACATGAACTTGACGTGTGTGTACAAAGTGCGCGTGTTCCCGCAGGCGACGCGGAGGATCTCGTTCCGCTGCGGCTGTGCGAGTGCGAGGACGCGGGAGGCAACCATCCCGACGATCTCTCGTGCCGGAAGGACGGTTGGTTCCTGACAGGCGCGCCCTCGGACCATCGAACGCCGTGCGCTGCTCCCGGGCGCCTCGCGTGGCCGCGCCCGTGCCTCCCCCGCGCTCTCCGCGCGCCCACGCCTCGAGATTCTCGCGAAGTACCACCGCAGGGTACAAACACGAGGGGTCGTGGCTCGTAGGCGGCGGCGTGGTCCCGCTGTCTCCGGCGCGGTGCTGCCGCCCGTGCGTGGACGAGGCCGACCTGCCGAGCGGCACGCTCGCCGCCGAGGAGGCCGTCGTTGGCGTCACAGAGCTCGGGTGCCACCGGTCCACCGCGGGACCGCAGTGCGAGGTCTCCAGCTACGCCAACAGCTTTGCAACAGGTCCGTCGGTCTGCGTGCCGCCCCCGAACACCCAGCCCGGGCTGCCCAACCCCTCTCCCGGCCATGCCACGCCCCCGGAGCTCCGTTTCCAACCGTTTCGGCACGCGAGCGAGCCACGACGCCCCTCGCAAGCACTCCTACATCACATTCCGGCCGCCCCACGCCCGGCCGAGCCGCCCGACGCCCGCCGCGCGCCCCCGCAGGCTGGATCTCCGCGAGCCCGATCTTCTCGGCCAGTTTCGGCGAGTGGTTCCCGCTCGGCCCGCCCACGTGCTGCACGCCGCAGCTCCTCCTCTCCTCGGGCCGCACGCTCCCGATCGTACGCTGCAACTGCGTCCAGGACCGCGGCGCCACGTGCGCGCCCGACACCGGCGCCGTCAGCCCCGACGACACCCCCGGGTCCTTCCACGTCGGTTATACCGACTCCCGCAACATGCACCTCGGGTCAGACGGAGACGGCGCAGTCCCCCTGGCGCCGTCCAAGTGCTGCGGGATGTGCATCGACCCCGCCGCGGACCCCCCGTCGTGCCGCGACCTCAGCGCGTGCCACGGCAACGGCCGGTGCGTCCTGGGTGCCTGCGAGTGCTTCGCGGGCTTCACCGGGTCGGACTGCTCGCGGCGCGAGGCGACCAAGGGCGGCATCCTGTCGAACGTGCCGCTCTGGCTGCTGATCTTCGTCGCGATCGGCGCCGTCGGCATGTCCGCCGTCACGGCGCTGGTGTTTGCGAAGATATATTTAGACACCGATGGGTTCACGCGGCGGCCCGGGTGGGAGTCGGAGGAGGAGGAGGAGCGGCAGCCGCTGCTGGACTTCGGGTCGGACGACCACGGCAGCGTCGGGAGCGTCGACACGGACGCCGAGTCGGTGCTGTCGGACGAAGAGGTGGACGGGGACGGGGGGGGGAGTGGAGGGGGGGGGTTCGAGCAGGCGATGGCGGCGGTGGTGGCGGAGCGCGAGGAGGGCGAGGGGGCGCCGGAGGGCGAGACGCGGCGGCGGTCGCGGCTCGCGCGCAGGCTGCCGCTTGGCATCTGGCGGCGGTGGCGCGGCCGCGACGCGGGGTCGTCGCAGGAGGGGGACGGGGCGGCGGAGGAGGGCGCGGACGTCGAGGAGGGCGGGGACGACGCGGCGACGGGCGAGGCGGCTTCGGAGGCCGAGGGGGAGTCGAGTCAGGTCGAGGGGGGCAGTGTTGCCGCGGGCGAGGAGCGCTTGGGGTCGGAGGCGGCGTCCGTCGCGGAGGAGGAGGAGGCGGGCGCCGAGCAGGACGTCGCGCACCACCCGATGGAGCGGGAGACGCCGCTGGCGGGCAGCGACGGCGACAGCGACGCGGAGGGCGAGGAGAAGCCTGCGCACGGCGCGGACGACCAGGACGCGGACGACAAGGGCCTGCCTGGGACGGAGTGCTGCATTTGCTACGCGAAGCCCGTGCAGGTGGCGACGGTGCCGTGCGGGCACGCCGCCATGTGTCGCCGCTGCAGCCGACGCATGCTGCGATGCCCCATCTGCCGCGTGGTGGTCGCGCGGCGCCAGAAGCTCTACGTCGCGGGCGGCCTGCCGCCGTGATGACGTGCCCACGAACGCATGTACATACGCACGCACGCCACGCAACCTGTGAGACTTTCGCACGCTCCGCTCGCTCACAACCGCGCCGCGGAGCTGTCTCGTCTGCTCCGACTCGGCCCGCCGCGTCCCGACGGCTCGCTACGCGTCGTGGTCGCCCCAGCGCGCGCCGTACTTGGCCGCGAGGTAGTGGCTGCCGATCGGTCCACGCGACCCGTACGGGTACGGCTCCGGGACGACCCGGCGCTGCTCGAGCTGCTGCAGCATCGGGTCGAAGAGCTTCCACGCGGCCTCGAGCTCGTCGTCGCGGATGAAGAGGCGTTTGTCGCCGTTGATGGCGTCCAGAATCATGCGCTCGTACGCGTCCGGGGTGGCCACGTCCGGGCCGGCGCGGTACTGCAGGTTGAGCCGCGTCGTTCCGAGGCGCAGGCCGAGCCCCGGGATCTTGTTGTTGAGCTTCATGTAGATAGCCTCCTCGGGCTGAATCTCAATCACCAACTCGTTGGTGTTGTTCCGCGCCGTTTCGGGGTAGATGTCGCGGTACAGGTTGCCCGGGACGTGGCGGAACTGGATCCGGATCTCCCCGCGCCGCTGGTTCAGCGCCTTGCCCGCCTTGATCAAAAACGGCACCCCGTCCCACCGCGCGTTGTTGATGAACAGACACATCGCCGCGAACGTCGGCGTGAGCGACCCCGCGGGCACCGTCGGGTCGTCCAAGTACCCCTTCTCCTTGCCCTCCGCGGACGCCGTCCCGCGGTACTGCCCCACCACGACGTCGTCCATGTTGATTTCCGCAATCGACTTCACGGTCTTCACCTTCTCGTTGCGGACGTCCTCGGCCTGCAGCGACACCGGCGGCTCCATCGCGAACAGCGCGAGCACCTGCGCGGGGACGGAGCGGAGCGGCGGGGGGCTGTTGTCGACTCCAGCGCAGCGCAGCGCAGCTAGCGCCAGCTGGACCTGTACGCTGCTGCTGTGCGTGCGATGCTTGCGCGGTGGCGAGCGCAGGCGCACACCGCGTGCGCACATCGGCTGGCTGCGCGGCTGCGCGGAGCGCGGGCAGCTGCGCGCCGCGGCCGGTGTGCGCGTGCCACGCGGGCGTGCGCACCTGCAGCAGGTGGTTCTGGATGATATCCCGGATGACCCCGTACTGGTCGTAGTACCCTCCGCGTCCGTCCGTGCCGAAGTCCTCCGTGAACGTGATCTGCACGTTGCGGATGAAGTCGCGACTCCACAGAGGCTCAAACACCAGGTTGCTGAATCGCAGCACCGTGAGGTTCTCCACGAGCTCCTTGCCGAGGTAGTGGTCGATGCGGTAGATCTGCTCCTCGTCCAGGTGCTCCTTCATCCCGCGGTTGAGCTCCTGGGCCGACTTGAGGTCCCGCCCAAAGGGCTTCTCCACGATGACGCGCGTCCACCCCGTGCTGGACGACGCGCCGCGCGCGGTGCACTTGCACGCGTCGAGGAAGACGGACGGCGGCAGCGAGAAGTAGAACAGGCGGTTCGCGCGGGTGTGGCCCTTCTCCAGCTGCGTGCACCGCGAACAGGGCCGGACGGTGGAGCGCGGCGCGCGGTACGCGGACGCCCGCAGCTAAGCTCGTTAAGCGCGTGCGGTGCGAGCGCGAAGCAGTACGAGGCCGGAACGGCCGGGAACGCCAGCGCGCAGCACCGCGCCAGTGGCGCCTGCAGCTACGGCCGCGCGCCGCCCGTGGCCGGGAGCGGCGGCCGCGGGGCAGGGCAGCACGCTGCGGGGCGGGCTGCGCACCTCCTGGAGGCTCGCGTCGAGGTTCTGGAAGTCCTCGATGCTGTCGTAGTTGCCCGGAACATACGTGACATGGTCGAGGAACTCCGCGATGCGGTCGCGGCACTTGAGGCCCTTCTCGTCCCCGCGGCAGGGCAGGCGGCCGGAGATGCGCTCGATGAAGGCCTCGCGCGAGAGGTCGCTCCGCGCGTACCCGACAATGTCAAAGTGCTTGGGCAGGACCCCCTCGACGTACAGGGCGAACAGCGCGGGGAAAATCTGCGCGGGAAGCGAGAGCAGATGGAGGAGGCGAGGTGAGGGGACGAACCAGGCCGGATGCCGCGGCGCGGCGTGCGTACGGGGACGCAGACGGCCGCTGGCCCGCCCGCGGGCGCTAGCGTGCCTGTGCGGCGCGCGCGTCGATCGGGAGACCGGCAGAGGAGGTCCGCGTGGGCGCGGAGGGGCCGTTCGCGCGGTGCATTGCGCGTGAGAGCGCGGTGCGTGGCCGCGGAGCGCGCACCTTCTTCTTTGCTAGGTCGCCCGACGCGCCGAGCACGACCAACGTGAGGTGGTCCTTCTTGTCGACCTCGGGGAGGAGGCCGCCCTCGCTGTCGAACGGCATCGACTCGCTGGCGCTCGCGGGAGCCGACGGGCTCGCGTGCACCGCGCACGTTGTGTGCCGCGTGCCGGCCGGCGACCCCGCGCCGCGCCTCGCGCCCGTGCTGCGCCCGCGGACCGCCTCGCCGCCCACCCCTGCATGTCCACGGTACAGGCTACCTGGGCGCGGTCGGGGGACGCGTCGCACGGCTGCGGCAGGGAGCAACGGCGGCAAACCCGCCAGGCGGTTGCTTGGCGTGAGCTTTTCGCGCGTTTCGGACGCATTGGACCGCGTCCTTCGGCGAGGGATCCGGGGTGTTTGGGTATGCCGAGGGCAGGGAAATTCGGATGGTCAGACTGCACGCGGAGACGGGCAGCGCCGCGAGATGCCCAGGGGCCCATGCTCCAAGGGGTCGAAGCCCGCGGCGGCGCGCGCGGCGCTCGGAATGCAGGCGTTCGGCGCGGATTCCGGGGGTTGAGTTCAGAGTCTCGCGAGACGTTTCGGGCCCCGTGCGCGCACACCTCGGAATACGCGACGCGGGACACCGGCGCTGCGACCGCCCGTCGCCGCAGCGCGCCCGGGGATCTGGAACGCCCTCGACCCCGCGATCATCCTAGACAACTTTCTCCCAACCGGCTGGCGCAGTCACCACGCGACGCGCCCCACTCGGACCCGCGGACGAGGCACCTCTCACTCACGCTCAATGAGCGCGCAACCGATGCTCAGGGCCACGCTAAACTCTCGCGCTGCGATCCCTCAGCCCTCACGCTTCTCGCACGCCCACTCCTGCCCGCGCCCCCGCAGCCCACCGCCGCAACAAGCCCGGTCAACTTCCCCCGAAGGTCCACGCACCCGGCGCCCACGGGACCCCCCCCCGTCCGTCCGACACGCCGCAAACGCTCCCAGCGAGCGCGCCGGCCGCCGCAGCACCGCCGCACCTCCTCCTCCGTCGCACGCCGCGACATCCCCGCGCACCGTTCGGCACCACCCGACGGTCCACTGCGCAGCGTATACATTTGCAAGCATGCTGTCCGGCGCGAGGCCCGAACTCACACGTCGGCGCGCCTGGCGCCGCGCGCGCTCACGAGAACTGCGTGGGGCGCGTTCCGGGGAACCCTGACGGGGGTCTCTGCTCTGTTGGGGTAGAAGCCAGTACCTCCTCGTCCTGACTCCCCCCCGGGCCGTCGAGACCGCCGGGCGCGCTCTCTCCGTCGTCCCAGAGCGGGGGTGGCCGGCGCGCCGCGTGCGGGGGCGGTTGGCGGCTTCCGTTGTCCCCGGGGGGAGTGTACGCGCCCTGGACAGACCCAACGGGGCCGGCGCCGGTGCCGGAGCCACGGAACGCGTCGGGCGCGGGGGGCGTCGGTTCGCCGCCCGAGGAGTCCGAGTCGAGCATGCGCTGGATGCGGCTGCGTTTCGACGCGGAGGGGGGTGTCGGGGCGGGGCTGCGCACCCCCCCTGCCGCTGCAACCGGGGGGGAGTGTGCCTGGGACAGCTGCTGGCGCTGGGACGCCGTCGGCGCGCTGGGCGGTCCGCGCGCGGGCCGCGCGGACGGCGAGCGCGCGGGCGCGGCGCTGGGAGCGCGCTCCGCGGGCGGGGGGGAGTGTCGCTGCTCCTCCGGGGGCAGTGTCGAGTCCGGCAGCGAGGCCAGCACCAGTTGCGCCGTCACGTCCATTCGCTGCGAGCGCAACGACACCACACGCCAGGTCATCGCACCACAACAACCGCCGCACGCGCACAAGCACACAAGCAGGCAGCGCGTCGCCTGCATCACCGCGCCCCAAGCTCCCTCGCGCGGGATCTCGGGCTCGCGCTGCGCGCGCGAGGATCAGAGCGAAGCGGGCGAGCGCACCACGTGTCCCGTTTCGTTCGCGGGCTCCGGGTCGGGCTCAACGACGACTGGCGCGCCGTGGCGACTGAATTTGATGCAAACCCGCGCCCTGAGGAGCTCGCAGAGGGCGACCATGGCGCGCAGCTCGTGGACGGAGAAGGTGACGTCCGAGGCGCGCGGGGAGCGGTGCTCGAAGGCCGCGAAGAGCGCGGGGTCGATGTCGACGTGGGTGAAGGCGCCCTGCTGCGCCGGGTCGCTGTAGGACTGGATGGTGACTTCGCGGCCGTCGGCGGCGTGCGGGTGATTTTTCGGGTAGGCGGCGACGGTGATTTCGTTGACGGACGCCTGGAAGCTCGCGAGGAGGTTGTTGAGCTTTGGGGAGTGGGCCGTGACGGCCGTGACGAGCGTGGAGCCGTCGACCGTGGCCTCGAGGACCTGGACGTCGGCGTAGGAAATATGGTACGTCTTGAGGAGGCCCGATTCGCAGGTCACGTCGACCTCGAGGTAGCTGGACGTCGAGTCGATGCGGAAACGAACCGAGCTAGCGCTGCCGACGGAGCGCAGGGGCGTCAGGATGGCCTTCATGAGGACGCCCGTCTGGATGACCGCCGTCCCAGCGAGCTCCCAGTAGTCGAAGTGGTCCTCCTCGAACCTCACGGCCAGGTAAGCCGACTTGCTTCCGTTGATGGCGCGCAGGACGAGCTGCGGGGGGGCGCGCACGATGTGATCGGTGGGTTGAAACGAGCGAATTCGCGCGTGGAGACCGGGCCGCTCGTTGCCACGCCACGCAAACATCACGAGGAGGCTTTCAAAACGTGCATTCGGCGAGACGCCGGCGCAAAAACGTGCCAGTGCCCGGGCGCGTCCGCAGCGAGAAGGCGACACTCTGGACTCATCGACAGGAGCATTGCGCCGCGCGCAGCTCTGGTCCGCGCGCCGAAGCCACGGCGTGCGCAGCGCGTGGGCGTCTCGACGCGTGGCGCCCTGGTCGTCCCGAACGGTCGCGTCTAAACACCACCACGACGTACCAACACGACATAACCACGCTCTGCGCCCGCTTTCACGCGCGCCAGGCGCCCGTGCAGCCGCCAGCGGGCCAGAGAGATTGCCACGTGACGCGCACACAGCTGCGCTGCGGGGGCGCTGCCGCGGTGCGGGGCGCCGAATCACCTGCGTCGGGAGCACCTCGATGGCCAGCTCCGAGCTGATCTTCCCCATGTGCACCAGACATGACCGGAAGCGTCTGATCGCAGCCCGAGACAGCGCAAAAGTGCAGCTCATGCCCCCCCGCCCCGCCGCCAGGCCCCTCCCGCGAGCCCCGACGACCCCACAGTGTTCCCTTCGGTTGTCCTCGCGCGGTGGACGGAGTTTCCGCGCCCGAACGCGCGTTTCCGGGCAAGCCTGCGCACTGAGCTCTCGGACTCGGAATCTATTGAGTTTCACGTCGCTTTGTGATTAGTATTAGCGCAGTGAACACGAACGACTACGCTCTACGGCTTCTCTAGCACGGGGGCTTGACCTCGAGCCGCATAAGTGGCCGAGCGGGTCCCTGTGTCTGACGGGGCGCGGTGTCCCCCCTGACTCGCACCGCGGATGGCGGGCGCGCTCTGCTGCGCCGCCGCGGCACTTGCGCGCGCGTTGCGGTGCGTCGGCCAGGAGTTCACGATCAGGACCACAAGTTGAATGGTGTCTGCGCGTTGGCCTCCGCGCATGGCTGCGCACTTGCCGCCTTTTGGTCACAGCAACGCCTTTCGCGCTGCGAGGGCCGCTTGCGACCGAACTCGCCACGCAGTGGTGCCCGGGGCGAGGACCGTGAACCTGTAGGACAGACGCGTGCCCGAGTATCGCTGACGGCACCTGCGGGACCGCCGGCGGAGGCCGTGTGACCTCTCAGAGCTGTTTCGGGCTCCAGTGTCACTCCGAGCGTGCACCAAATATCGCCTGACAGCAACGACGTTGTCCCTCACGAACGCTGCCGCTTGCTCGGACGTTTTGCGCCCGGACCTGCGCTCTCGGCACCCGCCACAGGCATCCAACAGTGCTGCGGCTGCGTCAACCGTCCCGAGTGTCAGGGTGCCCAGTGCCCGCCACGCACAGCAGTTTGACTCGTGATCGGGGCCTCCCGTCTCGACCTGTGCGCGCCGACAGGCGTTCCCTTGTGTTCGCCCCTGGACATCACACGCCCCTGCGCTACGCTCGCGTCGGCGACGTTCCTGTCCTCGCGGCATGCATGCGCGCGCCCCGCGTCCGGCTGCGCATTGTGACTATTTCTCTTCTCCGTGTCCTACCTCGATGGGTCCCGGCATTTCCAGGCAGCACGGTATGCCTCAGGATTGTTTGCAGCGAACTCCTCGAAGTGTTCGCGCGCCGCCGTGAGGACCTGCAGGCACGACAGGAACATGCGCCCGGTCCACGGTTGGGTCAGCCGCGGCCTCCGCAGTGGCAGTTGTGCGCGAACACGGTTCGCGTCAAGGGGGGGGAAGGGGGTCACGGTGCAGCGGATGCTGTTGCGGAACGTCACGCGCACCGCCCGGCATGCGCGCGATCGCGCCAGCGGTGCGCGGCTGGCGTTCGGCGCATGGCCTGCGTCCGCTGCACCCGCAACGCGCGATCGTTCCCAGCGGGTGCACGCATGCCCGCTGCGCCTCGACGTCGCTCGCTGGGCGGACCTTTTTGGCCAGAGCGATCTTCTCCTGTGTCTTGCGATCGGGAGTATGCTTAGAGGCGGACGCTGTGGTGCGCCCCTGCCACAGCGGTGCAGCCTGCTTCTCGAGGAACTCGTCGGCACACCGCGCGCCATACGTACCGCTGCTGAAGACCGGCCTGCCGAAGACGCCTGCGCAGCATGGCAGCGTCAAGGTGAGGCAAACTTTCTAGTGCGAGGACGTGCTGCGCCGCAGGATCCGCGTCAGTTTGCTGTGACATGAGCGCACCTTCCAGCTCGGGTTCCGCCACGCCCCGCATCGAATACCCTTTGAAGGCGATGCAAGCACTCAAGGCGGCCGCGGCCCGCGCGACGATCTGCTCTTTCGTGCCGGCGTTCCCGTCGCGCGTCCACACCACTTGTGAGCTCGTGCCCTTCCTCCTCACGTTGCCTGCAAGGGCCGGTGTTCCAGGCAGGCAGCTGAGCACAGCATGGACGATGTACATTGGAAAGGTTGGCAGCGATGGGAACGCGAGTCGACGAGCGGCCGGAGCAGCAGTGGGCGGCACAACGCACCAAGTGCAGCGTCAGCGACGACATCGCGCTGTTCTTTCGGCGCGGAAAGGCACGCCGCTGAGAGAATCGTGCTCGGCTGCTCTTGCACGCTGAGCAGCTTTCCGGCATCGTCGCGATTCAGCGATTCAAGCTGACCGACGACCCGCGTCACCCTCAACCAGGGGTTCTCCTCCGGGGCCTGCTGCGCTACTTCAAGCAGTTTCTTGAACAGGTTGCCCGCGTCACGCTGGTCCTTCTCGGTTGGAGTCCCGCCGGTCCGAAGGCGCGCAAGGCCCTTCACCTCGGCGCTGAGTTTTGCAACAGCCTTGTCGAGGTCCCGTGTAGCCGCTTCCCTGACGCGCGCCGAGTCGCCACCCCCGGGCGAACGCGCATCGTCCGCTTCTTGGACGGGGATGGTTCTGCCGACGTGCTGCGGCGCGATCGCCTGACCGCTGTCAGGCAGCTCCCCCGCGGCATCCTCGCTGTCTGACTCGGTGAGCGACGAATCCGACACGTATTCGGCGTCGCTGTCGTCTCTCTCGACGTCCTCGCTGCTGTTGTCCCGGCCGCCCGCCCCGCGCGGCCGCAGCTCCCCGTCGGCGTCCTTGCCGTCGCCCGCGGGTCCCTGCATGCAAACCCGCGCAATGGTCGAGGCGAGCACCGGCTTCGCGCCCGACGTGCCGCCCGTCAGCTTCGGAGCCGACCTGTCCGCACTCCTGACGTTCGCGGGTGAGTGCAGTGCGGCGGGGGCAGGGGTGTGGTTGCCCCCGCCTGCGGCGTGTACCGCGGCGCGCCCCGCCTGTTCGTCGATCGCTGCGCGTCGGCACTCCTCAAGGGAGGCCTTCGCTGCGTTGAAATCTTCGCCATCGTAAGACAGTGCTTTGAGACGGTCAAGGGTCGAGCCCGACAAGCCTTGTCCTTTCAGAAAGGCATGGCCGTCCAGCTCGGCGGATGTCACGGCTCGCCCGACGTCTGCCGCCACTCTGTCGCGCCGCTGCGCGTCGTCGGGAGCCCGTTGCAGGTTCTTGATCTGCTCCTCGAGAAACGGGCCCAGCTTATCGAATGTCATGGAGCCCACTGACTCCCAACCCGACGGCGCGACTGTCGCCAGGTCGATCTCGTGCTTGTCCCCGGGAGAGGTCGCCGCCGTCGGTGGCGTTGTCCTGCGAAAACGAGGCAGACAGTGTGTGAGAGTCAAAAGGTGTCCTGAGCTTCCTTCATCCCGAATCAAGCGTGCTCGAGACCGTGACATAGTCGAAGATATATATATGCAGGACTGTTACGATCGCAGCGGTGACTCCGGCACTGTCATCGGTCCAGAAAACGCAAAACGTTGCAGCCGCCGCTGCGTTCACGGCCAACGCGGCGTCCCACTAGCATCCGCGCCACTAATGCGATCAGAAAAAGCTGAAAGCGAGGGATGCAGGTCGAAAGCGCTCGACGGCGAGTGTGCGGGCAGAAGGCCGTGGGTTAAACATCACTGAGGTTCCCCTCCGTGTTTCACGCTGTCGCGCCAGCGGTATCGACCACGATCCCTGATTCAATCAAAATGATCGACGGTATGCCGTAGCGACCCGATCGCCTCGGTGGCGGATGGCTCACCTGGCCCGCACCCTCGGTTCAGTCTCCATCGGCACGCGCCCCTCGGCTCCCGAGGCGCGCACCCTCGTCTTCCTTGGGACGTGGTACACCTTGGTGGCTTTGAGGAGCACCGGCTCGTCGTCCGAGGACGAAGGCTCCTCAACCTTGATTTTTTTTGCCTCGCGCCTCTTGGCGCTCGGCTTCCCTCCGGGGCGCTTCATCCTGTCCCAGCCGTAGATTACGCGCCGCGCATGCGCGAGGCGCGGCCGAAAACGTCGGCGCCGCGCGCTGGCGGGCAAAGTAGAACATTTGCAGTAGAACACCCCTCTGCATGGTATGAACAACCTCTGTCCGTACATGGCCGTCACGACGCCCGGGTGCGCGGCAGAGCGGCGGCCGTGGCCTTCACCCAGTGCACCAGAAGTCGCGCGCAGCTGTCGCTTTCAGCTCGAAAGAGAGAGACACTGCGTCTGGGTCAGCTACCAGCACGGCGCGCGAACGACGCCAGCGCTTCATGCGGCCCGCGCGGCTGTCCTAGCAGCGCCCAGTCAGCACATCATACGATGGCAGGCGGAGCGCGGCATCGCGGCTGGCCGATAGCGACGTTGGCGGCGCTCTTCGTGTTGCTGGTGCGCCCGGCAGCGTCCAGCTGGGCCGACACGCAGCCCGGCTACCAGCAGTGCATCACCGAGTGCTGGAACGACGGCTGCATCGAGAGCTTCGTCGCCGAACCACTCTGCAGCGCCCCCTGCCTGCATCCAACCGGTGCGGGCCCCTTCCTCCGCCCACGCACCGTGGCCCGTTGGCGAGCCGTTGCGGCGCGGACACGGCGCCAGACGCGCCGTCCCGCATGGTCGAAGCACCGCAGGGTCCGCGCGGGTCGGCCTGATCGAGTGGGAGTGCATGGCGGACTGCAAGGCCCTCTGCGCGGACGTGTTGCAAGTCCACTGGCGGCGCCAGTTCCAAGACCCGGGCTTCGCGGAGAAGTTCTACGGCAAGTGGCGCTTCCGCAGGGTCCTGGGCTTCTACGAGTTCGCCTCCGTCGTATTCTCCTTCGGAAACCTCCTCGTGCACGTCGTCGGCGCCGCCGTGTGCCTCCGGGTACGGTGCTGCGCTCCCACGACCACTGCGCACGGCCCCCGCGCACCGCACGCGTCGAGCCCCGTTCGCCCGCGATCTGACGCCCGCTCGACTGCGCTGCACCCAGCCGCCGCGAGCCTCGCCTGCACGGCCGGCACGTATAAAAAAACGCGCGAATCAATCAATCTTCTTTTAAGTGTATCGAACCGCGCCCTCCCGACCCCACCACCTCCCTCCTTCCTCCACGCAGCGCTTCTACCTCCGCCGGCCGCGCGGCGTCCCCGCGCCGCCCCTCCGGCAGTGCACCTGGCTCCTCATCCCCACCACAAGTGTTTGTTGCTGGGCCATGTCAATTTGGTACCACTCGCGCTCCTCCCTGGACTCCCTCTGGCCCGAGACCGTCGACACGCTCACCGCGGCCAGCGCGCCCGCCGGCGCCGCCGTGCACGCCGTCGTCCGCGTGCCGGAGCTCTCCGGCGCCCCCGCGGCGCTCGCGGCCGTCGCGGGCGTCGCGGGATACGTCCTCCACGTCGTGACGATGCTGCGGGGCCGCGTCTGGGACCTCCCGCGGCATATCGTTGTCTGTGCGGTGCTGTACGGGTCGCAGGCCGTCCTGTGGTGGGCGTGGGCGGCGACGCACGGACGCACGCACCCGGGGGTGCGGTTACTGGTTGCGACGCACGCCGCGATCGGCGCGTCGTTCCTGCTCGAGGTGCGCACCTCACGCGCGGCCACTGCCCCTGTTCCAGATCCCATCCGTCGCATGCGAGCAACCTTCCGCCATTCACACCACCAGGCTGCGCAGCAGTCGTTGCGGCCCACCGGAGCGGTCCGCGGGGCCACGGCGCAGGGTACGCCGCTCCTTTGCGCTGCCCTGACTATCTGCGTGCGGTTGCGGTTTTGCCTCTGCAGGCGTATGACTTCCAGCCGCTGTGGGGGCTGTTTGACGCGCACTCGCTGTGGCACCTGGGGACGTTCGTGTCGACCCCGCTGTGGTACGCGTTCCAGTACGCGGACCTGCGGCATCTCGAGGACGCCCGGGCCGCACCCCCAGAAGAAACCAAGAAACGAGAATAGAAAATAGCTATTAACTATCACAGCGCTTGTCCGAACCGTATCCCATTCAACCGACGATGTTTCCCCACGAAGATCCGTGCAGTTATGTACCTGACGGCCGTACGCACGAGCCCCGGTGTGACGCCGCACCACCCAGTCCTCACCAAAACAACCAGAGAAAGATGGCACAACTGCGTTGCAAGCTGTCCTGACGTCGCCGCCGCGATTTCCGGCCCGCCGCTGCGCTCAGTCCTCGTCCTCGTCGTCGTTGCCCCCGCCGTCCCGCCGCCGCGACCGCGGCCGCCCGCGCGTCCGCGCTTTCAGCCCCGACAGCGTCGCCAGCGTCTCCGCTCCGTGCTTCTGCAGCGCCCACAGCAAGTCGCACCGCCCCGCCTCCCGCAGCTCCCTCTGCGTCGGCACCTCCCACCGCTCCCGCTCCGCAAACGCCCCCCACACCCCCAGGTCCATCACGCTATACCCCCCCACCATCTCCACCGTGTCCCACGCATCCATCAAATCGTCCGGCAGGACCCCGAACTTGTCCTCGCGCTCCACGACGTACCCAAGCAGCCCGCGCGCCGCGTCCTGCGCCTCGTCCCACTGCCCGCGGCTCGCCCGCACGTTGCGCATGCCCAGCCGCTCCGCGACCGCACGCACGCCGCCCAGGGCCGCGACGGCCGCCGCGAGGTCCGCGCGCCCGTGCTCGTACAGCGACTTGGGGCCCGGCACGACCCCGGGGTCCAGTCCGATCTCCAGCGCGGCGTCGCGCAGCTCGTCCGCGAGCGCGAGAGGGTCGCTCTGGTACGGGCGGCTCGGGGGCCACGCAGGCTGCCGGTCGAGGTCCTCCGCGACCTGCAGACGGACGCCGAGTGTGCGGATATTGATGTTCTGCGCGGGCGTGGCGCGGTTGCTCGCGCGCCGGCCCGGGCCGCCAAAGGGGGGGGGTATAAGAGGATATAAACTTGACAGCGGGGGGAGTGCGTCAGCGAGGTGAAATACGGCGAGACACGGTGCTCCAGAACGCGACGGATGTGTCTGCACGGGTGGACATGGAGCGTAGCGACGAGGAACGGACCCTCTTGTACCCGCCACGCTGCACGATGGCGTGATGCAGGTCGTATCGCCCGGCCTCGTACAGCGCGCTGCGCGAGGGCATGACGCGGTCCTCGAGGTCCTCGACGAAGACGTACGACCCGTCCGCGTCCCCGAGCGGCACGCGCATCGGCGGCTGCGGGCGCTCCCACCGCACGCGGCGGGTCACCGAGTTGAACCAATACTCCCCCCCGTCCTCGTCCGTGTACTGGATCCACGAGCTCGCCACGAACTTCGCGATCTCCTCCAGCAGCACCTCCTCCTGGTCCCAGTACCCGTTCGGACGCCTGCACGCACATGAGCGCACACAACAACATGGCGACAGTTAGTTTTCAAAACACCGCCGAAATCGCTTGAACGGCGCATTCCGGCGCTCAGCGCACGCCCGCTGCTCCGTCGAGTCAGTGTCCACAGCCCACAGGGTTCGGTCGCACCTGGGCCCGCGGATGGACAGTTTTAGTGCCACGTCAAGGAACCCCCCCAGGCGCGTGATCGCCGCGACAAGGTCGCGCCGCCCGGCGTCCTCGAGCGCCGCGCGCGTGGGCATGCGCTCCTCCGCGCCGGTGGGCCCGCCCAGCGCGATGTACGGCCGCAGCTCGTCGTCCAGCCATGGCAGCACGCTGTCGCGCCGACCCAGGTCCAAAAGACCCCCCGGGGGGTCGAGCTCGAGGAGACGCGCCGCGGGATCCACGGAGGCCACCATGGCGCCCACGAGCGGCACCAGGTGCTCGCACCACTCCTCGCTGCTGCCGCCGTAAATGGCCAGGTCTTCGTCAAAGGATGCGGTCATCGCGCGATCGGCGGCCGCGGCGGCGACGGGCAGCGAGTCGGAGAAGCCCGCCGCGATGAGCTGCTCGCGCAGGCTCCCGAACGGCAGCTCCTGATCGCTGTCGCCGTCGCCGTGATCAGTCCCCGGGGGGTCTTTCAGCTCTTGGATGGTGGCGCCGTGCGAGGGGAGAGAGGCGCGCTCCTGCGCGGCGTCGCGGTTCCGCCGACGCTCCTCCGCGAGGTGCGCGCGCGCGCGCGGGGACTCGACCCACGGCGCGGGGCTCCGCGGGGGGGGGTGTGTCGCCGCGGAGTCGGGCTCTGGGGCCTGCCCGCGGCCGGCGTCGCGGTCGCGCGCAGCGCCGCGGTCCGTGCGCCGCGGAAGGGACTTGAGGAACGCCTTCAGGGCGTCCTTCGCGGGCTCGCGCACGCGCAGAAAGCGGATCGCAGCCCCCCCCGTGTCAGCGCTGTCATCAGGACCCCCCGCACCGACCACCTGCAGGCGCGGACCCGTCGCGGACGGCCGCTGTGAGCGCCGATGGCCTGGAGCGCGCCTGTGGAGCGTTTGCTGGCGCTGGGGGTACCATGAGCGCGCGTGGGAGTCGAGATAGGAAAAAAGGACTCGAGTTGTGTTTCAGGGTGTGAGACGTGCGGTGCTTGCCTCGTGGACCTCCCCGCGCATCTCGTCCTTGATCTTCGTCACGACGCTGTACCCGTCCAGGTCCTTGGCCTCGTTGCTCTCCAGGAAGGTCTGCAGACACACACACACGAAAGATTGTTCACTGAGAACCCGCAACGGCTTCTTCTGCGACCCTGCGATGCTCCGCGGCCGCTCAGAGCACGTGCCAAGGCTGCCGTCGCGGTGCCGTGCGTCCGCACCTGCAGCGTCTGCCGTTGCGGGGCGGTGTGTCTCGATGGCTTCGTCTTGGACCCGCGCCCGCCCGACACGAGGGAGCGGTTCCGGTTCCGCCCGCCGAATCCCCGCTTCTCGTCCCTGAGCTTGTGCTTCGGCGTGGCGTGCGCGCCAATGAGCCGGCGGCGCCGCTGCGGCACCGGCCCGGGCGCGAGCACGCCGGTCCGTGCAGGCCCCCCCCTCCACCATCGTGCCTTGACGCGCCCAATGTGCGACGCGATATTGTGGAGCGAACATGTCCCCGACGGGCGACGGTCCAGGCTATGCATTTCACGCGTCGAGCGCGCCGTGCTCGCCAAACTTTTGCACCAAAGTAGCAGGCATGCCGCGCAAGGCGTCAAATCTACTTGTAAGGACCAGACGCGCAAGAATCTGAATACTTCACTCTATATCCTGACGGAGCCATCTTGTCCACAATGGACGTCTCAGGCCGCTGTACGGGGCGGTTACCCACACAGCGAACACGCGATGGTCCTCAGGTGGGGACCTTCTGGCACGAACTGGTACCTGGTCCTTCGCTCGAGGAGGAGAGCCACTGTCGCCCGCGTCCCGCTCGCGCCCCCGAAGTGCCGCGAGTCGCGGTTGCACGACGCCACCAGGGGGGAGTGCACAACACGCCCCCATCGATCCGCGACGACGCTGAATTGCGCGCCGGCAGGCCGACGAGGCACTCTTGCACGCTGGTTCAGCTCTTCATCTGTCAGGTCGCGCCCGTCATGTTTCTGTCCGCGACCGCAGCCCGCGTGTGCGCCGTGCGACCCGCCCGAGGGCTTCGTACACACAGCGACGCACGTGCCGCACCCACCACGGGGCACGTCGCGCCGGGCACCGTCTCGGCGGGACGCCGCAAGCCCGCGCTCGCCCCTCGCGGCCTCATCGTGCCTCGAACGCACAGGTGACGTCCAGGAACGACCCGATGCTGCAATCACACGATGGATGCAGTTGTGCGCAAAACCGTGCCATGCCGAGCTCGCGTACGCGATCTGGATGCGCATCCAGAAGCTCCAGCCATAGTCTGCTGCCTAGAGTGCGCGCGTCGGGTCCGGCGCGGCCGTGTCGGTCCGTGGGGCGAAGCTCGACGTTTCCCTTATGTATGCAAAGAACTATGCAGGTTTCCGGGGGACATTCGTGGGAGGAAGGGCGCCCCCGAGGCCAGCGCGCGCAGCGAGGACGTCGTGGAGCGCGGGAATGCGACGAACGGATCCGAGAGCGCCACGGAAACTGCGGAGAGGCCTGCTGACAAGGCCTGCAAGCTGAAGGTTCCTATGCGGTTCGAGGCGGTGTTCAAGTCGATGGAGAAGGGCTTCATGCCGACGCTCGCGAAGGGCCTCCTGATCGTAGCGGTGAGGAGCCCTTCCTGGAGCTGTCCCTTCGTTTCGCAGGACCTGCCGGGTTGGAACGGAACGGTTGTTTCAACATTCAACAGACGGAGTGACAGCCCGGGCTGCCTGGGCCGCCCCTGCCGCCGTAGGCCGCACGGGGCCAGGGACGGCCGAGGCAACCCGGTCTGTAACTCCGTCTGTGGGATGTTCCAGCACAGAGCATCAGCAACGTGTATCCCCCCCGTTCACGTCCTCGCAGACCGTGGTGCTGCTGGGCTACGGCATGGAGTGCAACCTTCCGATCGAGGACAAGTTCCGGACGCTCCTCGGGCCGTTCGAGGTCCGCGATGCCCCGCAGCAACAGACGCCGTCGTCGTGCGCGGCGCCGGCACGGAGGGAACCAGCAGCACGTTCCGCACAGGACGTATCCGCAAGCCGACATGTCGTCACGACCTCAAGGCGCCGGCCCTTGCGCCCCACGGGGCCGGCGCCGCGAGGTCGCAACGGCGTTGTGGTCTTGCAGATGCGTCCTGTGCAAGACGTGCTGCGGCTCCCGACCTGCCCGCTGGCGGTCGCTACGGCGATCGCGCGGACCTTCGAGCCCGTCTGCGCACCGCGTACCGTGTCCCGTCGCGGTTCGCCACCGCCACGACGCAGGCGTTGATCGCCGATCGGCGTGCGCTGCTGCTGTGCCCAGCACGTCGCACCGATCGCACCAGCGCTCCGTGTTGTCGTACCATCTCTGCAGGACGGCATCTGGGCGGCCTTGTCGGTCGGAAAGGGCCCGATGGTGGCCGGCGGTGTGCTGCAGAAAATGCTTGTTGCGCAGTGCGTCGCGGCCGCCACCCTGGCCGCCGCGAGCGTGTCCGACACGCGCACGCCGCGCGCCGCGTTCGGCATGGCGGCGGTCGCGTGGACGTTCGCGCTGGGGTGCTCGAGCACGCTGGCGTTCGTCTCCTGCTCCCCCGCAGCGCTCCTGGCGTTTGTGTGCGGCGCGGTGCTGGTTTCCGGGAAGCGGTCGCCGAAGGCGGAGTCGGCCTGCGTGCAGCTGATCATGTGGGCGTTTGCGCTGGCGTGGGGCTTCCACACGTACCCGGGGGTGTGGACAACGGGCGAGCAAATCCATCTGCAACACTTCGCCCAGCACGGAGGGTTGCTGACGCTGGGGACGGCGGCGGCGCCGACCTTCGCCTTCGGTATCGCTGCTGCTGCAGGATATCGCCTTCCGCGCTGGGTGAGAGCCCGTGCCCCGGCCTCGTGCAGAGATGACGCGCGCTGCGGCTGCGTCACCCACTGCTGAAGCGAACTGGCCGCGCGGAGCGTAAGTTGAGCTCCTTGCGGCGTTTCCAGTCGCTTCAGGCTCGCGCCTCCCCCGTCGTCGTCCGCAGGCGCTCGGTTTCGCCTTCCCCGTCATCTTTCTTGGGACACTGGACTTTTGCAATACTATCCTCTGACTGATTCGGGCGCGGCGGAGCGGAGGAGCCGAAGAGGCAGCCTGGGCGCTGTGATCCGTCGAACGGGCCAGAGGCTCGCTTGCCTCATGCGCAGGACCGGCAGTGAAGCCTGTTCTTGCTGCTGGCGTGTCCCTCTGCAATCGCGGAACGCTCCTCGCGTAGCCCTCGATGCTTTCATGGCGGAGCGGATTGTACAGCTGGCGATCCCCCAGCTCGACGCGGCAGCACGTCCCCGGGCCGCGCAACGCAACGCAGCCACTAATGCGTCACCAGGCTTTTTTGGACTGCACGGCCGCGGGTCCGAGCCCGTTCCTTGTCTCTCGAGCAACACGGTGGATAAGCACAATCGTCTACTAGCAGCCGGTGGCCCGCGCCGCGACACTCACGCGTCTGGCGCCGCACGCGCGCGCTCTGTGCTGTGGGAGCACCACACATGCCCCCGCGCGCAGCGTGCTGGCCACGTCCGTGACCTGACACTGAGCGCTTGAAGCATCGACGCTATCGTTTCCGTCGTTACACGGTGCGCCGACCTACGGCCGTCCCACACTGCGGCTGCACCAGCAGCAAACCACAAGGGGGCTTGCGAGCGACGCTGCGGCCTCCAACAGCCAGGCATACGCTCTTTCCTTCGCCCACCCTACGCTCAACCACTGTGCCTGCCCCGCGCCGCCCCTCGCGCTCGAGCAGCGCGCCGCCACGCCCCTCGGCAACCCCACCAGGGGTGTGCGCCGAACGCCTCCATCGAGCTCCCCCGCGGCGCTGTTCAGGGCGCCGCGACTCCCCGAGGCACACTCGCTCGACAGCTCAGCCACGCCCGACGCTGCAACGACCAGCCGTCATGCTCGCGGGCGCCCCGGTGGGCCGCGTGGGCGCCCTTCGTGTCGCCCAGCGCCCTCACAGACACAACGGGGGCCGCAGCGCGCTACCCGACGCACGCACCGCTGCGCGCATCCCGCGCTCCAGTGGTGCTGCACCAGGGTCGTCCGCCCGCGGCCCCGGTACACCTCGGCAGCACCGGTGAGACGCGCCACCGCCCCTCCGATGCCGTGATGTGACCGATCGCTTTCTCGACGAATCGGAGCGATGCGGGGCTGCACGGACGCCGGCGTGCGCTGCAGCGCGAGATATATATGCACCACGCACGATATGTCGCGTTGAGCGCGCTCTGGACCGCATGGGCGTCGCTGCTGCGACCGACGGTTCGTCGCGTCTTTTGCAGGCTCGCAACCAGGACGGTGAGGCGCGCAGACGCCTCTCCTGAGGCATCGAGCGATGCGCTCTACAGCAAGGCAGACGCCACCGGCGACCCGGCGACGAATGGCGGGGGGAACGAGGACCGCGCAGTCGACAGCAAACACGCGCAACAAGATGGCGACGTCCCCGCAGCGCGACGTGTCGAGGACGCGGAGCCGGCCACGACGATCCTGCGTGCGATCACCTCGCAGCCCTTCATGGCGGCAGCGGTGCGAGTCCTGTGCCACGATCGCCTGCAACGCCCACGCAGACACCGACACCCGCATCCCACAATGAACCGCGCCGTTCAAGGCTGCTTTTGCAGGCCGTGCTGTACTTCTTACTCGCTTACATCCTGCGTGACCTCGCAACAGGTGTCACCGTGTCCGACATCTTGACCGAGTTGTCACAGTCGCACGATGCTAAGGTGCGACCCCCGCTGGCTCGCACGTACTTCGCATGTCTTCGGCGTCGTGCTGAACAACTCATCCACAACGTTCTCGCACGCAGAAGGTCGTGGATGTCAGCTCCGTCAAGTTCGACGCCATCCGTTACAAGCAGCACCTGCAGTGTCTGGCGGCACTGTCTACGGGCCTGGCAGCGCTGATCGCTGCGTGCATGTCGAAGCAAAAGAGCGCCCGTGCCGCGATGGGCTACGCGGCGGTTGTGGCATCGCTGTACCTTTCTGGCTTTGTTTCAGAAGGTCGTTTCTTTGGGGAGGAGCTCCATCCTTTCCTCGGGGTAGTTGCTGGTGCCGCACTCACTGTGGCGGCGGACCGCCCAATCGCCAGCAGGCTTCTTATGCTGTTCCTTCTCTCGGCGCAACTCTGCTTGGGGTGCGACCCGTGGCTGAGCCTGCCCTGTCCGGCTACATCAGCGATCGTCAAGTTCGCTGGTGGTTTGCGCGCGTGCGCCGAGAACGTTATTGGGATTCCCGCGCTCGTATTCGGCCTGGTAGCAACTTACAAGAACTACAGCGCAGGCAAGGTAAGACCCCCTTCTCGACCCTGCTGAATGTCAGACTACAAGTGACACTGGTCAACTTGTTGTTGAACACACCTGGCGGAAACGACGCGACGAGACCCTGGCGCGCATCCCTGCCATGTGCAACATGTACGAAGCCATGCTGTCCACGGCAGACTCCGCCCCTGGAGAACTGCAGGCTGCGAGATACACAGCAAGCATCTGCGTCGCACTAGCAGCGGCGTGGCCGATCCTGGGAGCTTTGCTCGAGGACGCCTGCTGCGTACGCAACTTCTC